ATGCCAATGGTAACATCACGAAAGCGGCGCCCACGTTCGACTACATCGAGAACAAGGCAATTGAGGAAGAACATAGGAAGGGACAATTGAGCAAACAACCAACCGAGGCGCAAGCGCTTCCTGCTCTCGCTATAATCCGAGGGCCAGGTGACAAGAAAGTTATACCAGCATCTGACGGAACGACATGTCGAATCGAGATCGATAACGTCCCATATTGCTCCTTCTGCCGGAAACCCTACCACGTGGACTCTGAGTGCTTCAGCAAGAACCCCAGACCGAGAGATCAGAAGAAAGACGGAAAGAACCACAAGTCAAAGCCAGGCAATCCACATACAGGCGCACGCAAGCCGTTGAAGCGTCGGCCCTCGGATGACGACGATGATGATGATGATGTCGGTGGCCCGAAGGATCCAAAGAAGCCCACCTTCATGGCGACAAAAACCTCCGGAGAAGATGTTAATAAAGCATTCGGAAGGGACGTTGAAGGTAACTTCGCCTTCTTCGACCACATACCAACAATGATGGCTACAAAAACCTTGTCGATCCGTGACGCGTGGATCGTCGATAGTGGATGCGCTCAACACGTCTGCAATAACGTCTCGAGATTCGTACAGATGGACAAGTACCATGGACCACCGCTGAGAAGCGTCGATACCTCCACGACTCCCTCAGGAGTGGGAACAATCAATGTTCTATGCAATGTACGAGGCAGAAGAAAATGGCTTGTGCTTGATAATGTCCTTTACGTCCCATCTGCACACGCAAACCTCGTATCGGTGCTCCAGCTTCTCAAACGAGGAGCAAAAGTCGAATTCTCAAGTCGAAGTGCTAGTATTCGCAACAAGTCAAGTGGAAAGAATCTATACACTGCCAGCCAGTATCACGGGGTCTACGCACTCAATTTATGGACGAATCTCACCTTTCCCTCCTACCATGTCAGTCCACAAATGACTCTTTGGCATAGCCGGCTAGCTCACTTGAGCGATGGGAACCTACAGCGGCTTAAGAAGCAGGCGCACGGCATCCGGGATATGGAACCACGTCAGCCATGCAACCCATGCCTCCAGGGACGAATGATTGAAAGGCCCCACAACCGGTCAGGGCGGAGCAGAAGAGGGGAATATGCCATGGAATTACTTCACATTGACGTCGCAGGACCATTTGACGAGGGTCTTGATGGCAGTCGCTATTGGCTCACCATCGTCGACGACTTCACGGGGTGGTTTGAGGTTATCCCTATACCACGACGACAAGAATTTGTTGTGGAATCACTTCGGTTCTTTCTTGATCATAACGAACGCCCTGAACGAAAATGTAGACGAATACGCCTCGACCGAATCCCTGAGCAAGTGGGAGAAGAGATGAAGTTCATACTGTTCACACGGGCAATCCATGCCGAGGTCACAGGCGTTGATCAGCACCAGCAGAATGGGGTTGCAGAGAGAGCCCATAAGACAATTTATGATCGGGTTGGGCCCACACTAGCACATGCGAGACTACCACCAAAATTCTGGCCAGAAATTGCTCGAACCGCAGCCTTCCTCTCCAACCGGTCGCCGTCATCAAAGATCAACATGACTCCGTATCAAGCTTGGTATGGCGACAAGCCGGACCTATCACGACTCAGAGTGATCGGATCCAAAGGGGAATACTTGATCCCACCCAAGCAGAGGAAGAAGCTCACAGAGCCAAGAACCAGGCCATGCATTCTGCTAGGCTATGAGGGAAATACCAACTACCGTATCCTGCTGGAAGACGGAAGAATCGTTGGGACCCCAAATGCTGAATTTCACGAAGTCCTTACAGCTCCTTCCACACAGACTATAGAAGATGTGGGAGCCAGACGAGACGGCTCACCTGAGGCAATGGCTGCTGCCGCAGGGGGGAGTGAGACGGTGGGACTATTAAATCAACCGTCGGTAGGCATACGGCAAGCATCCGTGCCCGCCTCTGGGCGCCAATTGTCGATGGCACCCCCAGAGCGAGCCCTACCAAAGTCGAGGAAAGATATCTCGCACATACTGCCTCGATCGAGTAACGATAACTCACGAGTGCTAACCCAGTCGAGTGACGAAGACTCGCAGACACCAGCGTCGTCTCAATCGAGTGACGATGACTCGCAGCCACCTGTTGCTGCACAGGGAGACAGGACCTTGTCGCCTACACGGATCGATGATACCTTTGGACCATTTGCAGATGATTTACAAGACATCAGCCAAAGGAATGACTCGCCACCCGGCGGCGACCAGCAACAAGACGACGCTCAACAAGGTCTAGTTTCAGGAGAATGGCAACGATATCCAGAACTCCAACTTGACCGCCCAGTTCATGAAGTGCGACAAGAAGCACTAGAACACCACCCTGAACTCACAATTCGCGCTCCGCAGGTCACACTAGATACTTTTAGTGATAGCGAAGATGAGCTTGCGTTAATGAGTATACCTGACGGGAATGTCATCCCAACGTTCTTAACCCTGGCTGCAGAGGAAACAGAACCTTTTGAGCCAAAGACTCTTCAACAAGCAAAGAACGACGCAAGCTGGCTTGAATGGGAAAGAGCAATGCTTGACGAAGTGAACTCACTCAACCAAAACAAAACGTGGGAGCTTGTTGATCCTCCCAAAGATCGCCGGATTCTCAGCGGAAAATGGGTCTACAAACTCAAGCGAGGACCGCATGGCGAAGCTATCCGTCACAAAAGTCGATGGGTAGTGAGAGACTTTACACAAGAAGAGGGTATTGACTATGACGAAACTTTTGCCTCGGTTGTCAAGCCAATGAGCTATAAAGCTCTCTTCGCAATCGCGGCGGCCCTGGATTTAGAGATCGAGCAAATGGATGTCAAAACGGCGTTTCTTTACGGCTATATAGACCACGAGATCTACGTCGAACAGCCTCACCACATGACCGACGGTACATCCAGGGTCTGCAAACTTCGAAAGGCACTCTATGGCCTAAAGCAGGCTCCTCGGATCTGGTATCAGACACTTACAAATTTCCTACGGAATCTTGGCTTCGAGCCAATCAGCGCTGATCTTGGGATCTTCGTCCGGAGCAACATGTACATCGCCGTGTACGTCGATGACCTCCTGATCGTGGGACCAAGCATTGCGGAAATAAAGAAGATCAAGCGAAACCTCAGAAACCGTTTTCAAATGACAGATCTCGGACCATGCAGCTACTATCTCGGGATGTCCGCCCAGCGAGACCGTCAAAACAGGATACTGTACCTAAGTCAAGAAGCGTATATTGACAAGGTCGCTCGTCAGTTCGGAATCAGCAACGGCGCTCCCGTCAGCACACCGATAGAGACCTCGCCACTTCCAGAGAATAGTCCAGAATACAGATGCCCTCCAGATCAAAGGACCACCTACCAACGCCTTGTCGGATCTCTGATGTATATTATGCTTGGAACCAGGGGGGACGTCGCGTATGCCGTCTCTGTGGCGAGCAGGTATCTAGCAAATCCTGGACCACAACACATGAAACTCGCTCGACGCATCCTGCGATATCTCAACGGCACGAAAAACCTCAGGCTCACGTACAAGGGTCATCACCAGATGCTGAAAGGCTTTACAGACGCAGACTGGGGTGGATGCCGCGACACCAGACGGTCAACAGCTGGATATCTCTTCAACCTCGGGAGTGGAGCAATCAGTTGGCAATCAAAGCGTCAAAGTGTCGTTGCTCTCTCGACCTGTGAAGCTGAATTTCTTGGCCAGACACAAGCAACCAAAGAAGCAATCTGGTTGAGAAGACTCCTCAATGAGTTGAACATGAGCCAAGGAAAAACCGCAACGATTATCTATGGTGACAACCAAGGAGCCATCGCCCTGTCCTCGAACCCGCAATATCATTCCCGCACGAAGCACATGGAAATCCAACGCAAGTGGCAAGGGGAGATCCAAGACCTTGGAACCGTGGAGCTGAAATACATTACAACTACTGAGCAAATTGCTGATGGGTTCACGAAGCCTCTTGCGCGAGGACGATTTGAATGGTTTCGGAGAGGGCTTGGCATCGAGTGACACCTCCCGATCGACGGATCTCGGCCAGAAACCAGGTCTCATGGGTACCCTTTCCTTCTTTTCCTTTAAAGGGTTTTTTGAAGGTTTTAACGGGGCCCTTCACAACCGTGATGGATAGTCGCTGGCACTCTTGACGGTGGTTGCCATCGAGTGGGAGTGTTGAGTATCACGGTGGCTGAACCTTATGGCAGGGATTGGGAACAGATATATAAGAGGCATCTGGCCCCTGTAATAGATCACTCCTCAAGTCAATCAATAAGATTCAATCAGACAATCACATATCTCAACAGGAACCGTCCAGGTCCGGGTCGCGAGTCGGTAGGAGGGACCCAATATCAGGGTCGTGGCGAGGTCTACTGTGATGAACAACACTAGAATATAGTCAAGTAGCACTGTTTGCAAGATCCATCAACCAATCATCCGATATGGTGTAAACGTAGATGACGGTGGGATGGCGACGATTTTTGGTGCGCACAAGAATATAAAATCGTCGCCTTTACACTTCGCGGATTTTTAGCTTGTTTTAGTGCGGGCCGTTGTGTTGGCTTCGGGGCTCCGACCGGGCGCCCAGGTATACGGATCTTATCACTGCCCCAATCAGTAGCGCCAATCACAGGCGGTTGGCTCAAGATCTCCGAGTCCAAGGCGACCCCAACCATGAGCACTCTTCTAAATTAAGATGATTGTCTATCATTTAAAGCCCGATTTCCCGTTCATTTATTTTAGTATATTTATGTTCGACAACGATGGTTGACTGGAATGCGTTTGTCTAAGAGAAGGAATCTAGATGATGAAATGATGACCGGGGGAAGGCGGTGGGATGACCACTAGGCTTAATTAGGCACCCGTGTACTGCACCCCATTAGTTGCTTCTTCAGCCTCTTCTCTGCTCTTCTCTGCCCCTTCATCCGGCGCTTTGCGACTATTCATTACTTTTCACCCAGCGCTTCCGCTTTTCTCGATCGCACTGCAATGGAGGTGTTACGACGTGGTGCCCAGCACTCGAGCGAAGACTCGCCAGTCTCTATGAGCTCCTCTCTTCGTGTAGCTGTCTACCTGAGCAACCAACTTTCTGCTCTACTAGACCAAGAGCATAACGACACTATTATCCGCGAGTTAGAACTACAGGAATGCTCCTCCCCAGACACGATACTTGCAAAAGTGCTCACCCCGCAATCCATTTCAAGTACGTCCTCGTCTTTTGCGCAATTCCAGAACTCACAGCAAAGTCTCCCGGTCGTGGAATACCGTGCGATCGGCTTCGGTCAATGCGGCCTGATATTTGAAAAGCCTGGACACGGATTTGCTTTGAAAATTGCTAAGCGATCCTACGAAGACGCTCTCTGGAACGACCTCACGGTCCATCTGCGGATACAGGAGGCTTTTGACCAACCCCAGAACAAAGACTCTGAGTGCCGTGTCCCTCGACTTTTCTCCTATATCTCGAAAGATAGCAACGTCTGGTGGGAGCAGAATCTGAGCCTTTTCCGGAATGTCCACGCATCAATCTCGCTACCTGCCATGACATTAGTTTCGCAAAGAATCCTCCCTCTGCCTAAAATCGCTCGAGAGATACTAATCAACAAGTATTGCGCCGCTGCATCTCGTGCATTTGTGGCTGCTAATCCTACAAATCGGGATTGCTTAGCACGAATATATTTGGGTAGTCGACGCGCCACAAAAATCCCTCCACCAAACTTCACCCTTCGCAACTTCAACATTTATGTGGATCAACTGGTTGAAATGAAATTTCCTATTGAGAAGCTTGCAGCTTCTATAGGGGAGGCACTTGCCATAATCCATTGGTCTGCAAACGTCGATGCCTATGATATTGAATTTGTTCTCGGTAGTGAAGCAGACTCTAAATACTCGCATGATGTTCTTGCTGACCTGAATCTGACTTCACGCCAAGTGGCCGCGATGCCGCCGCACACTGATCTTGAGTCAATCATAAGCGTCAATTTCCTTCGCCGGACAACGCGCCTTTGGATCATTGATTTTAATCTCTGCCATAGTTGGGATGAGGACACAGCGCTCAATCATCCCGAAGCACTGATCGAGCAACTTGTCGAATCATTTTTTGAAAATGATCCGTACTATCCTCTGCCGCTCGTTAATACTTACCCAGAGAAAGAACTATGGGAACTTTTCAGCTCAAGCTACATTACAAAGGCCAGTAAAGTTCTTCATGAGAAGGACAGACGGCTAGCTTGTCTTCCCCAGCAATTTATTAATGGTTGCATTCAACGGGAGATAGAAAGTCTTCAGAAAGGTCTGGGCCATGGACACCGAGAAACAAGGCAGTGAGGGGGAAAAAATGGCTCTACGCTTCTCAACCTTGGAAATGGTATATTATTAAGATGAATGTTTTTGGTAATGATATTATTAAGAAGCTTTTGCTCTTTTACACAGTAAATGAACTCCCATTCATATTTCACACGATTAATGATCATGAAGTCATGGCTGCGGGCCGGGTTTACGAGAAATCATTTTTTTCCCTGTAGACTATTGACATTGGAATAAAAAGTATTCGAGATCTTAATCAACTGTATTTGAAAATATACGGACAGCCACTTTTAGCACCTCGTCTGTTTTCGTGGTTTCTGCTACGCCGATCCAAGGCTCTCGGTCACTCTCAGAACCTTGGCATCGAATCCAATGCTCTCAGGTGTATCCACATTTTCATCTCCGGGCATTAGATTAAGCAAGCAGGAACATGTGTATAATGGTATCGCTTGTGTTATTCTAACAACGGGGATGCGACAAGTGCAGCGTCGGGTAGTCTCGACTCTCGTCAACCTCTTGGGCTCGAGTTTATTCTCAATGGCTGTGATTGCAGCATTGCCCTCTTTCTCGATCAGTTCGCTGCACAATTTGATGAGATATCGATTGGCAAAGACCTCTGCCACAGTTTCAATACCGACTGTAGATCGGATATTCTGCAAGGCGCCTGCTGGGATAACACTATTGATTGAGGCGGCTAGTCGTGGGCATCTGCGATTTATCGAGTGACTCGTGCACGAGGGAGCTATGGTTGGAGTATGTGCTATGAGAGGAGACGCGTTGCATGCCGCTGCCCTGAGAGGATATACTGAGGTGGTACGTATGCTCCTCGATTCTCACGCCGATATCAATACCCGGGGTGGTGAATATAGCAATGCCCTACTGGCCGCCGCCTTTGGAGGGAGCACTGAGGTAGTGTGAATACTTCTCGATGCTCACGCCGAGGTCAATGCCCAGGTTAGTGAATATGGCAATGCCCTATAGGCCGGTGCCTATAGAGGAAGCACTGAGGTAGTACGCATGCTGCTCGATGCTCATGCTGGTGTCAATGCCCAGGGTGGTAAATATGGATCACCACTCTATGCGGCTCTTCATATGTGTCATTCTGATCACATTGATCTTCTTTTTATCGCGGGCGCAGATCCACTGCTTCCAGATGAACTCGGCCAAACTTCGCTTCATATTGCGGCCTCAGGAAATATGATGCACATCCTCCCTAGCTCTCCACTTCTCGCCTCAGGTTTTAACGACCGGGATAAGCTATTACGAACCCCTCTCCATGTCGCCATCCACCGAGGGCGTATCACGTCTGCTGTCTCACTCCTCGACCTCGGTATAGATCCTTCTATTCTGGACGGTTATGGAGGAAATATCGTGGACTGGGTACAAGAAAACCAAATCCTGATGCAAAAAGTTCAAAACCATTGCCCTCAGACTCACTCGACACCGAATGAGACTTAGTACTCTACTATTCGTCAATCAGCAAAAGTGCATACACTTGGCCGAACTAACGTTGTCAGTGCAGAGAGGCTTATTTTCAATCCTTCGTGGCTATCAGTTTCTCTCTTCTTGCACCTTACAACTACACGAACAAAGTATAATAGTGCCGTTATCACCGATAATGTATCGCAAATTAGTGGGTGTTGTTATCACCAGCTAGGTACTGTGTACACAGTTAAGTGGACAGTCTGTATGCTCCAAAGCAAAAGTCAATTGATTCCTGTTGATAGATGTTGATGTTCAGTCTAGTTGGAAAAACACCCCTAGATCCCACACGCCGGCCTTCGGCGGTCACAACACCGAGGCCACAGCCCAGCGCAAGAATGCGTACACCAAGCAAGGGATATTATCCATCGGTCGCTAGCAGTGGGTCACAGCCAGTTTGTTCTGACAGGAGAATATATCCCGACAGTGGGAAAATGGCCTGTGTTACAATAGTTGGCATAAATTTTCTAAATCGGAACGTCGATATCAGTAGGAAGTCTAGCACGATATTGATCAAAAACTTGCTCGTGCTGATTATCAAAGGGACGTCCGGGTTATCCAGCGCTCTGGTTGACGAAGAGATCACCGCTCCGGCGGCAGATGTCAGGCATTGGATAGAGAACTAGCATACGTAGGCAAGCGAGGCATGTCGCACTTCAGTCGGGACAAAGGCGGCTTCCAGCTTCATTGAAGTTGCAAGAAATATAATGATCATCAGAAGCCTTGTGCTGCACTGACAATGATCATGGTCCAGGCAAGATTCAGCCGAGAGTGAAGGCTTCGCGATGACTTGTCCCCAATATTCAGCCATGCAGAGCGAGGAATACCATCATTCAAGACCTCAAGAATGATGTCGATGTATGTGTATACATCAGTTGTCACTACCTCGCCGGAGCTCAACTTGGCGACCCATAGCTTACTCAAGGTGCTGTAAACGGCGGGAGGGGCAAAGGCAAGTAGATTAATGATTGCTGATCTAATAAAACTTTGAAAACTGCGGCCAGCATCCATCCTGACTTCATCCCTAATATACGAACGTCTCTCGACTCCAGAACGCACGTGTTCTAGATGACAACTCCCCCGCTTCGCCTGTCCCTTCAGTTTGACGAGCAGCTTTATCTTGTATTGTTGCTGATGTTGTGTTGGTCCCCATGTTGTTGGTCTTTCTTTGGGTAAGTTGTGCAACGTGCAACAGTGAGGAAAAGAAAATTGAGAGTTCCCGTGTGATGAACTTCTAAGTCTTGGAGGATAACAACTTGAATGCGGGGTATTATATGAGGGGTAGTTCAGTTAACGTACCAGGTAGTTAATCAAGAATGCTATTGCTATGGGCTATGGGCTCCCGCTACCTGCACCCAAGTTCACATCTTATGAAGATTCCGATTTTGCCCCTAAAATATGATCTAATGAGGCGATTGGGCTGTTTTGACCGATGAACAAGAATTACGATGAGAATGACGCACACTTGAGCCAGATACCTACGGTCAGCATTCCACAAGTCAAAATCGAGGCCCCGAGTCTAACACGTGATCTCTCAGGCACGCAATGACTACAATGAGGGCAAGGTAACGGACTCTATGACATTTGAAAGACCCTTCGAGCACTTTGATAAATTCTTGGCTTTGGCGGCATCATTGAGAAACTGTGCCACGGGCTTGCCTGTTTTTGACGATTTTCACCGTGTTCCTTCTGTCATCAACTGTCGTGCCTCCATATCGAAGAGAGCCAATGATACAGCCATGCCTCAGCCTTTGCATGTTGGCGGGTAGAAGACCGTTTTCATTCGTTCATATGAGACGAGCTGTGCAAAACGCAAGGCACGGGCCGCCAGATTTTCAAGAGGGACGGCGGAGCATATAACCCCACTACCCGCGGATCACTCTACGCCAAGCTGATCACGGCTCTCGGCAGAGGTGTTATCCCGGAAATGACGACGATACTAGGCACTAGAATGTCCCGTGGGTACCGACCTAGCCATGATCAGTGCCGGTTGACCAATGGCCGCAGAGCAAGCGTCGACTTGGACTCTGTGCAAGGCGTGAGCGTGACTCGATCCTGAGTGACACGAAAACAAGAGCAACTGTATAATCCTTCTATCTATGGCGATGTGCAGATGCCAAGAGATCAGGCGCCAACGCGCTTTCTCGCAAGGACCCCCTTTCCGTTCTCCAATTAAAACCACCAGGCGTATATGATATATGTAAATCTCCCTTCATAAATATGCATTTTGCAAAGGTAGCGTTGAATGCTCTCTTTAGTTCCGATGTCTGTCTGCTGATCACACTATAAAGGAGACATCTTGAAAGCGTTGGCGATGCTAATAAAAGTTCTGACGAGACGCAGCCGACGAGATCTGCGCACGATAGGTTAGAGTACTATCACTTGCCACTCGAGAGCTCAAAGGCAGCATCTTACAATCGAGATGAAAACAATTATATATAGGATGATGCGGATCCTGTAACTATTAAAGAGCTGCAGTCAACTATTGAAGATCTGCAGTCGATCAGAGAGCAGCAAAGCCAGCCGCCCCACTAGCCAGCTCGCTGATCGATATTGCCTTTTCCACTATGACACTTAGCGAGGTTTGCCAAAAGTGCTATAAATGGAAGTCTAAACCCTCCATCATTAATAGATAGATAAGGTCTCTTACACCTCGATTGTCAAGCACTACTGTGTGTCATATTCACCCATTGACATTGTACCTCCTAATACGAATTCACTAGGGCAAGAAGTTACCGTGATCCTCAAAATCAACTTATTAACCACGCAACCTTATACCACCTGTATGTCTTGCCATAGTGGTAACTGACGAGGACGAAACTGACACCAAAAAGACAATGAAGCTTTCTGTGGTTGCTCTTACAGCACTTTTTGGCATTGTCCTTGCCAACGACACCGTTCCGATGCCCCCCGACGCTCTTGATGAATGCAGAAGGGAAACCCGTACGCAGGGTTTATGCTGTAAATACTCAGACTGCAAATTTTGTCTATTTAACCAGCGGTGTTGCTATAAGCCTGGGGCCCCAGAAAAAAATTATGGGTTAGGGATGTGTGCGTGTGGAGTCAACAACTACCCACAGGGAAAGTGCTTCTAACAAAGGGCACTGATAGCTGGAAATTGATTTGCCCTATTCGCGGTCCGTGACTTGAAACAACTGCACATCTTCCTGCTCCAGATATTGTCCATCCTTGCGAGTGTTGACCGTTTTCATACTGTTCTATTCTAATCCTGGGGGGTGGCATTAATATAAATGCCTCTCGGTTTTCCAAAAGACCCTCATCCCGTGTCGACCGAGGTCCCCTCTCAAAAACTCGGAGGGTGAGACATAAGAACAAACAGTCTAAATGGCTGATCTCTCGCCAGAAATTGCACTCCTTTATCGTATGTAATCACATCGGTCAAGTTTCAGATGTGCGATTTGCTATTAAATCGAGCCTAATCCAAGATGCCACCTGTGACGCAAGCAAATGTCCTTCCACAGAGTCCATCAGACCGCGAGCGACCTTCAAGGAACTGTATCCCGGTCTCGTGATCAAGCCGGAAAAGATAGACTAGGAAAATGATCGAGCAACTACTCCTAAGAAATGAACGGATCACGCGGATAGAGACGCTCCTACGCAAACGACAGATCAGAAATTTTCGAATCCTTGAATGTGCTATGTTGACACTTACTACATCAGAGGATTCCTCTCTCGAGGGTGGTGAACAAAGATGGCGCTTGCAACAGGATATCGACCAGCTGTCCACTCAAGGCAAACGGATACTAAGAGATATGCCTGGTGGGGAGCGTGGTCGTCAATGGTGGGCGTATATCTATCGGTTTCTTCCTGAGCGCTAAACAAGTCAATAGATTTCCTCGGGAGCTTCGGGTGAAGGAGATGTCGGCTGAGCTGCGAATCGTGAATATATTTAATGACCAAGGGACGCGTAAATCAGTGCAACTCTTACCAGCAATATTACCTGACAGATATCATGCTGGTTCCCCCTCATGGCTAGTCATTGGGGACTTCAATCTCCACCATTCAGTCGGGGGGGGGGAGGGTGCTGAGAAAGACGCTGAGGCGGATGAGCTCCTAGACGTGCTGGAGGTGGCAGGACTAGATAACCGGCTACCGCAGGGCGCAGTGACCAGGGAAAGAGGTGGAAATAAGACAACCATTGATCTAGTACTGGCGTCTCGTAACCTGCGGGAACGAATTATCAACTGTGGGACGGATGTCAAGGTTCATGCTGATTCAGACCACCTACCGATCCACACGTTGCTGGACATCCACACTTCACTAGAAGAGGAGCCTGTCCCCGTCGGAATTGGAAGACAATTGATGAGAAGAAGCTCTCGGAATTCGTCACTGCTAACCTCCACGGATGGCAGCCGGTGCTGGAAAACTCTCACCAGATCGATGCCGCCACGGCACACCTGCTAGAGGTGGTCCAGCGAGGCATCCAGGAATCAACTCCATGGGCACTCCCTTCCCAGTGCGCCCGCGAGGGCTAGAATGAAGAATGCACGCAGGTGATCAAAGCCTGCAGACAGGCCTTCCGGCGGCAGCGCGACTTAGGAGGATGATCACCAGGTATATGCTGCACTCCGCAACCGGAAAAGCAGGGTGATTGGCAGGACGCTGAAAACTGGCTTCCGAAACTGGGTTAAATCGGCCACTGAACAGGGCCCCCGGGGCCTCTGGAAAGTATCGAAGTGGGCCAGGAACAGGGACCAGAGCAGTGGCAGCAGTATGATACCGCAGCTAAAGATGCCAGGCAGCTCCGCCTCGCCTGCGAAAAGCAATCTAGAGAAGGTCAACGAATTAATTTCGCTGTCTGAATTGATTCGTTATAGCCCGATTTTACTGTACTGGACTTCAGATGTGTCCGAGGAAGGCGGTGGTGGCTGGCAACACTTGCCCCAGTTTGCTCTCACTTAAAGTTCCTGTGCGTCCACTTCTCGCTCCCGTCTTCTTCTTCTTCTTTCCCACTCTAGTCAGTCAATGCACACATTTTCTGCGCTACAGCTATGTTCAACCACGATGATAAGTGTATGTAACTTGATGTCAACTGGGTGATAAATAGATGAGCGCCGCTTTAGCTTCGCGCGACTTGGGTGAGAAGGGTGTGTGGGGAATAGACACGGTGAGAATAGTGTGAGCTTGGGTGAGAAACGCCCTCCGCTGTGCAACAGTCTCGCTGAATCGATTATTGAACAGGTCGTATTTAATTGAGAGACAGCCAGTGTAGCCCTGGAGGGCATCGCGTACTCAGGTGAGCAGACTACAGAAAAGAGGGGGTGTGAACTACGTAGTTGGGGGGCTTTCTGCTAGATCCGTCAAATCGCAATTATTGGGGGCCGATAAAATGTCAAAAGCACTTTTCCGTGTTCTACCAGCCGCGATCGGCCCCGGTCCGTTACAGTGGCCTTCTAATGATACCATATCCGAGGCGAGATGTAGTGCACGGGTCTGTGAAGGTGGCTTGGAGCCAAAACATGATATGGTTCACTTCGTAGTGTAGACAACCCTGTTTCGACGACTCAGTATTACGTATTCCGGAATCTGGGCGGATTATCGGATTGTCCATAGATCACGGATTCTGCGATGCCTGGCGCAAGTCCCCACGCGTATCCGGGAATCCGGACTCGACCCAATTGACAGTGGAAGATACCAAATGCAAATCTCGCTAGCAAGGAAGCCTTCGAAATAGATAAAAAGACCAGGTCTCGCCTGGATCTCAAGTCCATCACAACATATTGTGGTTGGATTCACTTTTCTCTTCAAAATGGTTGGAATTGATATGCGCGGCTTGACCCCGGCTCCGGTCACCCCCTTCACGAAGGATGGCGCCGTTGACTACGAAGCCATCCAGCGCCTTGGCTCCTGGCTCGGCAGCATCGATGGAGTGAAGGGCCTCGTGGTGCTGGGTCACGCTGGCGAAGGCACGTTTCTTACGACCGAGGAGCAAGTCTCCGTGATCAAAGCATTCGTCAAATCGGTTGAGAACAAAGTCCCAATAATCGCTGGCATCACCAGTGAAGGCACCGAAGTTGCCGCTCTTGAGGCCCAGCGGGCCAAAGAAGCTGGAGCCGCGGCAGGACTCCTGTATCCGTCCCACGGCTGGTTGCGCTTCGGATATCAGCCTGGTGCCCCTCAAGCTCGGTACCGCCGGGTGTATGAAGTCTCTGGCCTGCCCCTGATTCTATTTCAATATCCCGACAACACAAAGGCTACCTACAACTTGCAAACCATGCTGGATATCGCCGCCCAGCCCGGATGCTTTGCCATGAAGAACGGCGTGCGCAATATGCGCCGATGGGATACCGAAATTCCCGTCATCCGCGCTCAACGGCCAGACCTGCAGATCCTGTCTTGCCACGACGAATACCTTTTGCACACCTCGTTCGATGTTGACGGCTTCTTGGTAGGTTACGGAAACATCGCTCCCGAGCCTCTCATCGAGCTCATCAAGGCCGGAAAGGCCAAGGACTACAAGAAGGCACGAGAGATCCATGATCAGCTCTTGCCTATCACCAAGAGCGTGTATCACCGGGGATCACACATGGAGGGAACTGTTGCACTGAAACATGCGCTTGTTGCTCGCGGAATCCTGGAACACGCTACTGTTCGCCCGCCTCTTTTGCCCCTTGAGCCTAGTGCGGAGCAAGAAATCCATGCTGCTATCAACGCCGCATCACTCAGTAAGGTGGTCCTATGATAGAAGGTCCAAAATAAAGTTACAGATACGACACAACAGTTGAATATATATTAAGACCAAGCCTATCGCAGGTCTTTGGAAAGATATATTTGAGCACAAAGTAGAATGTGTATCGTCAGAGTTCCAACAAATAATGATTTTTACTGCATTCCTTCCCAATTGAACAGTATGAGGTAGCCCAAGAGGGGCCAGCATGGTTTACGACTCTTTTGAAGCCCTTTGGGATTTTTTTTTATTTTTTATTTTTTTAATTTCGTGTATAGGCTGGGCATGGGAAATACAAGGATGTGACGAGACCTTGTGGAGGTGGCCCCGGATTCTCGGCTACCCCTCACTCTACCTCTCACTCTACCGTATACTTCCCCCCCTCTCTCCCCCACCCCGCTGTATTTGAATCCGATTTTTCCGCTCCTTCCCGCATTTCCGCATCACTTTCTACCCCATACTCGTGCATGCTACAGGCTGCGCCGATCGCTTGAAGTAGCCATGACACTTTCGAGTCCCCGACAAGAGTCCCTCCTGAGATTGGAGTCGCCAAAAGCCGCTCCTGCCAAGCGCCCGCTATCCACGACTAGTAAAGACGTGGATGATGAGAACCATCGGAAAGACCCAAAAGTCAGTCGGGCTTGTGACACCTGCAAGAAAAAGAAAATACGATGCGATGGCACACTTCCGTGCAAAAACTGCGCCAGGAGGAGGATCAGCTGCGCGTATGACGCAAAGTATAGCCGAGGGCGGCCTCCGACGCCTCCAGCTTCAGCCACGATTCGCGAACACCAAAACAGGCCAAGAAGTGATCCGTCTGATGATATATCTACCTGGCAACAGCCCGCCGTTCTTGCTCAGGTCTCGACGCCACTAGCCCATTCTTGCGCCTCGCCAGCAGGTGAAATCGAAGGTCAATATTTTGATCCTACCTCGGGATTGAACTTTCTACATCGAGCATGGAAGAAGCTTTTGACCCAGAAGGACCAAGCTGCTTCATACAACCCAATCTTCACGGAACAAAGGCAACTGCTCACGTCGGCAGGGGACCGACCCTTTCATGCCGACGACAGCGCATCAGACACCTTCATTCCTGATGCCTCAACAGCGAGGAAGCTGCAGCAATTCTATTTTGCGACGTGCGTTGTCACATACCGCATGTTCCATCAACCAACGGTTGAAGACTGGATGGAGGTTTTTTTGAAGAATCGGCAAGGCCCAGGGTCCATTGCTCGACCACTTGGTAATGCCAGAACCGCGATTCTCTTTACCATCATGGCTATCGCGAACTTGCGGTTTCACAGGGTGGACGGGGAGACCTCCATTGAGAATGAGTCGCTGGCATTGGAACGGAGCGATCAGTTGTTTTGCGCTGGTATGAGAATGACGGAGGAGGAGATTGGGTTTCCGCGTCTGGAATCAGCTCAGTCACGTCTAATCCAAGTCCTCTATCTTCTTCAAACATCCCGCATGAATAAAGGCTGGTATACGTTCGGTCATGCGTTTCATATCACTCTCTCGTTAGGCATGCACAGGAGACGGGATCAGAAGAGGGATTACCCTTTCACGAGCCGGAGACAAAATTATATCACTTCAGAGTGCTATAAGCGCACCTTTTGGGTGGCATATACCATCGACAGGTACCTGAGCGTTGTGCTTGGTCGTCCTCGACTCTACCAGGATGAAGACATCGATCAAAATTTTCCAGATACTGTAAATGATGAGTACATGACCCCCAACGGTGTTTCCATTTCAGATGACCCGGGTGATTTTCATATCGATGCCCTCATATATCATGCGAAGTACACATCCCCTATCGAATACAATGATATTATGTTGCTAATACGATGTCAGAATTGCTCGAATCATCGGGAAGGTATCACGCGAAGTGTACTCTGTTAGCGAGCTGTCTAGCGAGAATCGCCTGGCTACTGCCCATCGGTTAGGCCACGAACTACACGAATGGCGTGAAAGCCTGCCACCACACTTAGGCTCCGTGAAACCAACAACATTGATACCAAGTTTTCGGCGTCAGGCTATTGCCTTACAGCTCGCATATTTCCATGCTCTCATTCACACCTATCGGCCCTTTCTTTTGAGTGGCGCGGCGCCCGAAACCGTCAGCCAATGCATCTTTGCCACCAAGGCCAGCTTGGAGCTTATTGATAGGATGGCGGGAGACAGCATACTGTTTCATTCCTTCTGGTGGACTCACTATGTGATCTTCTGTGCGTTGGCCGTAGTTTATGTTTGGGAGATTCAACGAGCCGCGCGACCCGCCGATGAAATGATCGATCAGTCTCTGGGAAGAATTTTGGAGCTGGCAGAGAAATGTCATGGTCATCTCAAGCGAGCGTCGACTGGTCTATCGCAAAACCAACGATACACAGTCATACTCGACGAATTGAAATCCGAGGCAGAAAGATGTCGATTTTTGAGGACAAATCCGCCGGTCCATAGCGGTGAAGCTAGCAACAATGCAGACCATGGCTTTCCTATGTTACAGGATCCGGATATATTCGGGACTGATTCAGAACCTGTGGTTGAAGACGGTATCACGCTGAATATGCCGGACAGCTTCTTGTTTAGTGACTGGCAGACTCTTGACTCATCGGTATGTATAAGTGTATGATCGATCTCGCAACAAAACGCTGACTTTGTCCGAAGGCTGTTCTCCCGTTGCCGGATCCGAATTCCGTTTCCCCAACATATTTCCCCGCGATTCCATAAGCTTCCTAGGTATGGAAAGGGGAAGCCCCACTTTTTAGACACTACCGGAGCCACGGAAACTGACGTCTCGCCAGATGACAAAATCCGAGAATCCGGGGTTGTCAAGATTGAGCCCACACACCCCAGTTTACTTGGCTCGCTTGCTCTACCTATCTCCTATTACCCCGGATTTTGGCTCGGTATCTCAGTGTCTCAGCTCAGATGGAAATATAAAGGACTTCAGCCCAGCTGTCACCTCTTATCTCTCACCCCCTCCTTGGTCTATGTTCATCAACATGGCCGAAAAAGACGCCGCAGTCACGCACGTGGAGGGCCAACACTGTCCGGGTATCTCTGCTGAGGATGCAAATTTCTTAGCGAACTTCACAGATGAAGCCAAGAAAAAGGTTATTCGAAAGGTTAGTTCGGTTGATCTCCAGCAGTATACAGAAGGCATACTGATAGTTTGCGGGCAGGTTGACGTACATTTATCCTCCAATATCCCTCTCCTGACCACGAAACTGATGACTGAGCCTTATTATAGATGAGACTTGTCCCCATGTTTGTTCTCTTGTACTTGGTGGCCTATATAGACAAGACAAATATTGGTACTCCAGTTCCCTAAACCCGCTACACCGCACCGTCTCACCTCTTGAAAGGGAATGCAAAAATCGAGGGCCTCCTTCCAAGTCTACACATGAATGGCCTACAGTACAACATCGCCTTGTCCATCTTTTTTCATTCCTTACGTCCTTGCCGGTACGTGATAGCCATCGCACTCCGATCCTTGACTATTTCTGAGTATATTCAAAGAGGTGCCGAGCAATATAATACTGAATCGACTGAAGAGACCGTCACGCTATTTGGGATTTCTGATTTTCTGCTGGGGTGTGATCATGCTATGCACAGGCTTTGTTAGAAACTTCGCAAGTCTCGTTGTGATTCGCTTCCTACTGGGCCTATTTGAGTAATACCACTCAAGCAACTACCTGGAAGTATTTCTTTAGTGCTGACAAATGCTCAGGGCCGGTTTCCTTCCTGGTGCTGTTCTAGTGATTTCAAAGTGGTATTTACCAAATGAGACACAGACACGCATTGCTATACTTTACACATCTGCTGCTTCTGGGGGCGCCTTCTCAGGACTGTTGGCATTCGCGATCGCCAAAATGGATGGCACGGTAGGGTATGAAGGCTGGCGCTGGGTTTGTTTTCCTTGACCTTGGTACCATATCATTATCTAACACCCACATTAGATCTTTATTATAGAGGGCATTGCCACTGTGTGTATGGCATTTGCTTGTTATATGCTGCTTCTTGACTCGCCATCTTTATCTCCAGGATGGCTTACTTCGGATGAGATCCGCTTCCTTGAAGCTCGTCAACTAGCCTCTAATAACCACAGTGGTCATGATAGGGCCTTCAGCAAACGAATCATCCTCAGTGTGTTAACTGACTGGAAAATCTACCTTCTTATTCTTGCCAACTGGTCCAATGCAGTTCCCAACTACGCACTCAAGTTCAGTATGCCGGAGATCATCAAATCTATGGGCTATCAAGCAGCAAACGCCCAACTCCTGACTATCCCTCCATACGCCATTGGTGCTGCATCAGCTTATGGCTTCTCTGTATTTGCTGATCGCTGCTCATGGCGCATGCCATTCATCGTCGCCCCACAGATATCACTGATTATCGCGTTTGCAATACTCTTCACCAAAGCTGCCGACATCCAGAACAATATAGCACTCTGCTACTTTGGCATCTGCCTTGCGTGCTTCGGGATGTATCCTATTCTTCCTGGTGTCAATGCTTGGAATATTTGCAACATACCGAATCCTCAAAAACGGGCCGTGGCCATTGGCTACCTTATTTGTGCTGGTAATGCCGGTGGTATAATTGGGAGCTACATCTATATTGCCGATGAGAAGCCGCGGTATCCTACCGGGTATGGCACTTCACTTGCATTCGCTGCTGCCGGAATGTTGGCCTGTTTGGTCTTGGAGTTCAGCCTCTGGACCATGAACAAAAAGAAAGATCAGATGTCTACCGTTGAAATGGAGGAGAGATACGCTGAAAATGAACTCAGTGAAAGTGAGGAGAAAAATCCTTTCTTCAAGTATACTTTGTGAGATCAAGGCGTTATCCTAGGTCCCTCCGAAAAATTGACTCAAAAATATCTTTCTTTATATTTTCAGTATGATTGATCTCGTATCTTTTTGCCTTCGTAACTTGCCTCTTTATTTTTTAGTAGAGCCTCCATGGCTGTCAATACACAAGATGCCCCACGTCAACATTAGCGTCAGAGAGAATGGAGGCACCCAAACAATTGCGAAAGTCCTGCTGGGCATGATGGAGCTACTTCTAGCTGTGAAGGGCGTTCTACTGGAATCCAAACCAAATGCTTCTGAGAGCTGCGACCCCAACGATTTGGTTCGGAGAGCGAAGGAGCTGTTGCTTGCGGTAAGAAGTTCCCCGAAGAGGACCGAGGCCGCTGTCTCGATGGATAGCCGAGCTTCCGCGTAGAAGGCCTGGGCGAACAGGTGTCAAATATAACAGCGGAGTCTTTATCGCCAGACGAATTAGAAGTATTGGTGGTGGTTGCAACACTGAATATTCACACCTTGGGGGCCTGACCCCCTATTAGTCACGGGAATGTGCCAACGTATCTACTGATAACTTCATAGTTTGCCTTTTGTCGGTGCCGCAAGATCGGCTCTGACTCTGCGGTCCTGCTCTTGGACAAACGCGGTCCAGTCAACCATTGTCGCTAACAGAAATACTAAAGACAAATGGACAAGAAGACCGGGTTCATATACCACACACTCATCATTATTTAGAAGGGTGCTCATAGTCCAAATCGCCTCGGGGGTCTTGAGCCAACCGCATATTACGGACTGTCGCTCCCACTTGGGGCAGTGATAAGATCCGCATAGTGCAGAGCCCGGCGTCAACACCAAGGTTCGCACTAAATCTAGCCAAAGGTCCGCGTAGAAAGGCGACAGTTGTGTATTCTTGTGTGCACCAAAAATCGTCGCCATCCACCGTCATCTACGTTTACACCAATACGGAAATTACCGCGCCACAATTTAGTAAGTCACAAACACATCGTACCGCTCACTGTCACCATTTAGCAACGCAACAAGCGGTTTGAATCAGCAAGGCGGAATTCGCAGAAAAGGAAGCGAGGCGCTCGATGTCGATGAGGGTGGCGGAGCTTCTGGCGATCTTGATCAATAGCAAAAATGCCTCAATTGCAAAGAGCAGGGAAAGGACAAAGAAATTTGGGGGCTATGTCGATAGGCGAAGAGGGTGCGTAGAGCAGCTGCAAGAGCAGGGATGAAAAGGCAAAGAAGGCAACGGATTTTGGGGCTATTATCTGGAGAGGGGAAGAAGGGCGCGTAGTGATACACACGCGCGGGAGTGCATAGGGACACATGGCGCTAAACTGAGTCAATATAAACTAAACCCAAATAGACTCCACCGTAGTGGTCCGATATGGTGTAAACGTGAACGACGGTGAGATGGTGATGATTTTTGGTGCGCACAAGAATACAAAACCGTCGACTTTCCACTTCGCAGATTTTGGCCAGATTTAGTGCGGGCCGTGCCTTGCGGCCTGAACAAGTCCTTAACAATGTTCGAGCGCTGGGTGTCGTTAGAGAGTTGACTGACAACGTCATTGAGAAAATTGAGAAGGCAGTTGACAATCACCCCGCGAATGAAGTCCGGCAATTCTAGTGGACTCCGCGTTGACCATATACTCAAACAGATTTGCAAAACAATAAAACATTCTCATTTGACCACATATGGCATGTAGGGCGTTGGGAGTAAGAACTGCAGCATCCCCGCCATGTTATACTGTGCTCATTGCTTTTTGGTTCGTAGACCGTGCAAGCGGTGCGAGGCGCTGACTGCTTTGAGCGGCTCTCAATAGGGCAGGCGCGCGCTTGAGCTTGTTGACGGCCCTCTCCTCCTCCTTCGCGACTCGAAAAGTAGTCTTGTCAAGCCCCAGATTTTCCTCAAATTCCAGTGCACCTGTTGCACAACGAATCTTTTTCTTGTCCGGAGTTTGAGTCACCGTGACTTAAAAGGAAATTTCAAACCAGTCCTATTTTGGATACCCGCCTTTGCTACTATACCGTAAAAAGCGGCAGATGTTGCCGCCCACATTGCACACATATCTACTTCGATCTCGACCTCGATCATACTCTTCAACGCCCTCATTGACAAGCGACTCGACTCTCTCCTCATCAAATTCTGCCATTCTGAGTCCTATAACTTCAGAAACGACACCCGAGCTCTTTCAGCCTAAACCGAAACAAGGAACCAAAAGAAGCATCAGGGGTATGCAAGAAAGCATGGAGGAGCAGTATCGGAGCCCAACCAATTTGCAGGAAGCTGGGTATGCGCCTGTGTGGACATCGCGACTCGGATACCCAGGAGAGATTCCCGAGGACATCGCAGGGTTCATCTGCCCTGATGTGGAGAAAGGTGACTATCTTGTGGGCCCACTCTCAAGCATTTTCTGGCTTAAGAAAGCTGAGTTCCTTAATGAACTCATTGTTGATCCCAGTCACAAGCTAGAGGACACGGTCTATAGAATACCAGATGGAGGCCCATGGTTCTGGCTTGTTGAGGCCTTATTTGACCAGGATATGATCCCATGGAGATACATGAACCGGATTTCGTTCAGTTTTGAGAGCCTCGATGAAGCGCTTCCTCAGTTTCCAATCGGCCACAATCTCACTGCAAAAGGCAACATTCCTCAGCAAATCACAACCTCTGCACAAATTTACGAAACAGAATCACTTTTTCCGTTCTTCCGCGCTCCCGTTCCACCCAACATCTCTGCAGCAAAGCTCAAGTGGAACCGCAAGAAAGGAAAGTTTGTCAAGGAGATCGAGAGTGTTTTGGGTGACATGAACAAGGGGCGAAGATTATATCGGGCGGTCACACAAAAGGCAATCGTGAGCCTTATGGCTCTCTTTTGCCCCGTTATCTCATCATCATACAATGAAAATGAGTTCGGGCCAGGCATTTATACTTCGCCTTCCTTGGAAACGGCAGTCAATTACTGCATCCCAGGTTCTGCACTTCTGGTTTTCGACGAGCCACAGTACCTCTCGAGATATACTCTGACAGGAGAGGAGTGGGACACAACAGTACGCTTTTGGACTGGTCTCCAGGTCTGTGATGTTGCCGGCCGAGTCCCACCCAACTGGCGAGGCGTGGATATCCTGGAAGGGGCCATCTCGCGCGAGGCAACCAAGCCAAGGACTGGAAGGGTGGAGGGGAATGACCTCCAGGTCGTGGGGGTATCACTTGCTTCTGTTCAGGCATTCGCATCCGCTCTGCGGATGGTGATTTGGTTCACCTAGCGTTGTTGTCTTTTGCTGGTTTTCTTTTCTTTTGTTTCTTCTGTTTTCTTGTTTCTTCTTGTTGTTTTTGTTCTTCCTCTTCCTTGCTCGTCTCTGCTTAGCTGCTCGGCTTACTATTGCTATGTTTCCACAGTCTTTTGTCCTAATACAAGCTTAAAATTGTATATCAATTTATTTTGAGCTATAGCTTGCAAAACCGATCAGTGGTCTCATCAGATTGCCTTTACCTGACCTGTAGAACATGCGTTCCGAGATCTAAACCCGCCTCTCTCAGCTCCTCTAGGAGCTTCGCGTTGGCCAGCCGATGGTGCAAGTCTTGAAGTTTTTCTTCTGGCACATCGATGATAAATGATCTTATGACCGCCATGGTGAAGATTGTGTGGTGGCGGAGAGTAACTCGGGCCTAGGACTGCGACTGCGATTGCGTTTGTTGGCCTAGGAAAATGAAGATACGCGATGAGGATGGTCTTCTCTGAGAACAACTCCGTCCAAGACCCTCTTTTGCAGCCTGGTAAATGGTTGCGGTACTGATAATGGGCAAAATATAAGAAACCAGAAATGGTTTTATAAGCAAACCAAAGCCAGAGCAAATTGAAATTTTCCTAATGTGCCGAGAACACCCGACGGCCTGAACCTGCGCGTTCTCTACTGAGGCGCGGATATGTGTCGGAATCCCTCCCCCGGTGTTGGTCATTGTTTGTGACAATTTTCGAAGACTGTATCGATTCAGGGAGCAAAAATCCCCTTTAACAATTACTTTATGTTTTGTACCAGATTCGGGATTGACGAGTGTGGTGAAGGGCACTTGAAAATTCTGAAAGACAACCGCCCGGCTCGACTCGTCTGTCGGCTGTCTAAGGCATCCATGTGGTGTTGGATCATCTATCGATCTAAAACAGAGGATCATTAGGGGCTAAAAAATAAAAAAAATAATAAACAATAATCTTGCTCTATCTGGGCACTAGGGGGCCGATCCCCTGAATCAATTCGGCGGGAGTGACAGCTTTGTTGTGAGTCAGCATTCTTCTGAAGGGCGATTGTCGTCAGCAGGTATGTTGAAAAGGGGTTCCTCGGCAAGAGGATACGACGGAATACGATGGCCCGAAACTGGTTGGCGCTCGCCGATCACCTCAGAAAGCCCGTTGGGAACCCGCCCTGGCCGTTTTTAAGCCTCCCCCATAAATCAGATAATCCGGAGAATTCTGCGGATTTGGAAACATGAACCCGCAGAAGCGTATCCTATAGTATTACCGAAGGCAATGCCTAACTTTCAATATTCAATTGCAGGAATCAATGAATGTGACCGTTCAGCTTCTCGAAGTATGTGACGCCAGAGTTGACCTTGAAAGATGCATGCAAGCAGAAATGAAAGTACCAAAATCCCAATATAACACCATAAAGTCCAAAGACAGCAGTACAAGTGATGATTGCTGGGCCAAAAATAGCCTTCGATGACGAAAGAGCAGTCTTTTCTCGACCTGCAGAAGACACGGAATCATTTGACAGCCCTGTCTCGGTTCCATGGATGCATGACGCAGAATACTCATGCATGAGACTTTTCAAAAAGCGGCTTAGTTCCTCAAATACTGATCCGGAACGTTGCTCTTCATCAAATACTTCAGGTACTTTGAAGATTTCGTGTTGATCTGTGTGCATTTTTCTCAGGCGGGGTTTCCGGACGCAGAACGAACATAGATCAACATAAGGGCACTTCTGGCAGACAAAAAGGGAACCATATATCCAACCGGTACATTCGGAATCATGTGATTCTGAACAAGCCAGTCTCGGGGGAGTTGGAAGAGATAGTTCGCTTTGTCTATATCGTTGAGAAATAGGAGAAAGTGACCTAACTGTTGCACGAGAGGCCGTCGAAGATTTCGCAGAGAATGAAGGAGCGTGCCTGGCACTGCTCAATTGATTCATTTCGGTCGTAGCGCTTCGCTTTATTACCAACTACTTTAGTCTCAAAATTATCAAAGTATATCTCTCTCATAATATACAGTGGCGTTCCATAAGTTTGTGTCGCAGCTAGCTGATACAGTATGGCATTGTATGCAAGAATGGGGCTAATCTGCCAAGGGGAACCAATCCAAAAAGATAGGATGAATTGATTGAAGAAAAGAAGAAAAGAGCGGACGCTTCGAGGACACGTTAGGGTGTCCTTGCTTACATGAGTAGGGTGAGGGGTTGAACCTCCCGATCTCGGAGTGTCGAGAATCCCCTAGTACAAATGAAGATATCACGACACAAACGGAACTAAACTATTTCGGGTGCTACCCCACTATCCTCGACAGTTTGAAACCCTCTGATCCTTACCGCCTATTTTTCCGCCTACAGCGTCAACGCCGATGTGCAAGAAATCTCCATATAGTCAATTCAAGGATCGTGAAAAGTTTGCTTGAACTGAAGAGGACTCTACTCCATAATCGACCACCTTTACCGTCAAAATATATTCTTGGGGGATGAAATTTTGACAATTGGTGGACCGGCAGAATATTATGTCATCCCAGAGATGGTTTCAAACTTATGGAACACCACTGCGGGTTCCAGTTGAGCGGGACCCAGAATTCGCTCAGCGGGACCCAGCCGGCTCGGAGCTATTATAATTCCGTTCTGAGTCCCGTTCAACTCCCGCACTTGAACGGGACCCAAAATATTTTGGGTCCTGCTCAGGAGTTATCCGTGATTTTATGCTTTTATGTCGAAATTATACGCGATTACCTAAGGGTTCAACTGGGGTTGAACCCCAGTTGAACCCCCTACCCCTCTAAACTGTACTATACCTCTATTAACTCTATACAATATCTCTTATTCTCATGTCTACCACTCTCGATCTCGATTCTTTTGTTACAATCGATCAAACTGACCTTTGTAATGATAAATGAAGCATAGACACAGAGGGTTATCAAAGAAGTTCTAATGTTAGTACGCAAGTGTAAACAATGAAGTAAGAGATATATATCTTCATAGTACTACCGCCTCTCTTTCTCTCTTACATAACTACTCCAATTGTCTACCTAAGGCAATACTTATTTCTCTTGCTCTGACACGCCTGATCTTGTTTTTTTGCCTTCACCGAGCATATCAGAAACATCACTATGGCAAATCTTGGTGTTTTCCCAGGCCTGGGCCCAACCCGGGCCGACTTTGACAATCCTACAGTCTTAGCCGCGGTCAACCCCGACCCAATCGTGGGTTATGCGCATGGTATGTTAACGCGACACATATGGTTTCAATATGCTAAACATGTACAGGCCCGATTCCCGACAACAACCCTGGTTGGAAGCCGACTGCGTATACAGCAGCTATTGCTAGCGGCGCCAACAAGTACGAGATCAAGGCTGCTGATATTACGGCTACTCCTCCCCCCTAACCCAGCCGTGGTTCTGAACAAGGAGAACACTGAGGTGTGAGTAAATATACCATATGCTGAGTATATGTAGAGGGTATACTGACTCGAGGGAAAATAGCTGCGACATTATTGTTAACCCGCCGAATCAGATGTGCGGCCTGGTGTTTTCTGGGGGACCCGCCATGCGTCGGCATATACGCCAGGATCATTCTGGAGCTAGTGAGTATCTGCGGATATGATTTTCTGAGTATATGCTAAATATATGCTTATAATAGTCGTCAACACCGACCGCCGCGCTAAGTCCCACACCGAGATCGCCGCGGGCCAGAACGCTATTAAGCGCTGGATTCTCCAGCTTGGCTGGCAGAATGCCAGCCGAAGCGGACCCGGGGCCCCGGCAGGGCCCGCTATATGTATGAGCCTGGCCGTGGCCCTGATAATGGGATGATTGGATTTTGCTGTGACGCCCTAGAGCGCATTGCGTAAGTGCTAATATTCCCTTGGGTAGACACTCAATGTGTCAAGTGTAACGGGCCAGAGCCCGGCAGATAAGCACTTCACATTAAGTATATATTAACAATATCCACAGAGCTAACGACGCTGGATTCGCCGCCATCTATGGCACGCGTTTCCATCGGTTTCAGGTCCCGGCAACGCCTACCTCTGGCTATCGTAGCCGTCGGGTAAGTCTACACCTGGCATATATTTTAGATGTGCAGAGCATATGCTAATATCATATAGCGTGGACCTAATGTCCCTTCTAACCCTATTCCTTTTCCTGGTTTTGGACCTGCTGCTAGTGCCGCTCCTAGTGGAACTGCTTCTGGTCAGCTTCCTCCCGAGTCTGTTACTAGAACCGGAGATGACAGTGCGGAAGATGGCGAGAAGTCCTCCGAAGCCTTTGAGCCTCTATAGTGCAAAACTATTTTCTGATCTAGATTCTATCTTAAATACGATAACTTAGAATGTATGCAAAACGTATGACTTAAAGGTGAAAAATGACTAGATTAACTCTTAACTCCTAGACTGCGTCCCGCGTTCTGCGTACTAATTCTTCCTTTCTTCTTCGGAGGGCCTGAATCCTTTCTTTTCGCTCAAGAGCTTCAATTTCCCGTTGTAGCTGTGCCTCTTCATCCTGTGAATCCTGAGTTTGATGAAACTCCTGAGATATACTATCCTGCGGCGCTAATCCAGATGATTCAGTATAAACTGAACTACCTCTATATCGAGGTAGACTAGATCGTGATGCAGGAATAGTTTGACCATATACTGAACTTATGTTAGTTATCTCTGAAGCGGTCATCGAGACAGAATCAGAGATATCCGGAAGCTCCGGTGGTTGCATCACTGGGTCAAGTGTATCATATGGATTACTTGGGTTCCAAGGTTGCTGTGGCCTCTGCATCCGACGATTTGCAGAATAACGGTGACGTTTATCTAATATGTTGTTAGCATATACTTAGCACATGTAACAAAAAGACACAAACCCTTCTTTCGATATTGTTTAGCAATCCGATGAATAGGATTCTGAGACCGCCAAGTTGGGTATATACCCTCTTGTACTGCAAGTTTTTGTTCTTTTTCTCCATCTCTCGAACATGTCTCTTGCACCTATTAAATATATGTGAGCTTTATAATCAAAATATGAACTAGAGAAAATACCTAAGAATCGCAGTTAACAAGGCTTGCTTTCGACCAACCGCCTCATTATCATGAAAATGGCTGCTTTCGCTAATTCCAGTATGGTTTGGCGCATTAGTCCACCAATCAATAGGAATTTTTGATGCCTCAGAAGTCAGCCCAGCAAGTATCCAATCAACCTTCTTATTTTGAAACCACTTCTGGGTCTCTGGCCACTTTTCGGCAACATCATCCATAATTTGGATAACTTCTGCCTTTGAATTTGCACTCCAAATCAAATCGATAGCCGCAGTAGCTTCATGGTCAGGAAATCTTTTCCGAAACGCTCGCTTAACATGTGTCTGGCATAGGATCAACACATGCTGTAAATGCTCTGACCACGTCCAGCGAGGATCTAGACCAACAAGATAATCTCCTAGTCCTAAAGATATTATTAGTATCGGTATAACATATGTTTAGTATCTCAACCATATACCAGGTGCTTGTTTTTTACACATATCCACAGTAACAGTACGAATACCATCACACGAATCGTCGCCGCCAAGCTGATACGCCCATTGAACAGGTTTCCGTCCAACATCCCCAAGAGTCTTAAAGATTTTCTCAAAAAGAACTCGATATGCAGCACGGGTCTCAAGGTTCATGAAAGCATAGACATAGGTATTTAACCCTATTATAGTTGGTATATAGTTAGCATATATTTAACGTATTAAAATTATTTTTTAAGCAGCAGGAGGAAACTTCACTTTTTGCCTGTTCGTTCCATCCGGAGATTGAAAACACTTTAGTCTTTCCCTGAACCATCTTGAAGGCTAGATCCATCTCAAGATGTCGTACACATTGAAAAAGCTTAGCTTGTTCATATGTACAACATATAATGAGATAATGCTCCCGCTGCTCGTCAAAGAAAAAGACTTCACGGATCCATTGTTCGTCATTGTTCTTTGTGAGATCAAACTGATATTCGCGCCAAACACCAGCGAGACTTGTACCTTGTGGATAGTATAGTAATCTCTGCTTATGAATTAAAGCAGTCACTTTATCCTCAATATGCAAGCTTTTGTGGATATATCGTAACGCCGAGTCACCATGTTGATGCAGGATTTTCGCAAATGTAGGTGAAACCATCAATTTACCTAAATTAGAGTTAATAACTTAATAATAATAGGCTTTGCTTTGCAAAGAAATACGTACGTGCGGTTAACCCTAGGATATCTTGTGCATGAATTGCCGCTGCGATTTCCTGTCCAATCTGATATGGTAGCTTTGTGGGTAGCGGTGGGAAATGCGAATGAGACCCTCGGGAAACAACGATGTAAAATGGAAAGCGATCCCATGAGCAAGGGATATAAAGATCAATCCTGACAGGGCACTCGGTTTTAGTGATTCTACCTATACCATCAGCATGAACGGAGTCTGCCGTATGGTTAGCGTCTGATAAATGTATGTCTTGCATATGCTTAGTTAACATATGTTAACGATAAATTTAACATACCGCAATGCTGACGCTTCGCTGCACGATGGAGGACGAAATGGCAATCTCTGGTATTGTAACCTATTGCTCGCATTCCGTCCTTCTCACATAGAAGTTTCAAGAACCCAATGTCAACCCTTGCAGAACTATTCGACACAGCCTGAGCATAATGCCAAGTTTGTTCAGGTGAGTGATTAGGGCAACCGATGAAGGTGGTCTAATCTTGGTTAGCATATGTTTAGTATATAACGAGTATATATACTAACTCCATTCCGAATCCACACTCGTGGTTTTTGTCCTCTACATGTCCGATCACCAGTTACGTAGCGGCATGGCCCATCGAGATCTCATGTGTGGAGAAAACCGAAGTAGAGTCTATCTTAATATAAGCAAGGTATATTTTGAATATAGTGAGAAACTTACTCCCTGGTTCGCTGCTCGATCTCTTGCCTAATAGAGCTATACACAGGTTTCGCAGCCTGGGACTGAAGCTCAAGGAAAAGACTTGGCTTAACCCGATTATACCTTGGCGATGGGGTGATAAGGCTGGGATGGACTTGATGGCAATGTTGAATCCCCGTACATTGATAAGATCGGTGCCATGATCTTGACTCTTTGTCTTTGGGGTCTTTTTGGAGAAGTTTTGTGTAGATTTGCTTCGCAGATTTGAGATGTTTGGTTGAAAATTGAACCTAAGAATGTTAACTTCATTGCCGTATATTAGGTATATGTTAAGCATATGTAGAACATACGGATGACATGAGCTGCGTGAATATCTCGTTAATTTCACGAGAACTGCTTTCAACATTTTGCAACGGATTTTTCGAGGCGTGGATAATATGTAGAACACCGTTCTCATCTGTATCAGGATACTCAGGAAGCATAAGGTGGTCTTGGACTTCGTAGGCGATAACAGCATCCCTACTACTACCACTAACTATCGTCCCATCTCGAGACACATCTACTTGATCGAGGCTTATCGTAGAAGTAGGACCTAAAGAAGTGGTATTTTCCTCGCTATCTTGACAAGAATCTCCATCAGATGATTGATATTCATCATGGCAATCCTGGTACACGGAAGTCTGGGAATTTGACCTGTCCCGCTTTTATTGAACATGAAGTAGCACATACTTAACATATGATCAACGTATCACTTACAGGTGGAAAATCGTAGAGAATACGATCAAGTTCTAACGCTGCACTAGCTGTAGCTTGTGCATCAGCAACAATCTCAGGGTCATGGGGCCCAAATAGGGGTGGTGGGAAGAAGGAATGTGCCATGTTGTGGAACACACACTACACACACAGAGTATTGAAAAGGGGTAAATAAAAGTGACTGAGATTATTTCACCCTCATACACTGATTTGTCCAGGCCATGCCATGCTCTTGTTTGGAAAAACCGCTCATCTCGAAGTTCTGGGGAAAACTGATACTGAAATGCTGTCGAAACACGGAGACGATATGTCTTTTTGATTGAGATGCATAGTGAACCTGCGGCACAGCTCGCGTGTGCTTGAGTACAAGTTTGTGGATCATGCGATAAATAACTACCATAGAGTACTCGCGAGTACCATATGGTCGCTTCATCATCAGGAATATAAGGACTACCTCTTGAAAGAAGTGCAGCACGAATCAAATAGCACATGGGGCAAGAAATTGAGCTCTTGATGTCACCAAATCGTCTGCTGTCGAATCTCCCAGAGACGCCGTTCCAACCGGCTGGCGGATCCCAGAAGTCTGCCGATCGGAACTTCTGGTCGGAGCAATATCGACATAAACTGCTGTGTGGGTTTTCCATGCTAATAGTTTCTATCATCACTCGCTACCACGCCTTGTGGCCAGAATTTTGAGACTGCGCGAGTGATGAAGCCAAGCAAAAGGTTACCAGCAAGTGACGGAGACACGTGTGGGAGTGGCTATCCCCTCGGCGACAACTGGAGTTTAGGTAACTATGTGAAATCGGGCGCAAATCTAGGCTGTTATCGGGGTACATTGGGCACCCAAAAGGGAGCTGAGGTAAAATGATACCCGGTCGGGAGCGAAACGGCCTGGACAGGGTGCGTCGGAGCTCGGTGACCCGGATCAATAGCGAAAATGGCTCATCTGCAAATATCAGAGAAGAGAATGCAAAGCGACTTGGGGGCTGTTGGATGGAGAGGGGAGGGCGCGTAGTGATACACACACGCGCTGGCGCGTGCATAGGATACATGCTGCTACAATAGCTCTTATTGCCAAATCCTGGTGTTATTTTCAGCAATGATCCGATATGGTGTAGTGGCTAACATCGCCGTCTCTCACACGGCAGCCGGGGGTTCGATTCCCCCTATCGGAGATATATTTTTGAGAATCTTTTTCTTCCTCGAGATCTCGCATGAGGACTCCGAGTGATTTATCTACGTTCCAATGCGCCATTTTTTTTATATTTGCGTCTTTTGGGGGCCAGATCTGACTGACTCATCTCGAGCTGCGCCCCTTTTGAGTCATCAAGTTGCGAGTCATCCAGCCGACTTGGGTTAGTTGCGGGCCGCCACAGCGAGCCGCATTCTTGGCGACTGGGTTGTATGTACTACATAGTACGGAAACAGTAGGTGACAGATACATTGTGGTATAAAAATGCCATCCTGCTCAGAAATGGCAACACAGCACACACTATTCATTCATACCCTATAAACCCGAGCGATCTCAAATTGCGATGGCGTCGACTAGCCCCATTTCACCCTCGTCAACCCTGGAAACCCCAGTTGAGAAGACGGACCAACCTAATTCGCAGGCTCATACGGATGCAACTCTTCGAAAAGTCCCAGATGTCGTGAAAGTACGCAGAAGTCGATCCCCTCCAGAACGGAATTCCCGAGCTGGCGAGAATCGACTGCGACCTGCAGGGGGTAGATAGACCGTGTTTGGCAAATTACATATTCGCGCAGCAAACGCTAACTCTGGCAGACCTGATCAACCGAATTACTTGGGATTCCAAATTCAACCACAATGACTACATTATCGGATTTGTTGACCGATTCGAGGGACGGCTAGAAATTACCTTGGACAAGTGGAAGAAAGAATCCACAGACGAGGAATTTATTCCGCAACACCGCGTGCTGTATATCCGCCATGTTGACGGGGAGATTGTGTGGGACCGGCGAAGGCGCATCGACGCCATCTTTAGCAGCGGGAACTCGGCCTTTCGCGAACTGGCATTTCTGCAGTGACTTCGAGTTCAAAATGTTCAAGATTATCCCAAAATCCCCCAAGAACCATGCAATTGCGCTGTCCATAGTCCTCTACTACGTCACGGGGGTCGCGCCTTTCCCGTGGAAGCATCCGCCGTGACGGGGTCGTACCTGCCTCATTAGATTGTAGAATGCACCACACAGCTTGTGTTGACGTTCAAGTGTCTCTACGATCTCAACTCCCCCTTCCTTCCCTGTCTTCGTCTTTCATCCACTTTCTCATCGATTTCGGCGTGTTCATCATGGATTCATCCAAGGAAAAGAAGCCAACTCTACCGCGACTCGATACAAACCTCCCTCCTGCTTCTGCCCCGGCCCCAGGCCAGCCTGGGACCCGCCGATCGGTCTTCGACCGCCGTTTCCAACGCAATCCTGATCGCAGCGACCTCGAACCAGAGAAGCTCGCCGGTCTTGGTATCCATCCGCTCTTCCGCGAGGACGAGATCACCACCGATGAGAATGCCATCCCGGGTTCTCGGTTCTCCCCCAAGACCATAGCCACTCACGTCAAGCAAAAGAGCGCCGAGGAGACATCTGCGACCACGAAGAAGAAGGAGGGCCTGGCCGGCTACTACGAGGAGGCGTTCTCCAGTCGTGGCTCGCACAATTCCCCCCGGGAGCGGGTGATTCAGGAATCGGCCGTGATCGTGGAACTGACAACCAACCGCGAGGTAAGAGTCAACACCAGTTCTCGGATCATAACACCATGTCACGGTACTCATGCCTGCCAACGCAACCTAGATCAAAATTCTGGATCTTCTGACGGAAGATTTCTGCGACCATCTGGCCCTGATCTTCCAACGTCCGCGAGCCTCGGTCTACTTGACCATTCAGCAATGTGCTGCCCTGTCGTTTAGCAACACTTCGCTGCCGGGATATTTGTTGAAGGTTTACACTCTGCCTTCTCTGATGGCACCCCTCACGAACATGCGCTACACCTCTCTGCTCGCAGACGAGATGCAAGAGCTTCTTGACATTGGTCCTGAGCAGGGCGTGATTCTCCTTCTCGCAGTCCCGGAGGACAACTTTGCTGCAGGTGGCGCAACCGCCAGCGGGGAAATTCTACGAATTGAGCGCGCACATCAGGAAGAAAGTCTCGGTCTCTTTCGATCATTTGGAAAGCAAATTTCGCGTCGTCGCCTGAAGTCAAGCAGCGGCGATACCAGCGGACCTCTGTCTCCTCCCACCAGCTCAATCCAATCACCCCCTACGGGCCGTGGCCTCAAGGGATTCATCAACGAAGACATTGCCACTGTTGAGCAGCGTGTCGAGCAACGCCCTCGCCTGGGAATGAAGAAGTCTGTGCAGAACTTCTTCGGCCGCCGTCGACTTTTCGACAGATCCCCCGTTGACAAGAACGAGGATCAAGACACCGCCAAGGGCAAGAACGCCGACAACATCCAAGCCTATGAACAGAAGGACCAAGAGGAGGAAAACCAGGAGGAAAACCAGGTGGAGGCCAAGCCGAAGAACCAGGAGCGGGTGAAGTGGGAGGATGAGGAACGGGCCAAGCGCGGCGAGTAGACATGTGCTACTCGTCGCTGTGAATACCCAAAGGAAATTCCGTCAGGACATTCGGGGGCTTGTGGTTGTGGTTGTGCGCTGTTGATGAGTTGATGAGGAATACTGTGTGATTAGTTAGGTTGCTGTATTCTTCAGGGAATGAAATCACTTTCACTGTGCTTGTCGTGTTTTCTTTTGTTCACTGGGAGTTCATTGCGATACGCGCCCCGCGCCCCACCAGCGAGCCCGCCGCGAAGCTCGCGTTTTCATCGCCCCTCCGAGTCGGCGCAGGTCGAGGCTGCAGAACCCCACCCTTCACTTTTCTACGACCAGCAGCACACACATCATGAGTAAAACACCCGAGGATGTTATCGGGGACGAGAGCCAGGTGAAAGAGGTGCCGGGCGATCTGTTCGGTGCGCCCCAAGGATCGTGCTTGATCCGTAAGTACAGGTCCTCCCTGCGTGGTTGGATACCAAACTCACCCGAGACCCTTCTAGATGCGTGCAATCCCCAGGGAGTCTGGGGTGCAGGAATCGCCAAGGTCTTCAAGCAGAAGGTGGGTGCTTCTTTTTTGCGTGATGCCCTCGCTCTCCCCCGCCAAGGACCAGAGGATCTCTCACCACAACTCTTTCCTCAGGGGACCTACTCACATCAATGAAAATATAGTATCCAGCCGCGTACGAATGCTACAAAGAGTCCTGCAATGAGTATCAAAAAGAAAATGTTCACCACGACATTGTGGACCTGCACAGTGAGGACGAGGACACCATCTCCGTCCGTCTACCGCTCGGCACAGCTCTTGTGATTCCTCCCCAGCCGGAGGACTTTGAGAATGGTCGAAAAAAACATTGGATCGTCTGTCTCTTCAATTCTAGTGGCTTCGGGAAGGAGGTTGACTCCCCCGAGGCGATTCTCAACCACACATTCGCCGCGCTACAGGATCTGGACATGCAGCTTGTGTCGCTGAGAGATCATAATGAAAATAGCGATGACGAACAGTCTATGCCTGGCCAGCTTTACTCGTGTCGGTTCAATTCGGGTCTCTTTGCCGTGCCCTGGGAACAGACGAGGGAGGTTATTGAGGAAGTGGGATTAAGCATGACCGTCGTTTACCCAGAGGGAGAGTAGAGTTGCCGCGCAAACGCAACCGAGAACAAATCGAAATCGACGGAAACTATCAGATTCCGGTGTAACCCGGCAAATTATCAAATTCAAATCATTTCCAGCCCCAGCGATCTGATCTTCAGCTTCCATACTGCTAGTGGCAAACTTGGCCAGGGGTAAACCGCAGCTTCGATATTCACAATTCTCGGCTAGCTTTCTGCCTTTACATCCGATAAGCAGAGGGCGTATGACGTCGAACAAGCTTGGCAGCATCATCCATGCCCACGACAATAAATTTCACCCGGAACACAGTACATAATGGAGCACTCGGGTAGTGAAGGAGGGACTTGACCCAGATAGGCAAGCTAGCGCGCTGTCCGCATCAGCCAAGTCAACTGAGATACCAAGAGGCGCCGCCCATGGCGAGAGAATCTACAAAGTCAACCTCACCGCTTCACATTGTGGTCAATTATTCTCCCAGATATTCGATAGATCCATTGATGGACAAACCCCAGATCCAATCGTCGAGTTCATTCTCAAGTTCCGAGAGTGACGCCAAAGCTCAATGCCCTGGCGATCTTTGCTCGATGCTTGTTGAGGACCCAACGTTGTTTTGGGAGAATACGGCTCCACTCGAGATGTCTTGCTATGTACAGCTCTTGTATGCATCTTGGCATCATGTATTCGACTGCCAATGTCTTTGTAATGCGAGAAAGAGACTCCAAGAGCCATCGTATGGAACAATGGAATTTTCTCGAGACGCATCGACTGAAATGACAGGCTCGAATTCTCAAGTAACTCTCGACACTCGAGTGGAGGTGAAGATTCTCTGAGCCGGTCCGGGCGATCGATTCCCACAGTGAACGAGCTGTCGACGAACAGACACGGTAGATAAGCACTGGATCATTTGAGGGTTCTCCGGTACGTACGGGGTGAGTGAATAGACGTTATTTACTCGATTATCAGAATCATTACAAACTCGCAGACACACACGTGAAATCGGCAGCTCGAGACAAGCTCGATATTGCCACGATGTATCGGAAAAATCTACGGGCGATTTCTTTCTTCACCACTGCCAAACTGGTCTTGGCCGTATTGCCTTTCGACTTAATCCCTCAAGGTCGGTAGCAAGGCAACTCCGAGAGGCAATTCAGCTGCGCCTTTTGATGGAGAAATTTCAGAGTCCCCATGCACTATTGCTTTGACAGCGATTGCTGGAGCACCTAAAAATTCAGACGTTGCGGGCTCTCGTGGCAGGACGTCAGAATGGCCATTGCTGTTGCAGCGAAAAGCAATAATCGCTGGGTCGCAACTGACGTTCGCTTTCGGTCTCGCTTAACATACTCATATTCTCCGATGAACCCCACCGCCGATACTTTTGTGACTGTAATGAGTGGAGCCGATATACAACGATAGTTGGGGAGGCTATCTCCCTGACGGTGGCGGGTTGAGAGAAACTCTGGGGTAGACTAGCGCAGGCAACGCCAGGCAAGAAGCATCTCATCCATCGAGATATTACGGCGGGAGATCTATTTGGTGTTGGGGGGAGGGGATTTGCAAAATCAAGGCACTTTGCACGGAGGAACGCGATCTACCGGGCTAGCCAGCACGGGGTGGATAGTCCCCTCCACTCGCGGGGCCTCGAGTGCCTAAGCCTAATACTAAAGGCATTGCTATCACATCAAAAATGCGACCTCGACCACGACCCCGGTGGACCCTGCAGGATGGTGGGTGTTGTATTCCACTCCAACCATCGTCAAGCACGCTTCCAGTCCAATCTGCGCGTGGACTAGTCAGACAACAGACGCCGAGGAGCCTCGTGAAGTTAATCTCCGCTCGAACCCTGATTGGCAACCTGGCCACTGCAGTGGCTTGGCCGGAGGAAGCATCGTGAACCATCTGGCCAGCTCCAAGGAACTCTCGATCAGCACAGACTCTGAACTACACGCATCCACGATTCGCAGAGGGCGACCCGATCGGTTGCCGACGTCTGTGTTTGGACTGGAAGGACTCTACTCTCCAGACATCCTTGTCCGGTACGGCAATCCCAACACATCACAGCACATTAGCGACTTCAATAATTCCGCACCCATTTGGAAATCTGGGCATTGGCAGGTGGACGAAGTATGATTGTAACGGTGACCGGAGTATCTGAAAGAATGGACCACGGAAAGATGGGGGGACCCCAGTGAGGTCCGTGGCCGTCGGGCTCTTCCGAGACCCTGGGCAGCAAGAAGCACAGCGGCTTCGTCAAGGTTCGTTGAAGGTGCTCGTGCCTTTCAGAGATAGGAGAAAAGAATCCACTTCCCAAAACGATTGTGCTAACATCCTCTGTTAGATCGTCCGCGCGGATACCTCCTACAACGAGACTGATCTGCGGGCCATCTGCAACTCCTTGAGCGGTGTATGTTATCCATTCCAGAATGCCATCTTAATACCATTACTAACCTCAATACTAGTTCATCATGGTCCACCAGGAGCTTCTGAAGACTGTCATTGGCAAGCACGGCCTGCTGAGCCTGACTCACTTCACCCAACTCGTTGCTGCAGTTATCTGCACTCTGGAGGGCGGAGTCGACACTATTGCTTTCAGTTCATCGACATCGCCCCTCGTGCTCCGCCGATGCTACCCAGAACAAGAAGAACCTGGACTCCACTCTGGGTGACACTATCGACTGGTACTCCAGCTAAATTATCATTTTGATCTTGATGTCTCCGTGGAATTGCCAGCATAGGCTGAGAAGAGTGCTTTTCACTTAATTCGTTGTTTGCATGTTCTACCTTATCTACACGAAGAATGGTCACACGATTACCTTACCTGAATAATTGAATTAATAATCCATCTCTTTCACAAATATGCACAAATTGTAACTTACTCTCAATTGGGTGACATGGTTTCTACTCTCTAGATACAGCGTCCGAACCTTTGAAAGGTGCTTTGTCCGGATTTGTGATGGTTTGATCGGGCGAGGTCTCGAAGCCAAGGGCTAGTGTTGAGAATCTCCTTGCTTGAGCAGTTTTATTTTAGCCATGAAGCCAAATAGAGACAGAAAAAAAGGAGTATATTTGCTTATCTCAAGGAGAATTTTTGAAGCCAAGAAATGAAAATAACAATAACGTGGAAAGCAATGCGGGTGTTAGATCACAGTCACCTGACAGCGTGTCTCCGCGATTCGCGTCGCGGTGTGACAGATCGAATCCACACCGACCTCACACCCCACGGCCAGCTCAGTCTGCGATTAATTAACACCACGCCAGCCAAACCCTCAGAATGGCCGGTGAACCCCCTGCACAAAAGAAACGCCGGCTCCCCTTCAAGCCACCCAGCCGTGCGCCCAGCGCGGGGCCATCTTCTGCCGCGCAACCAAAAAGCAAGTCCACCAAGGCCACGGCCAAATCCTCTGCCGCAGCGTCATCCAAGGCTGCTTCCACGTCCAAATCTACCGCGAACAACAAGCGCCTCCGCGTCGGATCACCTCCCGACTCTGCTAGTGATTCGGAAGGCTCAGATTCGGAGGAATCGGATCACAGTCGCGAGCGCTCTATTTCCCAGGAACCAGACTTTATTCTCGCGGAGATCATAGAGCACAACCCATCCGAGGACGTGGCATCGAGTGACCCGAAGATTCCGCCCAAGTTGCTAACGCGACTACTACACGAACATTTCCAGAATGAGAAGACCAAGATTGCAAAGGATGCGAATGCGATTGTCGCAAAGTATGTGGATGTTTATGTCCGGGAAGCGATTGCACGTGCTGCGTTCGAGCGGGCGGAAACGGATAACCAGAGTGGGAGGGGTGATGGCTTCTTAGAGGTATGTCTTATTGATGTCATTATTGATCGCGGCGGCAGAAGCTCACATATGAGTCTCTGCAGGTGGAAGACCTTGAGAAAATGGCACCGCAGCTTACGATGGATTTTTGATCACGAGATGCTGGGACCTGTTTTCGGGAATTTCAAGAGCAATATGGCGTTTGGGATGAATTCGCGGAGTCGGCTTTTGTTTGACACATTGAGATACCATCATGGAGCAGACACATGGACGCTACAACAAAGTACAGCACAACACAGTACCCAGATTTCACTTATCCACGAACATACATTTCAGTCTCTCAGGGGCACACCTCACATCATCCCGACCCACTCCTGGGTACCAATGTTTTATGCAGCATGGAAACATCTCGCGGGAATATATATTGTAGTGGGGAGACCCCCTCTCCCTACTACATGGGTGCCATCCAGACTATGTGACATAACCGGCAGTATACAGTGGCCGGATAGCTAGTTCTAGAATACACCTTCTTACACCTCCCCGACCTGAACCCTACATTTGGGGTTCTCGCTATTTCCTGATTGCTACGCGTGTGTTTTTTGGTGGTTTTTCTGCTGAATCGACCCGCACGTCTCAGCGCGTGCTGCCATCGAGCGTTCCCCTCTTCAGTATGTAGGGTGTTTCTCCGTGTGATCTATAACGAACGGTGGCAGAACATCAAATCCATCGGCATTATATATCCTGCCGACATCGGGATTGACTCGTTGCGCGATGGATGGATTTGCCCCATATGCCTTCACTTTCTTGCTGAAGTACACAACGACCACTGGCAGCTGATTGGTGTTCGGGGAGGTGGGCCAGTTGGATGTCGTAGTTCGTGTAGGCGATGTAGAACACGAGAAATGACCGTGTTTGCCAATTCTGTACGGCGAGAAGTGGATAGCAGAAAGGGCTCGGTAGAAAATTTATTTTGATTCAGGAGATCAATCGCTAGTGGGAGAATGTGGTGATTCTCGCGCTTTTGATAACAGTACGCTTCGATGAGAAACAACCTCCAGGACTCGAAGGGGATGACGGGGTGGAATTGCCATGACGCTTTCACTCCACGCTTAAGTGTGATGCTAGGAAGGCTTCGAGCCAGACGACAGAATTCATTTCAGGAAAACTAATCCTCGGCTTTCGCCTTGGGTTGCCATAGGTTCATACGTCGGGGGATACACGGAGGTGTTCAGCAGGGAGAGGGGCAATCTTCGTCTTGAGACACATTATTGGGACCTGCATCTCACAAAGCTACCTTTCGATTTGAACCAGACTGAACCTCAACATTTGACAGAGATTTCGAGACTGACACTGCCCAGATGCACGAATATCATTACATACGTCGTTTCCCCAATCGTATCCTTCCATCTGATGCCGACCCACTTCACCATAGCATGGATGTTTTGGTCGGGCTTACAGCTCGGGTGTGACAGATCGGAAATAAAAAATCGCGTCTGCAGCGAGTTACAGACCCCAGCCCAGACGACCTCGTGTTTTCCAATCGCGCTCGACGGTTGGTGGTGGGCGATGTTTGCTTGGCCGTGCGGAATGTTAAGGGCACCAAGGCGGTCTGTTGTGCCCCCGCGCGTCTCTTCTCTCCGCAACGCGCCCATCCTTCCAGCGACTCTCTAATCTCCGATTTTCGCGATGAACGATGCGACAACCTCCTTGCTCACTGAGCACTTCAGCTACACCCCCTTGGTGAGTGTCCCCTCGGCATTGAGATTGCAGGTGCAGCTGCACGAGTCGGAGAATCCACCCTTGAAAGAAAATCGGCCGGCTGACCAGCTCCCCCAGTCTCTCATAGATGACATTATCAACTCGATCAACAACCTGATCTACCAAGCGATCTCCAGTCTCGAGTCGGGGCTGCTTGCTACACCTCCAGAACGTCTAGGGTTTGCTCACGACACCAATGGGGCTGTCATTCACGAGGCCGACGAGGATGGCAACATCATATACCCGGAAGCGAAGCTGGAGATTGAGAATGGTCTGCACCAGCTAGAGACTCTCCTTGAAGCAAATGTCGACAAGGCATTTGACAAGTTCGAAATTTATGTCCTGAGAAACATCCTCACCGTGCCTGAGGATCTGCTTTCGTGGGTTAAGCTCAAGCATTACGAGGTAAGAAGTACTATTGGACCGCCAAATTTTGAGACCAAGGTATGCTAACGTGTTTGCTTTTCTAGGGCCTCTCATTTGACTCTTCTCCAAATACGCCCACACCCGAAACGATCCAGGCGCAGCGCAAGAAGCTTCTCGAAACCAGAAAGCTCAACCGTTCTTTGCAGGACGAGCGGGCGCGCAACGATGCGGTCATTTCACAGCTCAAATCCATTCTTTCAACCGTCGAGTCCTCCAAACCCGACGACGCCGAACCACCTAAAGCGACCGACACCCTGGATCTTTCTTTCTTGACCTCTAACCCGGCAGCACGCCAGCTCCGCGTAGGCGTCGACGCGGGATCGAAATCCAAACACGCTCCATTGACGACCAACACGGCCTTTATTTTGTCGCAACTCCCGGCCTTACAAGCGACGCTGACGCAAATTCGTCCCAAGCTAGCTGCTCTGCCGGGCTCGGCGGAACAAATGGAGGCCAAGACCAAGCGCGATGAGCGGAAGGAATACATCGAGAGCCGGATCAGACTACACCTCGAGCGAGCCGGACAATTGACCATGGGTGACGATGGCAACCCAGTTGTTGCGGGTCGTCGGATCGACATTTCCGAGGCGCATGCTCTGGAGAATGTTGCGAGCATGCTGACTCAGGACAAGTCAGCCTAAGATTCGGCGCTACAAGTGAAAACGGTCCTCGAAGGGCTTGAACTTTTTTTAATCTTTGTTTTGCTGCATTAAGGCTACCTTGGGGTATATTTTACGACCAAGACACGGTCCAGGTGTCCTGGGTCTTGCGGAAGGGGACAACGTCGATCTTATCCGACTTCAGGATCTCCTGGATCTTCTCCCCCTGCTTCTCAAGGGTGATGAATTCCTTGGTCTCCTCACCGATGCCATAGAAGTTGCGTCCAAACTTGCTCATGAATCCCTCAACAATCTCCGGCGTGATATCCTCATCATTGAGGACGCCGTTTGCGACAGCCTGCTCAAAGGAGTCAAGCACGACCTGGGTGGTGTACGGCTGAGTGAAGACACCCGCGGCAATCTTTTCACCGCCGCGCTTGGATGCAGCAGGGTGCGGGGCGCTATCGGAGCCGAAGAAGAACTTGCTGTTGCCCGAGGCAGCTGCGCGGATAAGGGCGTCCCGATCGGCGGGGGTCTTTGCGACAGGCTTGCAGAAGCAGAATGGGTCACCCGCCCACGAGTCGATTATAATGGACAGGTGGTGGGCAGTAATGGTACCGGCGACAGTGGGACCGCACTTCTTGACGGCCTCGACGGCGGCAGCAGTGGTGCAGTGCTCCAGGATAATCCGGAGCTTAGGGAACTTCTCGTGCAACTCGAACAGCTTGGGAAGAAAGCGTTCCTCGGCAGAAAGCACCGTCACGTCGCCCTTGGAGGGGGCCTCGCCATGCAGGTTCAGGATCATGTCCTGGCGCTCCATCTCGGCGAAAACGGGGTAGAAGGAGGTGTAGTCAACGACACCGGAGCTGGAGTTGGTGGTCACACCAGCTGGATAGCTCTTGACACCGGTGATCCCCCGCTTCTTGGCATCAACGATAGTCTCCGGAGTGATATCCTCGTGCAGGTACAATGACATAAGATAGTTGACGTTAGGCTCGAGGGCTTGCAGTTGCTTCTTGTAGTCCAGGGCGCGGTCGACGGTCGTGATGGGCGGGACAAGGTTAGGCTGTACAATCGCATATCGTTAGGCCAATTGAACCGCATCAATACCATCTGCAAATCAATTCTCACTTACCATAACAAAGACGGTGTTCACTCCACCCTGGCGGATGGTGGGCGTCACCAGCTCCATCATCGGCCCGTCGCGCAGGTGAACTGACGGGTGTGAGTCCACAATGCCTCCAAACGTTTTATGTTTACAGTCCCGGACATACCATGGAAATCGGCCGAGGCCGGGAGCTTGACTCCCTGCAGCTTGGACAAGGGCATTGTGTAATCTAGTCGGGGTCAACTGGTCTCGAGGAGAAGAGAAATGCCGTGCCCCGCCATTTTTTTCTGGAGGTTCCGCCGGGCGGTGACGCGCGGATTTCCCCGCAGTTTCGAGGTATACAACTTCAGTCAAATGCATCATTTCAAGTGTGGGCAGGATATCGAGGCAGTGTAAGATATGGTAGTACATGGCTATCGACTGATGAGATACAGCAGTGAGAAGGAAGAATAGTTACAATGGGGAGCCTGAGACCGCTCAGTTGCAGTCTGGTACAAGCATTTCTATTCGCGACAAGCCACACGCTTCTCCGAGGAGTGGATAAGCCTAAAGGCCTGGCCAGATTCTCGAGGTCCTGCAAAATTGCAGGAACCATTTGGCGCGGACATTTTAATAAGAGCGTCCAAAGTATGAAGAAATCCCAAGTTCCTACCGCCACTCGTCACACACCATCCCGGGCGCTTAGCCGCGCCCTATCACCGTCCATTCTCACCCTTTTTTACCTCAAGCCCCAGAAGGCCAGTGCCTCAGGTACGCAAATCAGAAACTGAGCTTCACCTATTTGACTGAAACCCTCCACTAGTCCAAAGTTAGCATCCATTAACCGCCCTCGTTCTCCCCGCCAAGTCTGCATGCTGGCGCCCGGAAGCTGAAAACACGCCCCCCGGACGCAAACGACGGCCACGGCATGCCCTGGAAAGCCCATCGTTTGCGGTCCGACCTCGCAGTCCGTTAAACTTAACTTCTACTATTGTGCGAATCTCAGTGGACCCCGGTGCCTGCCTGGCCCCTTTGCCATGGTTGATACCGTGGAAAAGAACTCCTATCCGCAGTGTTGGATACGCGCCCGCAAGACCAATGCATTGTGATGGCAACGCGCTCGCGAAAATTGTCCGTGCTGGATTGGGAATTACCCTTGAGCTGTCTCAAGTTTGTCCTACATATTCGACCTTGGTCCCCCCTCGTTGGTTCTGAAATCAGGGAGCATCTCTATTTCCTCGACGCCGTTCTTTTCAGGTCAGGTTACCTACCTTGTCTTTCTTTCTAGCCCCCGGTTATAGTTCACACTTTGTTTTTAAATCATATATCATTTTGAAAACTGATAATTGGCTGTGTCCCAACCTTGCCAGCAAGGTCTCGTGTTAGTATCCTTTCGCTTTTATTGATCTTTTATCCTATCCCTCGCGCTCTTCCATCCCCATCTCTATGAGCTCCAACTCTTCTACAGCGGGCTCGCACCCTTACTCCTCAGATATGGAGGAGTCAGCGTTTTTAAAGCGCAACCGTCTGATCCACTGTGTCTGCCTCGGTCTTTCTGTCGTGATTTCTGCCGCTGCTATTGCTATCATTGCTTGCGAGGCCGTGCCTCTGCGTCATTACAAAGACACCGCAAAGTGGGCCACTGACGATCTTACACTGTGGCCATTGAACTTTGACCTGCGCCCGACTATCGCGGCACTTTCATGTGGCTGCGTGATCGCAGCCTTGAACTTGGTATATGTGATCACTGCTATCCTCCCATCTGTTAGTTGAGAACCCCCGCCGTCAACAGCCTCAGAAATAAGTCAAATTTCTAACAATAAGCAGCCTCATTCACGTATCAAACTCCTGAACTCATACTCTTCGCTGTCGGCCATCACTGGATTTATCACTGCCCTGGTCGGCATTCTCTTCATCATCTACCGTCCCTCCTCAAGTTACCCGTCTGGATTTACCGTAAACGAGACATTGGAAAGCTGGACCTGCAAATGGAAGAATGGTTCCACCGATGAAACAACACCAGTTCATTTTTCGCGAGACTGCATTGATACTCGCGCGGGATTTGCTCTTCTCTGCGCTACTTTGGGATTGGAAATTTTCATGGGTGTTGCCGCTGGTTTCGGGTCTGTGTCTCAACGCGGTGTTTCCCGCCGAAGAGAGGAGCAATTCCAATTGGAAAAATTGGAAATTGCCACGAAGCAGGTATACCGAGGTTAGAAAGATATGGAAATGACAGCTGTGCCTACATCACTAGAAATCTACCCGTGAAAGGTAGAAGCAACTATGTGAGATGTTAGGGAATTATGGAGACCTGAATTGGGGAAGACGGACTGAGGGCAATAGAGTATTATGAGAGTATCCATGCTGTACATAGGTCACTATACGTACCATATTTCCCCTGCAAGGTGGGGCTTTCCTATTCTAGGTGCCGCCGCTTTAATGAGGGCGCTCAGAATCAGACTCACTGAGTAGATTTCAGTCCGGGCTCAGACTCATGAGCAGCTCAGAGTATATCACGTGATATACTGGTCCAGTCCGTAACCGTAACGCCGTTTCTCTTACGAGGCGGTTCATATGGATCGCAATTGGTGGTAGGTGTAGTTCTGTGTTCAGTGCCTCTGCTGCTGTCGTTCTGAAAGCTCCGCTGATCAGGCATGCTGCCCGCTTCTGGATGGCCACGAACGGTTGACTGATCATTCGTGCCTTCGTCTTGCTGATCATCAATGGGTGGTACCAGACCGATACTCCGAAGAGCATCTGTGGGATGACTACCGCTTGGTAGATCCTGCGCATAGCTGAAAGAGAGGCCCCCCATGTCGAGCCAGCCAAGCTTCGTAGCGCCTGGAGGGACACGCTTGCCTTCGAAATTGCCTTTTCGCGGTGATGCTGAAACTCCAAGCCGGGGTCAAGCCAGTAGCCCAGGTAGCGTTCCGCCGTCCTTGTCGCAGGTACTGTGTGCCCCTGCAGTGACAGTGGTGTGTACCGAGGCTCGACTTCTTTCGTATTTACGAAATGCACGAGCACGTACTTCTTCGTGTCGAATACTGAGGCATGATTTCTGGCCCACTGTTCGGCCTTCCCGCAAGCAGTTTTGAGCTTCCTGATGGTCTCTCGCTCGCTATCTCCTTTGGTCATAAAGCAGACATCATCCACCCAGCCGTTACTGGTCACTCCGCTTCCGCACTTCTCAATCAGGTCTGCATTGTAGATCAGATAGAGAATGGGCGGAATCGGCGACCCTTGCGGAATTCCCGTTGGTGTTGGTATTGGACCAGAAGTGCCTTCTGGCATGCGGATCTTTGTGCTTCGATTTGACAGGAAAGCCTTTACCCAAGGGACGAGTTGCCCTAGGCGTCTTTTCTTGAGATTGTGTTCCACGAAGACTATGTCAACTGGATCCACTGTAATGGATGTTTCCTTTCCATTTTCCAGAATCACAATTTCCGAGATAGCTGTTGGGTCGCTGGCAGGATACAATTTGAGATCGGTGACCATCCCTTGTAAATGGAAGTGAACCCCTTGTTCCTTCAAAAATGTAGTCATAGGCATGATTAAAGTCTCATAAAGACTGAGTGGGGTTCTTTCTAGCAGTCACACGCTATTTCGAGTGTGCATTTCTGGCAGATATTTGCAAAGCAGCCTGTGAAATTCCGATGCGCTGTGCCACTTTTGGAGCATAAAGCTGGAAAGGATCAAATTAGAGCGAATAATTGTGGGGTCGGAAGATAGCAAACCACTCACGTGGTAGACCATAAGGTCCAGAATTCTGATTCGAATAGTGTCTTATCAAATAAATCGCCGATCTTCTTGGGACCAAAGGATTTCTCATCATCCAAGATGAATTCGATGAGATCCATGCGGGCTTTCCGCTGAGCTGAAGCTGATGGAAATTCACCTGACGTGTTTCCCCCTGGTCTTGTCGGATTACACGGGCGTGGGACTGGTTAATCGGCCTGGTGTACCACTCATGTTCCTTTATATTCTCCCAGCAACTCTTGTCCGGATCTGTCAGACTGGGAACCACATTGAGTATGTCTTTAACACACTCTTCATGGAAGTATGGCTGTGCACCTGTGGAGGATATATCCATCTATTGAGGAACCTGGCGCCTTAATCACTCCAGTGGAGCCATGATGGATGTCGAGAATGTGGACCTGATGGGCTGGGACCTTGGCCTTAGTGATCAAATGAACTGCTGCAGCAAGGGATGCGACATCTCTTCCAATCAGCCATGCTTGTACGTTCTGAGGGTTGCGCTTTGGGCGACATTCGTTGTGTATCGATTTTTGCTGTTCTTCGTTCAATCGGTGTTGGTATTCGCAATTATATTTATTTATATTGGACATCATCCCACCGGTACATTCTCGGCAACCGCGGAATGAGACCTCTTTCAAACTTTCTTTAAACCATGGAGTACGACCCTGTGAACTACGGAGTCATTATTATATTGAGATACTTTACAAACTTACGGTGGTTCTAGTTGACATCCGATCCTTGTTTCTCGCGGAGACCGAATTAGGCTACCTTTTCTCTAGAGAGTAAAAATTTATTCTTCATAGCTTTGGTGTTGAGCTGCCGTTTTCACTCCACCCTTGCGACCATAACACCGTAAAACATTTTATATAGTATGGAGCTTTCAGGTGACAACCGGGGGTACCATACAGTCCTAGTTTTTAGCATGCACGTAAATACAATTCATTGCAGATGGTTATTCTCTGTACTCTGTATCATGCCGACCGTGTTCCCGTTCATTGGGCCAGTGAATATTGGTGGCTTGGCTCGTGATTTTAAATTTCAATCGAAAACGGGAACTGGCGGAGTATTGACGTCAACACGAGTCCGAGAACCCGGAATCACGCGTCTCTTGCGGTTGCCTATTTCCATTTTAGACGTTGTATTTAATATTAAATAGCGCATTGTGCTCATCAAATTATCTGTATCCTTCCGGCAGGATTCTGCCAGAAATCGAAAATGGGGGGACACTACAAGCCCACAAGACTACCCACAAGACTATGTTCCGCCATACCATAATTGGTACTATTGCTGGTCTTTCCATTGGCATTGTCGCCACTTGCGCTCTGGGCTACTATATGGAGCCTTGCTAGATGGTTATAACCCCTACGATCCAGTGCTTAATGAACCTGTACCCGGGCTTGCTTCTGACAGTGGCTGGGTCAAGTTACGGATCTCACAGAGCCCAACACCGACGGAATCTCACGGGTGCTTATATGAATGTCTCCAAAAGCAGAATGAGAGTTCGAAAAAAGTAAATGGTCGGGCAATGGCGCCGGGATCTGATGTATAAATATAGATATTGGATATGCAGTATTCTGTGGGTAACCACAATGTCCATGAGTTTAGTACTTACGAGACGTGATCCTTTGATGTCATCTACTCAGAAACTTATCCAGGCTTGTGCTATCGCGCAAAAGACTGCAATAACAGCGCTATTGATTGTGACGGCTGTGGAAATACGGAAGATAATGCAAACAGAAAGGAAATACAAAAAATGAATATCGGAATCGGTGGATAATCATCATATCCGGAGGCGAGAATAGGGAGTAATTTGGAAGTAATGATCCAGGAAAGCTCAAGGATATCATAAGGCCCCAAAAGTGAATTTCGCGAAGGAAGAGACTCGTACAATTTAGCGAGGCTGTCACGGCATATTCCCAAAGTTGGAAGAGGCTGCCTGGACTGCATACTCTGTATACATATGACACAGGCCCGAAACATCTTCGGTGACGACAGAATGCCTCCTCGAAGGCAACTCAAGGCGACCGAGAAGCCCAACATGCATGTGATTTTCTGAGAGATCTTTTGGGAGCAGGACATGGGAGGTAAACGTGAATTCCGCCTAGTGTTGAATAGCTTCATGTTCTGCGATCTTGAGCCCTCTCACAATAGCGGGACGTTGAAGCATATTCTTATACCATGAATTCAGAGCAGGAAATTCATCTATATCAATGCCAGCGGATTTCGCTTCAGCAACGTATGGGAAGTAAAGAAAATCAACAATTGTGCTATGTCGAAGAATCAATAACTGGACATAGAATTAAGCTATTTGACGAAGTCTACTTACCATATATTGCCCACAATATACGGCATCTGCGAGTTTTGTAGATGTCTCTCGGTGGCGAAATATAACTGAATCGTCTTGTTCGTAAAGCGTGAGATTCCGTAAGAGACCTCTACTGGGGCTTTGAGGAAATGAGCTGCTTCCCTGTGGTTTGGCCCTAGCCGTGAAGCCAAGAAGAACAGCCAGTTATTAACTTCGGTGTGCTGTGATGATGAAGTGGGGTAAGATAGCTTGTGCCCTTTATCATAGCGTGCTATAAGATATTGAGCGATAGCTCCAGACTCCTGAACTCTGAACCTCTGGCCATTGGGGTGGAAGTCCGTCAGAATCGGAAGATAGTTATGAATATCAGCGAAATCGAATCTCTTGTCTGGAATTTCTTCGATGTGATTAACGCTGCAGAGGTAGTAGGGAAGCCTTTCAGTGATCAGCCAGCGGAAATAGGATTCACATTAAGACCCAAGGTCTGGCCTACTCCAATTCTTCCAGTAGCATTATTGTTTCAACTCCGTTTGAGGAGCCTTTTTTGGTATAGAGGTGGATGGATTCTTTGAGGTCGGTGTGATCGTTCATGTTCGGCGAAAAGGCGGATACAAGACCTTTGACACTTGAAAGCCAGAATCAATTAAGGGCGAGGTTGAGGAAATTTATGGTGTCATGGGAAGTATTAACATGGTAGACTAGTCCGGGGCGTGCCTCCCTTTTGAAAATTGTTAACGCGAACGTCTCTGCTTCTTGTATTTCAATACTTGTTATATTACGGTACTGTCTGGACCAGCCCATGATCAGCCCAGCCCAACCTATCCTGTTCTAAACATTCATAACCAGGTGTCAAGTGACCTCCACGACTTAAGTTAGGCCTGTTCGACGGTTGAGAACGTCAGTTGCCGAAAAACCCAAAGCTAACTGTGCATCTGGCTCACTCTCTCCCATGGCTAGATAATACGATCTTTTTGAGAAATCCCCTTACTTAAAACTTCGTCCAGCAAACCATGAAAGCATCCGTATCACTGACTCTTTAATCCTCACTGGTATTGGGTATTTTTAAATTACTCCTAGCTTTGGATATGTCCTCGGGTAAAGGGTGACTGCGCGCCAATGCAGCCACTCTGGATGAAACAGAAACACTATTTAGACTTCGATTTAGAGATGTATGTTTCAAATAAGCCAATTTTATTCTCAATCTGCTAATACCATGTGACATGGTAAGAAAAGAATCGTACTACCTAGCTGAGGAAAGAAGGATTATGGCACGGTACCGTTGTATCCCGGGCGGTGATTTGGTTTTTTTACCGTGATCCCCTTTGTCCCCACTTCGTCGAGCAGTCAACGCAGAAAGTGTTCGCCTTTCTGAGTACGAGAATAGCACAGGTCCTTTGGCCAGGTAAAGAAAGAAAATGTCAGGAAAATGGTGATCGACATTGTATTGACTTAAACGGTACCTCTGAGGTTTCCGAAGATATGGTATTCGGTATGGGGATTACGCGTACTTTTCGCCACCTTTCGCAACCTCGGGTATGTAACCACCGAGCCACAGGTATTCTTGAGGGTATATTAAACCCCCCTCAACCCCCAGCAGTTTCAGGAAGAAGAATCAACACTCCTTTGCATTTTTTGGTATTTTTCCCCTTTTTGATTCCGCGTTGCCTTTCGCTGGCCAGTAAATCCAGTGTATTTCCCTAGTTATACAGGGCATTCCTGATAGAAAAGCTTTTTGGTGACTCACATGGAGGCTGTGAATTTAAGCATTTCAAGAAGTAGAAATCATGGGACCGCGCCCTAATGTCTCTCTAAGTGATCTGACTAGCCCTAAACAGCACATATATAGATGGATAAGGCTCATTATATTTTCAAGGCAGCTTCTCGGTAAAGACCTTGGTTTCCGCCATATCCATTGATACCTTTGATACTTGAAAATGCTTGCGAACCACTGCAGCAACCTTGATTGGCCATAGAGCCACACCCTTTACGTCATCCGAAGAATACCCCTCTCTCCCATCTTAGCTCACGAGACGACTTCTTTGGCCCGTATCTACTTTCCGTTGAGCAACTCCCTGCAATTATGCCAACTCAAACAGAATCGGGATTTCCTCTTACAGAAGAAGCAGGCTCCACAGTACATGATGGTGACATGGAAAGCATTGAGCGCGGCTTCAGAGAAGTATATGCTGTCAGGCAAGGTCTTCACCAGCGGCACATTCAGATGATTGCTTTAGCTGGCACAATTGGCACAGGTCTATTCCTTGGCTCTTCCCAAGCAATTGCAACGGCAGGCCCCTTAGGTGCCTTCCTGGGATATACTATTGTTGGCCTTGCTGTGTCTGGTGTCGTCCTTGTCGTTGGGGAGATGGGTGCTCTAGTACCTCTCAGTGGAGGCCTCATCCGTTATGCAGAATACTTCTTCGACCCTGCGATGTCCTTTGCCAACGGATGGAATCAAGTATACTTATACTTGGTGGCTATTCCTGCTGAGATCGTGGCAGCCTCGGTCTTGATTGAATTTTGGATTACCGTTAACAACGCAATATGGATTACTGTCTTCAGCATACTGGTGCTCGTTACTGCGCTAGTATTCGTCAGATTCTACGGAGAGCTCGAGTTTGTATTCGCGACCCTGAAGATTTTGCTGATCATTGGGGTAAACCTTATGGCGCTTGTGATTACATGTGGTGGAGGACCAAGTGGTGAATCTATCGGCTTTAGATACTGGAGAAAACCAGGGCCTTTTGTTCAGTATCTGGATATCAAAGGTTCCTTGGGCCGGTTTCTTGGTTTCTGGTCAAGTCTGAATAATGGCGTCTATGCATACGCAGGAATCCAGAATATCACTATTCCTGGAGCTGAGACGAGATCCCCAAGGCACGCAATACCAAGAGCAACCAAGCGCATCTTGTTCCGCATCCTCCTCTTCTATGTTCTGTCAATCTTCATGGTTGGTTTAGTTGTTCCTTCTGATGATCCCAGACTCCTTTATTTGTCTGGCACAGCTTCTCAATCCCCGTTTGTTATTGCCGCTCGCCGTGCAGGAATCGGGTCAGCACCCTCAGTCATTAATGCTGTTATCCTTACTTCAGCTTGGTCTGCTGGCAATTCAAATATCCTTTTTGGGTCTCGGATCCTTTTTGGCATGGCAGTCCATGGACATGCTCCTGCGGTTTTCAAAAGATTAAACCGGTTCAGCGTCCCTTATGTGGCTATTAGCCTCCTCGGGATCTTTATGTGCTTGGGGTATATGTCACTCTCTAACTCAGCAAGCATGGTCTTTGGATGGTTGCGCGATATTGTGGCGATTTCCACCTTGGTCGACTGGGGAATCACCTGCACCGTATACCTTCGATTCTACTACGGCTGCAAGAAACAAGGGATCGATCGCTACAGAGAGCTTCCATTCGCGGCCCCTTTTCAACCCTACTTCACGTGGGCTTCGCTTACGTTCTTCATCCTTTTACTCTTCACTGGTGGTTTCAGCACATTTATCCACGGCCACTGGGATACTCAAACTTTTATCTCCGCATACATCAATATTCCAATAGTCCTGGCTCTGTATCTCGGCTACAAATTGTGGAAGAGAACGCGAATCATCCCCTTGGAGAATATCCCAGTTGTCGGTCTGATCCAGTTCTACCTCTGTCAGGAGGATCTCGAGCCAGAAACACCGCCTAAAAAGGGACTCGCTAAACTCAACATTCTTTGGTCATAGGGTCAGTTAGAACTCACATTTTTGACTAGGCGAGCTCTATAGGAATTTCAAAATTGTACTAAGAGTATGATTTTTGCCACGACCCTGAGATATTGTCGCGGTCGGGTGGCTAACGTGGGATTCACAACAACAAGGATCAGCGGCCAAAGAACGCGGAAGAGTTGGGACATTACTTTGGCCTTTGGCAATATTACTAGGTCACACTCAGAAGTAATAGATACAATAAACGACTTGTTACACTTCAGATATATCTTTTCAACTTTCCTATAGCACTGCACCACGCCTGCCGGCCTACTTTGTTTGTCAGTTTATCCATTCCCACTCAAACAGACAAACTCCGAAGGGAAATGTTTTCTGTCATTACAATTTACTGTGGGGTGCCATTGCAATGGCTGGGGTTGTCGCATGGAACAGTCAGTATGCCGGCATCAAAAAAGTGAGGCATTCAATGTGCCACATGGTCGGTTAGCTTCTCAGAAATAACTACGGAAATAATGACGAAAAAGGTTCGACGGGTGCGACAGCGTGCTGATTGTACCAGGAAGGTTCGAACCTGTCAATCGATCAATCAATCAATCAAATTCCAATTAACCTAACGCAGTCTAACTAGTTGTGTAATGACTATGCATGCGCTTCATTCCAACTGTATCAAAAACTCGAAGCCAAACGGCCGCGATGAGATCACAAGATATTCCCAAAGATGAAACAGAGCCTGATTCGAAAAGAGTGCGGAATCAGTCCATTCCTATAAATCCTATAAATCCCATAAATCCTATAAATCCCACAAATCCCGCAAACATAATGAATAAATACAGTAATGAATGTGATGGAATGCACCCTCCATCTCTGTCAGGTCGAAGCAACTCAAGGCAAGATCAGGTCCCATCGCGACCAGCACATCTCAGTGGGCTCATTATCCGGTCAGCTTCAAACCATTAGTGAAGTCAATGGCTTTAAATGGAGTTTGTTTACGCACCATTTCCGATACGGCGGTGAAATAATTCAGAACGAAAACGGTATGTCCATAATGTGAAGCTTGACGGCACATCGCAATGAGCGTGTCCGTTTCGAGCCAGACACTGTATGCAATCTGTGGGGGTCATTCAGCCCCAGCGCCATGCCAACAAGAGTGGGGTACTTACAAAGTCATATATCTCCGGAGGGATGTGCACTTTTTTTGCGTAAAGCTAACTCTTAGCAAACCTTGGGAAGGTTCCCAAGAGACGATGAGAAAGCTGGAAGAATATGAGGGGGAGCCTGTTGGGTATGTTGCTGCATATTGTTTGTCCGTCGAAGCTCTAAATGCGATTACATAATCCTTATCGGCACCGCCTTTGGCAGAATAATGGCTGCTTGGCGCGTCGGCGTGCTGGTCTTTCTATTCTTCATACATTATCGCGCTGTCCACTGGCAAGATGTCTGCTGATCCAGCTACCCAATCAGTCGCCGACCTCGAAAATGAGCCCTACGAGTCTGACGAGGATGAAGATTTCCAGCTCGATGACGCCCAGGACGAATCTGAGCTGTCCGACGATGACGAGCCCCAGGCCGGCCCGGCGAAGAAGAAACGCAAGACTGACAAGGGAGACGGTGCGTCGGAGGATATCGAATTAGACTCTGGTGATGAAGTCACAATCAGGAAAGCGCAGGACAAGCGGAAGAAATGGAAGAGGAAGAAGGGCAAAGCCGTGGATGATGATATGGATCTTGACGATGACGACGAAGGGGGAACTGGGGGCTTTGTGCGGACACGGGCGATGAAAATGCAAATGTAAGATCTCCTCAATATGTTTTGAATTTCTCACGCGCGGACTCTAATTCTTGTTATCGGAACAGACAGGAAGAGCGCAAGCCACTGGCTCGAATCGATGGTGCGACTGTGGACGTGAACGCCCTCTGGGAGCAAATGAATGCCCCAGATAGCCAGCTCGGACTGGCGGATTCCCAAACGCAACGTGAGAACGAGGAGACCCCAGCAGCTGAACCCACGGCCGACACTGCAGCACAGGAGCAACCTGCTGCAGATGCGGAGGATCAATCGCGCCATAACCAGTACGCCGACCAGAAAATCAAGATCAAGCGCACCTACAAGTTTGCTGGCGAGTGGATCACGGAAGAAAAGATTGTGCCTAAAGACTCCGCCGAGGCCAAGGCGTTCTTGTCTAGCGGGGAGAAGGTCGAGTACGCCGAGGTGGACGATGCGACCGAGGACGCTGCTCGCAATGTACGCCGTCCACTCCGCAAGATCTCACGATTCGACCCTAACCCGTCCGGTACAATCAAGAAGAGCTGGGAGAAGCAGCAGCCTGTGGTGTCCGGCGAAGGCGACGCGAAGGGACCCAAGATCAACACGGTCGAGAAATCCCGTCTCGACTGGGCGCAGTACGTGGACCAGGCGGGGATCAAGGACGAATTGCGCACCCACAGCAAGGCCAAAGAGGGTTATATGGGTCGCATGGACTTTTTGGGTCGCATGGATGCCAGGAGGGAAGAAGAGGCGCGCCAGGCCCGTCTCAAGGGCATGTGAGACCTTACCGCTGGCCGTGGTGCACAAACCAGTTGCAAGGAAACAAGCCTTATGCCAGAGCAATCAGGGACCCGTTTCTTTTCCCCGATCAAGAAAATCCAGGTCCTTCCTGGAGAGTTCTCAGAGCAGTCATTCATGCTGCAGAACGCGGCCGCAGGGTCGTATCCGACCGAGTGGGCTTACTCTTCGAGAAGGCTGTCAGTCGATCCCGATCTGATGGGGAAATACCGTTTGCGATCTCCGCTGATACGAAACGAGTTGCTGGAGTCCGGCGTTTCTCCTGTGGCTACGGCTTGGCCAAGGTAGTCAGTGGTAATGATCAGCTCGGATCCTCCTGCTGGCCCTACTGGGGTGAAATAAGGCTTAGAGTCTACTCAGGCAGAGACATCATCTCCATATGGACGCTTAGTCGAAGACTCCACTGGAGTCATTCAAACATTTGGGCAAGGCCCTTGTCTACTACTTCCAAGATACCAATACAGATACCCAAAGCAAATAAAGTTTACAAAATAGCAAGGTCTCATACTCCCATCGTCGACTTCAAGCCGTACGATATGCTTAACTTAGTTGCTCTTGGGCAAGTACTTGATACCGCGGCTTGGGCACTTCGAATTGTCGGCGACTAACCGAGAAATTAGCGAGACGGATTTCATCGATTTAGTCCAATTGGATAGTAGCATAAACTTACGCGTGTCGGTTGGTTGGTACTGTCCGTTAATGGCATTGCCGCGAACATTGAAGAAATACCAGACCTGATTCAGCTTGCCGCTGGTGCAGTCGATATAAACCTTGGCCCCGTGATGATCGCTCAGAGCCGAAATGATCTCATTGCTGGTATAGGTCTTGGACTCATCGGGGGTGATGCCCGCAGCGGACAGAGCCTGGCAGGTTAGAAGGAGCGTCCCTGGCGGTTTAGTCGGAGAAACTCACCTGGTAGGTATCCAGACCCTTAAACAGATCCACGGTCTTCTGGAAAAACTCGCCGACTTCCTCCTGGGGTGAGTAGTTGGTGTAGCAGTTGGGCTTGATGGTGTTTACGCAGGTGCCGTGCTTGCCCCATTCGTGCGCCCAGAAAGTCTCGCTTTTGCCGTCGATATCGACCCAATACTCTTTCATGTAGTCGAGGAGGTCTGTGCGGTTCTGTCCCTCGAGAATGTCAGTGATGTTGGTGTAGGCCCGGGATTCGTCGCAGTTGGACTCGTAGGTGCCGTCGCAGTTATCGGGCCTGAAATGTCAGCTCTGGTTTCCTGTTTTTGATTATTGCGGAGGGCGAGAGCATGAAACGGGGGAGATCCATGCTCGTAAGTCCAGTTGGTCGAACATACCAGAGCCCGTGGATGGTCCATGAATCAGATGGACCGGTCGAGGGGTCAGTATCCCAGAACTGGGTCTGCAGTAGCGCACCACCGGGATAGTTGTAACAGCAGGTTCCGGTCTGGGAGGAGCTATGGCAGCTCAGAGAGTTGTTGCGGGAGCAAGTCTTCAGATCGGCCGAGACGCCGGTGAGGAAGGTAGCGAGGGCGAGGACACCCACAGAGGCGTGGACAAAAGCCATTTTAAATTGTAAGCTGGTATGATCACTGGAAAAATTGAACGACGATAGGAGGAATTTCGTGGAGCACGAGGTGAATTAATATCTTCATCAGGGAGGGCCATCCTCGGAGGGCCCGCCAGGAACCAGGAACACACCGTGTGCCCGCTAGACCATCCTAGGGTAGTGTCGTCCTCATCTGCAGAAGTGGCACTTCGTCCAGGACGGCAGCCGCTGCTGATAGCAACACATGCGCTGATGGTCAGCCGCTGATTCGCGCGTTTCAGATCGGATATCGCCGTCCAGCAATGCGCTGGCCTTGGCAGATAGGCGAGGAGGAAAGCAGACAGAGCCAATAGACATTTCCAGTAGAGTCAGGGCTAGCGATGCTCAAACGACGGTGTCCAGCGGCAGCATCGCCGTGAGCTTCCAAGCAGGTGAGGTTGCATTGGACTCCGCAGTCCAGCGGATCTCCGACGTTGATTGCAGCCCCGCGAGATTAACTGCCGATCGCCCGCCCCCTAAAACCCGCCAAACCGGCCAGGCCCTGGATTCAGTGCAGACACGATGATTGCCCTTTCACGTCTTGCTCTTTTGGTGCTTTGAGTAAATGGGATCGTCACTTTTGATTGACTAGAGCGGGGATTTGTGCCAGGAGGGAAAGAGGTGGCTGCTACTACTAGCAGCACTACACCTCTTAGTATTAGTAGTAGAATCGAAGGATAGAGTTGACATCATCAGGTATACAAGAAAAAAGCGACAAACTTAACAAAACACCCAAGCAAATGCTCTATATGTTTTCAGCCGGCCGCGGATTCTCGTATTCCACTGGATCTCGCACTCGAATCCGCCAAATGGCAATCGTGACCAGCCCAAAGATCAACGAGGCCTGGAGCCACGGCAGCCCCATCCACGCATTGCCCAGATGCATACCAATGCGGAAGAGGTAGGCAAATAGAGGACCCGAGATCAAAATCCCTACTGACATCGAGATGGCGAGCGCCGAATACAGTGTTCCGATATGGCTGGGGAGGACAAGGGCAGTTACAAGACTGCGGGTCGTGATGAGGAAGCCGAGTCCCAGCGACAAAATGGCCAGGCCCCAGATTAGGATGCCCGGTACAGGTGCAAAGGCCATGATGGCGAATCCGACCATGGTAAAGAGGGCGGTGCCTTGACTCAGGCGGTGGTCTCGGTGTTTGCCGTGGAGATTGAAGAATTTACCCAAGATCATGTTGAACGAGGGCATAATGACGAGGAAGTTGGCGAGGGTGAAGATGCCACGCAGCGAGATGAGTAGACTGGCCTATCGTGCTGTCAGTTGAATTGTCTACCAAGGCAGAATTGACGCCAGGGTCATCTACGTACTTTGCCAATACTCCAGTTGAATTTCTTCGATGCATATTGCATCAGTATATTGGTCGACTGTCGACTCATAACCCCAAACCCGGTGATGAGAATCAAAAGGCACACATTGCCATCACGCCAGATGAATCGTATCGAATGTTTAAATTCACTGATCTGGTGGAGGATCGCCTGTAGCAGGGGCTGCTTGCTGGTCTCAGTGCCTTCACCGCCCTCCCCGGATGATCCAGAGTGAGATGCCATCTTACTCTTTGCATCTGCGAGAGTCTCAGGCAGAAAAAATGTCGGAAGGGTGCCAATGAGAATCACGATGAATCCCAGGAGATAGGGAAACCATGGATCAAAGGTCATGAGATAGGCACTGATGGGAGTCGCCAGGATCTCTGCGAGAATCGCGCAGGATTGTAGACGGAAGAGTGCAGTGGATCTGTCGTGGACTTTTTTAGCAAACTGAATTGGCCATTCATTATTTTGGTATGAACAACCTCTCCTCTTCGGAAAAGACATCAGCGACCATCGCAACCGCCATCGAGAGAACGACCTGGTCGCCCCCGCCGATAATGCGAAAGATGCCCGACAGCCAAATCATCCGCAGTGGCAGGATCTCCGAGGCAGCCACCAGTCGGACCCAGATCTCTCCCAGGATCATCCCGAGGGCGCCGAGATACAGGACCGGCTTGCGGCCCCAGTGGTCAGCCAGGACTCCATAGGGGAGCGAGAGGATGATACTGGGGATCACCTCGAAGGTGTCCTTGTACCCATTGACAATGGCCAACTCGCCCTGCACGACCTCGGACTTGCATGGGTTCCCCGGGACCTCGGGCAGGGTCGTGTTGAGGGCATCGCGTGAATGCACGAGATAATTGCGGCAGATGATCTGTTCGAAGATGGCGGTCTGTGGGGCTGTGGACAGGAAGAATCCAAAATCGGCACCGAGGATGAAGATGCCGCAGACGACGAGAATTAGCAGTTTCTTCAGGCGGTTGTTGGGTGGTTGTGCATTCTCGGAGTTAGGAGTCGCCAGCAGCGGTGTCTCCTCGGGCGTGTCGTGAATCGTGATCATGGCCAATTCCAGCTGTACACCCTGTCAGAAGAGTGAAATAGGGGTTGTTGGAAATGAGGGCCGGAGGAGGACCTCTGTTTAAGAGGTAGCCTTGTGAGGCCGACCGTTGGATGTGTTGTCGTCCTTGTCGGAGTTCAACGTTCTGCGCCTCCGATTTGCTCGATGGCGCCGATAAGCCCGGATTGGCACGGATTGGCCGGGCATTCTTTGTCGCGGCCAGAATGGCGACAACAACCCCAGCGTCTCCACCCCCGGCCTTCGGAGTTCGGATTAGGCCCAATCCCAATCTAGAATCGCTGCTTGCCTAATTCCCAGGGACCCTGTCGTGGTAGAAAGGTGTTCCATATCAATAAGGTAGTGTTGGCTGGAGATGGATGAGGTGGGTGGAGCGGTGGACACGGTGGAGCTTCAAGGTTGCGTCTTGGACTCGCCTGCACTATACAGTATCCTCCATGTCACTGTTGATCTAAGAACTGATTTTGAGTAGCTTGGGAGAGAAATATTTTCGTTGATGTGGCAGGGGCTCGCCATTGTCGGACAGCAATCGCAGCGGCATAAAGTATCGGCGCTGAGTCTACGTGTATGAAATGTCCGTCCTGCAGCCAAGCGGGAGGGACGAAGGCACTGCAGTCGGCTAACAGGTGCATCCTGTGATATACCTTGGGGTATATCATTCCCTGCTATGATACACAACTTTCTTATCTGGACTACCTAGGTACCGCCATGGAATCATGTCACTGTGAAGTAAGCGATCCAAAGAGAGTTCTTTTTTTCCTGGGAAAGTTCTTAAGATATTCATGCTATGTACCTGGACATGAGGCCGATCGAAGCACCATTTCGGTTTGTCCTAGAGACTGCTACTAGTAGTACATAATGTTGTATATTTCATAAGGGCAGTTTGTTGTATGAGTAAGGTTCTTTGTCGTTTGTCTGACAAGCCCCTCCACGCGGGGCACAGGTTCCAAAAAGCTGATTCTAGCGGGGCACTTGCTGCTGAATCTTCATTCGACTCCATCTTGTTTGCAGGTCAGATGTCCGAAAGGGCCTACATATTTTCGTATCTTACAGCCAGCTTCTTCGCTTTCTTCCCCTCCTCTTCCAAGGTTCTCCAGATATCCACGCTCCAAAACACGCGAACGGCTACTGGCACCCGACTTTGTTACCTCGCTCTTTATTCTGATTTTTATCAATTTTGGGCACTACCTAACCTATCTTAACCCAAAGTCTCATTGCACTCTCCCATTTTGCGAGTGGGTGCAGGCACAAATATCTAATCCAAGCTACTAGGTTTTTAGGATCGGATACGGTTGAGCATTGCACGTCAGCAAACACCGAATCTTCGAAGAGCCACCTAAAGCTTCTCGCAACTGAATGCAAAGCCCCGATGGTAGCCCTTACTCACAATTTCCCAGAAAGCAAATCGGGTCGGCATACGTTCACAGACACAAGCCAAGACACTGTGGCGCAGTTTATCGAATGGGAATATGGAGGTGATTATACGGAGGCGATGATCGCACCTATCGGAGCGCCCCAACAAAGAGTTGCTTGAAAATTCAGCAGAGACGCCAGATTGGGGTCATCGATTGACAAGAACATGATCTTACAAGCACATACCCTGCTATGCCATCTGCGAGTCTATATATTCAGTGACATCTATCTCGTTTCGGGGCTCAAGGAGCTGGCATTTAAAAAGTTCACGGTGGTCCTGACAGATATAGGAAAGCAAAAAAATTATCAATGAGCAGATCGCGGTCATTGATTGTCTTTCGTTGGCCTTTTTTATGGGTACCTCTCCAAGATAAATTCCTCGAGTGGCTTGCTCGATATGCTGCTTGGTGTTTGGTCAAGCTGCGCCTCGAAAGCAAAGTTTCATGACTTGATCCAAAGGCTGCCAGCACTCAGCTCTCGCATGATGGAGACTTTAAATCCAGCGGGGCGAAGTGCCTTGAATATCAAATCGCGCAAGTACAAGGTCCCACCTTACGATACTCTCGCCGACTTCGAGTATGAAGAAGTATCAGTGCCTAATATTGAGCGGAAACTATGACAGCCTTGCTTAATGTCCTTGGCTACCATCGCTGATCATTTTCAAAATTACCATCTCATTCATCTTTTTCCAGACTATCCCATGCATGCAAGCGTGACAAAAATAAGACCTCGTACTTCATAATTTTGCTTAGAGGAATCCGTTCCTATGAGCTCTGTATAAGCTCATTAGCTGCAAGAAGGATAGAACTGCGTGGCAATCACTGTCACACAGCCTCGCATCCGCCATGATATACGACAATCATCTTTCCAGCCGTGATAAAAATATGAGTAGAGTCGGCCATCTCCCTCCAACGCCCGATCAACTCCGCCGGTGGGTTCCTCGCCAGCGCAAACTGCAGCTAGCCACCCGGCGCATGCAATCCCTCGGGCCTTTCCAAGCCGCCCGGTCCATTTCGTAAATGTCCGGCCCTTTCGCCAACGTTCGGTCCAGATGCTCCTCGGGGCATTCCATCACCATCATTGCTTTTTCCTCGTCGTCCGTCACACAGGCTCGAAGGCGCCCACGCTCGGCTCGGTGCGTTCGGCTCTCGTGTCGGTCGTCGGAGATGATCGATTTGCTATCCGACTGGCTGGTTCCAGCCCACCGTGATTGTTGGCCTCCGCTAATCCGCCGGGTGTGTACATGGCCGTCGGCTGTCTGGGGGCTTGGGGTGGGTCTGTGGCTGATGACGCCAGCGTAGACGGACTTGGAGCGACGGAGGAGGCTTTGCGCTCGATTTTGAGGCTTCGGCGATGATTTCGACTTTGCAGGTTTTGGGTTTAGCTCGTCGAAGGCGTCCAGCTCCCGTGGTCTGTGTTTGCTCCGCCAGCCGGAAAGTGGGATACTGGAGAACCCCAGTCCGCCTGAAAACATTGCTCAAATTTCGAGACGAGCGGTCGCGTGGATGAGAGGTTGAGGTTACAATATGCCAATTTACTTTTTGGCTTCTAGAGAACGGTCAGCAAGTTGGCGCATGTTTGGTAGCCTGTCGCCCTGAGGTAGCTGGTCAGGGGCGGCCACCTCGCGGGCACAAACTTACCCCTCGAACCTCAGCGACGCGACATTGAATACATCAAATTTAAATATTAATATTCTGTCCGGTCGCTTGCTGCCTTCGGTCTTGCTTGCGTGTAGTAGAGCGATAGATGGTGAGGGGAAACCTAAGTTGGGCGCACTCCGACGAAGTCAGGGATATATATCGCTGTACGACCTAGGCGATCGCTGCCACCTTTGATAACACTGGAGTCAAGCACTTCACATTATTCGAGAGAGCATGAAGCGTGCAACATTATTGTCGATGCTACATTGTAGAAAAAAGGCAATAAATAGAGATGACTTCTGGCCTTTTGAAATAGTAGTATCGGAATGCAAGCCTCAAGACCTTACGAATTCTCGATTCCATTCGCTTGGGACATGATTTGGGGGTACACCTAGGTAGGCGCCCACAGGAATTTCCACCTGGGCAGGAATAAACGACGAGCTGTTTTCAGCCATAATTTCATGGACAGAGGGTAAACAAGTCCTGAGCAGAATGAACCGAGAGAATGGGGGAAGGCTTCCACCGAGTGGTTGCTACACTACTGTACCAGCGATCCTCATCCTGCAAACTCACCTCTTCCTCCCCAACAACCTCCAGGTAGTCCGCATCAACTGACCAAATTGGGACTCTTTCGGCCAAGCCGAACTCAGCACTAATCATTGCCGCAGTCTCACTAAATCAGGCTCCCGACTCGAACATCCACGACCCGAACCCACTGATTCGCGTTGCAGGAGATCACCCGTCCTGAGCTACAACCTTACTCCACCCTATCTGCGCGCAACACTGTATATTGAACACGGCCCAGACTCACGGCCAAGACAAAGGGGAGGACGATGCACTGCGTTATATTACCAAGATGCTTCAATGAATATGAAACCGCGCCTTGTAGTGCGCTGCCGGTCGACTAAACGGGCACGCGCGATTATCTGGACCTGGAGCAAGGGCATGATAATATGATGTCATCTCGATTCTCCCAGGAGGGGGCATACCACAGTCTATACTACCAAATCGAGTTCTAAGGCTATCCCCCGCTGCCTGTGCCCAAGACACTTTCAAGATGGTACGTGCTGTGCATGGGAAACCACCCCGCCTACCTCTTCCGGCCGGTTCGACTGAGGATTTCTAGCATATGTGATGCACAGAGGCGATCATGTCTCGCTGATGTGGCTCCATTCGGAGATACCGGGGTACCTCACAATACTACCCAGAATGGCCTGGACTGGGGCTGTATTGAGGCGTTGTGCATTACTACTACCCGTTTCGATCTGGCGCTATTGGGTCGTGTGGCATGCGCATTGGACCGAGACGCTATGACGATGCTTGCGTGGTCTTGTGCTCGGACATGTCTCTTGCCTCTTGCTAGAGGCTGCCAAAGCGTTTGGTTTTGTTGTACTTGCCAGAATCCAGAACCTAGAGGGATGTCTCCTTCGTCGCGGCCCTTTCAAACCTGGGGTAACACGAGGGCGAAACGAACTCCTTGAACGCCAGACGCCAAACGCAAAAGCCAAAAGCCAAAAGCCAGATAACCCTCATTACAATTTGACCCACTACCCCTCGACAAATGTACCTGGATAGAGCGTGTTCGAGGAGGGCGCCGTAGGGCGCTGCCAAAACATAAGGTTCCGCTATTAGAGTAGTATCCTGGAACCCGGGACAAGGGACGCAAGGTGATGCGACGCGCTGCAATGCGAGTCAGCGTGAACAATGGGAGTGAACCAAATTGCCCGGGGCAAAAAGCAAATAGTATTTATTTTTATTTATTTTTGTCTTTTTTTGGTGCCCAACGATCTTCTTGTGTTTAGACATCGAGGCTAAAGCCGTTGGTGGGAAAAAGAAAACCGGCATGCAAGGGGGTGGAGATGGGAAAGAAGGGGGCATGCAGGTCACCTAAGCCTCAGGAACCCTCTCCAAATAATCGGACTTTTGCAGTGGCTCACATTACTATTGATGTGTGTTGCAAAATCATTTTGTCAGGGTCTCTCTTCTCATAGGGTGGAGCGTCGGCCGGGCCGATAGATTCAGATCAGATGCCGAACAACGGGTTATTGGACCCTCTATGAGACAAATATGCCGGTAGAAAGATACCCAATCCTTTGGATATATTCTCCCAGGTAGCCATGGATCGACTATTTCTTTATGATTTTGTTTTCCGTAGTTGGTAGTGGTAGATCTCGATTTTACCGTGAAGCTAACGCACCACGCCTTATACTTCGTCCGGGTCAATGGATGATCGACGGAATGAACCAGGAATTCGATCGAGGCTGCTGAATTGAGCCCCTGAATGAAAGTAGATATAGAGTTTGTGAGTTTGCGTGGGTATGCTGCTATCTCGACGGACGAAGAAGCCAGAAAAAACATATGCGGCTGCAATTGTACAGCAGCATATCAAGTGCTTGTGTGGCCGTATATCATTCGTCCAGACCAGGTGCCGACGGATGCTGTAGAGAGATCCCGAGGAATGTTTCAGTTGACGTGCGCACCCACAAATAGCATACACACAGGCTGGAACAATATTCTCACAGAACGGTATGCTGGAGAGTTGTGCATTGGTCGATACTCAGAAATCGACCCCCATGGACCTTCCCCGCAAAATGATCGACCCCTGATGGCCCGTCTGTGCGCTGAGGTCAGAGGCTTGCATATTCCTAGGCGATCCGAGCTAGGATTCCTGGCAAGCAGGTTTTCTGGGGGCTCGATGCTGCTCGGTTTTTGGCGGGATGGGGGTCTGAGAAAGATCGAATATCGATAGCGCAAGCCCCTAGGCCCGGGTACCTGGGACTCTCATCTGGGATATCCGGATTGATGCATGTCCAAATAGCTGTTACTCGATAAGGTTTGGTGTAGGAGGATGTCCGAGTCCCTGTTCGGCATCCGTTCACTAAGGCTCTAGTCTAGCTTCTAAATTTGTGACGGTCGAATCGAAGACCACGGGTACCTGAGAGGTTGATGTGAGATATGTCAAATCCAGGCACCGGTTCAAAGCGTTGCTCTAGGTTAGTAGGATTCGCGATTCATAGAAACGTCTACATAAAGAAATACCGAGATCGCGAGAGACTGCTACATAACCTACCCCTGAATCTCACACGAGGAATCGCAAAGTCGATGTACCAAATCCGACCACAAATCGATCGGTAAATAGGGACTGAACGTGAAGATCGACACGGAGATAGACCGATGAGGCTAAGCACGAACAAAGTGGCATGTATCCATGGATGCCTCGATCGCCGGGTCTCAGCCACAGGCTCGTCGCCACCTACCGGGGGAGGCGTGGTGGCGGATGAAGTCAGTTTGTGGGTGGGGGTGAACAGGCGACCCCGAATGGCATGACTCAATGCGACAATGGAGCTCAGATCGTAGTGGACACTATTCAAACCTTGCCCCCGCGATCCAAATAATTGCGATGGAGGCTTCACCGTCTCTCGTGAATCAATATTGCGGGATCTGGTGATGCAACTCGATGGTTTGAGAGGTCTCGAGCCTGTTTCGCGATCAATGGTTGCCGTGGTGGACCGCCATCCCAATTTTGTGATAACTTGAAGAATATAAGCAGTGTCTTGGCAGCTTTGGATAGACGAGCGCATCCATAGGTTCAAGCAAGTCATCCCTTGAGATGCAGGGGCTCCCGTAATGTCTGGGGACACTCTGGCTTCCCCCTGGCCCTTGCGGCCAGATCCAGGTCCGTGCTGAGGCTTCACGGTACCTGCAGCGTGAAACAGACCCGGAACGATGACCCACTATGACAGCCATTGACGGTACGAGGTGTTCATGGCGAAGAACCAAATTCAGAAGTGGGTTTGATAAGCTGACGAGGTTATCGAGGTCTGGAATGTCGGGTCGATGGCGCGGAGCGCGAATGGCCGCGAGTGGCCGGAGGGTCATCCAAGGCTGAAACTAAATATGGAACAAAGCGAGATGACAATTGGGTTATTGGGACCCAGCGACCCAGGGACCCAGCGAGCTGGTACGGAAACAAAGTACAATAGTCGCCGTGGTTATTGCAGGATGACACATCTCACTTCTCACATCGCCGAGTGGGGAGGGCGATCATTCTCGCTGGGTGGCCAAAACATCCTGAAACTTGACCTGCACGAAAGATAGCGCTATTGTTGCTCGTGTATCAACTGGAGGGCTGTGAGCGGGGAGAGCCTCTTGCAGTGGAGGTGGGCGGATGACCATCGAAATGGTGAGCCAAATTGGGGGAATCTGAATCTGACAGTCGACAAGATCGACACTCAACGACATGGATCGACGGCGCCGGTGCGGAAAGTGGAGTTGGGGTACCCGTTCGCGAGCGGCTTCAAACTAGTTAGGGGCAGCACCGCGATGACGCCACGACAAGGAGGGACGAATCGATAAAGCACTGGGCTACCTTAGGGTAGGGCCATCTGCATTGTTTACCATCAACCTGGGTCCGGGTCGACGCTAAGGCTGGGCTGTATTGGTGGAGTTCTCACCCACGCCTAGCAATGCTTCATGCTTCAGTCGTCAGCCCTAAGCGGAGGTTAGTTTCGCCTCATAAAACCGTCGTCAGGAATCAGGGCGCCGCTCAGGCCGGTTGCGAGCTGTCAGAAGCGGCAGTGCGCCGGCACTCTGGGTCTATCAAGAATCGTAGGTCGTCTCGCCGAGGGGCTCTTCGATCAAGTGCTCGTCTATTGAAGCTAGTGGCCTAATCGGGGGCACACAGCAGGACCGGACCTGCTCTGCTTCCTCGGATCTTGACTCCACCAGAGAGGATGAGTGTATGTACATCCGTTCGCAATGTGACACACAAACCGTTCCAGGGAGGAGCGTCCGAGAGGCAAATGCTGGGAATGGAATCCGAGCCCGCGGAGAGCTCTTTCCGGCGGCAAACGCTGTGGTTGGGAACCATCCTCATTCTCATGGCCCATTTCCCCACCTATAATCGCAATTGCAACCGCGCGGGGGAAAGCCCAAACGTTGCATGGCGGCAGCTTTGGGGTCGCCACCCAACTCTGTGGCTTGAAGGGTGCCGGCTCCCAGGAATCTGCGGCAGCTCGAGGTCGAGAATGCACGAAAGCTGGCCTCACCACGCCCCAGTGTGCTGAGTTGCTGAAAAGCCTAGCCATGGGGGGTGCCAACCAGAGGCGGTTCCCTCAATTCGGGCCTGGACTGACGCGTGATGGATCAGAAGCCTCCCCTGGGCCAGCTGCAGGTCCGAACTAGCTCCTATAGCGCCGAGCGATTGGGGTTTGCGAGCGACGCAGCGGGTGCAGATGTACTGTAGTTGTGGGTACTGGGGGACCGGGGGGGAATTGGGAACTGACGAGAACCTACAGTATACGCTGTGACTCCGTCTATGTTGTATACTGCTATACCGCCTCGGAGCCTACCTACCCTCCAATAATCCCCCTCTCCTCTACTCTAGACCCTCTAGACCCCCCCCGACCCCCCGGTCCATTGTCCTCATATGCAATAAAACTCTGCCAAATGGAAGATCGGGCCTGCCTTGCTCTGACAAGTGGTTTCGGTGCAGCTGCACATTCCAATCATGTCCGATGACGACGGCGGGCACAATTTGTCACCCCAGAGTCCTAACGGGACGATCCATGCTCCGGGGAGTGAAGCCCCAGTGCGTGGAGCGGAGAATAGCAGAATGAACGGCTGGAATTCGGGATGCTACCTGACTGCCGGGATCTAGTCCTAGGCACAGACAAGCCAACGTCTGACCTGTCGCGCCCGCAGCAGATCGATCCACCCCCCACTGCGCCACGGCGTCTGAGCTCATGTTGGCGAGGCTCGGTCGCGATCGTGCGCGTCTGCTGCTCAGATGATCGATGGGCAATTGACTCGCCTACCTCGCGGGTGTCTCAGTGAAATTGAACGCAGTGGTGTACTGCGACGGAAGGGAACGAGAGACACGGTGGGGCGAGGATCGATGATCGGATCGACATCCGGGGGGGGCTAGGCTGACTAAGGACCAAGTACGGTACCTGGCGCAGTACCACTGGACCTTAGTATAGGAAGTACCTAGGTGCAGTTTCCTACCAGAGGGTGATCTCGATACTTTCATCGAGAGATACGTATGTACCAGAGGTACCTCCTTCACTACTCTTTTAGATTGAAGATCGAAGTACCGCTGCATGTCAACTGCTATTTAGACTCTACTCACATTGCGCGGAACGCAAGAGGCGCAGCCGGGCATTCCAGGCGATCCACCCTGCAGCTGCAGGTCGAAGTCGAAAACCATTATTTTCTTTTTTTATTTCGGATTTTCTTCAGATCGCTCTACAAGTTAGGGATGGGGCAATCAACCGTGTCGATCGGCCTCTGCCCCGATCGCGCCGCCAAAGCAGGAACAAGCTTCCCTCCGCCAGCAACAAGTATAAACCCCTTGTTCTGCTCGTCGCTTCCCAACACTCACCTCCCTTACTCCCTTCGTCTATATCATCCCCCGGCAACCCGCGACCTCAGCCCCTGTCGTCCCAGACAGTGCCATACAATCTGAGACCCAACCTCCCCTGCCCCTCCGTCCACCCCCGGATTTTCCATCCTCGCCCTCGCCATTGGCCCCTCGTTCCCTCGCAAACTGCCTCTCGCCTCCTCGCAATCCCTCCAGGCCGCCGAGGACCCAAGGTCGCGAGACACTTCACCCAGCCCCGGCGTACAGGAACCACGCCCGCCCCCCAATTCGGGAACCCGTTGAGCCCCGAAGTCGCGACGCGCTGCACCTCGCCGTGTCTCCGGTAACAGGAGTCTCATAGTCTGCATTCCTGGCCTTGCTTTGGGGCACGCGACGCGCTTGGATCTGATCCGAGTCATGGCGTATAGCTGTAAGTCCCGATCCCCACCGGCCGATTCTATGCTGGGCCGATTTGTTTATTTCTGCCCGTTTGTCCCTCTCTTCTGCCCTTCCAACATTCTTTCCTTTCCTTCGCTCGTGCTGCTTCCCTCGTTCGGTGCTCCGCCTTCCATTCTGTCTTTCTTTCCTTCTTTTTGGGGAACTCTTCCCTTTCGTCTTTCGTTCTTTGCTCCTGCTGCCTGCGTCCCTCGTTGCCATCTACAATCCTTCCTCCATTCCAAGCAGTAGGACTGATATCCGACTGCCCTTTAGGTGACAGCATCGTCGACCCTGTCGCCCCTCACAACCTCAAGGCCGAAGACCTCTCCGAGATGAGACCCCAGGGCCGACACATCTCCGATCGTCTGACTGTTGAGGTTGACTGCCGTTCTTTGGGCCCTAGCGAATGCCCCTCGATGACTTCGAGCTTCTCTCCTTTGGAATCTCCCACTCCAACCCCCACTAGTCTCTATAGCCAAAACTCCATGGCTTCCCCCAGCTGGCATGAAGCCGGACAGTATCACAGCCTCCCCATGGAGCGCCGCACCTCTGCCACCCCACTCCGCAGTGCATTCAAGATGGCAGACCTCACCTCCGGCGACGTGATGGGCATGCCCTATAGCAACATGGACCGTCAGGACCAGATGCCCATGGAGTACCTGCCTGGCTACGAAGAGAACCCGGATCAGTTCTGGATCCCGCAAGACGTCCCCAAGACCTTCGATCAGACCGGCTTCCAGTACCAGCCTTCAGTGCCCCAATACCACACCATGCCACGCAACCACCACTATCAGTACCGTCCGCAGCAAACGACCTACCTGCCTGAGTCTGCCTCCAACCCCTGCCTGTCTCGACCCATCTTTAACCAACCGCCAACTGAGCGGATGCCAAACTCGGTCTCCATGTCCAACATGCTTCACTTCATGCCGCCATCTGATTCCATGGCGCCCCAAACTATCACTCCTGCTCAGGCTTTCAACCAGCCGGTTACACCACCGTCTTCTTCCTACTCTGAATTTCCTTCCAACCTTCACACATTCAAAGCACACACTCCGACTACACCTGTGCGATCGAACTCCATTGGTACAGCCTCTGGCACTGATACTCCCATGAGTCGCCTGTCTGGTGGCCACGAATATCAAGAGGAATACCCTGTCTCTCCAGTCTACCGTGACGGCATGATGCGGGCTCATCGTCAGCCGTCCCGCAAATCTTCCAAGAAGCAATTGCTCCGCTCCAACTTGAACCTCGAGAGCCTGCCTTCCATTATCAAGCAGGTCCAATTTAAGTGCAAGGAGCCTGGCTGCAAGGGACGCTTCAAGCGCCAGGAGCACCTGAAGCGCCACATGAAGAGCCACTCCAAGGAAAAGCCTCATGTTTGCTGGGTCCCCGGCTGCCACCGCGCCTTCTCTCGCAGCGACAACCTGAATGCCCACTACACCAAGACCCACAGCAAGCGGGGCGGGCGCAACCGCTATGTCGCTACCCTGGATGAGACCAGTCAAGACTACGACCCCGATTTCCGTGGCCAGCTCACGCCTGACGGTCGCCCAATCTGGGGCTCCAAGCTTGAGGATCCCGTCCCCGACTGTGGTGATCTGAGCGTCGACGGCTGGGATGATTAGGCGCACACCAAAAGCAAACAAATTCTTTTACTCAACAAAACCCACACAACAAAAAAAAAAACGAAAACACAAGCCAATAAGCAAAATCCACACGCGATGTCCTACCACACGCAAAAATAGATGGCAAGACCATGGCGCCCAGGATATTGATACCCCTTCGAGGATCGGCCATAGCGATGGCCCAGGCATTCACCGGCCAGGTGGCCGTTCTGGCGTTGTACATGTCTCCCCGGAACACAGGATCGGAGACAGATCTTTGTGATGTTGTTCCCTTTATTTTTACTTTTTTACTTTTCTTGCATAATTTGACCGGTGCAAAAAGGACTTGGTGCGGTACCCTGGAATCTTTTTTGGCGTTTGCATATTTTTGTTCGATCGTCGGTTTGGATAATCACTAGGGAGGACTGGGACGATCCTGTACAATCAGCTACAATGTGCTTCTTTTTCTTTTTGACTTGTGCGTGTACTACCATCTATATCCCCTTATGGCATAATTCGAAACAAAACATCCTTTCAAAACAATTCCAGCTTCCAGTAGATCGTCGCCTATTGGTTCTTCCAGAATCCCCGTCCAGGCACCCGCATGAACCACTATCTCGTTGAACGTATGTTCCTGTCGTGTATTGAGTGGGGGCGGACTTTGCTGGTCCTCGCGGATCACTGCGCCTCTGCGTCTCCACCCGGTCTTCCCTCCCATCTTCCTCTTCCTCCCCAACGTCCAACTTACCGACTCGAATTTTGACATTCTCCCACAAATCCCCAAGCGCAGAGTTCGTATTCCGATCAGTCGACAGCCTTGTCTTGGCATTCCCACCTCCAGCCCATTGGATTTTGTCCTCGCCCGTTCCACGGTTCCTGGCACAGAATGTTACACATCACACCCGCGCCCCAGTCGAAACTCCTCCAACATCGACCTGGATCTCTCCATCCGATCTATCGGGCGTGGTGGATCGGCTGACTCATGCCAACCCACTTCAAGTTGTTTTCTTACAGCTCTCGATGCTTCGGTCCACATTGCGCAATGCGCTATTCGCTCTTGCCGTCGCCGTCGCTGTCGCTGTCCTCTCTACCCTCGGACTGCTTGGGCTCTCTCCACATTCCAGTCCCAACGGGTTGACTTCCTATTCGCAATCCCCTGTTTCATACCTCTTTTGATGCCATCATCAGCCTCGGCCCTGATCTGATGCTCGCCACATTGGTCTATCGGCTTCCTGCCCTCGTTCGTTGCGACGTGCGTGGACCACTCACAGCAGACTAATGCGAACAATGCACAGGGGTGTTCATAAATCGAGATCGAAGATCTTCACACCCCAAACACGACATAGCCAACTTTCTTGAAAAAAAAAAAAAAAAGAAAAATTTGAATTTTTTTCATTTTCATTTTTTTTCTCGATGTCACTCTGTGGCACTTGGCGCACGCGACTTCTCTTCGGTCAACAGCGTGTGGAGTCCACATCCCCAACGAAGCTCACGCATCGCGCATCATCAACTACACAAAATAGGCGACCTGCGTCCTCCGCCAAGCACTCGGGAACGCCGCTGAAGCAGCCCACAGACCCAGAGCCGCTCAATTCCCTTGAGGTCACTGTCCTCTCTCGGTTCGCTCAATGGGCCTACGCACGCGCTCTCTCATTCCCAACTTTACGGGCGCGATAAAGGTTTAGACCTCCCTGGCCTCTTCGGATGCTCTGCATGCATTGGAACAAGTCACTTGCTCCCCTGATCTCTCTAAATCCTATTCTAGAAATGACTCTTCGCTTCCAGCAGCGTGGGCTCTAGCTCACCGGTTCGTCGTCGGTCGGATTCGATTGCCATTGGAGTCATGGATGGCGCTTTCTGCATGCCACGACAGCAACAACGGCGCCTTGGCTGAACCGTGCGATCGGGCGTGCCACTTGCACTGCTATTCGTGTCGACATACCTTGTAGCATCTCCGTCATCGAATCTTGTAGGGCGAAACGTACTTTTTTCACTTTTCCGGACCCCATGCTACCCTGTCTCTTCGTTTCTTTGCACATTATTTTCCGGATTCCAAATCCTTCGAAATCTTGATTTGAAAATATGGGTCTACGGTCGTACGACGGAAACTGCGTGGCGAGCAAGGCGTTGGATTTCGCCCGTTGGTACACGGCGGTGATGCTATGTGTTATGTGCTGGGGAGGTTCATGGAAAGAACGCCCAACGCGAACCATGGAATCGGAGATGAGAGATGTAGGGGAAAGAGACAAGGTACCAGGGACCACGGGACTTTTGCGTCTCCTACTGCACTGCATGAAGATATAGCCTATAGCCTCAGGGGGGAGAGTTTCCTGGGCTTTGCTTTTGCGTGGTTCTGAGATCTCATCGGGAGGGAGGGGTGGGGAATGCGCGCTATTGGCAGAGGCTTCTTTTCTTTTTTTCGCGTTTCCTTTTTCCAGGGCTGATATCATATCGTCATTTGTCATTTGAGGGCATCTCCCTTTTGGAACGACTCGAAGTATGTACATCAAAAGTACCGACTTCACCGAAATTGTCTCGACTTTCCAGCACGTACGGTTCCTGGTACCTTTGATCCTCGGATGACCATCTTGGGTTGCTATTCATTGTCCACGCAAGCAGGGCTTGGAAAATCCGGGAAACTATATGCACGATGCGAGATGGTCAATGGGGCAATGGGGCACGGGAAATGAAAATGAGGGTACGAGCATTCCAGTCGATATTCGACCAGTTTAATCCGCCGCGTGCTGCATTGGTATGTCAGCAGTCTCCAGCATGTTGGTCGGGTCGCGTACGTCCGAGCATGCCCGGCGCTGATCTTGGCTAGTTCGACTTGATGATGTGCGTTTTTTTTGCTGTTAAGGTTATCCTCCAGAACGGGCAATCTGTGTACAGTAGATCATGCACCGGGTCCAATGCAACGATGCAATGCTCTAGCGTGGTAGCGAATACCTGCGGCGTGGCTCATGGCTGTGCTGCAGACGACATGCATTGGAATGTGAGGCCGGGCTGAGACGGTTGTTGATCGAGTCGGTCTGGACTGATGAGTTGATCGGACGGGAGGACAATCACATTGTCCACGGTCTAGGCAGCAGGACGCAGGACCTGCCAGTGCTTTGAGAGTTCTTGATTTCCTCGCTCTCCTCAGGGCAGGCCGCCACAGCACAGGTGGTGTCTCGTGGTTGCTACCCCTCGCTTGAGGTGTCTAAGACTTGGTGCCATCGCGTTAAAACGCCAACTTGACAAAACTCAACCACAAACCTAGTCATCGCATGTCTTGAACGAAAATTTCGTCTGAACCCTCGACATGCAATTTTGCGCGAATTTCGTCAAGTGCTGAGTTGGGTGTCCATGCATCCTGCTGCCGGTGTAGTTCGGAAACGGGTTCTATAGCGGTGAACAAGGCCGATCATGCTTAGTTCTCGTAAGCACTGCACTATGTATCTGAAAAAGGCGGGCTGGCATTTTTCGATCAACTCGAGTCAATGCGATCATATGGAACTAGTGAATTGGCGCTTTGGGCTCAGGGTTATCTCCATGCGTTCCTCAGTCCGCTTCGAGGGAGCAAGGTCAATATTGGGACTACTAATACTATCAACTGCTACTAGTAGTAAGGTAGTATAGATTGGCCCCATCGCTATTCACGAGAAATCCTGGGCCTATTTTCTATCATACTGGAATTTTGTGGGATGTAACTCGAATGAGGGAAGGTACTAGTATCTAATCCTCAGTCTTATAGATTGTGGTAAATAGTGATTGTTCTCTCATCGAATGCGACCCCAAATCTCTCGAGTATATCACTTCGAACAGTTTCAAGGCTTCCAAAACGCGAGTTTGAGAGATAAGCTAGTAGACTTGACGCTTCTCAGTCATGTCCTTTTCAAGACCCCTGCCACCAGCATCGCGACTCTTTTCGTTGTCGTTATCGGGGCGAAAAAGACCGCGCTTCTGACCATGATTGTTGAAGAGCCTAATTCAGAAGTATCAATACTAGCACCGGCACCGGCACCACGTTCCTCATTCTCCATTTGGCTAGCAGCCGAGTTGCCAAAGCGGTTGGAGACTGGACTTGCGAGAGCTAAGCTCGTACTGGCCGCAACCAGGAAGATAGAAAGCTTCATAGTTGTAGATGTTGCAAAATATAATTATTAGTGTTTGATTCCAAACTATGAAATCTCGAAAATTACTATACTGGTTCTGCGATCGGTGCTTGGAATCTGTTTGATGCTTCCGGGAACTGGATAACCGGTACCTTTTTATATTCGCTCAAGCAAAGCCGACGCTTTTCTCTTGGGACTTGAATGTTATCATTTTAGTAGTTTATGAGATCACAATTCCGTATACCACGGAATGAATACAGGGTTGTAGGTAGAATATGCCGCTGTGCAGCTGAGATACGTAGGTCTTGCAACACGTTATTTTATTCCATCATACAGTATATGGGTATATCACGTCAACAGACAAGTGAAATCCTTCCTTGAGAGAGTTTTTTTTTTTTTGTTTGTTATTACCTATCCAGTAGACACGGATTCGATCTTCGGAATGAAGCACCCTTAAGGTGAGAATGTTGCATGTTTCGAAAAGAAGGGTTTTTTAGTGACTGATTATTACCATCGACTATAACCCTTTGATCATTGTTGAGTAATTTCATATGCTGACTGGAATCCCGTATGTGCTGTTAAGCAGTCCTGGGCGAGAGCATCGAAGTACCAATATAGAAATGTGCTGATATCTTTAACGAATCTCACAGGGCCGGCGCTAGAATATGATGTGGGTCTTAAATAATCATTCTTACATGGTATCCTTGTGGCCAGGCCTGACAGGCCAATTTTGGACTTACTATATGACAAAATGTGCATTCCAGACTATCTTAACGTCATTGGGATGGTATGGTCTGATTTCTTCACGTAAATAGTCGACTACCTCGGCAAAAAATAGCACCCACTGTATTCCCTGTGTTCCTTTATATTATAACCAGTCACCTCTGAAGTGGGACAGTTCATGTTTCCAGTGAAACAGAATATTCCGACCAAAGTCTCAAAACGAATATTTTGACTCTTCTAACTCATATCGTTCTAATCAATATGGTGTGCTTCTGCCAGAATAATCGCTTTTGGCTCCAAAGAGCAATTCCTTCGAGTAGTTCACCGTAATCTCAAAGCAGAGCCTCGCAAGGAGTCTCCGTTCATCGAGATAAAAAATTATCAAAGGCCAAAGTATCCCGTCTGGCCATGGATAATCTCGACAATCATTTTGACTTTGATTCTCATTTGCGGCATTATTCAAAAGACTCTCAATGTTCTGAAAAGGCGAGTCCAGCTTTTCGGACAAACATCAGAGATGCACATCCTTATATTGCTCTTGAGGAACGCGTTTTCTCGGGAAAAATTTTGGTTTGACAAAGATATCGAAACTGTCTACCGGGACATCGACCCATCTCAGCCGCAGTAATTCGGCCCTCCCAACTCCGGGAATGCCACCTGGTCGGATTTACTTCGAGGTATGGACTAATTCCGCATCCTTTCAATAAATTCGGAACTCCCGTATTATTTTATTACTTCCATAGGGGAGTTTGTAAGACTCATCGTGGACAAAGCGAAGCAGATTAGCCCACCTCCAAATCGGGATCCAACGACTCCACCACCATCATTTTGAATAATCCGATCCGAGAGAAACACATTAATACTTACAAATACATAATAATCCAACTTTTCTTTTAGACCAGTCATGTTCCACTCCCTCACATGCATTGTCTGAACGCAGCTCGGAAAATGCTGGATCATGACTACTACTCCAAGCAGGAGCCCTCTCCCCTGGGAAAGGCAATCCAAAATTCAAGTTTGTTTCCAGATTGGCACCGCGTGTACATGGATCACTACCTTGACCAGCTTCGGTAATCCATCCAATGCCAGGGAGAATATTTGTCGCCTGTTCCCTTATATAATAATAACGAAATAGACATTGGTTTTGGAGTTGGACAGACACATACGTGCCGCAAATGGGAGCCCACGAGGTAATGGATGGATGATCGCAAGAAACTTCATCGTCAAGACCTAGCGTGGTAGAATCTATCTTGGGTTGGGTTCACTCTTACCTCATTGGTGTTTTTCTCCGAATGTGCGGCTGCAGTGCATGCCACGATAATTTGATACAGAAAAATAAAAATAAAAATCACACACCAAAGCTCCCAAATTTGGTTATTGAAATAATATTCGCCATTTGGCACCCTGCTTAAACATTGTGGTATAGCCCTGGACGCGGATAGCAAACGCTCGGACCGAAGCGGCACTAGTCCTAGATAGGCTACGGTAGACACCTGAGGTGTGATTATGTCAGCGCGGGTATAAATTTGCATCTTGGCCAGCGCGCCTTCCTCCCTCCTCTGAAATTTTGACGTGCATGATCAACCGCGATCGAGGACCTGACAGGCCCACCAAGAGATAGATGAGGTCTCTTTGGTAGATCGACATTCAAAGCAGTCTATATCGTAGCCACAAACGACGAAGGTCGTGCCTTACAATGATGACACCTTTCTATTGGCGTGACATGTCCCATGGATACCAATAAAAATATCAAGCTCAACAGTCTGAGTAAGGCTCTCTGGTGGATATTGTTAGTCAAGAAGTTATTTGGAGTCATGAGCATGATGGTTTTTGTTCTGGCGGTGCTTCCTCGCCCACCGGCCTACCTGTTTTACCCCTGAGGATTTTCGCTGGGAGATACCAAGCTACATTTTACGGCTCATTTTGGACACCATCAACACACTGCGCAGTCGCATAATAGGATGAATCCCGTGAATAGAGTGCAATTTACATATTAAATGCGAGGAGCTTTCAATTCATGCATCCCAAAGTCACCGGTTATCACTGATTCTCTCTGATCTTCTGCAACAGCTGAGGAACAGCACACTGGTACTTGCGAAAATTGCGCGTGTCCACTTTTTCGTTGAACATCTCATCCAACTCCTCAAAGGACCGACCTTTTGTCTCAGGGATTTCGAAGTAGATCACGACCAGCGCAATTCCCCCCTGGGCCGCAAAAATCCATCCAATCTTGCCGCCCAGGTTCGCCTCATCCGTGTTATACAAATATGGAATTACCACATTCCAAACGGTAGAGAAGAAGTAGTTGAAAGTGAATCCGACTGCCATTGACTTGGCTCGGAGGCGTACAGCCGATACTTCGCCGGCAATGGCCATCGCCGGACCGATCGCTGGTCCATAGACCCACCAAGAGAGTTGAAGGAAAATGCCGACGACCCTATGGGACAAGGATGTCAGATATAAGCGACATGAAATTTCCTTCATATAAGATTGACTTACCACAAAGCAGTGCTAGAGCTGGGGAAGCACCCGGCAATACCCATCACAGTGAAGAAGGAGGTAGAAAGCGAGATGCCAAACATAATCAATCGTCGGCGTCCGCACTTCGTCATCAGATAGGCAGTGAAAATCGAACTGGAGATACCAAATCCGATGCCAATCTCAGTCATCATGCCAGTCTTACTCGAAGACATACCAGCCTGTACCAGGAAGTATGGTCCATTCGACATGAAGCTGGATCCGATGACCTGCTGCAGAGCGTTACAGAACAGGATGATCCGGGTACGGCGCCAGTTGATTCCGCGGAAACATTCCAAGAAACTGGCTTCTTTCGACGCAGCACTTCGGGCCTTTTCCTCTTCATTGACATGAACTATTTGATCCAACAGCTCAGTCACTTTTGAGGATTTGTTGCCTAGTCGTACCAATGATTTGCGTGCTTCCTCGAGGCGGTCTTTCATAACGAGGAAATATGGAGACTCGGGAAGAAGCGGGAGGAACAGGATGATGACGCCAGGCCAGACCCATGCTGCAGCAAAAAGGACCTTTGTAATTCACATGATTAGTACATCAAGATAGAGGGAAAGCATTTTTGCTGTGGGTAAAGCAATTAACTTACCTTATAGGCATTCTCTGAAGTCATCAACATGCGAGGCAGTGCCACGGAGGCAGCGATCATATAGCCAAGGTTCTGTCTGTAATCAGTAACGATAAACCTTCTCTTTTCAGTCATGAGAATTGTACCATGCAAAGTGTAAAAAAGGACAAAGCAATACCGCGCAGAGGCAGCGGTGTCACCTCGGAGATATAGGTCTGCCCAGTTGTCAAGCAGATACCCAATGACAGACCATTCACAATCTTGCCAGCAAGGAAAGTTCCTGGAGTAGATGCCGTGTACACCACGGCTATACCAGCTGCCGAGACAATCGCACCCAATAGGAACGATGTCCTCCGACCCAGGTAGTCCTGCACTGGTCCAGCGGTGGTTGCTCCTATCATCGTGGCAATCTGGGCAAGGGCATTCCAGAGGGATTGCCAGTATGCTGGGATTACGTAGGAGCCGTTGACCAATTGTCCAAATTGTGCCCTTTTTTCTCTAGTCAGCTTAAATTCAACGTTGAATACTCTCAACGGCAGCACATACCCAAACCCGGGCATGGAAAGGGCCAGTGACAACACCAGGTTGTCAAACCCATACATCAATGCTCCCAAGTTTCCATATAGACAGAAGAGGAAGACCCAGGGGTTCTGTGCCAAGCACTGCCATGCTGTTTGGCTTTGTTCGTTCGTTTGCTGCTGAGATGCGGATTCTCGTGTCTGGACAGTCTCCAGATGGGTAGAGTGAGACTTCGTAACGGTGGATTCCATTTTGCCGTTCTGTGGAGGGTCTAGCGATCGAGAAAGGGAGGCCGGGATATAGGGCGAGACGGCTAAGCATTTGAATGCTTTCCCCGATCTTTCCCCAGTTATGGGGGAAATGATGTGGAGGTGGACAGCGTCCACCTGCTGTCCAGTTTGCTCGGGGGTTGATGGCCCGATGCACCCGACCCGCTCGGGAATTCCGAATGTGTCCAGTGGACAACCCAGAGAATTGCCACTTCATGCATAATGCTATGTTAGTATTACTGGGACACTTTGCTTCAGAGTAGGCCCGAGAATGGAATTGAAAGCAGAGCATTCCTTTCTCTCCTGCTCGATTTCAAAATCAATTTTACATAGTGTAAAAAGTTGAATATAAAACAGATCAATCTATTGTCATCGCTTATTTATTCCTCAGTCGTCTATTTCCAACTACCCTCTAGTAAAGAAAACGGATTTGCCACTCTCGAAGCGATGGACCGACACTGACCCGCTGAGAACAACCTCAGCCTCCATATCGGCACTTGTCTCCACCTCCAAGTCATCCTTAGTCCACGCCACACTGACCTTTCCAGCTGGGGTAATGAATGCTCCTTGAGCAGTCTCCAATAACTCCATTTGGGGTGCAATGCGAACTCGTTTGAAGCCGGGTTGCGCCGGTGAAATGCCAAAGATTTGCGTGACTATCTCGTGAACAGGGCTTGCACTCCAGCCATGGCAGTCACTGCGTGGATTGTTTGCGTGCTCGGCCCAGGTTGTCAGGTTGTCAGCGATCATCTGCCGCCATGGGCTCATGAGAGAATTGAATAGCTGCGAGTAAAGGCCGACTTTTTCGACTGCACGGAACAGATAGAACTGCATGGAGTATGAGCATTGCACGAGCTTTTTATCTTCCAGTGTGCGCAGCATCAGATCCCGTGCGGCATCTCCTTTCACAGTTTCAGAAAGAATTGCAAAGATTTGCCCATGCTGGCTATACTCTTGCACGGATGGACCGTCAAGATATAGTCCTTCCTCGTAGCAGTGCAAATTCACTGCTTTGCGAAGATCATCGGCTCGAGAGTTATATTCGGCAGTAGTATCTCTTCTGCCGGCGAACTTGCAGACTTCAGCCGCTTGCATGAGTGCGATGACATAGAGCAGGCTGTTGAATGTAGCCGCTCCAGTGCTTTGATATGCCCGCGGCATGCAGGACTCGAAAATCTTTCCCGGTACGGACCATTCAGGAACCCAGTCAATAAAGGGCCAAGTATCCTCATCGAAGCGGCCAACGAGTCCAAGGTCGTTAATTCTTCCGTCAAAATGATTTAGAATTGCATCTATCGTAGCCAGATACCGGCGGACTACTAGAATATCGGCAAAGTAAAGCATATGATCGTAAACCATTGAAATCCAATACAATGAGAACTGAGGTATCTGCTTGCTGCGGAATCCGGCGGGAAACTGCGCCTTGATCAGCCCATCTGGCCCTTGGCTTGCATGGAATTCCTGAAGAGTTTTTCGAGCGAGTTGATCATCCGAAGAAATTTGGTAAGTGAAAAGCATTTGTAGTCGGGAGTCTGAAGCAAATTGGTTTTGCTCATAGAACGGACAGTCCTCGAAGGTCTCGTGCCGACAATATTGCAAGGTCCGAAGACTGATTTTCCAGATGTTATCCAGCTCGACACCAGCACTGATGCTTGTGGGGATATCAAGAGGATAAAAAGTGTCCCGGAGGGTAAGACTTTCAAGGACCAGGGGCTCTTCGGCGGTTGTTATCTGCATCTGCACATAACGGAATGCCCGAAACCAGAATGGCTCGAATGTGTGTTGGGACTGGCCTTCAGCCACGACGTAAATATCCTTCATGCCATACAAGCGACCGTTGGAGTCTGCTCTGTTTGACTTTGAGCGAGGCATGGGGAAGGAAGCGATATCTACCCCAAGGTCTTTCTCGTAACATTCAGCGTAGAGTAACGTGATGGTAGATCCCTTCCCTCTGCTGCAATTGAGTGCAACAAATGCTGTACATAAAGCGTGGACCTCAATATCAACAGTGGCGGTCACTTTAGAGGGAATCACGGTGGAGCAACCCTCTTGCAAGAGTGCCTTCCAATTGTCTTTGGTGACTGGTCCCTGGCATCTGACTACTCCATCGAACCGCCCAGGTATCTCAGGGAGCTCTGGAATCGGCCGAGGAGCAAGTTTCCAGGGACTCTGGATCGGCAGCATTTTCACAGGCTGGAATTGCAGGACAGCATTTTCCCAGGCAGAGTCATCAAACCCCGATGAATTCCACCCTGTCAACTGGGATGATTCAGTCACCCTTTCGTGGTTAGACAGAAACGGAGGCCCAAGAATGTAATTCCATTCTGAATGGGGAATGATCTTTCGAGTAGTCTCCTCCATGCACTTCCAGGACGCATCAGTGGACAGTGACAAGCCCTATTTCATGCATGAGCTTATGTGATGGACATGTGCCATCTCGGAGTCAGGACACCCACCTCAATCTCGGCATGGAGCAAAAAGCCCGGAATTTCTGTACTGATTATCGAAGAAGAGCCCGGTGTAACAGACGAGTAACGGAGAACACGTGCGCTCAGAACGTTTTCACCCTTCAGCAAATAGGGCAGGATGTCCACCGTCTCATAGTGCCATCGCTCCATATAAGTTTTGCATGGCCCAAAACTCACGCGCTGGCCATTGACGAAGAGCCTATAGCGACTATCCGCGGAGACATGCACAATCAACTTGCCTATTTCCCTAGAAACAGACCATTGAAAGGTTTTTCGGAAAAGAAAATACCGCCCTGGCTGATTGTCTTCTTCATGGTAGGTAGGCGTCCAAATCCATTGTGCCGATTGAGTCCAGTTGGGCGCCATCGTGACGTTAGATGGCTTGTTGGCCTAATCGTCGTGATCCCTAGCTTGAAAGATTATCTTGATGGATTACCCCCTTTTCTCGGGAGCGTTGCCCATTGTTAAGAAGTCGGACGGCCCGTGGTGGACAAGTAGACGTGTGGACAGGTGCTCGGATATTCCGGGGCGTCCCCGCAAGGTGGACAACGCCACTGGATGACAGGTATACGTACGCAGGTGGAAATGGAAGGCGCTTCGCCAGTTTTATGTACGCTGGAATAATGGTATTAACTCGAGTTGCATTTTGGCCATATTCCGTTATTTCCAGACCCACGGGCCTAAGCCAACCCTCAGAAAACTCCTGTACAAGATGGTATCGAATCGGAACCCAAGAAACCCGCACCGGGAAAAGGAAAGACGAAATGAAAGGGAAGAAAACCGTAGCCCAGATAGTACAAAAAAAGCAGCAGAAAAAGGAGAGGGAAAACGATGAGAAGATTTTGCAAACGCCAGCCTCTTAATTCACCACCTGTCCTGGTTCCTGTACATTTCCCAAAGAAACTGAAAGAAGAAAAAGACTTGAAGGAGTGAACCAGCTCGGAGGCAGATATCAAGAGGATTGCACTCCCCCAAACTTCGATGCCTTTCCGGGAGTTCCCGTCATAAATGCTTTTCATAAATAAACCGTGTCAAATTTTCAAGCATCATGCTGAAGATCGAAATAGGAGCGTAGTCCACCGCGGTCAGCTAGGTTTAGCTGCCCATACCATTTTGCATCATGTTCTGCTGTTGCATCTGTTGAGCTTGCATCGCCACATGCGTGGCTCGCTGCTGCTGAGCAGCTTCCCGCTCGCGTCGCATGAGGTCTTGAATCCATGCCTTGGCGTTTTTCTCAACTCCAGCCCCGTATTGCTGAGCAATCTGAGGTGGATACTGAGTAGGCGGTCCGTATTGTGTAATGAATCTTTGAGTCATCTCGTGTCGTAGATGAAGCACTCGCTGCTGATAAAGTCGATTGTAACGCTGAGCCATATTGTTGCTTTGCAGATTGGGCATTTGTCCGCCATTTGCCTGTGCAGCAGCCATCAACATTTGCTGTTGTTGCTGCTGCTGTTGCTGCTGAGTCATTTGCGGACTGCCTTGGTGCTGATTCGGTTGCCCCTGGGACATTTGACCTTGAGACATCTGATTCTGCATGGGCTGCCCTTGAGGCATTTGGCCTTGCGACATTTGTCCTTGCATCTGCTGTCCCTGTGGCATCTGACCTTGTTGTTGCTTGACCATCTGCATTTGAGCGAACTGTGCCCGCATAAGTTGCGCTTGGTATGCTTGCTGGTTCTGCATATTTGGATGGTTTTGCTGCTGTTGCTGCTGCGGGTGTTGCTGTTGCTGCTGTTGCTGCTGCTGTTGCTGCTGCTGCTGCTGCTGCTGCTGCTTTTGCTGCTGAGCTTGCAACATTTGCTGCGAATGGATATTTTGCTGGGCATGGGCACTGGCCTGCATCTGAGCAATTTGTTGAGGCGTGAACTGGTTGCCCATTTGTCCCTGCTGAGCAGCAAGCAGTTGCTGTTGTTGTCGTTGCTGGAGCAGCATCTGCTGCTGCGGAGTGAGACCCATACTACCATTCATTTGCGGAGTATTTGCCATTGTGGCCTGGTTCATCATTGGGGTCTGCGCCATTGTATGGGTAGGGCTGCCATGGTTCATCCGTTGCGTGGTTGGGGTGACATTGCGCATGATTGGAGTAGCATGCGACATTGCCGGTGTGCCTTGGGTCATTTGAGGCGTGCCGTGTCGGCTTGGTCCCTGCTGGCTACGTGAGGGCGCCATTGGGTGACCCATAACATTCGGATGTCCATGCTGCATAGAAGACGGAGGCCTTGGCGGGCTTCCCGATTGCTGGGATGCGCTAATGCTCATCGGAACAGCCTGTGTTGCCATATTGTTACCAACCAGTGGTGAAGAAGTATTGTGAGGAGTTTGATTGCGTACAACTGGGGAGGACTGCTGCCCTTGACTGACACCGTTCGGCTGACTCATGGCATGCCGGTTCTGCGCCGCAAGCTGGGCTTGTGCTTGCTGTGCTGCAAGGTGCTGTCTGCGAGCTTCCTCCTTGGCGTGCTCCTCATTCTGCCGTTGCTCAAGCGCTCGTCGTCGCTCCCTCTCCTGCTCCTGTTGCTGTCTCTTGGCTAATTCTTGCTTCAGCTTCATCTCATGGTCGCGTTTAGCCTTCTCCTCATGTTGCATCCGAATAGTCTCGAGCGTCTTGAAGCGAGAGAAGCGAGGTTCGAATGGGGCCACACCGGCCGCATCATCAACCGCAGCAGCTTTTGATGCCCCAGCGGCCCCTGATGCTGTTGGTTCGAGTCTCTCATCCATAATGAGCATGAATCTCTCCTCTTCGGCAGCAAGGGCCTCGTCGGCAGCAAGTTCGGCAACGGTTCTCTTGCGACGCTTAGGTGACGGCGGTGGATCGGAATGGAGCGGGCTCTCCATGAACTTCAATAAGTCTTGAGAGGCTGCAAAGGTGTCGACCGGTTCTAGATATAGTGGAGGTGCTAGAGCCCGAACAATAAGTGATTCGCATTTGGCAAGATCTTGAGGTTCGACGAGAGTTTTTTGTCGCTTTGCGTCATGGCCGCGATCAGGCTGCGTTGTAGCCGGTGACTGAGGCATAACAGAGGAGGATTGGGTCCGCGTCAATTGGTTTTGATTCGTAGCCTTGGCGGCTTTCGGGTCGAGTGTAGTTACAAGTAGAGTCAACTCTGCTTGTAAAACACGGGATGTAGGATGAAGCACCGTGGTAAACACTCTGGGTTTGGGAGTGGAGGCAGATTTCTGGCATGCCTCGTTGGTTTGACTTGGAGTCTCGGAGACCTCTCCATTGGCTTGGCTTTCAGACTGATTTTGGCCAGGAGCTGGTGTCTCACCCGGCTTTGAGCTTTGCAGGTCGGTGGTGAGTTGGTTTTGTTTCGGATATGGAACAAATGCTGATGGAGTAACATGCTCATTGTAGTTGTGCAGAGAAAAGGGGGTATTGTTCTCGTTTGAAGTCGACGCGGAAGTTTTGCGCGCTTGCGCTGACACGGACTTGTGGTCAACAACACGAACGATCAGGCAGCCTGAGAATATGATGAGCATGCTTATTAAAACCCAATTATCAAGCGACACATGTGTTACCTTCATAAAACCGTACACCAGAACGCAGAAGCTCCTCGATCAAATCATGGGGAACAGTTCCGGCGCGAATGTGTTCGATGATGACTTTCATTTCCGAATTGTAAGGGAAGCTTCCGTCTTGCTGTTCAAATCGAAAATGCGTAGGATGGAGATGTACAATGAGGGACGGTGGGAATTTGGCGTATTTCTTGAGAATGTAGGACGTCGTTTTCACTGCAGCGCAATTGAAACCAGCCGTTAGTATGTCCAACCTCGCGCAAGGCATTGAGAAACTACATGGGCGTAATACTTACCGTACGGCTCTGAACACCTTTTCCCAGCTTGGTTATCAGTTCCATTTGTGCTTGTCCTCGTTGTCGGTCGACCAAGGCGGGAGGAAGCGTCACCAGGTCTTTGCGACTGGTTGCGAGTCCGGTTCGACGCCCCCTTGGCGGCATTTGCCACTCCCAACACGCCATTGGTAAGGTTTGGGCTTGAGTTCACAGATGTACCCCCAGGAAGACGTTGTGATGTGGTGGGTAGAGAGGACGAAGCTTGTTGAGCCTTGACTCCGTTGACCCCGGCCTGGGGGAAAGGCGGGGGCGGCCGCTTCATCTTCGCGGGATGGGAGCCGGGTTTAGAGACCGCAGTAGCCATGGTGATCGCGCTACCTGCGCGGCCGGTATGGTTTCGGCGGTTAAAGGATGCGATTTATCGGGTACCCGATTCGATGAAACTGGATGAAAGCCGGGGTCCGAGAAAGAATGGGATGGCCGAGGCGCAAGACATGTGGGGATCGGTAGGTCGGCCCTGGTCGCCAGCGCAGCAGAGTCGAAGCCAAATGGATAGCCAGCAGTCAAAGACGCCTAGGAAAAGAGAGTGGCGACAGCCATCCAAGACGTCGCGAAGAAGTAGGAGTCCGAGGTTGGCGCTGGTCGACGGAAGTCGTGCAGAGGAGGTGATGATGCCAAGCCGCGGACGAGACGTGACTGGGTCACCTGACAAGCTGTTTCGGGTTAGCGCGTAACCTGCCTGAATGGGTAACTCGTCGACCGATGGAATATACGAGCTGAACCCGTGAGATTGAACAAAGGCGATGTGGAGGGTTAGTTCGCTAGGGAGGCAGTCCTTGATTCTTTGTACAAACGGGCATCCGACGGGTAATCGAACCGGCATTTCATTCGCTGGGCTCACCTCACAAGTAAAACAGCACGCCTGTCTTTGAGTGTCGAACCATGGCCGACGTGCTGACTGGATAGCACCGATGGGAAAATTGTTGGCAACTACTTGAAGTGCACTCAAAGCAGAGGCTAATTTTCAATTGTGGTAATACTCTCACTTATTCTATTCCTTATTTTGATGATCGGATCACCTCGTAAGTGGGGTGGTTTTCATTATCAAAGCTATGGGATCAGGTCAATTGACAAGAGCGATTGTGCTGAGCATTTCCAGAGTATCTCAAAACACGCAAAATTAAACATGAAGACAGGGGAATCGAAGGGTAAATCATCAAGAAAGGGCAGAGTATAGACATGCAAAAGGATCAATATCAACATCAACGTCGTTTGAATTGGCCAATCGACCAATTCTAGTCGTGGCCATTGACTCGGTGTCGCCAGTCGTCGCCAACACGGAGAACATCTACGACGTCAATCCGTTTGCCGATACCAGTTGTGCCCTCCTTTTGCCACCAGCGTTCTCCCTTATCAGCAAGAGCCGACTCATCATCGCTGTCGATAAGTCCGCCCCGGCCACCCTCATCGCCAACGACAACAATGACCTGGCGAACCCAACCGGAGATGTGCTGGGCGGCTTCGCCCTCATTTCCAGTGAGGGACTCTTGGACGTAAACGAGGTCCGGCGAGAGGTGGCGCACAAGATGCACATAGCCCGAGGCGGTGCTGAAGGGCATGATCATGTTCTCCTTATCGACGAGCGCCTGGGCTTGAGTGTAGAGCGTCTTGAAGAAAGGGCTGTGGCCATCCAGCTCTTCTTCCTGGCGGGGCTCCACAGTCTGCAAATCTTTGGGGGGTAGATCTTCAGAGGAATTGGCCTCTTCAGTCGCAATGTTTGAGTAAGACGAGGCGATCGAATGGGTGGCACGGGATGAGCTGCCCTGGCCAACGGCATGCTTCACATCGGGGCCGTAGATCAGAACAAAGATTCGGGAGCTATCCAAGTCCACGTGCTCGGGAAGATGGGACAAGATCGACTGCGATGGTCAGCATAAAAAGGAACTACAGTGGAATTTAGTATAAAGAGGTCTCTTACCGCATGCTCGGAGGCAAACTCATCGGAATCAGCGGGTGACAGAGATGATACAACAATAGCAACAGTCTTTTTCTTCTTTTCGAAGGGCTGCTGGCCAGCAACTGGTCCACGTGTCGGCAGCGCACCACTCATAGTTGGGGTTTGTTGACCTCTTTCGGTAGCACGGGATTGGGCCTCCTCAGACCATCTGGTATGGTCCTCAAAATCGCCCCGATTTTCTTCCCGGATTGATGTCAGGGCATTTCCAACGAAAGCACCGGCGGCCGTAACTCCAGCCGCAACTTTTCGGCTGGCACCGTCGAAGAGCTGCTGCGGGCTAGGGGTTCGGCGCAAAGCACCCTGCATGCGACCCATAAAGGTAGGATCATATGGAGTGTCTCCAGGGACTATATCCACGCCCGCGCTTCTCGCATACCCCTCTGCACCGTAGGCAGGGGGAGGGAAGTCGCTACCGACGGTACCGGGGGGCGGTGGTGGGTAGGGACCATGTCCGTCGTGGGGGCGGTCGTCTTCGTCGTCGTCTTCGTCTCGTTCACTCCAGATCCAAGCAGCAACACTCAGTGTCGCAACTCCCACCGTGAGGGCGAGAGGGATCCAGTATCCCATGGCAGTGCGACGCCCGGTCGAGCTGAAGCCAGTGCCGGCACCACCGCGGCGGCGGCGAGGATCCTGGGGGAAAGACATTGTCGCGGGAGTGTCGTTTTAGAGATATCGCATCCAGAAGTAATTAATCGTGGTCGCAATGGGTTGCCAGTCACATTTCACACCTCCTGCAGGAAGGAAGGGAGGTGGAGAAGGGAAGACGAACCTCGACCTCGGGGTACGGAAACATGTGGCTGGTGCTGGGTTACCGCGGTGTTTACTCCCCAGCCCCGATCTAACGTAACCCGTAAGCGAGTGGATCATGTAAGCCAGCGGATCACTTACCCAACTACCCAGCCACGAAAATATATATAAAATAACCACCAACCAATATATTCAATTAACACTGTTCACACACTAATTAGGGCACCTAGTTCTCTTATGCCCTATATTCCAACAATTTGAACACCTCGGCGGCGCTCTCTGATTGGCCGAATTCGCTACCGCAGCCGCCGCCGTATTGTCTATGATCTCTGCTTCAACACCATTTGCCTCCTTCTCAATACGCTCCTGAGCCTCACCAACAGTCATCCCACCATTATTAGCTATTCGCCGATTTGGTAATGCCCTTTTTCGCTTTTGGTGGGCATTTTCAGCGCGTAACCGCTCATTCTCATTGCTTACTAGAGCAACCTGATGAATTGCTTGTTCAGCGCCCTTGATTAGCTGCTGTAACGCAATCTTAGCAGGACTTGGGGGCGTATATGAGCGTTGCCGTAGTAGTGTTTTGATTGAAGAAGCCTGCCGTCGGATATCAACTGGATGAATTGGCGTGTGAGGTATGAAATCGCGGCTACTATCACTACCACGGCTGGTTGGAGGGGTTGGTGTTCGAAGCTGAATATCAAGAATATTAAGCACTCGCTGTGGCTGATATGGTATAAGTCCTGCAGCGGCGAAGCTATTTGATATCGTAGCTGGTTTATATACCTCTGTACGCGTCTGAGGATATGAGGCCAGAAAATCAAGCTTATCAATATGATTAACGCCATTTCGCATCTTAGCCTGAACGTGTTGTCCGTATAGCCGTTTCAAAACAGCAAAACAGCCAATATCGAGAGGTTGAAGTAAATGAGAAGAGTGCGGAGGCATACAGATTGGAATAATCTGGTTTTGCTGGCAAATATCGTCGAATTGAGGTGTAACATGGCTTCCGTGGCCATCCATCACTAATAGCCGCCATACCCCATGTCGACAGTTGGTAGTATGCGGAATAAAGTGTTTTTCAAGCCAAGCAAGACCAATTTGATCCGTAGTCCAGCCATTTGCACTAACTTCAAAGCGCCAGTCTCTTGGCGGAGTAGTAAACCACGCTGAGTTGAAGTTTTTGCCTTTAAAGATAATAGTCGGCGGGAGAACATTAGATCGGTTAATACACTCGATCGCTGTAACCCACTCTCGATTACCTGGCTGCATAAGCTTCCTTTTGCCGTAGTATTCAGCACGTGTGACTACACGTGAAGTGCTTGCTAGGCCCATTGCGAAGCCAGTTTCGTCAAAATTCCAGATATCATTCTCATGAATACCATATTGAATAATGACCTGTCGGAATCGATCAAACCACTCTTGTATAATCTTCGGATCCTCACATAACGCGCGTTTGTAGTCATATCGACGTGAAAAGCGTGTTTTGAGCTCAGGGCAGCGTTGGATATAGTTATATACCCATTTACTACCAACCGACTGAGGCGTGCGTTCTCCACGTTTTAAGAGCAGTATATTGGCCATTTCTCGCACCATATCTTGCCTAGGCGCAACACCACGTGAATCCAGCGAAATTATCCATTTTTGAAGCGATTCCTCTTCCAATTGGGTTAATTTGTGGTTGTTGGCGCGTGTGGTAGAGCGAAACGCGCCTCCTTTCATACGGCGTTGTAGTGTGGTATATGGAACGTCGAATTGCTTCGCTGCTTCGCGAATAGAAGTAATTTCGTCATTTTTGAGAGCTTGTATAGCAAGTAGGATTCGGCCTTCCTGCTCAGTCGAATTTTGTTGAGATTGAGTGCGAATTGGTGGCATGGTATGTGGTTGAATAGGACGCGTTGCAGAACGCGGTCGGAAATTGGGCGGGTGATCCGCTCGCTTACATGATCCACTCGCTTACGGGTTACGTTAATGTGGAGTCGCTGACTCATCTATCGACACGTGATTCTCGAAAAAAGAAGCGGGATGCGATGCGAGTCATTGGAATTGCCCCCATTTGCGCTGCGCTTGCTGAGAACCACGGTCTTGTACAGCTCCGTTTCTAGCAAGGGGTTGTCTACAATTCCTTCTCAGGGAGCTCCACCAAAGCTTCTTTCGCGATTTCCAATACATCGGGCCAACAACGTTTCCCGTGAAGTTCCCCCACCTACTCGCGGGGCTCTCATACAATCAGTCAAAGACTAGCTCCAAGAGAGTCGCTAGACGTCAGTCAGGATGCCAGTACCCGCTTTGGGCTTCCAAGCCCTTGTCCTTGTAAGTATCGTTGCTTTCTGTCTGTTCCGTCGGATCTTCGTGGGCTCACATTGCGCAGTGCGGACCCGGTGTTTCACTCACGCTGGCGTCAAAGCCAGAGGAACTACCGAAAGCCCTCATTAATGTCGCTAACCGTCCTCTGGTGTTTTATGTGCTGGATTGGTTGGTCTCAACCCTACCCTTTTTCATTGCAGGGCTATCACTGACTTGTCTCGCTTCAGGCTGAAGAGATCGGGAGTTTCTGGTGCGCATCATCGCTTCCAAGGTAGTTGAAATTGATTTTGATAGTAAACTTACATGCCGTTTTCTCTAGATATCACGCTAATTACGCCTCCTTCCGCCGCTCCTCCCCTCCAAGCCGCCTTGAAACAGAACCAATATTTGACCTCCCTTCCCTCGCCGAACCCGACTGTCCTCGCCCCGAAAGACCTCGAGCTGGTTACCGGTACAGCAGAACTGCTCCGCCTCCCCGAAGTGCAAAGCTGCATCAAAACAGACTTCCTCCTTTTGCCTTGCGATCTGATCTGCGAGATCCCCGGTGAAAATCTCCTCGAGTCTTGGATGGTGTCCCAGAGTGCGCTGGGTGGTTCGTCTACGCGGGAAGGTCGTCATGCTCACGGCCCTATCTCTGGGCCAGGTGGAGAGCAAGGAGGCCGTCGAGGCGGTCTTGCGGTATACTACCAAACACAAGGCCGGGAAGAGAGTGTCAAGGGCGAAGCCACTGATTTCGTTGCCATTGCACCGCTTGATCAGGATGAGGCGCCTGCGGTTAACGGACCTCGGTTCCCGCTCGACAAACTGGTTATGTCCATGCCCATGGATACCGTGAAGGAGAAGATCGAGGCGGACAAGGGCTTCCTTATCCGACATTCGCTTGTGGAGAAACATGCGCAAGTCAAGATGCTTTCCTCATATCGGGATGCTCACCTCTACGTGTTCCCCTACTGGATTAAAGATCTAGCGCGTCATCAAGAAAAGTTCCAGTCGGTCAGTGAGGACTTGATTGGTTATTGGGCCAAGTCTGAGTGGCAGAAGGGGCTTGGAGAAAAACTGGGTATGAACCAGGTCCTGGGTGACAAGCTTGGCGGCACAGAGGAAAATGGAAGCACCGACGGCGAGGCTTTGGAAGAAGAGATCGATCTCCAGGCTATGAGCACGACTAGAAGTGGCTCGACCGTGACACTTACCCCGGCTCAGAACGACGTTTCCTCCCCTATTTTGGCATCTCGTGTGAAGTCTCCCTCGAATAAGGAATCCGAGGAGTCGGTCAAGGTTCCGCCCATTCTTGCCTATGTGCAAAGAGGGTCTGCGCCCTTTATTCGACGTGTTGATAGCTCTGCTATCTTGCTTTCTACTTCTCTTCGCCTTGCCAAACTCCCGTCTATTGAGGAAGTTGGTCGCCAAGCCGCGTCTCCTCTTGCGCACAGCAAGAAAATCGCCCACCCAGAAGGCGTGCCAAAGCGATGCACTGTCACGGAGTCCGACTGTCTGGTGGACATTAACGTGACGATCGAAGAATTCGCTGTGATCAAGGAGTGCTGTATCGGTGAGGGTGCGAAGATTTGCAAGGGTGCCAGACTGTCCAAGTGTGTCATCTTGCCCTATGCGGTGGTTGGCGAAAAGGCCGTGGTTACAGGCACGATTGTGGGCCGACACAGCAAGATCGGCCGTGACAGTGTGCTCAAGGACTGCGAGGTGGACAATGGTTACGTGGTTCCCGATGATACCGATGCCAAGGCTGAAAAGTTCATGCACTTTGGCGGCCTGGACGATGAGGATGATATGGATGTGTCTAGGGACTTTGACGATAACGGGTCCGACCTGGGCTTCTAGGTGTGAATTCGCACCATGAATCTTTGTCTTTTGTTTATTATACGCCATGTCTGATGAGATAGACCATATGACCAAAATCGACCGGATGATGCCCTTCATCCACTTTCTTCAAGTTCTTTTTACAGTATTTCCTCGTTTATCACGTGACTATGTACTCGCAATCATCGGAACCTTTGCCTCTGCCTTTGTTTCATTGGTACCAGAGTAGTATGCTGTAGCCCTGCAACTTGAATTTATTGCTTTGCAGCTCGCGCCATCATTATACCGATTCACATAGTCCTAATCGCAATTCGTCACTCAACTATGAACCCGTCAGCATACTGCAACACCTATCTCCCCAGATCATGGGATATGACGAGGTGCGTTCCAAAGGAGGGGGATTCGCAACACGGCCGGTCAATTGCACTTGTCAAAAGATCGGAGCGTGCTTTTAGTGACACGGAATAATGTATATGTACGAAAGGTGCGTGGACGACAGTATTGCATAGTCATCCATATGCTGTGATACTTCTCGGTTGGGTTGGATATATACTTTGACATTCCGAGGGCATTCATTGCTGGCCCACACGAAGTAATAGCAGTACTACACTAGTGTAGTAGTAGCGTTGAGAGTATTGCAGATAGCAAATCCAATTTCAAAATATTTTGTCAAGATAAAGTTGCCAGTGTCTCATGCCATACCTAGGTAAACTCCCAGTGGCCGCTTGTCCAGGTTGAATGCCGGTGAGATACGATCCGGACTGGCCGTGGAAAGGGTCGGCTGATCGCATCATCTAGGACGGTATCTCGAGTCTCTGTCGTGCCACGGTCATTTCTTCAGTACCTTGACGTAGTTCGATCACCCCGCCTCGTCGACACCCGACTTTTCCACTGGCAATTGTTGGTCAAGGTCTGACGGCGTGGTGCCGATCCTCGGGCGCTCCACCTGTCACTCGTGCGCGGAGAGCCATTGAGGGCTGGGATTTGTCGCCGGGATTTGCATGGAGGTGTCCGTGTGGGGTACGTGCTTTTGCTTTTCCTGCTTTAGCTTGTAATTTCTGGAAATTCATTACTTTTTTCGCTTAAGTGGTGGGTCGGTATGATTGCGTCGTATGATAATCGGCCGACTCGGGGGATGCGAGGGCGCGACCAGTAAGCCCGAACGAGTGTGTAGTGGTGCTCTGAAGGAATAGGAGCAGGAAATGCGGACTAGGATATGCTTGGATAATATCAGGATAAGCCCTGCAGGATCGGGGCCAGAGATTAAGCCAGGATCGAACTGCGTTAGGTGGTTTCATCAAGATCAAACAGGCTGCGTTTCCAGATCGTCTTTATTTTCCGTTACTCAGAGATTGGAGCATGATAGAGTTGGGCTTGCAATTAGTTCAGATTTCCTGTCGATAATCTGTTTGAACACCTGTGAAGGGTCGATTGTTCCACGGCTCACACACGGCTGCGCGGCCGCGCACCACCACCTAGAGAGTACAAGTTGTATGCAGCGCACAACGGCGCGATCAACCATCAACCTCCACCTTCCCCGGACCTCAGACGTGGGCCCCAAGGTTGCGGTGGATAGAGAACCCCCTCTCTCTGGTGCCCAGGAAAGCACCAACGCCGACCCTGCTGCGTGGGCAATTTCCTGGACCGCGGATCTCATCTCCACGCGATGATTGCACAGGCAACTTAGCGGCCAGGGCGACGGGCAAGTGGATTCCGCATTGAGCAGGATGCATTGGCATCCTGGCGCGATGCCCCAAGCGGCAATCCAAAGCGGACAACACGGCTGAAGCAATGCCAAAGTCCGAAATGCCTTCGAAGCCACCGCAAGGCAGCATGCCAACGGCGCTAACACGAGGTTGACGCATTCCGCGTCGCCTGCGCGGTCAGCCGGGCCAGGACGAGGCCGGGAGCTGCGGAGATGGATCCGGTGCATGCGGATGGAGCATTCATAGTACCTTGTGGGACGCTTTTTGTAGTGTAAAAAAATTCCAGGCTGCGAGTACGGAGGACGCAGTCGAAAGTCGCGGAAACGGGACAGGCGGCTGCAAGATGTGCGGGCTCCGACGCTTGGGTGACCCTCAATTCCATTTACAGGACGCGCTAAATCCGTCGGGAGTACAGATCGGGCCCCGCATTTTGAGGGAAGCAGGCTCGCGTCGCGAGGGCGAACTGTGGATGCTCCTCGAGTACTCTCAATGCTCATTATGGGGCCACCCGCTAGTCAGCAATGGCCATGCCGTGGCCCTCGTGTTTCCGATTGCAGATGCGCGGCAGAGATCGAGATATATGAAGGCCCGGATTTGGATGTTTTCGTGTGCCGCGATTTATGCTGGTTTGGGGCGATGTCGATCACGCGGGAAGTGTGTGGTGGATCGCCGTGGTTTGCAGTGGTGGAGCCTGCATTAATCTGGTGGGCGCGGAGATAGTGCCTGTCTCCTACCAAGTGGTAAGAGGGAGATTGGGAAGGTAATAAGACAAGTAACGTCAAATGGCAGAACCCTACAATTCCCGAGTATTTACTAGAAATATGGAGTAGTATTTATTGTATGCTAGTAATGACATAACCATGTTGTAGATGCAGAATTTCTGTTCTATGTATATCTGCCGCGGCAAGACATTTGGAAACGAGAAGTCCCAGAGAATGCAAAGCGGAGCGGCTGAAATGAAACCGTGTGGGGAGCAGCTTCAAAAATGGAGCTCGGGTGCGTCCCGACCTGATAAGCCCGTGCAGGGAGACCCAAGAGGTTTGGAGGCGTTGGTGGCACGAACTGCCCCGCGGATCGTGGTGAATGATCACGTCAGTCGGCATGCCTTTGTCCCTTGGTGATCTCCTCTACCCTACCGTCTAGTAGTATCTCCCGGTCAGCAGTAACAGCAAACCTAGGAAGTGCGAGATGCTATCTCCGGCCGCACGACTCCACCCCGAGGGGTCGGGTATGGAGTCTGGAGATATTCCCATCAGCCACGATCGAAGCAAACGGAATCCTCGAGTCCCGCCGGGTTGCAAACTGCCTCGACCGCGCACGGCACGGGGAAATGATGCCTTCAGCCTCATCCTCAATCAGTAGACGTGTAGAAGGAGGGGATGAGAGCAAATGGCAGTGTCAAAACGTGGAGCGCGGGTTATCGAGCAGCAGTTTCACCCGACGGGTACCTGGGTTGCAGTGGCGGCGTTCCATGGAATGGGCGTCCCAAGCAGTGCTCATGTGGGCATCGCATCTGCGAACCATCGCCTAGGAAGGAACTGGAAAACAGGCTGGGTTATCAAGTTCCCACTGGCCGTCCTGCTGGACAGGCATTAGGGTCGGCGTGGACATTTTCACTCGTGTCTCTCATCGGATGTCGCGAGCGCGGGAAATGGGTTTAATCTATTATTTCTCGCACGATCGCACGTGCGGTGCACGGAGCCGCCTGATGTTTCGCCGAACGCTTGTGGATTCGCGGTTGGCCGTGGAGAAAAAACGCCGTCGAAGATAGCGTAGCACCTAGCGTTAGTGCGGCCGCCAATCGCGGGACACTCCTGTTGTGAAGCCAGCTTGGGGCGGAGGCAGCTGGTGAGAGAGCGAGAGGATCTGATGGAAGACCAGCCGCTACCAGTGCAGGTACCAGGTCGCGAGGGCCGGCATACCTTACCTTCAGGTACCCTTGGAGGCATACATGCCTCCTGTACTGCACATCGCACTGGCAGTTGTGAAGTGGAACTGACAGACGGAAGAAGGTGGCATAGCCGAGCTGATTGGCGTGCAGCCCATTCTCAAGGTTTAAGGGGGGATGCGAGCACATCTGAGATTTCACAGTGCCAGTATGCGGATGGGGATTGTAGTTTTCTATTAGGGAGGGACTTATAATTACTATGAGTGCGATAGAGTATTTGATTTCATCGGTTATGATCTGGTTCATCCTGCTTTGTTGTATGATGAGGATGGGCAGAGTACTGTACAAGGTAAGTAAGTATACGGGTGCGCCCCTCCGCCTGCCACTTCCCCCTGTGCCGCTTCCCCTGCTTTGCGTTGCGCTCTTCCTCTTCCTTCCCCATCCTCCCCCAGTCCAGACGAACGGCTTCCTCTCGTAGCCATTCCAAGGATCTGGTTCTATTCTTTCTTTTTCTTTTCCTTTCTTTCTTGTACATCTCCGCCATCCTCCGCCCCGGTTCACTTCCCCTGCCACCATCGCCTTCTCCTGGTCTGACCACCTTTCGTTTCTTCGACTCGCCGGGCTTCGAGTCTGCATTCTGTTCGCGACAGCGCCTCTTTCTCTCTTTTAATCGTTGTACCACTATTTCTTGTTTATGCCCACGATTACTTAAACCTTCAAGGTATGGTTCCCCCTGGCTGACGCGTTGCGCTGCCGGTACCCCCAACATCGGACTCTCCTCAAGGAAAAAAAAAAAAGACATCGACCTCCTCCGCTTCCCCCCCCTTTTCCTTCCATTGATCGACAGTTCTCCATTTCCTATCATGCCGACGACGGCCGCCGATGTCTCGACGATAGTTTCTGACTGACAAAAATCGTCTTGTAGCCATCCGTTTCGTTCTTTGACTTCCGTCCCGACGAAACCCCTATCCCCTCTCGTGCTGTTTCTTCCGCGAGTTGCCTAGTCGATATCCTGGACACAGGGCGCTCGCGATTCCTGACTGCCACACCGAATCGACGGCGTGACCAATATGGCTGCATTGGTCCAAACGATCCCCCAACAGAGTGGCACGGTTCCTGTGCTTCAAACGCGTCCTTCCTCCTCCTCGGGCACCTTCGCCGGCCCATCCTCACAGTCCCACGGATCCCGCTATCAGAACATGTCGTGGAGCTCCTTTAATGCAAGCAACACTGGGGGCTACCGAGCGGGAAACCCTGTCGCGGCCCCGTATGCCTATGCCCCGAATCTGAGCCACTCACCCACCGCCAACAACAATCAACATCGCCAGTCGTGGTCCCCCCATCTTCGACCGGAGCACCGCACCTTTTCTGCGCCGGTCATCCCCCAGGTCCCAGGCAATCCGTCATACGCCGGTGCTACGCCCCGAGTCGTCAATCCTGCAGCTGGTTCTGTATCGACTTCTTCCAACTCGTCCTTTCACACTCATGTCTCCAAGGACGACAGCGCCATCCCCTCCAGGCAACCACGGGCTGACCAGCCCCTCCGTCCCCTCTCCACGGCCAACCTTCCTCCTCCTTCCGTTATGACCATTTCCTCCCCCGCTGGCTCGGCCAAGCCATCCCCTAATCGCTACCGTCGGCCCAACCAAACCGCTCGTTCACAATCCCCGGCCCCGGCCTCCTCCTCCGCATCTACCTCCGCCGACAACCAAGCCAACGGGGCCTCCACCGGTCTGCGTGCTCCGCGGTTTAATGGTCACAACCGGGGCTCCAGTGCCGACGAGTCGTCCAACGCACACAAACAGCCTCCCGAGTTGGCCAAGCGGTACCGCCGTCGAAGCCTAGGCAACATGGACCCCAGCACATATCCGGAACTGAATCTTCAATTACCGGTCTCCTCATCGCCGCCGCCTCAGTCGGACCCCTACGACTTTATCTCCTTCGATTCGAACCCACGACCGCGATCGGCTCACTCTCACCGCAATAGTTCTGGCAGCGTGCACTCGGCACATTCATCGACCTCTTCAGTAAGTCCTCCATCCTCTACACAGAGCCCAAGTGGGATCCCACATGCTAACACAGGCATCATTGTAGGTTCGAGATGGCCCTGCTTTTGACTCCAGCCCGGTGAATAGCAAGTCTGGCAAGTCGGAGGAGAAGCGAGTTGCGAAGCCCTCCCCATTGTCGCAGCCCGCGTCGACCTCTCCGGATTCCCCAACGGTTGAGAAAACGGAAAATGACGAGAAGGAACCGACCGCATCCTCCCCACCGGCCGATTCTCCTGCGGCCAAACGCCTGACCGAACTGAAAAACGAATCCTCCAAACGTCCGGGGAAATCACGCCTGCGCCGTGCATTTTCCTTCGGCAGTGCCTCCGAGCTGTTGAAGAATTCCAATGCGACCAAACGCGAGGTCATTGCTGCCGAGAAAGCTCGCCAGGAGGCGCTCCGAGAAGAACTCGGAGAGGAACAAGCGGCAATTGCTGCGCAGCAGGAAGCTATGGGTCTCGGCGAGAGTATCTACAGTCACCAGGGTGGTCTGTTCTCCCGGTCCACGGATGCCTTGTCGGTCTCGTCTACCGCCTCATCGGCCTCCATGATGCTGCGAAAGATGGGCAAGGGTGTCAAAAAGTCCGGCCGTTCCCTGGTGGGCCTCTTCCGTCCAAAATCCGTGGCTGATGTGGAAGGTGCCATCAACCCGATTACCCCGGAGATCTCTGTGGTCAATGTCGAAGCCGAGCGTGAGAGCGTCACTGTCAACCCAGACCCAGCCGATCTTCCTCGTGGGGGTACCGTGTTCCCCAAGGTGGAAGGCAGCAGTTCAGAGATCCGGCGATCTGCTTCGATCCGGGAGCGTGACCAGCGGGTGGTGTCGGACCCCACGACGTCGCGTAAGAGCATCGTGGGTGGAGATTCCGAGCGGGCCGCCATTCTCAGCACCATGAAGAGGGGCATCCTGAAGAAGACCCATTCTGACTTGGGTGTTTCCTCGCCTGCCCATGCCCTGAATGGCAACGACTCGCCGCATTCCAGTGCCCCGACTACTCCCGATGCCCGCCAGGCCGACCATGTGAAGATTGCCGGTGAGGACTACTTCCTCACCGAACCCGGGCGATACAATGCCACTGATGCCAAGAGTGCCCCCATCACTCCTCAATCTGTTGCGGGAAGAAACATTGCGTTCAGTCCTCGTATCCAATTCCACGATACCTGGCCCAGCGGCGAGTATGACCGTCGCGGTGATATTGCCACTTGCAATCGCCTGACGCCTCTGCTCGCCCAGCAGATCCGGGAGGAGATCAACAATTTCAAGATGGTAAGTTCCTAATCCTTTTCATTCAGGTGTTAAATTCGCGAGGCTAATGACTATTGCAGGAGATGGAGGTTCACGAGAACTCCAAAATTTACACGCACTTCATTTGAAACTGGCCGGGGTTTTCTTGTGTGGCCAGCAGCTGCTGGTCAAGCTTTGCATCCTTGTCCATAGATCTGCATAAAGTTCGGCGATTCGGTGGTGTTTGATGATTCTTTCCAGCTGGCAAAGCGACCTCCCCTAGGGATTGTCGGTTTCCTTTAATGCCGACTCTCGTTCCGGTGTTCATTTTTTTTTTTTTTTTAACCTCTCTTCCCCTATCTCTCTTTCTCTCGTCTTCATTTCCATGACCTCGCATTCGGGGACCCTGCATTGAACAAAATGGTGCGGCTTGTCTGCGAATCTTGCAATGTGGCCCCGTGTTCTACCTCGACTGTTGCCATGGGCGTTGATCTAATGAATTTTGCACCCTCCCTACCATCTACCGGGCGTGGCGGTCCTTGTTCAATGTGTCCTTGTTTTTTTTTCTCTCCATGTTTCGTTTTCCGCCGCCTTCTCTCTTTTCTGCGTGCATTTCGAAATCATTGTCATCGTGTACTGGGAGCGTGGGCAACTGGGCTGTTTCTCTTTGGTTTTCACTAGCACATCATTCTCCGTGGTCATGTCTGGGCCCACCTCTTTTTTCATTAGCCTGCTCGTCTGAATGCAATCCGAGCCTCTTTGCATCCGCCCATCAGGTTTTCCCTCCATCTGTAGTCTATTCGGTTTTTTCCCTGCCATCCCCCGCTTCAATCCGCAGTAGCGCGGTGGGGTGGTTTCGTCCTGCGCCGATAACACCTGGATTACGCTATTTCTGCCCAGATTCGGATTATGAGATTTGGTGTTGTATGCTAGTGATAACACTTTGACGTGAAAGAATGACCCAGCCACGCTACCATAATAGTCCGCTAAAAGCATACGGGGTAGAAGCCCAAAGCATTCGTGTATCTGTATGGTCTGCACAAAGTCTCGAAAGAGCCCCTGAGCCTGTGCAGACTTTGCCGAGGTCCTAGCGTTACAATGCAAAAGCTCTGTGCGTTAGGGGCACCGGGGTTATGCATTGATGTAGTGCTGTGGCACTCAGGGGCTGTGAAGAATTTCTGGCTCCAGTCGGCACTGTGAGCTAACCTGGATTATGCGGGGAAGCCTGCTCGCTTCAAGATGATGTGGCGCTGCGGGATTTTTATCACCTCTAGTTGACCCCAGAACTACATTAATTCTAGACCGGACGGCTGACGATCTCGTGGAGCATGCTTGTGCGCGAGAAGACGGCCGGCCGGATTGCTACACTAGTGTATTCCCAGCCATCTAGCCCGTCAGTTACTCAATCATCTACTCCGTTCTCAAAGTCGCATCATGCAGGGTCTGGGTTCATGCGAGGGATATGACAATTGCCGGACGTTTGGAAAATATTGAAGGTAATTCGAGAAATGTAGATCACCAAAATGGGTACAATGTTCCTTATGCGCCAATCAGAATGCCGAACTCCTGACCCAACACTTGTGAAGTGAACATTCGATATACCAGCAAGAATGTATCTTCAAGTAGCCTCTACGCGCTTGATATCAGCATCTTCGTCGACGATGACCGTGGTTTTCTGTAAGCCTTGACAGGATATCTGCTGCTGAAGATAGGGCTTAAAGTCCTCAATGGACTGACCTCGGTATCGGGTAAGGTGAAAAACATGAGCACAAACTCTAGGAAATGGAATACCACTGGAAATCTGTCAGCAAGAACGGCGGCCTGGAAATACAATAGCACATTCGCAACTCACAAAAAATGGTATACATCTTCCACCCAAGCATTTGCGGGGCCGCAGGTGTTGCGTTGATGAAGTTGGCGACAGCAGTGATAAGATCTTGGTGTATAGCCTCATTTACAATGCTATCGTGCGTCGCCACGTGGCAATTGTGGATGAAGACATCGCACAATGGGCTCGCGGAGGCACTGCAGGCAGTCAGCGCTATCCTATTCAATGGGGCGGTGATTCACAGTGCTCTTGGTCCGCTCTTCAAGTAAGTCTCCACGCAACATTGTCGATCGGCGCCAGTGGGTTCACCTTCTTTAGCCACGACCTCGGAGACTTTAGTGGGAAACCAGCACCAGAGCTTTATATCCATGGGCACAACCGACTCACCTGGTGCCGGTGATGAAAATGCCCTTGAGACTTGCTTCTTTGGACAGGAAGCTGTGGATATTGTTGGGCCATTCATGCGACAGCGGTATCGATTGCTCCCGTATATCATACAGCAGGCACATGCCAGCCCCCAAGCCTCCAAAGCCGGATTACCCATGGTTCGCAGCTTGATACGGGAGTATCTTAGTGATCGAAATGTCTGGAACCTCGAGGGCCTGTATACGTTTGGCTTTGATCTTCTTTTGGCGCCCACTCTTCAGCCACTGGAGGAAACGAACACGCATTCCATTCATCTTCCCGAAGGTGTCTGGTATGGGTTCTGGGATAAGAAGAAGTACGAGAGTCGTGGTCAGTGGTTTGAGTTCCCAGCTGCGATATTGAGTCAGAACCATGTGTTTGTCAAAGGTGGCACCCATGATGTGCTGGCACAACCACGATGGCGGGAATACAATGAGGTGGACGCTATTGATAAGGTTGATGTGTATGGTTGTCGGGATGGACCCTGGGCTTGCGGGGATGATCAGAATGGTTTAGTGGAAGTAGTAAACGACGCAGGTAGATGGAGGGTGATAAATCGGGCAAATGTCTAAGTAGACACATTTGAATAGGACTCGTGCTGTACCCATACAGCTAGAAGTATGGAACAAGACTCAAGTGGCTGCCGAGGAATCAATAGATGGGAAGATGGTAGATACATATAGATATGAATTGATTATTGTCTCAGAATGGACCTTACACAGTATTTAACCTACCTTAGCCCATTTTTATAATTCGGAAGAAATTCCACAACTGCATTCGCAGGCGGTTTCATATTGGCATGAGTCCCGCCTGGCTTTTAGCGCTGGGACCCCCGCTTGGGTGTTCGGCCAGCATTTCAGGCGGATTCACCCAGCAAACTTCCCTTTCGATACTCCCTCACTGCCGAACCTCCCCTGGATAGGTCTCGTGACATCTTGAACTTGGCGGCTGAGGCGAGAGAGAAAACTTCAGCTGCCATGGCACAAACACTTGACCTAAGCAAAGGTCTGGAGCAGCTTAGAGGAGCTCATCCAAGGTCAAGACTTTGTGGAAAGACCCAGGCATCACAACCGCTACAAAGGCACGTTCGTTGACGACGCGGGTCTTGAAGATTTGACTAATAGAATCAGGCACATTGACGGACTGGCTGCGCAAGTGGCAGAGTACCGATGCGCCTTCAAAGAGCTGTTTCCTGGATCGAGCTTAGAGGATCTCAAACAGATGCCACGAGCCGAGTTGCTGGATCTCATTAAACGTGAGTTTATTTTGGCCGCGGCCGACCGGCCTGTGCCTTTTCTTTTATTGCTTTGCTCACATAGTCTCACCAAACTCTAGAGTCGCGAAATGGAACCACGGAGTGCAACACCCTGACGCCGATATTTCACATGATGTCAACTCCCTCTCTTTGGAATCAAAGAAGCCTAGATCGTATCTGGGCATATCATCGGCTCACGCAATTTTCAAACTGATTTTCATTCTTTGCCCTCGGAATTCCTTTTGAGGCGCATACAAAGAGACGCCATGTGGTAGCGACAGACAGAGATCCAAGCCACCCACTACAAATATCGTTTTAGCACAGATTCCATTACCAAGGCCACAGCCTCAGATTAGAGCATTGCCTGCAGAAAAACCAGGAAACTTAACTTTCACACCCGAGAGTGATTGCATCGCTGCATACTTTACCTACTTCCACCCACTTGTATCCATGCTCGACGAGAGTGGGTTTCGCGATACCTATGCTGCGGGCATTCGAAAAGATGATGGATGGCTTGCCCTGCTCAACATTGTTTGTGCTCTCGGCGGTATCGCTGCTACGGACACGCAAAACAAGTCTCATTGTGTCTACTATTCGCAATGCCAACACCATTTGGGACTGACTAGCCTCGGGTCCTCCCATTTAGAGACAATAAAAACCTTGGGTCTGATGGGTGGTCTTTATCTGCACTATATCAGCCAGTCGAATCTTGCATACTCGCTGATGGGAGCGGCGCAACGCATGGCTTTAGCAGAAGGGTTGCATGAAGAGACGTTATCTGGACCAAGAAGCAAAAGCGACACGAAAATTCGGCTTCAGATCAGACGGCGGATCTGGTGGTCTCTGTTCTGCATGGACACGGGGGCATGTGGGCCGCTGTACCGTCCAGGCACCGTCGGGATAAACCTTCGAGCGCGACCATCTATATGGTGTCGCTTGGCCACGAGGTATGTCTTATTCATGGTTCTCATACCCTCCGTGTATCTGAGCTGACCTGATCGATCCTGCTAGAAGTCTTGCCTCTTTTAGAGAATGTCCGCTTTTGCCAGATCGCCACGAAGATCCAAGAAGCCCTTGCCATAACCTCAATCATACCTGCCACCGAACGCAAGAGCCTAGACCGGGAGCTCCAGGACTGGTTTGGGGATCTCCCTCCCATCCTTCAAGGTCATCAGCCCTGCTCAGAATCAATCTATATCGCTCGCACCGTGATTCGATGGAGATAACCAAAGCCTATTGCTCCACCGCTCCAGTTTACTCGACTAGCCAACCGTCGAATTCCATCCATTGCTCTCCAAGAGGATGAACGATTTTCGATCGAGCAATGTCGAATTCTTACAAAGGAGACCAATCGGGATTTCGCGGCCATTTCACGGGTCAATCAGGTCATAGGGTGGAATGGAGTGTGGCTTCTTTTTCAAGCTGTAAGCGTGCCGCTGCTTGGCTGTTTCCTCTCGGATCAGAGCATGGCTGATCCACAAGCCGCTATGGAATCTTGATATGTGCAAGTTCAACTTGCGATTGGCTTCCTTGCACGCATGAAGGACTGGAGTCCAGCAGCAACACGGACCTTGCATGTTGTGTCGCGCATTCTAAACGCCAGCAAAATGGAATGTGCCAGGTCGAACCCGCCCCTGTCGCTGTCAAGCACTGCCGATGGTGTCCCTAACTCGCAATGTGATGGAAACACTCGAACAGAGGATCACAATTTCTCTCCCGACGAGGTCGGTACTCACCAGCCTTTTATGCCACTAGACTTCTCCCTTGTGGGTGGTATCGAGGCCTCTAACGACCTCATGATGTCGGACGTTTTCACAGGAGAAGACTTGGACCAACCGACGATTCGAGAGTTTTGGAATTACCTGCACACTTCCAATATAGCCACCATGCAGCCCTTTCCCTTCTCCGAATACCAGGAACTTGAGACAATCGGGATGCACAATAATGAGCTGTTTCAAGCAAACTGGGGACAGATGGAACTGGGCGACATACCTAACACATGGAACGAAGCTGATTTTGAAGTTTTATGGAACCATTTGGGTGAGGGGGACATATCGACATATCCGCTCGGCTGCGATAACCGGTATATTGTTAGCTCGATGGCAGGTCATGAATGCCGCGATGGGCCGATGGAGAACGGGCGCTCAGCTTCTTCGCTCCGCAACTCTCCACCGATTCGACCACATTCCATCTGATCGATCACACAATCATTACTTCCTCGCTAATCCGAGACTACTTGTGCTATCAGCCAGGCGCATTCTACTGTCTCAGAGTGTGTGGGAAAGCCACACTCGGTCCAAACGTTCCAGACTGCACGTGTGGCTTTCTGTGCCAGATGCGCACCTTCTGCGCCCTTCAAGTCAACCCATACCTCGCCACCTCGTGCGTGCCGAAAGAGAAGATCTCGCTGTTGAATAGGCCAGTTATATGTGCCCCCACGCCCTCGCCAGACCAAGCCCGGCTTAGCGGCAGTCCAGAGCTCGATCTCAAAAGGTTCGGCACACGCGACAACCCCCACGAGCTCGGATGATCCTTTCCTTCGCGGGTGCTTCCAAGAAAAATGGCCGCCTCAACTTGTCGGTCAGCCTGTTGAGCTCTCCGCAAGAATCGCTTGTTCTGCACTCGGGAATAGACTCGTTTCTGGCTTCCCCGGCCTTCCCCCGCGTCGGGGACCCGTTCCTGACCCGCTATGTGTCCGTCATTGGTCTCGGCTGCAGACCCTGACGGCCTCTGATGGGCCACCTGACCGAATTGGCCGAGTTGTTTTCTTTTTCCCGGTGGAGCTTACCCCGGAAGCGCTTTACTGGAGGGTTACAGTCGGACCAACCCCGACTTCTACGGCTGGGCATCTCGCATTCCCCCGGCATCGCCATTTCGGGGTCTGCGTCGGTGGGCGCCACACCTTGCCAGTGCCGTGCTGCCCCAAGTTGCTCGGTCTATTCCGATCTAAAATGTCTCTTGTCCCGATATGTAGCCCCGAAATTTAAACTTTTGGGTCCCCTTCCTTCCTTTCGCCGCTCCACGTTCTTGTCCCTTGCTTGCCTTGGTATCCGGTTATCTCGGAAGTGCACTATATCTCGCAAGTGAGGCAGCTTGGAATTCCCCTTTCGTTTCTTTCTTTCTTTATTATTATTTTTGCCAGTTATCGGCCCATCTTTGCTTGTCATTTTCCTGCTTCCATACTCGAGAACGTGAGATCAGCAATGGCTTCCAGAAATTCGGACGACGTCGACGTGGAAACTGCCCATCCGGACAAGGCATTCGCGGACAATGTCGAGACCGTTGCCAATTCCGCCAAACCCAATGCCCAGAAAGAGGCGCCGGTATACGTTGCTGGCTTGTCTCCGGAAGAGCGCGAGATCGCCGAGCGAGCTCTTGTTCGCAAGATCGATCTGCGCCTACTGCCCATGCTGATCATCATGTACATTCTGAACTACCTCGACCGAAACAACATTGTCAGTGAAATTCTTTTGAGGCCCTCTTTTGAATGTGATCATCGCTGACCTTTTAGGCTGCTGCCCGTCTTGCAGGTCTGGAGTCGGACCTTGGCCTTCATGGCAACCAGTACGCGGTAAGACTAAGCAGAGAAATCTCAATCATCTAGAAAATTGATACTGACCCGATATAGACCTGCGTTAGCATCCTGTTCGTCGGTTACCTGTTGATGCAGGGTCGGTATTATCTCTCCACCAAATGATCGAAAGCCTGGTTGTCGCTGACTAGATTCCAATAGTCCCGTCCAACCTGCTTCTCAACAAGATCGGAAAGCCTGCTATTTACCTGCCCGTGGCTATGATGGCCTGGGGTGTCATCTCAACTCTTACGGGTGCCGTTCAAAGCTACGCCGGTCTTGTGGTGGTTCGGTTTTTCCTCGGTTTCGTAGAGGCCGCCTACTTCGTATGTATTCTTAGTTGCGATGCAAGAAGACGGAACTAACTGATTGTCTAGCCTGGTTGCTTATATTTCCTGAGTGCATGGTACACTCGTAAGGAACTGGGGTTCCGCACTGCCGCCCTCTACTCCGGTTCGCTTCTATCTGGTGCCTTCTCTGGATTGATCGCTGCTGGTATCACTGGTAACATGGACCACGTCAAGGGCCTGCGGGCTTGGTAAGATCTCTTCATGCCCCTCGAGCGAGAATCCGCTCTAACAATTTTCAGGCGTTGGCTATTCATCATTGAAGGTGCTATCACCATCGCGATCGCCTTCATTGCTATTTGGGTCCTGCCCAATTTCCCTCGCACCACTACTTGGCTCACAGAGGAAGAAAAGGACCTGGCTGTCTGGCGACTGGAGGAGGATATCGGAGAGGATGATTGGGTTGACAGCGAACAGCAGTCCTTTTTGAATGGTGCTAAGCTGGCGTTTACCGATATCAAGACTTGGGTTCTAGTATGTACAGGCAAATCGGCCGATGGATTCGAGTCAACTAACGCCTCTTTCTCCTTTAGATGCTCATGATTCTCTGCATCGTCTCCTCCGCCTCCGTGACCAACTTCTTCCCTACCGTTGTCCAGACGCTCAACTACGGCAACATCGAGACTCTCCTCCTCACTGCGCCTCCGTATTGCCTCGCTGTAATCACGGCATTCATCAACGCCTGGCACTCAGATCGTACCGGAGAGCGATACTTCCACGTCACTCTGCCCTTGTACATTTCGGTCGCGGCCTTCATCATTGCTGCCACTACGACCGGCGTCGCCCCTCGCTATGTGTCGATGATGCTCATGGTGCCGTCGTTCTATTCTGGATATGTGGTCGCCCTCGGTTGGATCTCGAACACCCTACCCCGTCCTGCATCCAAGCGTGCTGCTGCGCTTGCTGCGATCAACTGCGTTAGCAATGCTAGCAGCATTTACGCCAGCTACATGTACCCCGACAGTGACAAGCCGCGGTTCAGTAAGTATTTATTCATGACGCGCTTCTTTTTCTTTTTAACTAATCATCTTCTAGTCACTGCCATGTCCGTCAACTGCGCCACTGCCTTTGTAGCTATTATTTCAGCAACTATCCTCCGCTTCATCCTGGTCCGTCTGAACAAGAAGCTGGATCGTGGCGAGCACGTCGAGGGTGCCGTTCCTGGCCAGGCCAGCAGCCGTGGCTTCCGCTTCTTGATCTAGGTAGAAACTTGGAATCACAAAAATAGACCTTGTCTGCTTCCCCCCTCATCCCTAGAATATTGAACGATATTGCTCACAGTTATTATTATTATAGTCTTATGATCATTTGCTACATCCAGCTTTGAAATAAATATCATATTTATGAGAGTGAAAATTCGATGTTGACGACGTCTTCACCTCTACTTCGGAAGATTTAGAGCCATTGTAGCGAGAATATCAAGCATACTTGTTCCTCTCCTCAGTCCACTCAGGTCTCAATTCCTTCCCACCGACATTTCTCGTATCCAAAGAACTATCCGCGACATAGTTTACTCTCCAATCAATACCGATACTTGCACCTTGCTCCGTCTGTGACCAAACCGCAATGACGATCGTGTTCTCTCCATTGTATGTCAAAATTCCTGGTGGTACAGGGTAGACCAATTGGTTGCCGACATAAGGATAGTATCGACCGTACTGGTAGCCATTCACAAACAGCTGCGCCCGATATGATTTGGCGGAGTCAGGTGGTGTGGAGAGAACGAACGAAATAGAGACATCCTTGCCGGAGGGAAGGTCAAGCGGAATCCTAGTACGGAAAAATTTGACAGTTGCTCCTTCAACACGCAAGATCGAAGCGGCACTGTTCTTCTTGGTCGATGCAGTCTCCCAGGCCGAATCATCATAACCCGGTAGGTGCCATCCCACTCGCTCTCCGTAGAGCCCATCTTCGTTGTAGGAGCCACGAATGGGATCGATGTTTGACTCGCCGCCTGCTGTTCCAGCAAGTCGCCAGTGCGAGAACCCGGTGGAGGAGCCTAGAAGGCGGGATTCGAGGATTCCGCGGGGATTGAGGGCGCCGGTTGTTTGATCGTGACCATTGTCGTCTTGGACTACTAGCAGAATATTCGGTTTGTCCGTATTCAGGGTCACGTTCGAGAACGAGAGAGTCAGGTTTGCTTGCTCTGCTGAAGCATCGCCCAGGTAGGAATCGAGGAACTGGCCATTCAGCCAGGCAGACCAACCACTGTGCAGCGTTAGTATTCCGGGTAGTCCAGTCAGACAAAGAAGCTTACAAGGCGGAACCTCCTTGGACATTGATGAAAGCTCCCGTAGCAGTGCCGTTGAAATAACCGCGCCAGAGGCGAACGCCGTTATGGAACCCTGGAACAATAAGCTAATGGATTCAAAATTAAAGAGTGACTGACTTACCATATTCATCGGCATATAGGACTGGAAGAGTGGTAGGGGTCCTGGGGTTCAAAGTTGTCATATGGTCCGCATCTACGACATTAGCTTCATTTCGGGTGATTAGACTTGGAGATACCCAGTTTACTTACCAACCCAAGCTGGTCCAGAGTCATCATAACCGACAAGTCGCTCTGGAAGACTATCTTTAGACTTCCACGAGCCAAATTCGGGCAAGGTAATAGCTTTCGGAGCAGGTAGCTGGCACCTTAGACTTCCGTAATCGGTACGGTGAGTCTTGATCGCCTTCCCGTTCCAAGTGATGGAGTTAACAGCTTTCGGGGCGAATATTTCCATTGTTGTTGCATTGACAATGTCACCCGTGATGGAAAGCTTTTTGCCAGACAGACTAGCTCCGCGGACCAGGTAGGGCCCTTCGATGAGAACTAAAATGATTCTTAGTCAATCACTTCGGCATGATCTGGTATGTGCACATACCACTTTCTGTTTCTGGCACCAATGGATCATTGGTCAGTGCCGGAGCCCAAAACTTGTATGCAGTCTTTCTATCGAGTAGAACGACTCGGATCTTGTTGTCAAGTTCCAAGACCGACATTCCATATGGCTGTGTGAAGGAAACTGTCAAGCCTCCATGCTCCTTGATGAACTTGACTTGCGAGCTTTCCTGGCACTCTTTGATCGCTCCTTTCTTCGCACCCTTGACAGAGAATTCTCCCGATTCACCTGTAGGAACCCAGAGAACCAGTGTTGGGACCTTGTCAAAGACTGCATATGTCAAGACTTCCGCAGTAGAATAAAGGAGCGTCTCAGAACCAAAGCTGAAATCAGTCACAAGGATCTTGGACTGGTGCCCATTGAGCCGGAGCTTGCTGCCATGGCTTGGGACAGTGAGAGCTCCAGCAGAGGTGTTGATTTTCAGTTGAAACGCCTCATTTGTAGCGACAGAAGTGTTCAGGTGGAAGGTCGCGTAGAATCCAGCATTGGTTTCTGGGTTCCGCAGTTCGTATGCCCTCACGGCCTCGTTGTCGGTGTATTGCGTCCCGTTTCCAATCAAGTCTGTCATCGTCAAATCCTTCGCGCAACGGGTGAATAAAGCAAGAAGTTTTGTCTCGTAGTACTTTGACCCTATAGAGCGGTCCTCTGAGATGGGTGCGGAGTAATCGTAGCTACTCGCCGTGACTGGTGCAGCAATAGATCCCCAGTTCGTACCGCCGAACAACATGTATAGACTCATTGCGGTGACTCGCTGTCCGATGTTCCAGCGATAGAACAAATTGGCAAAGTCAGCATCCGAGTTCTCGGCACATCCACCTTCCGGTCCACCCCAGGGATTGTAGGAGCCGCCTTGGAATTCGGGCATGAAGGATGGCATTGTTGGTTGGGATTCCTGGAAATAATCGTAGTAATTCATAACTGAGAATGCGATGTATTCGCCATTTGTGGAAGTGCATTGGCTGAGATCGCAGGTCCAACACTTTTCATATCTTGCGTAAGCGTAACTGTTAATGCAAGGTGATAGAAGACCTGATACTTACAGACGGATACGAATCAACGCCGGCAACATCAACATTGCCTCCTTCATCAGACCAGTCACTGCCCCACGAATGCGAGTTCATGTTGGGATCGTTCGCTGTCAATGGGACGACAATACCATTCTCACGGGCATTCGCCTTCAGAAGCTCCATGTAGTGGATAGCCGTCTCGTTCGGGACTTTCGCAGTGGCACTGCCCTCCCATTGGTAGCCATACTCATTTTCGATCTGGTAGACAATAGAGTTTTCGCCATCGGTCACTTGGTACTTGCTGGTGATCTCCGACATCTTCGTAAAGTATGGTGACCACGCCTTGGTGTATCGTGTATCATTGTTCCGAAGAGTGCCGTATTCGCCAGTCGTTAACCAAAGAGGAAACCCACCCGCGTTAGCTTCTGCGTTCACATACGGGCCCGGGCGAACGATAATGTAGAGCCCCAGCTCTTTGGCCAGCTCGAAAAGTGGGGTTATATCGTGTGCACCGGTAGAAAAGTCGAGAGTTTGGTTGTTCGGTGCATGGTATGCCCAGCTCGAGTAGAAGGCGAACGTCGTGAACCCCGCTGCTTTGATTTTCTCGAGGATATCACTCCACAAGCCAGGAACTGGAATGCGCCAGTAATGGAATTCTCCAGAGAAAATGAAAATGCGTTGGCTATTAACCTGGAAGCTGTAGTGGTCCCACTGAACCACTTTGTTCAGTCCATCGTCTTTCAGCGGCCATTCGGTCGAATTGTTCGACTCGCCCAAGGCGAACAGGCAGAGGAAGACTGTGCTACATAAGCCATATATCAGATGCGTGAATTTCGCCATAGTGAAGCGACTCGGGCTGCGGCCGGTTGCTTGAATATCAGGCGATTTTGGGGCTCAAGCAATTCCGGTGTGCGGAGAGTCTTATAGTGCATCGGCTATGACTGCATTTCTCTAATTTCCGGTGGAGTCACCGCTGTCGCGATATTGTCTGTTAGCTGCAGAAGAAATTGGCCAGGGCTAAGCGAAGCTCCGGGGACAGTTAGTCGATACCTTAGCTCTCCCCGCAGACTTGTCCCTCGGCCCTAATTATCCTCCACTCAGCGGGCTCGAAAGCGCTGGGAAAACATCGATGGGATAACATCAATGGGGCGCACTTGTACGATCGAGCGCCGAGGAATAATAATAATAATACTAATAGTAATAAGATTTCGCTTTTTAATTCAGATTATAATATACATCCATATCGTATCCGCGATCTAAAGCCAAGCAAATATAAAATGCAACAGGCGACTCTCCGAAATGCCAATCTCGTGGACCCATTCGGTTCTCGAGATCGAGTTCAGTCCAGTCGGGAAGAAGCGCCCCACGAGAGGGCACTCTTTCCGGGGAACGAAGATCAGTCGGGCTGACTGAGCAGATATGGTCGGGTTTCAAGTCCGACGGAGTGGCGGGGCCAGGACAAGGATGTCATCCAGTGGCGCAATCCCTGTCGTGCCAAGACGTATTGGGATATAGTTCTGAACTCCGGGGACTCCAATGTGTATGCGAGGAAAATTTTTATTTTGCACCGGGAGACAACACAGAAGCGAGGTCTATCCAGCGCTATATTGCGATGACTCAGGCCAATCAAGCGCCACGGTCAAGGACACCGAACGGGTTCTGCCCCTTTGTCTCAGGAACATTGGGACTGGACTGCTCCGACTTGGCCTGCTTCTTGGCACCCTTCTTCGCAGGCACTTTCGAGAAACCCTCATCAGATCCCGACTGGTTGTTCGCAGCGGAGGCAGCCTTGGCCTTGTTGGCGGCGGAGGCCCGCGTCCGGACGGGTGAATCCTGAGAGGCAGTCACCTCGGCGATTTTCTGGACGTGGGCCTTAACGACCTCATCATCGGTAGTTACCTCGCTGTTCTCACCCTCTATGGCAGCCCTCTGAATTTCGCGGCTCAGGCTCTTCAGCGCATCCATGCCGGCCTTCTCAGCAGCCTCCATGTGAGTCGGCTGCTTAGAGGGCTTGCTCTTGAGGTAGGAGCGCACGAAGAAGCGGGCGAAGAGATAAGTGAGAGGAAGCAGATAAGAAACATTCAGCCAGATGGCGAAGGCTTGGCCAGTGGTGTCCACGCAAGTCACCATCTCCTGGGTGTATCCGGAGCGAGGAGTAGCGACGGCACCGCCCACGTTCTCGGCGATACCCTCGGCACCGGCGGCGCGGAAGGCCAGCTTCTTCAACCAGGGCACCACGCCGGCGTCGACAGCCGCAGTGGCGGCAGCAGCGGGAGCGGCCTTGGAGAGTTGGCTCAGGGCAGCACTTCCCACGGGGTAGGGGATCGTGTAGTGGACGAAGAGGTAGGCGGCGGCCATGTTGGTGCCGAAAACGAACTGGGTGATCTGCATGGTGGTCAAGCTACGCTTGATGGCGTTGGGGACGCGAATGCGCAAAGCAGTCAGGGTGTAGTAGGTATACATCATGGCGTGAATGCCAGAGTTGACGAGGGCGAAGATCCAAATGGGAGCCGCCATATAGCGAATACCGGCCCACATGCACATCATGGCACCGGCGTGGTGGTAGGTCTGCAAAGTCGAGCTCTTCTTGCCCTTGGCCAGGATAATCGCGGTGTCCACGACTTCGTAGAATTTTGACAGGTAGAAGATCCAGCCCAGGTAAGCCAGACCGCCGTTCCAAAGACGACCAACATCCGATGGATCGGGCTGACCGTTGACCAGCTTATAAGCCGGGTTGGGAATAGACCATTGGTCGGTAATGGGGCTATATGTGGCCGCGTTTCCGTAGCCACGAGGACCATTGATCTTGCACAGCGAGTCCACAATCCCAACCAGGCCATTGGGCTGATCGCGGTCCGCCCAGGAGTTTCCAAAGGCCCGGAACATGCCGGCAAAGGTCCAGGCGGAGTAGACCGCAAGGAAGACATTGTGCAGGACCACGAACAGTTTGAAGAGAGAAGAGTGGCTAAAACCCCAGGGCTTGTAGCCGCGGCTCTTGTTGATGCGATTGATCACCACCACAGTGATGGCGTAGACGGAGGCGATGGTGATGGGCACGCGCACATCAAGGAGCTGGGCATAGAGATCATTGGGAATGTTGAAGGGCTGCTGCCAGGAGAATTCCGTCGCATGCGGCGCCGGGACAACCTCGGGGAGCTCAGTGGGAGGGAATTTGAGGAGGGACGAGGGCGGCAGGGCGATGCGGACGGTGGCCGCACCGAACTCGGTGGGCAAGTTGAGGTCGTACATGTTTCCAGCAAGCAAGGCGAGGCCGTGAATTCGCAAAGACAGCTCACAATGCCAGTGAGCGAAGTAGGGAGGGCAAAGAAGAAAAAAACGACCCGCTGGGGAGGCTCCACCCGATAAAAAGGTGTGAGGTTATCAAAGTGGAGCACGCGTTTGTTGGGAATTGGGGAACCGAGGCCCAAATTTTGAGGCAGCGAGGCAGCAACCTTCCACGCCGTCCCGGGGACCCTGGAGATCATAGATATCTACGGTCTTTCAATCTGTAACGTCTCCTCGATTCAATCACTCTTCCTCGGATTTTAGTCCTCTTCTGAGTATACTTTCTGTCTATCATCCATCGTATAATTCCATCGTGGTGTCCTCCGTACTTTCTACGCTGGGGCGGCTTCCAGAAAATTCGCAGATGGGTCAGCGGCCTGGGGTGGCACTGCATGAACACCGTCCGACAAGATATGCAAGCAAGCATCATTTTCTAGAGGATCGACTCTTGTTGGGACCAATCAGTCAAATTGCCCGCGATCACCACTGTCCCAACATCTCGGCGAAAGGGAGGTAGATCAGATACAATGATCCGTTCTCACATGCAGCCGAGGCCAAGCCCGAGAGTCACTCGAAACGAAGAGGATGATAAGTATGAGCAAGCAATTGACATTGTTGCGTCTCAACGCGCGATAGAACTGAAGAACTGCTGTACAAAATATGCCGCATACTCTTCTTTTTAGCCGGATTTCTATTGGCGCCAGGCTTGGCGCCAGGCTCTTTCAAAGCAATGTAGTAAGCAATAGTATGTACAAAAAAAAAAAAAAAAATATTCCCGCTCAGCGGGGTTTCGAGTTGAGCGGAAGCGGCGGTGGTGTCGACGCAGACGATGACACCGGCGACTCGCTGGCGACTGCTGATGCTGCGCGTATATCCGCCCTCTTAGGTGGGGGAGGGGGAGGAGCCTTCTTGCGCTGGGCTTGAGCCTCAATGGTAGCGCCGGGTGCTGCCGTGACGGGAGAACTACCTGTCCCCGCTGCAGAACTGGCTGTCGGGGAGCTAGCGGTGGGAGAATTGGCGCCGGGGGGGCGAGGGATCCGCTTATTTGCGTTCGCCGAAAACTTCTGATCCTCAACCAGCGCGTTGATACGCGAGGTCACTCCGCCCAGTTTCTGTTTGCCGAAATCGATCTTGTCGGCATGTCGCTCCCGGAATCCTTGCGCCGGTGGAAGCGCGTCTTCCGCATCCCGAGGCGGAAGCGTCGAGGATTGGGACGGCGGGCTAGGTGCAGCAGGTGAAGACCGATGGTCGTCAACAAACGTGTTGATTCGTGACTTCGCCCCTCCAAGCTTCTGCTTTCCAAAATCGATCTTGTCGGCGTGTCGCTCCCGGAATCCTTGCGCCGGTGGAAGCGCGTCTTCCGCATCCCGAGGCGGAAGCGTCGAGGATTGGGACGGCGGGCTAGGTGCAGCAGGTGAAGACCGATGGTCGTCAACAAACGTGTTGATTCGTGACTTCGCCCCTCCAAGCTTCTGCTTTCCAAAATCAATCTTGTCCGCATGGCGTTCACGGAAGCCTTGCTGAGATGGCAGTGTAGAAGATCGCGCAGGCGGGGAGGCGGAGTTGAGTGTAACCCCGAATCGGTTCGCATAGTCGAGAAGCGGGACTGTAGCTCGTTGACGGGTGCGTCTCCGTTGCTAGCTTGGGATTGACCATTCGCCTGCCCGATTCCCAGTGCGGGGACTGAAACCCCAGCGTTCGAGAGGCGCGATGTGGCCTCCTGGTTGATGTATCCCTGGGACGGCGAGGGCGCCACCGGAGTATAGGCAGGGGGCGGGACATCATCATTCGATGCGTGCGTGGGATTGCGAGGAGGAACTCGAGGAGGCAGCGACGGCTTCGGTTTGGAGCTGGCGCTGGCGCTGGTGGACCCAGAACTCGGCGAGTCTAAACGTCGCGGAGGTGGAGGGAGATTGTTCGTACTCAGCCCAGTAGTGTTCACACGATAGGGAACAGGCGGTGGTTTAGGCTTCTCCACTGCCTCTTTTTCTGCATCAATAGCTTCTTGTTGTTGAGCATTCTGATGGTCGACTTGGCTTTGCGAAAGCGGGGCCCCGATGCCCCTTTGGTCCGAAGTCGATTGGCTCCGAGACTGCACTGTAGCAGCAGCCCCATGGTAATTGACGTGCTTCGGAGGGGGTGCAAAGGATGAAGGATCCTTCAAGGATGACAATGGCTGGGCGACATGGTCGGATCGGTCGGAGTCAGGGTCCTTCCCCTTGCCCATCCAGCCGGCCTGTCATGCAGGGTTAGCGGCCGAGCCTAGCGACGACGCCAAATTGGAGAGGAACCCACCACTTGATTGATGCCCTTGAAGTCATTGCGCCAGCTTTCCTTCTTGCCATTTTTACCTTCCGGGTGCCACCCATCTTTCATGACCTTGCTGAACCCACTCATGATGCGTTTGTGGATTGCAATATGTTCAAATTGTTGAGGAGACTTAGCCGGTTCAGTGACGACACTGCCCCCGCTTTCCCCACGTCACGTGATATACATGTGGTAAGCTCGTTGGCCTCAGGCGGAAAGCGGTGAGATATCCTCAACAATAACATCACGTATCACGTGATAGAAAACTGAGCCCCACTGTAAGTGTCACGTGGGAGAATCAAGTGAACCCAGTGTTGTATGCCAACGCTGATTTGATCGCTCTCTATTCTCAATTCTTACTTCGTGCAGATTGGGGAAACCTACTCTTTCGTCCCGACTGAGTTTTCCACTAGTGTAGTCTTTTCAATGACCGAGTCACGTCGCATTCCCGGTTGTTTTGTCCAACAATGTGGTTACCTAATTATATCTTTAGCAATGTGATGCGCAGCCTCAATATGGCATCGTGAGCATTTAGCTTTAGCTATACTCGTTATTGCCGATCCGACGCGTGAAAAGCCCACATTTCAACGTCACTGTTAATATACTACACGCCTGAGGTCTTGAGAACTCGAATCATTCGTGTTATCTACGAATGTAAGGCATGGTCGCGTGATGGAGCTCCAAGGAGGAGAGAAGCAACTCGGTCCATGCAAACACTAGTGTAGCCCTGCAGAACCGAGTACACACCGTGTGTAGTGTTACGGTAGACAAGTAGCCTTCCTAGTCTGTATTTTCTGAAGACAGCAAAATAATGATAGGTCGGCTCTTTCCACGAGAAGGATTCTTGTTCGTGTTTTTGGTGGAGAGGGAGGGAACGGTGAGGGCGCTATTTGCCAGGCATTCCATTGATCTTCCAGAAAGAGCCTGTAAGAATTGTGGATGATGCCCATCAGTTTGCCCCTGCCGCCCGAGAAAGAATGAGAGCCGCACGCTGCATGGGGCTAGGCGCAATACAGTTAGGGCCGGCGCCGATCTTGCGCGTTTGGCCCCCAAGGATTCGTGGCACACATTTGCGAAATAATTATAGAACAGCGTCACCTTTGCTTCGAGATGGGCAATATGCCCTTTCCGCTGTGCGTTTGGTTGCGGTCAAAGACACAAGGAGAATATTCTTTGTTTATAGAATGTAGAAAAGCACTGCCAGAAAACCAGCAAAGCTGGATGTGTGTTGATTGTCCTCGAGGCAACTAGCGCCGCCCTCTAAGACTCGCAGCCTCGTGTTTTGGCACCTTGAGATGCTTTCGAATTTCCCCCCAACCCCGAGGGCAGTGCTTATGAGCGGACCCCACTTGGGGAGCCGCTGAACAGCCGTGTCCCATGAGGGTTGTGACTGCACGCCCATCATATGAACCCCGGCGTCTTCCCGTGCTGCATCCGATTTTTCTTGCCTCCAAGCGCAACCCAGCAGATCCTGGTATATACGTACCGCAAACCACGGGTGGGACTTGCAAGCGAACAAAGCGACCTGTTATAACCCAATGCCCATCTGAACAGCGTCTTTTCCGGGCCCCCGAACATCCTTTGAGCCCTTGGTCTTTGTCCTAGGAAATTTTCTTAAAATTGTTCGACCGCCGGATCTCTCGTGTCAAAGATCGCGGCCAATATGGATGTCATGGATATGATCATCCACCTCGTCGAGAGGCAAGGCAGTCCGACGGATATCAACGGTGGTCATAGTGATGATGCAAAATCAAGCGCTGGCACTCGACCTGGACAGACAGAAGACGGACAGTGGAATGGACCAGTAACCACTTCCTCCTCGACGACAGTACCCGCACCACCTGGGGCCAACGCTACAGAAAGTAGCACACCAAGCATAACCACATCAACATCAGAACAAACTATAAGTGAGCAGCCTCAATACACGCCGCCCACACCCTCCGAGTTCCAAACCACCAACACTCAGCTCGAGTCGACGCAGCCGCTTACGAAGACAACAGCATCAGCAACGACACCAGTCACAACCACTGAGGCAACAAGTGCCGCGACATCAAGCACCGACTCAGATGCCGGCGCCTCCAGCAGCAACCTGACTTCGACTTCCACTCAAACAAAATTGGCCATTGCTTTGCCGATCGCCATCGTCGGCCTGGTCGTAATCATAGTTCTAATCTTCTTCTTCCTGAGACGTCGCAGACGTCAGAATACCCCGCCCGCATACGATATCGCAACCAGCCAACGAACTGCAGTCTCAACCTCAGAGTTAATGTCCGTCCCCAAACTAGCCACTCCTGAGCCAGCAGCATCAAGTGCACGCCAGCTTCCGGTATTTGATGTGTCCCAAAACCACACTCGTGAACCCAGTCCCGGATCAACTGTCAGGATGAATGACTCCCACACAGAACTCGGACTCGCTGTCACTGCTCCTGGAGATCAGAGGCATAGCGGATCAGAGCATGATCTGCATCGGTTCGGTGGAACGGCGTCTAGGACTTCTGGTACCCCTCGCATGCCCTTCGAGACTCGACATGGCGACGACGATGATGATGTCTCAGTCGTTTCAGATATGAATGAGCGGCGGGGCCGTGAGCATGACTTTGATGATATGTCCTCTGTCTCGTCCTTTGATGAAGACGAGCCGAGGACGGATGAGCATGAAAATCAACGTGGGCGAAGCTGAGGAACAACATATACCTCTTCATTTCTTGTTCTTTGAGCACGGCGTTAGGGTGGAACTACGAGTATAATCTTGTCGTGATATGCAGAATGATGCACATTTTTTTACATCACCTTCTAAATTATCTTCGGGTATGATGCACCAGACGTAGCCACATAAAGTGGTTTTTGCAATCCATGTATTCTCAAAGCAGAAAACGTTTCGTCCACCAGGGACAGACATAAACAAGACACCGTCTAGAATAGCTTATGTACAATGACGGGTTTTCTATTCTCCTGTCAAACTTTTGGTATCATAACAAAGCAGGTTTATCTGCCGCCGCCAAAATCGGGCTTGTACTCTTGGATCTTGCCCTTGGTCAGCTCTCGGAGGGCCATGGTCGCATACTGGCTCGACCCCAGTTGGAACTTGAGAATGATCGCCAGCTTGTCACCCTCGAGGTTCGGTGCATTGTCGCTGGCACTGTCTTCCTTCAGCTTTTCCAGATCCGTCTTCACGAACTGCTCGTTATCTTCGGTGTAGATCCTAGTATCGACGGAGTAATCGGCACCCATGCGGCTGAGAAGCTTGCGATAGCCACCACTGAGGCTAGCGTCCTTCCACTTCCGGCGCATATTGAACGGGTCCAGGCCACCGCCCTTCTCGCTGCCCATGAACTCGCGATAGAAATCGGTCATCTTGTTGGCGGGATAGATGACATCAAAGCCAGGCTGAGGAAGAACCACATCGAAGATCGAGTACTTTCCGCCCGCAACCTCTTCGGCTGTCAAGGCTCGCGCCCGGGTGAACATATCTTCCGCGGCAGCGGCACTGTCCTCGCCCTGAGGCTTGATAATGACCTCGCCATCCGCGTCGATGTCACCGGCAGGCTCAGCCACTGCATTGGCTTCCTTGTCGCGGTGCTCCTGGACAATAACCAGATCACCCTCAACTACCTTATCGCCATAAAGTCGCCAGCGCTGGCTGGCAGCGTAGTTCCACACCAGGGATTGGTATGCATGCACGTACATCAAGCGCAGGTTGCGCGGGATCGTTTGTAGCGCACCGAGGTAGTCAGACTTCGCTTTGCCCAGGTGACGAATGAGGCTTGCTTCAGCAGAAAACTTTCGCGGCAGCTTAGCCAAAGCATCGTTGATTTTACCGGTGGTGTGGAAGATATCAATGGCCTCGGCACGCGCCTTGTCATCCGAGCTAATCAACGCCGTAGACGCTTCGCCATCCTTCGCTGCAGCGAGAACGTGCGGGGCGAAGTAGAGGATCGAATCGACTGCTCCCTTGAAGTCGTCCTGCAGAATCTTCACACCAATGGTATCGGTACGGGTGGAGAAGGAACCAAAGCGCTGGAGGCCGTAGTAGTTGAAGTATCCTCGCTCACAAACGTTCTTCAGAGCGGTGCCGACAAGTTCGTTGGTCTTGGCGATGGCGGCCTGGGGGTCTTTTAGGTCCACACCGGGAATTTCAGAATCACGGAGCGTGATCACAAACTCGTTTCCATTTAGATCTCCAAGTTCGAGACCATGCTTGCGGTACTCAAAGTCACCCAGCACGGCATTCCGAAGACCCTTGTTCATACTCGCGAGGCGATCCGCGTGAGCACGGAGAATGCAGGCCCGTTGAGCGGTCGCGCCTCGTCGGTCCTTGGTACCGGCAAACTGGAAGCCCTTAGGGTTCATCTTCAGCGAGCGCGCAAGGAAGGAAATCACTTCCATGGTATCCTTATTCTCCTTATAAATCGTGAAGTGCAGGTATGGTCCACCGAGTTCGTCCCAGCTCATGCGACCACCGTCCGCGGCACGGCCACCGCGGGCAGCACGTCCCTGAGGTTTACGATTGAAGCGATTGTTGGCAGCCGTGATGGCGAGGTTGCCCTCAGAGTCGGTGGAGGATTCAAGCTGCGATCTGAACACACGACGGATGGTCTGATGGATCTTGGTTCGCACATCCCGATCCGAGACAGACACCGTCACCTGGCCGATATCCGCAGGTCTCAACTTCGGGTTCGACATGGCGCGCTTGTGCAGGGCGATAACGGTCGCAGCATTGTCATTGCCAAGGTATTCTCCGAGCAACACGTTGTCTTCCTCCGACACAGAGAATTCGGCTGGAGGTTCTTCTTTCGCGGGCTCTTCCGTTTTTTTCTCGGTGGATGGCTCCGGCTCAGCGGGAGCCTTATCTTGTTGCTTCGAGGAGTTCGGCGCGGTTATGTTTCGGAGGTGCAGAACCTCGCCGGATGGCAGGATTTCGTTGACCAGGAAGTCGGTGTACCTGCATTCGGCGCTGAGTCAAAGGATGAAAAATCTATTTGCTGGTGATCTCTTACCTCTTCTTCAAAATACCCGAAAATCCTTCATTTTCAGGAGTTACGAACTCGGTGATACCGACCTCGAGCTCCTTCAGCACCTGGGAATTTTGAGCCAGAACGTTGGTCTCAGGCTGCACTTCTGCAGCACCATCGGTCGCGGTATCAGCTTCGGTCTTCTGTCGCTTTCGCGGCGACTCCACGAGTTCTGGATGCTCCATTGCGCCGGGTTGGAAGTCGGACGAAGTGAAGCTGAGAAGTTTCATGCATCTGGTACAGCGTAGGGTTAGCCCTAACTTCCTAATCAGGAAACAGCCACCCAAGCCCGACCTGAGCTTGTAAAGGACAGAGCACGCCGCGAAAGCACCCAGTTAGCTTCGCCCTAAAATGTTCAATCCATTTAGGCGAAACGCGGGCGTAGCCTGGCAACGAATTGGACTCGCCTCTGAATTGCCGGATCTTCACGACGACGAGGGTTACCGGATCGCACCGCGATGCAAGGCCTTCAACATTCCCAAGGAGGGCGGCTCATCGGAGCCAGTGGAAGACATTGACATGCCTGGTGATATGAAGGATCAGGTTCTCGTGTTCAAATACAAGGGCAAGGTCCATGCTGTTGATCATGTAAGTGGACACCCTGGGATGCGACCGCCATGCAGGTGGGATCCGACTAAACTCGTATATAGCAATGTCCTCACTCAGCATTCCCGCTGTCACAGGGCAACCTATTTGACATTGAAGACTTTGGCATTACTCTGAGTACCGGTATCATGTGCCCAAAACATGACTGGTCCTTCGATATTATCACGGGCAAGGCGGATCGCGGCACCTACAAGCTGAAGGTGTGGGAGGTTCAGCTGCGAGATCCCCCAGCCGGTGCCGAGGATGATGACAAAGAAGTCTGGGTTCGTCGAAAGCAGCGCATCGGCTGAGATTTGGATGGCCCTGAATGGGTTCTATTGCCCATTCATGATAAGTAATCCATGTGCTCGCCGTTCAGCCTAGAGGCTGTGCACTTCCCGAGGTCGCACATGGAGCTAGCCAGCGGTCTTCTAGCAGACATGACCGCTTGCAGGCATGCTCAAGTGGCATGATATGGTTATCTCTGCCAATCTCAAGCGCAGCAACCAGCTTCGGACCCTCGTCAGATTACAATCACCGGCGCACAAGAGTCGTCGATCTCTAATTGGTATGCAGAGTCGCGTGTGCTCTCATGTCAATTTCACGTTTGGTGGTTGAATGTGCTGGTCCACAGCTGGGGGTTTCTTTTATGCCCTTGCGAATATCGCAAAACGCCATACGTTCATGTATTCTGTACAACTGGGACCTCATAATCTTCTGGATCACAGGTACAGTTGAAGTATATATACACTAAAGAATATACATTGCGTTTCGAGGCAATATCAACTATAAACAATGTGAAAGGGGAAAACCCCATGATCAACCAAATAAATACTTCTTCCAAGTCTGCTTCCATGGTTTCCACGTCCCGCCAAATCGATGGTTGACGCACGCGTGGGCGCTCTGGAAGTTCTCAGCTCCGCTGTGTCTCTGTCCATTACCCCAGGCATTGACAGGCAACACACATAGTCCACCCAGTTCAGCCCCATTCTTAGCCTCCATACCCTTAGCACAGCGGGGATCAGAGATTCGGTGAAATGGAGCCCAGGTCACACGCTCCGTGAGACCACCTGTGGATGGTGAAATGAGATCGCCCAGGCCCTTGTCTGCTGCCACCGATTCGGAAACAAAGGGGTGCGAGGCTGGAAGGGTGTTAGACAACACATCTAGTATGGCATCGGTAAAGACACCAGGCCCGGTGATTTCCAGCGTGGTCAGTTCATTGTACCGTGCTCCCAGAAAGATGTTGCTCTCGTCAAGATGACGCTTTGTGTGAGACAAGACTCGTACAATCACTTCTCGCAGAAGAGGGCTGAACCGACGCGGTGCAAAAATGGTATACTGAATGAAGCTATAGCTTCGGACCCAGTGCCAGTCGCGCATCTTCTGGGGCGAGGCAAAAGGTTCGTCGATTTCAATGCCCACGACGAGGGAGATATCAGGATCTTCGGTTTCGAATACGGAGTCTTGAAGCGACGGACATTCCTTAATCGATCGCGCCGGAAAGATATCCCCGTCGGCATAGTAGCCGCCATGGTACCACAGTATCAAGTACCGCAGTAGATCTGCCCGAAGGACGTGGTGGGGATAGGCATGGTAGAGGCTCGCGAGGCCTGGTATAGAGGACAGCGTGATTGTCACGAATTCCTCGGCCCATTCAGTGGTGACGAGCTGGATTTGGAGTCAAACTGAAGCCCTGGGGATAAAATGCATATACTGGCCATTGGCACTCACCTTGTACGCCCATTCCGGGTTCTTCTCCTGGAACTGTAGCGAATCGGCACCTCGGTGCTCCGCACTGGGCTCTTTGCCAAGGATAATCTGCCATATTGTCTCCGATGGACCGCCTTTGCCATGCAACGCCACCTGTCGGCGCTCGATATCGCGCAGGGCCTCTGAGAGCTGCCTCTCATAGGCAGTATCGGGGTTTTCGCGGAAGGCGGAGCGATACAGGTACCGTGGGCGGTCGCCCACATCGGCATCCTGGCGGTGCGACCCGAACGGGAGACCCCTGACGAGCACCAGGAGGACCAGCAGAGCTACCACGGCGACATACTTGTGCCGGCTGCTCAAGAAGGGCCGGAATCGCCTCAACATAGTGAGCGATGAGCCATGATGTGGCAAGTCAGGGACCTTCGACCAGCGTAAGATATAAGAGAAACTAGCGTGGTCTGGGTGGACCCTGCGGCGTGGAGTCGCCATTAGCCCGGAAAGGAAAATGCTTATGCAGATAATGCTAAGAAGTACAGGGTACCCTACCCTATACTGCCCCGCCAGCACTATGTACACACACGAGTGTAGTCTTGTTAGTACTAGTATCTTGTTATAGGGAGATAGCAATGGGGTATGGCGGGTTGTGGAAAATCGCAGGGTCCAGTTGCAGGCGGTTCTCAGCGACTGGTGTCTGCGATACTTGATTGAAATGGCCGAGAGCTCTCAGGTTCTGCGCTGGTACCCGGGACTGCCGTGGATAAGTGAACACTTCGAACTCAGTATCCTTGAGAACTGAATTCAACCGACGGGGTCAAATGGACATCAAATGTACGAATAGCTGCAGGGTAATATAGCCAGTTTTCATCTATTAATCAAGGTATTCAGCAACTAGCAAACAGGATAATCAACGTAATTCAACATATCATAGTATCGTACAGACTTCTAATGTAGGAAGCGAACAGTGCCACTAAGTCCTCCCGCTTACAAACAAAGACTCTATGTTCTAAAGCTCCACGAGAGATTCCGAAGATTCTAGAGAGACTAGGGACTCCAGCGACGCCAGGGACTCTAGGGATGGAGATCTTGACGATCTCACAGAAATTGGGGGTGACTTTGATCGCTCCTTCGGAGCCGGACGAACAGGCAGACTTTGTTCCAGCAATTTGTTGCTTCTGGTCTCCCAGGCCTCTTTAATAGCTTGGACTCTTGGCAATACTTGCTTGCGAGCATTCACTCGATTAGTTCCGTTTTGCAGAATGGCGTCGTAACTGGTGTGAACATGTCTGATATGGGCCTCTACGGCCAGGGAGGCCTTGGTTTTGTCGGTGACCATTTCTGTGCGGCCCACGCGTCGTGAGCCTTTGAGAAAAGCGTGATTCAAAACGCTCTCAAGGTCATCATCTGGCATCGAAGGGAACTCTTGACACAAAAGTGCTCTTGCTCGGGACATGGTTTTGGTGTCGCGAGATTCAACAGCTTTGGCACGAGATTCTGCGGTGGCATCAGCCATTTGCAAGACCTCTTTGTGAATTGGATCGGGGACCCGGATGCCAAAATTGCGTCTGCCCGCTTTGTCCTGTGGGCTTGTCTTAGCATTGAATGGCATTTAGAAAGAACACTGGAAGCGCAGACCCACCCAAACCGTGTAGACCATTTTGCCAGACTCCTTGGTCTTGGTGCGACAATTTCGCGTGATGTAGACATTGCCTTTGGGGGCAAAAGCATAGCCATCGGGCATTTTCGAGTTCTGCATGACATTCTACAGCATGTTAGGCTATAGCCTGCGAGAGATCATATGATGCCATGGCAGCATCTGACGAGATTATACGTACCTTTTCAAGAGGATCATCTGATTCCAAAATGAAGACTTGCTTGCCCCGTGTCTTCGGTGTCAGCTTTTGCTTTTGTGGGAGCGGGCGACTCAAGTCCGAGTGCGGCATCCGATCGGCCTCTCCGAGTAACGAGTGAAGCGGACCACCGCGACCGGGGCGATTCTTCTTGCGTCTGTTCTTCTTGGCTCCCACCTTACGTGAAGCGTTCCGTTTGGGAGGCATTTTGGTGGAGAGTTGTAGCCGGCGGGCGCAGGAAGGGAGATTTGGCAAACAAGGATCAGGACTTCAGTGAAGGTGATGGACAAAAGGTCATGACCTGCCCGGGCGTGGTAATCATTCGCGAGGTCACATCCCCTGCCGTGTGGTGTTGATGCACAAGTTGCCTTGAGGGATTCGGGGAGTGTTTATTTGATGTCTTTGTTCGACCCGCGCAGAACGCGGGCGGGAAGGCGCGCAGGCCTGATTCGGCGGGCCACCACGAGCAGTGCTGTTTCAATGCACCGCAGTCTATTTTCCCTACCACAATGGATTCCCAATTTCGGTTGTCTATAAGAATAGACTGGCTGCCTACGTCAGATAGTCGCTGTTTTACTAGATATCTCAAGGAACTCGTGTTATCTCTAACAGAAGTCGTTGAGGAGCTGGGAGCTGGCAGTATGCATTCAATTCGAGGTCATCCTTTCCGACCTAACCGAACAGTACCGACTATATTATGGCATTTTTGAGCCTCTGAGGTATATGACATGCCAGTTTGAGTTTCTAATTACTTTCGTCCTGTGGAGACCGTCTGCAGAGGCGTTTCATACCCATCTTTCCACGCCAGTCCGGATCATGTGCGAAGTTTCGTCAAGCCCAGCGACGATGCTTCACAAGATGTTGCTTCATGGATGCACCCTTCATCATACGCACGCTCTTTGCGTAATTGCTGGTTCCGTGGGTTGGATCGCTATCGGTGGCATTGCCAGCTCCACAAACGGACCCAGCATTGTAGTCGCCGAGCGGTCCATTGATCGGGATAAATCCGGAGTTGGAAGAGTCATTCAGCATGTTCTCTGCAGCCTCCGGCAGCCATCCGTTGATGAAATCGCCATGGGTACAGTAGGATGGACCACACGCGAGCTCTAAAGGCGGCCGTCCTTCCCAACCATCGGGCAGGAGCTTTCGAAGGTCATAGCGGATGGAGAAGCGGAGCTGGGGAATTCGGTACATGCCCTTAGGACAGTGGTTTTCGCCGTAGTTAGGGAAGTAGTTCGGGCTCTCAGAGTACGCCGACTCGAGGGTCTTGGGGTTGGCGCAGTCGTGGAAGAGAAGCAGGGTCTGCAGGTGTGTCGAGCAGGTCTTGGTCGGGAACGCAGCGTCATCCTCATTCTCATCCGAAGGATCCCCCTCGCAAAACCACTTGACGCCCGCGTTGCCTTCGATATCGTCTTGCGACCGGGCGGAGACGTTACCGGCAAGATCTTTGTAGTTCTGTGGGATGGGGATCTCGGCCGAGTTCAGATTCTCGTAATACGCGCTGAAGCGCATCGGCGTGATGGGTCTGTGGGTACCATTCTGGACCAGGTAAAGCGTGGGAACCCCTGGAGTGTGTTAGTGGGACGGTGTTTGTACAAATGGGAGAGAATCTCGAGGAACGAACAGTATGTCGAAAAGTCATTCGGGTTCTCGGTGCTTGAACAGCCCTTCTGCAGCTCAGCAGATGTGGTCGTGTTGACAGTCACGGCATCCGAGCCAAAGAAGCTATGCATATGGCTCGTATACTGTCCTGGTAGCACAATCGGATCGATGTTCTTAAACATGAACAGATCGGTGTTGGTGACGGTATAAGCTTGGGTCAGGCCAGCTGCCCAAGCGGATAAAGCAATGAATGAACGCATGGTCGAGGCGGGTTCTCAGAACATACCACGAACACAAAGAACGAGTGATGAGAAACGTAAAAGAAACAAGATGAAAAGAAGAAAGTCAGGTTGGAATACAGAAGAGAAGGGAGGTCGAGCACGGCGCTTAAGAAGTGCAGCGACGTACACTAGGGTCGTGTACTAGGGCTTCGGCTTTAGGATGTTGGGGCCCAGCCGACCTTGCCCAGTGGACCCTTTTTCATTTATCGAATGACCGTTGTTACAGCAGCCGTTTCAACGGGAAAAGATGTTTGAAATACCCCTATCTAGTGGGCCAACTCCAATGGGTTAATCAATCAGTACGTTTCACCATCCCGCTTGGCACCAGCTCAGTGCCGTTGTCGAGAACGGGTCCTGCTGGATTTGCCGACGAAGCCATCGGTAGGTCACGGTAATGGGAAGCATTGCGTGGTCCTGTTAATCATTATTCATTTCTGACTGCTCTGGCAGTTTTTGTTGATTGCTTTCTGTTTCGAATTTTTTCCATGCTTGTGGTACACCGGTGTGGCGTATGATCTGACGGAGAAATAACAACGATAGCATTTCTTGTTGTCTCGAGTTCATACCAAATGCCAATGCACCGTGGCTCATAGTACATCTGAATAAGCCGACCGTTGAATTGAGCCTCGACATGACATATTGGCCATTCCGGAGCGCTCCGTGCTTGACAGGTGGTTCTGTGGTGTTTCGGAGCAATCCTCACCGGCTGCTGCAACGGCTTGAAATCCACATGCACCAATACATCGAACCTCTTCGCAGGCCGCAGTGGATGCAATGAGAACCCTTGATGCCAGTCGTATGACTTTTTTTGAAATGGGCTGGCTGGTCTGTGGAGCAGAGTTCGCCGGCGACAGAGCATGCCTTGGGAGTTAACCCTGCCTGTTTGTAGCCGGAGTCACCACACTCTGGGCGTTTGCGTTAATGGCGAGTTGATCTCGAAGACCGAAGCTGGCAGATCTTGTTTCGCTTTGGTTGACCGGGAGATGTTTGCAAACGAAGGTGAGAGTTGAAAGACCAGGGCAATAACAAATGGCGGCTATGAGCTGGTGGGTTCGGGAAATCCGAGCAACAGTCAAAGTCCTGATCCTACAGACGCGATGCACTGAGAAGACACTGTAGTCGTATGTGTATCTTCCCTGCAGTGTGCGAGAAACCTAGTAGAGCCCCTGCGGTGATGTTGACTGTTTTGTCTTGGGATTACTGTGATATGGTTTTGATCGCACGAAGAATGAAAATTTTCGTTAGTCTTCTTTTCGCTCTGTTATCTGTTTTTATTCTCATGATATCAATTTGGTAATTTTGGCAAATATCATTTCAGACAGCTTCTTGGATCGCGGGGTGCTTTAATCAACGATAATGTGTCATGGTATCCCCCCGTCACGTTTGGTCGACCCATACAATTATGTAGAATCTGCAAACAAAGAGAAAGCAGCCGGCCGTGGATCCCGAAGCACTATGAGCTTTTTTTTTTTTTTTTTTTTTTCTTCACAACGGAGTGAGCCATCGAGTCTCTACGCAATTGTGAGAAAATATGGCAGCAATTTCAAAAAAATGCCATATGTCAACTGCCCCAGGGCCCCTCGGGAGGCCGAAGACTGTACCAACGACCGACAATTGGGACGCGACCGTATTTTCTTTTCTTATCTTTACTTTTCTTTTCGTGTTAAAAAACTTCAGTGTGTTCAAAGACACCAGCCACATCGCATGTGAGCATACCTCAAGCAAAGAAGCGGCCTTCAAGGTTGAGAAGGGATGTGGTTTGACTCGCTACAAGTCATGGCAGGGGGAGGGGCCCGAGGTTCACATACACTAGACGTGCTCCGAGTGCCAGATAAGCTTCGAGACACCGACCTCTCTCATGGAGCCAAGGGGGTTCGATGGGGTCTACGGGCTGGGGAGGGTTCTCCTAGGTTCGGAATATCTGGAGTAACCTTTTTATGCTCCAATGACAATGGGCCGAGGCGATTATGGGGGTGGGAGCAGATCGGATCGGATGGCCGCATCAGGGTAACGAACTATATCCGCAGATGGCGCCGCGGAAGCGACGCTCGCATGTTAGCGTGGAGAGCTTAGGTGGGTTACCGCAGAGTCACAAGTCACCAGCACCCGAGCCTGCGTTTGGGCTTTGAGGAGAAGTGGAGGGCGGGTGAACAGGAAACCAGTTGAGGGGAAGCCCCGGGCAAATGAGAGCAAGGGGCGCAAGCTAGGCGTTGACAGTGCAACGCAGCCCCAAGCTGACCGCAGCCAGGCCCCCAAAAGTCGAGCTGTTGTGCCTTGGGCCGATGCCAGGGGCTGATCGGCGCACCCCTGGAGCAGGACCCGACGTCGTTGCGGGCGGGAGACAATACTCCAGGGGAGGATGGCAGTCGAGCCAGCTCATCAAAATGCAGACCTGCCATATCGTCTATTGTATGGCTCCTCAACCTCTCCGACTTCAATCGACAGCCGCGATAGAGCGGAGTTTGATCTCATCTTATGTCGTCATTCACGGAGGCCGATGGAGACTCACTAAACCACATCCATCGCGAGCCTCTGCCGTTCGACGAGCCCAGCCTATCGGCGTCGCGCATCCCAGAAATCCGGTGCGAGGCCCGATCGTCGTGGGTCTGGTTCAGCTGCGTCGGTTCAGCCGCGTGCTGCCTGCAATGGTGTCGAGCAGCCTAGGGGGTTGTTCCTCTTGCCGTCGTTCAGGTCCCCTCAGCCCGTATACCTGCCTAGTCGTATGAGTAGTAGACATCGACACCAAGTACCACCCCAAGCAGTATAGATTTTACCATTCGTCAAAGGCAGGTGACTGTTCCTGCATATGCAGGAACTGGTCGCAGTGGATCGGTGGAGCGTTGAGTAAAAAAAGGGCGTCCCCACGGAAAAAAAGAAAATTAGATCGGATCTCGACCAACTAAGCAAAAGAAAAACACCGAGCACTTCCTTCCTGCCATTAACCACACCACAACCAAAACTACCGCCGCCACCACCACAACTCCCTACCCAACAGTTAAGAGTACTACTCGTAGTACACGACGACAGCCAGCATTCAGCAGACACTGATAAATATACGGCTGCGGCGGACAGCTCGACATCCTCCCATACTCCCCCTTCGGGAGGGTGATGCTCCTCGAGCCCCTCCCTAGCATTCCTCCTCGCCCTCCAAGCTGCTTCGACCGTCCATGGTTGCCGGGTCTTGCTTGCTGACATGAGTTGGGATCAGCCTGTCCACAGGTATGCTCATCCCTTCCCACTCGCCCACTCCGGCGTGCGGGGTGTAGACCTCCAGCGTCCCTCCCCTTCCTGTCTTGTCCGAGCCACGTCCACCATGATGCTAATGCCCGCCATGTTCAGCTTCAGCTATCCCACTGGCGAGCCGCAGACGCCCACGAGGACGCCGTCGACTGCGGTGCTCGACTCCTTTACCACCCCCAAGCTCGAGTCGAGTTTCTTCGATCCCCGGGTCACCTGGGATACCGCCGACCCCTATGCCTCCAGCCCCGAATTCCTGCGCTCGCCGCAGAAGCTGGGCCTCCAAACCGAGCAGACCGACACCGCCAGACGCATTCGCCCTGTGAAACCCCTGGCCCCCGTCAGCGAAGACGAATATGAGCCGCGCACAGTCGACTCGGCCAAGTCCGCCGCTTCCATGCAGACGCCGCCGCCCACCAGTGCCTCGCGGAGGAAAATCCCAGATTTCGAGCCCGTCAACGCAGGTGCCGGGAGGGGCACTACCCCACGGCTAGGAGGACATCTCGAGACCCCCAGCCGCTTGCTGGGGACCTCACCACGGCTATTTGGCAACCTTCAAGCCTCGCCCGATCTCTTCGGACTAGCCTCATTGGATGCGTCAGGCTCGCCCTTCTTCCCTCAGCAGCGACTCTTCTGGGACCAAGACCAGGATCAGGACCAGGTCTCGACTGATATTCCGCTGCCTAGCACCAATCCTCCCCACCAGACAGGGAGATCGGCCGCCCATCTGCCTCCTTCGTTAAACAATACGCATATCCCTCAATTGCCTGCTATCGATGGGTCAATGGACGTGCCCGACTTTCATGGCGGCTTTGGCATCTCGGCAGCGCCGCCAACGGATGCGGCATTGTTCCCTGCGCCCTTTTCGACCTCACCTCGAGTCCCCATCGCCAAGGCAGAGGATCCGGCCATGTTTCTGAGCTCTCCCGCCCGCCGATTTGGAGGGCCTCGGCTCAGTCCAGAACAAAGACCTCTCCACGGGATCAGACAGCCGTATCACCACCAAACCCAAGAATTCAAGCGTGAGGAGCTGCGACGTGCGCTGGGCCAACCACCGGCTGCGAGGTCATTCGAGAACCTCTCGGAGGAGGATGAGGAGTACACACCACGAGGGAGACGACCGGGATTGGCTCGAAGTGCTACTCATACAGCCATCACGAGCTCTGCGGCCCGGCCGCTTAGCCAAGCGGGCAGCATTCGGGCGTCAACAAGTGGCATTCGGAAGAGCCCCTCGAAAGGACGGGCGTCTGGCCGGTCTTCTCCAGTCAAAACCATGCGTCCAGTGCCTCTTAGTCGGTCGAACTCGGTTGCCGCAGGTCTTCCCACTCGCTCACAGTCCGTGGTGCTTCGCATTGGCTCCGATGGCCGCGCCAAGGCAGAAATGAAGCCTGTGGACCAGAACCCGACAGGTTTAACTGATCCTTTGACCGGCATGGACCTCGATGGCTCTGCTACCGAGAGTGAAGCGGATCCGGCTGAATATTCAGAATATCCTGTTCTTCCCCGATCACAATCATCTTTTTCTCTTTTCGAGGGCGCGCGGCGGCCTTTGTCGCGAAGTGATTCCGGCTCCCGGCCTCCCTCAAAAGGATCATATACTTCCACCGTGGTCTCGTCCCATTCGGGCCGCATGTCTCCTTGGGCTGGCTCCTCACGGGGAGCGAACGGCCGAACTACCTACCGGGGATCGCCAGAGGCTGTAAAGCGAACCCCGAAGCGGCACTCTTCGCTGCTGCACTCCGATGCTACATATACTAGAGGCAGTGTTGCCTCGCAGGCTCTACCCGGTGACCCCTATGATTCAGATAGCGGCGATGCGCAACATGCTCTCCGTCAAGTGCTCAAGGAGCGCGGACGAGGCACGAGTAGGCCGTCGACTGGCGGGTATGGAACACGTACAATGCCGCGATCCTCACATACGTTCGCCAACTTGCGTTCATCGCCCCCACGCCTCCACAGTGATTTCGATCTACACACCCGTCAATCCAACCCTTCTCCGACTACCCTCACGGATCCCGACCTGGCTACTCCGAGCACCGACCGCCATAGCAACCCAAGCAACGGGACACGCTGTATCTGCCGATCTATGGACAATGGCGGCCATCTCATGATTCAATGGTAAGCAACCTGACTACTCCCTCGACCAATGAGTTTCCTTGCCTCGGTTCGACTCCCGACGTTCTATAACTTTAAGGTACTAACTCTTACAAGTGAATCATGTACCCACTGGCTACATACCAAATGTGTCGGACTGGAGCGTTCCAACCTGCCGTCGTTCTATGTCTGTGTCTTCTGCGATCAAACGCCGTCTCGACAGAACCGGGTCCGATCAAGCTACGGAGGCGGCCCGCCATCCCCTCTGGCACACAAGTCGTTTCGATTCCGGTAGCGCTGCCGAGGATGCATAAACGACGCCTATATTAGTCCAGGGCCTGTCTGAACGACCCCCTCTCTTTTGTTCTTCTTGCCGGGTTTTCTACCTTAGTCGGGCCGCCTCCCGCGTTTATTTTCCTAATTGTGCTAACCCCCTCTTCATGATACCTATACTATATACTACTTTTTGTGCCCCTGTGACTTGCTCTTTTCCTACTTTCCCCAATAGAACCTGTTCCTGTCGCCGTTCCTCGGAGACCGGCCCGGTAGACCGCTTGGTTCCGCCCGTAAGAACCACTTATCACCTCACCGCCTTTTGGGGTTATCGTAAAAAAAGAAACCTTAAGAAATCGGCTCCCCGCAAAAACGAGTATTCCCACCTTCTCGGCACCCCCGGTCTTTCTGTCGTTTCTCCAGGCCATGTCTGCCTCGCTTCCGGGTCCCCGCGACCTGCCTGCCTCTCAGTATGACCTGACTACCTACTGGGGCCGTGTTCGCCATGCTGCGGACCTTGCTGACCCTCGGTGAGTCGGCCCGACCACTTCTGGCGCATTTTGGGTGCAACGATGTTAATTGAACGATCAGAACACTGTTGGTCTCGTCCGCGGGCCTAGACCAGGCCAAGCAGCTCATCGCGTCCTACAAACAGAAGAAGATCCCTGCCATGACTCCGGACTTGTGGGAGGCAAAGAAGGTCGTCGACTCGACCCTACACCCCGGTACGTTCCCGTGTTGAACGATAAAGAGACGGCGTCAAGATGGGACTCACGATTGACAACGGATACCCTACAGACACTGGCGAGCCCGTAATGCTCCCCTTCCGCATGTCGGCCTACGTGCTCACTAACCTGGTCGTCACGGCCGGTATGCTCACACCGGGCCTCCAGGTGAGATTCCCCCACCGCGCGAAGTCACACAAGCACAAACTAAACCGGTGCAGACCACTGGCACTCTTCTCTGGCAGATCGGTAACCAGTCGCTGAACGTCGCGGTCAACAATGCCAATGCCAACAAGTCCACCCCGCTGTCCACCTCTCAGATTGCCAAGTCCTATCTTATGGCTGTCTCCGCCTCGTGCTCCGTCGCGCTGGGTCTGAACGCCCTCGTTCCTCGCATCAAGGGCATTGCGCCCAACACCCGCCTCATCCTGTCCCGCCTGGTCCCCTTCGCCGCCGTCGCCAGCGCTAGCGCTCTGAACGTTTTCCTTATGCGTGGTGAGGAGATCCGCCGCGGTATCGACGTCTACCCCGTTCTGTCCGAGGAGGAGCGGACCAAGCGTGAGAAGCTCGGCGACGACGCAAATCCTCTGGAGAGCCTGGGCAAGAGTAAGAAGGCCGCTACCCTCGCCGTCGGCGAAACTGCCGTCAGTCGTGTGCTGAACGCCACCCCGATCATGGTGATCCCGCCCCTGCTTCTCGTCCGTCTGGAGAAGACCCAGTGGCTGAAGTCCCGCCCCCGCATGATCCTGCCTGTCAACCTGGGTCTGGTTCTGACCACCTCTCTCTTCGCGCTGCCTCTGGCCCTGGCTGCTTTCCCTCAGCGCCAGGCCATCAGCGCTAGCAGCCTGGAGGAGGAGTTCTGGGAGCGCGGCGGCCACGGTGGTATGGTGGAGTTCAACCGCGGAATATAATTTTTTTTTCCTTTGCTCGTTTCTTGTTTATTTTTGGCGTTGCAGTTGCATTTACATGTGCGCGTGTGAATAGATCTCTTGAGGGTGCATCACAATTTCTTGTTCAAATTTTCGGTATAGATTTGATACGAATTTTATACATTTTCTTCTAAAGATCCATCTCTATATCAAGTCATATGAAGCTTCGAATTTCATCTATCGAAACTACCTCGGAATATGGTTGAAGGTAATTTTCTAGTCTACTCCCACTTCGGTGGCTTTCTCGCCTGGAGAATCCCCTCGAAGCACTCTGCCAGATCCAGTAATTCTTCATCTTGTCCCTCTTGTCCCATTAGTTCCAGCCCAACGGGTACACCAATAACCGCAGAAGGCGTAGCAGGGCTGAATCCAGCTGCACTTTGTGAGCTTCATACCTTGAGATTATGTCTTAAAGGGTAGTACTTACCAGGAATACAAACAGCCGGCCTTCCCGTCAGTGCCGCAAGGATTCCATTCCGTCCCGGCTGAACGGTTGGCCCTACCTTGATAGGGAGGTGTCGCTGGTGCGGATATGCGAGGGCATCGATCTTGTTTTCTTCGTAGAGCTGCTCGACTGATTCTTTCAACGTTACGATATTCGACAGGCGGGTCTGGTATGCCTCGCTTGTGCGGCAGTATGTCTCTGGGTCTGATAGTGGTAGAGTGAATACCTCCGTCACGGCCTCCTTGTCATATTTACCGCTCTTCACGATGGCCTCGAGGGATCGACTTGGAGTTTTCTTGATGATCGAGGACTGTAGGAACATATCCAGACACTCTCTGAATTCGAAGGCTTGTGTATCTGCGTTGGCGAGGAGGGTTGACACGCGCCAGTCTGGGTGGCTGTTCGGGTTTATGGGGACTAGGGTAATATCTGCTGTGTCTTGTACCTGAGAGAGGGCGTTGCGGACGATGTCTTGCACGATTGTGTTCTCGGCGGTGATTTCCTCGGGGCTTGAGTCTGCATTCTCGAGATCGAAGTACGCATTCAAGATGCCGATGCGAACATTGGTGGTCTTCTGCGCTCTTCCAAGGCGTGGTCTGTTGCCACTCATCACATCAAACAGAGTTCGTACATCGTCAACACACCTCGCCATCGGCCCAGCCACATCCTGAGTCTCGGAAACGGGCACGATGCCATCACACGGAACTACACCCCACGACGGTCTAAACCCCACAATCGAGCACGCAGACGCCGGCGAACGAAGCGAGTTCATCGTGTCGGTTCCACATCCAACCAACCCCAGGTTCATCGCAAGTGCCGCTCCCGTTCCACCGGAGGAGCCACCCGGGGTGCGAGTGAGATCATACGGGTTGAGAGTCTGTCCTCCGCATGAGGAAGTGGTCGTTCCATGTAAGGCGAATTCGTGCATATTCGTCTTGATGAGGATGATTGCGCCGGCCTTGCGGAGGCGCGAGACCACCTCGCTGTCTCTTGTTGCCGCCATGAACACGAGGGCTCTTGAGCCGGCGCTGGTGAGCGGGCATACTGTCAAATAGTTGTCTTTGAGGAGGATGGGGACGCCGTGCAGTGGTGGGAATGCAGTGTTTCCCTTGGCGAGGGCACGAACAGTCCACTGGTCCTTGTCATAGGCTTCACGGTATACCCTTTCTTCAATATGGTCGAAGCCTGCGCCTATCGTGCTGTGCAAGGTACCGTCGTATTTCTCGATACGGGCGAGGTATTCACGGACGATATCAATGATCCTCATCCGCCCCTCGCGCAGGAGGGCGTGGAATGCGGGGATTGTAAGTTCAGTCACATCGGGTTTGTTTGCTCTTACGTCGGAGCTCATATTGCAAGGCCAGTGCCACCGCAGTTGTATCGAGGTGATGTGCCTGCAATTCCGAGTGAGAGGGGTGGAAGTAGAAGACTGTTGTTGGGCCGCCTCGATGATAGGTAGCCGGGTCTATCGTATTCGTAATACCCTTTTTTGGTAATATTGGCTCCCTGGCTCGGGGAATTGTGGAAATACCATTACAGTACTGTCTATCAATTCGCTGACTTATTGTTGCTTTGGCACTTTGACGAATTGTCTCTGGATCTATGCCACAGCCGCGGGGCAGTAGGTATAATCATTGCATTGGATATTGAAGTTTTTGTATCTTTTACAATGGGATTGAAGTATGGAGAAACTGGTCACTTCGAATCACACTTGCAAGTCGAGCGCCGAGTGCAAGATTTGAATGAAATCACATCTTCCATTACGAGATGGAAGTCGAGTTCTATTGGTAATAAAGGCACAAGTGCAATAGAAAAAAACAAAGAACAATGGAGGAACCAGGCAAATGCCTATGTACACCTCCATGCCACCCCACAGACGCCAAGATATCACTGTTGAACAACATGGTATAAGAATGTGGCCGGGGATCCCCCAATATCCCCAGGACACTGAAATAAGAGACAAATGCAACCTTTACCTTGTGCGATGGAAAATGCGCCGGAAGGGAATGAAAGTATGGATAAATAGATGTAAGATAAGATATCGCGCGGAATCGTCGCGAGATGCTTAACAGAATAAAAATGCGAGGGGGAAAAGCCAGACTGGAGGTGTCAGGTGGGGGAAACATCTCCGGGATCGAATAAAAAAAGTATTGGAAAAAAGGCACCATCGTAATCGTCATTTTCCCTGGAAAGAATAACACCGTCCGATCCGATCCTTAAGAACCTCCGTTGAAAAATTAACCTCAAATGTGAACCATCTATCCCGAATAGGACCCGAAAGACGCCAGATGCCAGAAGAGTCGGGAGCCTCAAAGGGACTCCTGCGAAGTGAGTCGCAGCTCTGACTAGCGAGGGACCGAGCGGTGCAGGCCCATTCCGATACGGTATGCTTCCGTGCCATCGTCAATCAAGCTCTCCTTGAACCATGGGTGCTTCAGGGCCTCCTTGGCCGAGATGCGGTTCTTGGGGTCATAAACGAAGATGCGCTGGAGTAGGTCAAGAAACTGGCGGTTGAAAGGCGTGTTGATCGGGATAAAGTCCTATTAAGTTGTTAGTGGTTTAGATCATGACATGGAAGCGAATTATGGGAGACTTACGGAGAGGGCTTTCATGGCCTTCACGTACTTCCTCGAAGCACGAGTTGTCTCGTTGTTCGGATAGTCCAATTTGCTGCGATTGAAATACCTGAAAATGTTTGTTAGTATGCGAATCAGGAAAGAGAGTTGGGCATAACAGTGCTTACTTGGCTGCCGAGTTGTGGCTGCCAGCCCGGCCCTGCACCACCTGTCGCACCAGCCTGGAGTCGATCTTCGTGCCAATCACGGCCTCCATCATGGCCAGGTGTTCCAGGTTGTCGTGGGTCTGGAAGAGAGCATCACCAGTAAAAAACTCCACCAGAATACACCCAATACTCCAAATGTCACAGGGGAAACTCCACCCCAAATTGAGGATAATCTCCGGAGCTCGATAATGGCGAGTGGATACGACAGAGGAATGGTATTCGTCGTCGAAGGTCGCAGAACCGAAATCGATTAGGCGGATCTCGCTGTCAAGGAGAACTCGCCGTTGACGAGCGTTGCGGGGGTTTGCATGAGAGGAGGAAGGGATGGTGCGGTTGTATGTGAAGGTCTGGTAGGCGTTGCTGACAAGGAGGATGTTTTCGGGTTTAAGGTCGGTATGGATAAGGTTAAGGTCGTGTAGAACTAAGAAAAAAAAAGAAGTGTTAGTGGGAATTCCCGCTATGTTCCCTTCCTCATCCCGGGGGTATTGGGTGGGGGGTTTAAACACGTACAGGCAACGCTGGTGAATAGTTGGCGGGCAAATTGCTGGATCTGACTGCTGGGGAATGGGACGAAGCCATTGCCCTTGAGGAAATCAAAGACACTCTGTCCGAGGAGATCGGTGACGATGCAAATATGGTTGCGGAAATCGAAGCAGTCGCGGAGATGGATGCATTTATTCCTGTTGCTCTTGTCGTTGGACGACAAGGTGGATAATACCCGTAGTTCGATCCGGGAGGCATCTCGGTATTTTTGGATCGATCGAATAATCTTCACCGCACAGCGCGATTTCCGCTGCTTATCGTACGCCTCGACCACCTTGCCAAAGGTCCCCTGACCCAGGAGTTTGATGATCGAGTCTTGAGCAACATGTCAGTCACGCTGGTCGCGAGGACAAAATAAAAGGGACGGAATTGCAGAGGACACTCACATCGATCGGTTAATGGCACATCGGGCGTGACTATATAATGTCCATCATCGTCGTCAAACTTCTCATGGCGCGCGGCCGCATACTGCTTACCAAGTTGGGTCAGAGGATATTTTTTGGTGGTCTCGAGAAACAGTTGGTAACTACTCACATCACGAACTACCGGAACCGGCACGTCCTTGGCCTTGATGATCGGCTTGGGCGGCGGAACGTAGGAGAGAAAGGCATCACTGGCAGTCTCCAACTCTCTGCGTTTCTGTTCGTCGCGCGCGGATTTCCGGGTGGTCCGCTTGCGTTTTTGGCCGATGGTGGGATCTTCGTAGAGGATGCCGTTGGAGCCGTTGGAGCTGCCCTGTGAGCCGAGGGAGGTGGGCGCGGTGGTGTGAAGAGAAGTAGTTCTGTCTGTGGACAGCGAGTGAGAAGAGTTGTTCTCTCCGTACTGCTGGGGGTTAATGGAGAAGGCGGGTCGGTCGACGTAGTTCATGTCGTAGGCGGTATCGATTCCGGTGCGTCGTCGCTTGCCGGCGGGCTGGGGAACAGGGGCGGCGGCGCCGTGAGGAGGCATCGGCGGCGCGGCCTTGGAGCCATCGGGACCCGGGCTATCGTCGATGACGATGACCTCCTTGGGAATACCATTCTTATAGAACTCGCCCCAATCGGGATTCTTCTTGCGCCGGGAAGTGTGCGAAGGGGCGGCACTGGAGCCGCTGTGGTGCGAGACCATGGCGGAGGAGGTCGAGGTCGCAGGAGGGACTCGCGCCGGTTGAGCGTAGGGCAGGGTGGTCGTCGTAGGCGAGGGCACGGAGTAAGCGTAGGGGTTCGGAAGACGAGCCCCGGCAGCGGTGGTCGGGGCTGGGTAGGAGGTCGTCGCCTGGTAGGAGGAATGGGGATACCCGTAATGTTGGTGAGTAGGATGGGTTGCAGTGGCCGTGGAGGGCGTGGACATTGTGTACGGAGGAGTCCTGTCCGTCACACCAACGGTAGGCGTGGGAGCAGTTGGCAAAGCAGTAGATTCACGGACTGAGCGCGGCGTCAAGGGCCGCGGGGAGTTTCTCGAGAGCTCGGACACGGCACTCGCGACAGAATCAGAGAGCGTCCCTACGGGACCGAAGCGACAGGGTGAGCGAGGCAGTGACAGAGACTGCGGAAGGGATTCGCCGGACGTGACAATGACGAGGCGGTCGGGCAGGACAGCACAGGTCAGATCAGAGACGCATTTCCTCGAAAATTCCGGGGATCAGAATGAAGGGGGTTCGCAGACCGAAGTCATTGGAGAGTGGGAGCAGAAGCAGGTGCGCGGGAGAGGAGGGATTTGGAAAGAGAAGAGGGGAGGAAGAGGCGAAGTGGTGATGCCGGGCGACTTGGAAGAGTTGCCGATCCAGTCCACGCCGTCCAGTGAATCCGCCCTCAACGCGGCCCCATGTGCGAGTGAATTCACGCGAGATGCTTTTTCCGGACTTGACGAATCTATCATTTACTCTAGCTGATCTTTACGGGCCCATGTCGTGGATCCTGGGGGCTCTCGGAGGCTGAAGGTCTCCCTCTGGCCTGGACGAAGCCGAAGCCACAGCCACGGTCTACACCTCGAACACTAATAGCACCCACCCTACGACCGGAGTAATACGCCTGCGCCGATTGCGGTCCAGGGGACCGCAGCCAGCGTGGACGGCCCCAGGGCCCCTGCACTTCACGCCCACCTCGACTAATCTATTTCGCCCAGCCCATTGCCCCCTGGGCCAGCTTCGAGTCTGGCCTGGAGGCCGCCACCGCCCATGGAGCGCGTAGCCCTGGCTTAGCCGACTCCCCACCAGCCCCGAGGCCGCCAGTCACAGCGTTCTCGAGTGACCGTCGCTTTCATCTCATCTTTGCATCGCCCTCGGACCGTTTGCATCTCGCGGGAGAGGCAGTATGGGTGAGTCCAACGGCGATACCAGGCCCGGCAGGCCTGTGGTCTTCACGCAGGCACTCGCCGGACCTGCGCAGCCGATCACCTGATGAGATATGCTGACTCAGCAGACGCGAGCAGCGCAAAAAGGCTACCTGAGGGTACTGTTGATCCCAGGTTTGATTCTATCCCCTGATTTCAGCAGACCTCCAGGGACCTGGAAACTGCACTGGTGAAACCGCCGAATTAAGCTCACAGAGAAGACGGTCAGCGCAGGGCGGCTGTCGGGATGTGCATCTGCATCGCCAGCTGCAAGGGAGCCCGCGGGTGACGTTGGATCCCCACTGTGATCCCAAGGGCCATGTACCTTATGCAGCTGCGGTTTCATCCGATCGTCGAGTGTCCAGCACACAATGCGAATTACACTAGGGCGAGTGACTTGCAGCCCCATCGAACATTCGAAAACCCGCCACCCATTTAGACTATCTGGGGTTCTAAGCCCTAACTCCACCGGAGACCTCACCATTCCACGACACGCACTGCCAAATACCCGCGGGTACTCCCACTCTCTGCAGTGTAGTAGCGAGCAGAAGGTAGTACTCTCATACGTAGCACCCTTCACTTGTCGAACTCGATCGACAGCCGACCAAACTGGAAGTGCATATTCCGGGTTTTCCTATCTGGGCGCTCCCATCCATCGCTTCCGAGGGGACAACCCGGGTTCGAGAACCCGACTCATCCCAATCCTTCTCCACAGTACAATCGGAGCGAAAATGAAAGTGAACTAAAATAGAATGAAGTTTGATGACGTTCGGTTCGATTCGCAGTGTATAGCTATCTACCTTGCTGTCAACTATTCCACCTACGATGTTCGGCGCTGAGCAGTCGCCGAAGCTCTACGAAATATATAATCACCACGGCCTCTCTACTCACGTAGCTAGTACTCTTTTTACAAGCAATACAATGTATGAACTCAATCCTATTGACGCACCGTAGTGTGTGTACGTGTGGCCATAACTGCATGATAGCATTTGACCTTACTTCATGGACTAGAAGCCCTCTCATTCACGTAGTTTTTGATATGATGTCATACCAATCCATCAACACACGATGTAGTGTACTAGTGTACTGGGCCCTCGGATAAGTGAGATTTGCGATACCTAGGTAGAACAATAGCATCTCGAGGTATTATCCAGTAGGTGGCTGTCAAGGAAGTTCCAAAATATCCAACAGTGGTATCACACTGATATCCCATAGGGTCGTGAATTGGCAGTATGTTGAGTACAGATGATTTGAACGGGGCAGTCGATGGATGAACCTTCGAGCACGGCTCCACCGGAGATAGGGAAACCAATGGCACGAGAAATCAAGCTGGACGATAGCAGATTGGCATACTTACGAAGTGCAATAACATTGCATTGAAGATGAAATCCTCCGTTGTCGATTCGATGGCGGACCATGACCAGGGACCCTGGCGCGTTGCCGGCCGAGTGCAAGAATGTGGAGTCCGCCCGCGGAGAAACGACCGGGGACGCAGCAGCGACGATCAACAGCCCAAACATGCGTGAACAGCCTTCCCACGAATCACCGGGCGCCCTTCATGGTGCATTGCCTTTCCATCGCATAACGTTCGACCCAAAAAATCGATCGTGATCATTGGACGGTTCGAAGGACGCGGCCCTTCTCACGTAACACAAGGAGTGAAATGCGAAATCCGGGGTATTTTGATATGTACCTTCATGTGGAATTGAAGATCTCTCATTGTGTAGACGGCTTCACGTTTCACTGCTAGTATCTTACTTGACTTTCTCGTACCCACTCGCAGTATGGGAGAGGATGGCAGCAGCAAACTCACGGGCTTCCTCCGATTCCGCCCCTTCGACAGCGTTGACCGCCATGCCGTCAAACTCTCATGACGAATTCTTGCCTTTGCGTCAAATCACCGCATTTTTCTCCCGTCGTATTCCCCCCATGGACCTGTCAGGCAGCTCGCTCTGGGGAATATTACAGCCCCTACGCTTGGGCCACCAGCAATTTCGGCCACGAAACCAGGGCGAAACCATGTGGGCAGTCGTTACTACCTTGTACCAGCATCACGGCGGTCTCCAGACCCAGAGTCCATGTTTTATCCGAAGGCCATGATATTTTCTGAAACCATATCCAGTTCGTGGCCTTTGCGCATCGTGTTCCTCTTCAACGCAGCGTCCCCGTCGTGATGTTAGTGGGCGCTGCACCGGCGCTCGGGTCGCGGCGATATTGGCCCATCAAGGCGAGTCGGGCGTGGAGGAACTGGGGAATCCGCCCTGTTCGAAAACACCGCTGATTCGGCCTCGTGTCAATCCGAAGCGGGCTGTCCCGCACGGGAATGGTGCCCCCCCACTGAAGCGTTGTTCGTCGAGCCATCCCCCCTCTGGCGCTCCACTGCACTGCGGTTTTTCAACCCTGCAGGAGTTTCGTCCCCGTCGCTCAACTCGGACTGTTCCAGCAGTGATAGCCAGGAGGGTGCCCCAACAGTCAAGATGGCAGAAGTCGACTCGGAAGAAGACAAAATCGCCGTGGTAGGCCATAGCGGTATCCGTCCCGATACAGACATCCGGCTCATGGCGCGACCTAGGACCCCAACTATTACAGCGCACACGATGACTATCTGCCAAGTGACTTTCAGTCGTGAGTCTTGTCCTATTCAGAACCCTAAAATCTTCCATTAAGCACTACTAATGGATGCGCATCCCCAGGGAGACGACATCGCTCTCCTCAAAGATCTACAGAGGAATCATGGAGAATGGGCGACGATACGACGATACCAAACCTTGAAGGAAGGCGAATACTGGTGAGTCTACGTCGACCAACCCACCAAGCAGCGCCGCATACTGACCTAACCGATAGGAGTCCCGCCGATGAACAGCAGTTCGAAAGCAACGAAGCAGGGTGAATTTCCCAACACCGCATTGAATCTGGGCGAAGCTGATCATCATAGCCACCTTGTGTATCTGGTAGTTGACTCACAAACGCCAAATCCGCTTTTCCAAGCGCCAGTAACCAAACCTAAAGTACGGATTTTCTCTGACTGGGTCGTGAGATGTGATCTTGTACCCCATTCTGACGGCCTGCCATCGTTTTAGCATATTTTGGACGTCGGAACTGGTCGAGGCACTTGGGCCATGTGAGCCAGAAATGCCCCAGCTTGGAAACTCTATGGAATTTACTGACCTATCGATTCCAAACTAGAGATGTCGCTGACTCGTTTCCAAATGGTAAGCATTCCGAATACCGGTGCTTTATGTTCCCTTGGCTAACCTGCGGTTACAGCAACTGTTCGAGGGGTGGATCTATATCCACCACCGGAGACATGGCTCCCTCCAAACTGCATTATGGAAGTGGACGACGTCTTGCAGGAGTGGACCTGGCGCGACCCCTTTGACCTCATTCACCTCCGTCAGATGATGGGATCTTTTACTCCCGAGGAATGGGGCAAGTTTTACAAGCAATGCTACGAGTGAGTCGCGCCCTCCTCGATTTGTAACAGTACCACGAGAGACAACTAACTCCCATCGTACTCGTTTAGAAAACTAACTCCAGGAGGCTGGATCGAACAACTCGAAGGCAATCCACGTGTCCGCTGCGACGACGCCAGTGTACCCGACGACAACCACTCCCTCTATTTCGGAAAACTCTGTTGCGAAGCGGCAGACAATTGGGGCCGTCCGATCACATGGGCAGACCAGATGAAAGAGGAATTGCAAAAAGCGGGATTCGTTGACATCCACGAGAAGAATTACAAATGGCCGATCGGCCCGTGGCCCAAGGATCCGATTCTCAAGGAAGCTGGCAGATTGCACTATCACCAGTGGACATCGGGAATGGAGGGATGGGCCATGTTTTTCTTGACCAAGTACGGCGTGCCAAAGCCGTGGACAAACGACGAGGCCCAGATTCTGATGGCCAAGGTCCGCAAGGAGATCTTCAATTCCCGTCATCACTTCTACCAGGTTGCGTGAGTGGAATCCGTATGGTATCAAAGCTATAAGGGCTTCAAGCTAATGAGATTTTAGGAAACGCGTGTGGGCTCGTAAGCCTACGGCCGAAGAAGCAGCAGCTCTGAAGAATAAGAACAAGGACAGACCGGAGGAGGCTGAGACGAGCCGAGAGCCAGAAATCAAACAAGAGCGCGACTCAGTCTAGCCTGTGGACGGTGAATATAAAGTCATGTTGGATTGGATAGCGGGCCTATCTTCTTGAACTCCATCGGCCAGATTCGCCAAATCAGCCCTTTCAACGAACAGTTGTGCTTTTGCTATTATGCTCAGATGACAATGATCTAACATTTCTGTATTGCCCAGGATGGCCAAGTAGCGTGTTGCGGGAGCCGTGAAAAATTGGGATGGTGTTTGCATCGAATAGGGGTAATGGCCTCATTTGTTCAACCGAGTCGTATGTTCGTGAAGGAGTATTCCCAGCTCCCCCTACAACGGATCTGTTTCTTCCGGTTAGTGGCGACACGAAAAGTGGAGAAATGGTGGGTTGATCGGCTGGGCCTTTTTCTCCGTGTAGGGATTCCCCGTAGTTGCCAAAGCTCCAGGGCTTAGGCAGAGCGCAACAGTGGGAAATATGAAAGGGATATTTTCAGAATTGATGATCGGCTCAAGCTCATAACAGTGCTTTTTTCCTTGTAATCGGAGGCATAAAAGAAAAATATAAGGCACTAGAGGGGGATAGTACTACTCGTGTAGGTATTTCCCGGTAGGGATTGCCCACAGCCATGTAGTTATTCGTATTCACCTTATACGGATTCTCCGCCGAGATGTAGGTATTCCCCTGTAGGTATTCCCCTGTAGGTATTCCCCTGTAGGTATTCTCCGATGGGTCTCATTCATCTATGATATAAAAGCGACATCTTCTCCCAAGGATCTGCAATAAGTCACCCCCGAGAAAATCCATCGCCATCATGGACGTCTTACTCGATGTTCTCGACACTTTTGTGTTTGATCGTTTCTATGCTTCATTTGTCCCAGACAACTTCGTAGGGATTGGAAATTCCACATTGTTTGAGCGGGACCCCAATCTCAATCGACATGTCCGGGTATATTACCCCTTGGAACCATCTCAATGGGCCGAGTCGAGCTTTTGGAAGCGTGATGATCTTCCCAGACAAGCATTCTCTTTATTTTTGATTGCATGGTGAGAATATATCGAGGATCTGTATAGTGGATGGTTTGCTAAATGTCTATTCTTAACTTGTAGGGTCTTTGCGATGATCATGTATCTCCTGGGGAGCTTTGTTCTCTACCACACAATATTCGACAAACGACTGGTGGAACACCCGAGATTTCTTCCGAAGCAACTACAACTCGAACTTAAACAAGGAATTTCAGCAATTCCGGTCATTTCAGTTCTCACGGTTCCTTTTTTCCTGGCGGAGATTCGTGGCTGGTCCAAACTATACGACTTTTCCAGCGAGGCTCCATTCTGGGCATACACCTATTTGCAGTACCCGTTGTTCATTCTTTTCACTGACAGCGGAATCTATTGGATTCACCGTGGATTGCATCACCCCAGTGTTTATCGCTGGTTGCACAAGCCGCACCATAAATGGGCTGTGCCGACGCCTTTTGCTAGCTATGCCTTCCATCCATTAGATGGCTGGTCGCAAAGTCTTCCCTATCACATTTTCCCATTGGTCTTCCCGCTCCAAAAGACTGCCTATCTAGGCCTTTTCGCATTTGTCACGATGTGGACTGTCCTCATCCGTAAGTCTCGGATTTTCCAGTTGGCTGGCTTTCGATTCATATTCACTGAAATTTTCCAGACGACGCCGAATACATGGCAAGCTCGGTTATTATCAACGGAGCATCATGTCACACAATGCACCATCTATACTTCAACTACAATTATGGTCAATTTTTGACTTTCTGGGATCGGCTTGGAGGGACATATCGCACTCCAAAGGGCGATAGTTTCATGGAGAAGAATGATGAGGCTACGCTCGCGGCGAAGAAACAAAAGTAAGGAGGGACGGGACTCCACTTCATAGCTGCATTAAATGTTGTAATTGATTCGAAATAATTCATTTCATCAGACATTGTGATAACATGATCTGATGAAGTCATTCAAAGTTCCCAGTTCGTCGGTGGCGTTGCTTCCGAGATATGCGAAATCTGTTTCGGGCTTTTCGGACACCTCCAGTGTGGCCTTCAGCAGCCACCATAGCTCTTCGGCGTGTTTTGGGTAGCCTAGATGTAGTATTTGTTCTTGATCTGATGACCCAACAACCGAGTCCCATATTCGCTTCCAGTTGCTTGCGGCACAGCTTATTGTGTCGATTGGCAAGTATTTAAGCAGGCCAACTCTGGCCTGGAATGCAAGAGAATTGATAGCTGGATGTCTCGTTAGTCTTCAAGTGCTGAATAGATTGAGCGGAGCCATTTACTTACCGTAGATCAACATCAAGAGATGTTCAGACGATAAAAAGGCCCCCCACGGCGTTGACTGTTCTTTGATGGGGGTATCAAGTAGTTGACTGATCACTTCTCTCAAAGTGGGAAGTGGTTGTTCAGTCGGGGAGTGCTCTGCGGCAATCCTACCGAAGGCAGAGGGGCTTTCGGCCTCCCATAATTCAGCACTCCAAGGGAAATCGCAATTCATCTCAAATGTTGACACCGAGGGGTGATTCTTGAAGCAGACAGTGAGAAAGGCGTCAGAGAGGAAGACCCAACACGCAACACTAGAAGCAATCAGAAAAAGAGCCAATTACACAGCAGATAGTTAGCTTACCGTATGCACATCTCCTCTGCCACCATGATTCTCCATGCCCGCTCATCACATATTTTTGAAAACACGCTTCTTTTGAATTGAAACATGCCCAGAGAGCGAATTGTAGAAACCAAACACGGATTACGAATGATCCGGATACGTCTCCTTGTCTGCAAATCATCCCGGCCGAATTGCAACATTTCAATGATGAGAGCACTCTGTATCAGTTGCAGCGTAGGCAACAAAGTCGCTGGATCCCTGGATGGGGGCATTGCTGGGAGATTACAAACTTTCCGAAAGATGTATTCCTCTGCAACATCTAGAAGCCATGGAGACATCGATGCTCCATCCAGCGGAGTAGTGTATGCGGCACCGGCCATGAATATCGCAAGTAGCAAAGGATTCGATACATCTCCCGGGTCGAATGTTGGGAAATGAACGATTGGCAAGTGCCAATGTAGAGAATGGAAAAAGGCTGATATAAAAGCAGATATGTTAGACACCCCGAGGAGAGTGGTAAGCTCCATAATATCAAGCGTTTCCGAAGCACCGACGCTTGCAGAGATCATGGATTTGGAGGTCTCGACCAACTCTGCCATTATCTCAGTGAGTTGATTAGAGAGCTTCGACGGGAAGAGAATCTCGGACGGTAACTGGGTCAACATGGATTCATCTGAGCTCGAGGGCATTTGGAAGGGCAAGTCCGGGATTTGGAGATCGCTGGCCAAGGTTGGTGTTGGATCTGTTGGCACAAGCGCAACCTCGAGTCGCGAATAAAGCGTTTCAAGGTTTCTCCGCAGAGAATATTTGGCGGTTTCGCCAATTGCAAGTCGGTCCTTTTGAATGCTCGGGTTTGTAAAGTGCCGAAGAAATGAGAATGGGCCATTGCCCTTTGATGTACCAGGAGGGAGATTGAACGATGGCGACGGGCAGGCCAACGCCGCCCTCGAAGTAGGACTGGTTGAGGGCCCGCCCTGTGCAGTAAAGACGCACTCTCTCCGGATAGATACGCATCGTGAACAGGGCAAGTTTTTATCGCAAGCTGCTTTTGCAGAGAAGCATAAATCGCATGACTGTCTCTTCCTGCCCGGTCGAGCCGCGACGGGAGAAGGTTGATTATGCTTCTTCGCGCATAATTTACTGTGCCTTCGAGTAACTTCCCTAAAAAATAGTGTCAGCCTTATTTTCCCGATAAAAACCGTTCAGAGGTGAAGTGGGAAGCGCACGGTTTCAAGAATGATTTGTTGCAGAACGGGCAGCTGGAAGCACGCTGACGCGTATCTAGAGTTTGTCAGCCGGTGCCAATAATCGAAGCCAGGATGATCCTTGAATTTACGGGTATCTTGATGGCGCAGGAGATGTGTTCTCCTTTGATACGACTTCTCGCACTGCGAGCACTGGAACATGGTGTATACATCGAATGGATGACCGTCGAGGAGTCGAGCGGCTTTCGGCCGCGGAAGCCTGGCAGGGACGCGCTATTCCGGAAGAGGAAGGCCCGGACAGACCATGCGAAGACCTGGACGCAACTACAAAGAAAATCTGCTAGTAGTATAAAGAGAGGTTAAGAAGTAAGATATGGCATTAATGATATTTACCCCAAACCTACCCTAGGGGTACACTTTCCGAACGCCACAAGCCGAATTCGCACAGACAATGCAAAGATCTCCCAGGGAACATCGGTCGTTACAGAGTAGTAGCCTGACCTCAGAAATACAAATAAGAGACACAGGAAGAACGTAAAATAAGGTTACAAGGGGGGTGAGGCCGTGTCAGGGCGCGCGGTCTTCCTTCGGATCCTTTGAATACCCCTTTTGCACATGTTTGGTGCCTCGTCCATCAACCTCGAGCATAAACAGAACATCACGCACTTGGATGCCAGCTCCTTTTTCTTGATCCTCCCGCCAGGTACCAAGACGTCGCTTAGCTTGGCCGGGGGTCGACTCCCCGGAGCGGCCCTTGGCTGACTTCTCGCCCCCGGGTGTGGGGGTCGCAGGTGCAGGGCGTGCAGGAGAGGAAAATCCGCTGGATGAACCGCCGGGTTTCAACCAGGAGTATGATTTCTTGGCTCCAAACATGCGGCCGGAGAGCATGCTGTTGGTCGCCAGGCGAGCCGTTTCAACCGACTGCTTGTGCTGCTGCGCCTCGCTTTCCTTGCTATCGATCATTTTCCTGGCTTCCTTTTTGCTCATTGATTTCTTGTCAAAGCCTGGGGCGCGGTCGGCAATCGGCGTCGAAGGGGCCGAGCCAGTGGGATCGTTTGATTCAGCTCGAATGCCGGCACTCTCGCCCAAGATGGCGTTGGTGCTGCGCTTGGTGCGCTTTGTCGCTCGTTTGTTTTCAATTGACGTCTCCTTTCCAACGAGGCCGCGGCATCTCTCAGCGGTGGGCTTGGTGGACTCAGTCTCGACGTCAGAATGGGGCCCTAAAGAAACAGGATGTGTTAATACTGTGACGCCATCTGTGCGAATTGGAACCTTATAGGGATACACACGCTTAGAGGGGGTGGCGGTATTTCCGTTGGCCGGACCAAGAGGCTTGGCAACATCTTTCCATTCTGTGGGTACAACACCATGAGAGTGTGCTCGGCGACTGCGAGCCAGACTGGAGGAGTAGTCAACAACCCCGCGCAGACGTTCCTCGCAAGCCAGAGACACGAGATTGAGAATATCAACGAGAGGAGCGCCTTCCTGATTCAAGATGGTCTGACCAGTTCGGATGACCGATGAGCCATCGGGGCCAGTCACTTCAATCGGCTGCGGACGACCGGGAACCGGGTGGAACAGCCCCTCCGAGGGGATGCGGACGCCAAGCTCGAAGCCGCGTTTTTGTATCCGTTGTTCAAGGAGCTTTGTGAGTAGGAAAGGTTCCTGCAGATGATACTGCGAACGCCGAGCCGCCTCGCTGTCTTCGCGTGATGGTTCCTTGATTGAACCTGTGTCTTGCGATGAGGACTCTGCTGGAAAAGAGCCTTGCGGGATCGTCGGCTTGGCGTGAGGTGTTTCGCTGAAACTACTCGACGCAGATAGTGTTCCGGTGGTGGTCGGTTGAGAGGTAAACGACGTATTGACGGTGGGAGGTTGTTGGTGTTGCGGGCCTCGTGCGGGTGTCTGCGCCTGCGCATTCCGCCCACCGAAGCTGTGCGTGAGGAACGCTTCTTCTTCCCTGACGTCAATGCCCGAAGACGCTAGAACATCCGTGAGTTCAGAAGCATCCACTGGGCGAGAAGGAGGAACTGAAGGAGGACCCATTGCGCCCGGAGCCGCTGGTGGAGGAGCAGCTTGTTGTGCCATCGGTGTTGACGGCAAGCTCGAGGAGGGCAGGTTGGTCGAGGGCATCCCATTTATGGGCAGCTGTCCCTGTGGGGGAAGCTGCATCGTAGTGAAGCTCGGGGACGCATAAGGTGAATGTGTCTGCGATGGAGGAAGTGGGGACAATCGGGATTTTTTGGCAGGTGGAGGAATGCCTCCATTCACCGGGGATGCCGAGTGAGGCGACGGGGAGGAGACAGGGGGGAGAATGGTTGGTTCGAGAATTGCGGCGGCGGCTGTTGCTGCTGTTGCTGGGGATGCCGTGTCTGCGCCATGGTGAATGGATCTGTTGTCCACGGCTATTCACTGAAAAAGAGGTGACTGATGCGCCGTCCCCAAGTGACGGCACGTCCACGCGTGGTCGTATCGTTGAGCAGTTTGCTCGCACCGCCAAAAGTCACCAGGTGTGACCATCTCAGAGCCGCAACGGGGACATAGAGTCGAAGCGCAGGGAGCAGCAAAGGTACTGACGGGAGAACGGGGGCTGCTGGGCTGATGGATGATGCGGGAGGGGGGGCCCGGCGAGCTTCGCAGGCGTGTAGAGGTTTTGCTCCGCGGATCGCGCTGTGCACGTGACAGCTTAGGTCATGCCGCGACGGACCCTAAGGACTGGGGGATTCTTTGACATTCATTGCTTCGCATTCACTGTCACCTTAGCATTTACTCGCGCCTTCGCTCTTTTCCTTTCGTTACCCCTTCCCTGCTTCACATTCGGTCATGGATGTTACCTGCAGCTGATCTCCGACTTCTTCGATCCTTGACGCGACTCGGACTGGCGCCCGACTTTATCGCGAACAAACAGCGGGCCCTCGACTCCAATTTGGGCAACCAACCCTCACCATGGCGGCGAAGCGCAAGGCCTCAGCGATGGGGACGTCCGTAGATGACGAGCCAGTTGACCCTTCGGATGAGTTGGCCTTTTATTGCTTGGGTGGAGGCAACGAGGTCGGGCGATCATGTCACATCATTCAGTACAAAGGCAAGACGGTCATGGTAAGCTTCCCTTGACCGGTATCACAAATCCAGCCATCTTACCGACCACTTATTTTTCGTGCAGCTCGATGCGGGCATGCACCCAGCCAAAGAAGGATTCTCATCTCTCCCGTTCTTCGACGAGTTCGACCTCAGCACAGTCGATATTCTCTTGATTAGCCAGTACGTGGATTTCCAATCTTGCTTGGCCTATGGGGTGGCGCATGGAAATTAAAAGCAGTTGCACCTTGTGGTTCTGGACAAAACTGCCAGCTTTCGAGTACATGCTCCACTTTCTAGAACCCCAGACAGCCTCTTTTTATTTTTATTTTTTTCTCGCTTAGGCCACATTCATGTGCTATATGCTAATATACTAATTTCTATAGTTTCCACGTTGATCATTCTTCCGCTCTCCCGTATGTTCTCAGCAAGACGAATTTCAAAGGCCGGGTCTTCATGACACATGCGACGAAGGCTATCTACAAATGGCTCATCCAAGACAATGTGCGAGTCAGCAATACCTCCTCCTCTTCCGACCAAAGAACTACTCTCTACACCGAGCGCGACCACTTGTCTACCCTTCCTTTGATTGAAACTATCGATTTCAACACAACCCATACTATCAACAGCATCCGCATCACACCATTCCCTGCTGGTCATGTCTTGGGTGCAGCTATGTTCCTTGTCTCAATCGCTGGCCTCAACATCTTGTTCACTGGAGACTATTCTCGCGAGGAAGATCGACATTTAATTCCGGCTGAAGTCCCGAAAGGTATCAAGATCGATGTACTCATCACTGAGTCTACATTCGGAATCTCGTCCAACCCACCGCGACTTGAGCGCGAGGCTGCGCTGATGAAGTCAGTCACGGGAATTCTCAACCGTGGAGGGCGTGTTCTAATGCCCGTATTCGCCCTGGGGCGAGCACAGGAATTGCTTTTGATTCTCGATGAATATTGGGAGCGCCATCCTGAACTACAGAAAATTCCTATTTACTACATCGGTAATATGGCCCGGCGATGCATGGTCGTCTATCAGACCTATATCGGTGCAATGAATGACAATATCAAACGCCTATTCCGGCAGCGAATGGCCGAGGCTGAGGCCAGTGGAGACAAAAGCGCGAGCGCGGGCCCTTGGGACTTCCGATTTGTCCGCAGTTTGCGTAGCTTGGAGCGCTTCGATGATGTTGGTGGTTGTGTGATGATTGCATCCCCTGGTATGCTTCAAACGGGCACCAGTCGAGAACTATTGGAACGATGGGCACCGAGCGAACGGAACGGCGTCGTTATGACTGGTTACAGCGTGGAGGGTACAATGGCTAAACAGCTTCTCAACGAACCTGATCAAATTCCTGCCGTCATGTCCAAACTCTCAACAGTCCAGGGCCGAGGAAGGGTTCCTGGTGGCAATGATGAGGAACAGAAGGTCATGATCCCGCGGCGGTGTACCATTGATGAAATCAGCTTTGCTGCACACGTTGATGGTGTCGAGAATCGGAACTTCATCGAAGAAGTTGCTGCGCCAGTTGTCGTAAGTGCTCGCCCATTCCAATGTTTCCAGACATCAGCAACTTATTAGTGGTAACAGATCCTTGTTCATGGCGAGAAGCACCAGATGATGCGACTCAAGTCTAAACTGTTGAGTCTTAACGCTGATAAGACCGTAAAGGTAAAGGTCTATACTCCCGCTAACTGCGACGAGGTCCGTATCCCTTTCAAGAAGGACAAGGTCGCCAAGGTTGTGGGGAAACTGGCTCAGATTGCTCCTCCAGCTGAGCAAAACGACGGCCAGCTGATGGCTGGAGTTTTGGTTCAAAACGGCTTTGACCTGTCACTCATGGCCCCGGATGACCTTCGAGAGTACGCCGGACTGACGACCACCACGATCACTTGCAAGCAACATCTCACCCTTAGTTCTGCGAGTATGGATTTGATTCGATGGGCTCTGGAAGGTACATTTGGTGCCATTGAGGAGATTGAACTAAAGGCAAAGAGCGAGCCTAAGACAAAGCAGGAGGTCAACGGCGATGGAGACGAACTCAAGCCGAAGGAAGAGACTGCGGACGAGGAAATTCCCTCTGGAGAAACTCAGACCTTCTTGGTTATGGGTTGCGTCGTTTTGCGATACCACTCACGCTCTCGTGAGATCGAGTTGGAGTGGGAAGGCAATATGATGAATGATGGCGTCGCAGATGCCGTTATGGCCGTGCTTCTCACGGTCGAGAGCAGTCCGGCTTCCGTGAAACGTATGGAATCCTTGATTTATTCACTTCCCGGACATGAGTCTTGAGCAGATTATTCTAACCACTGTTCTTCTAGAATCCGCAAAACACAACCAACACCATCACCATCATGACCAGGAAAATCACGGTCCGCTTAATCCCCACTTCAACGTCGACGCTGATGAGCGTCTCGCTCGTCTGGAAATGATGCTTGAGACGCAATTCGGCTCTGATATTACCCGCATCGAGAAGCCGCGTGTCCCTGCAGACCTTGTGACTGGAAATCCTGAGAATAACGGTGACATCAACCCAGAAAACATCAACGAGGAGCGGATTGCCGATATCGAGTCAGCTGAAATTGAGCGCTTGCAGGCCCTTGGAATTCCCGTACCGGGTCTTGAGATCAAGGTTGACATGCACGTTGCTCGCGTGTGGCTTGAGAACCTGGAGGTTGAATGTGCCAATGGAGTCCTGCGTGATCGTGTTCGGGTCGTAGTTGAACGAGCGATTGAAACCGTTGCTGGATTATGGGCAACCAGCTCCATGCCTCGGGAAGTCGCGGTATCGAATGGTTTGGGGAAAGGTCAGGTAGAGATGGCAACTGCCATCAAGAAGGCAGCTGCTATCGAGGCACAGGACTGAACGATGAGGTGCTTCTATGCGAGCTCAATTGTACGATAATGATAGGATGGGAAATACCGTTTAGTGGTCACGAAATCTATCAATATTTCTTCCACGTTCTCTTCAAAGCTAGTGCTGTGCTTTCGTCACGAGATATCAAATTGATATTTGGCTCAGTTAAATTCGTTTCGATGCGCATTCAGGTTTCTTTCCAATGGCATCTTAGCTTGTTCATACCGAGATTTTCTTAAGAATGCCAACAGTTCTTTCGCTCTATCGGATCAACTGCATGTAGTAGCATACGCAAAATTCAACATTGAGACGGACAGAGACGACTACATGTACGCTGTGTAGATTTCACCAAGTGTTTGAATCAAAAGAGAACATTGATTTTTTCATTGAACGCAAGATTTATCATAAGCATTATCGCTTGAACCCCTTGGAAAGGCGTCCAGAGAGTGCTTCAAATTTGCTGCTAGATAGTGCTTTGTACCCTGCTCAAATAAAACTCGAGTCACAAGTCCAGCTCAGCAAATACATCCTTTAGAACCCTGGAAAACCCATCAACGATGAGGTCAATTTCCTCTCGAGAAATATTGTAGGGTGGCGCTAGCACCACATGGTCACCTTGGATACCATCAACAGTACCCGTACAGCCGTACAGAGAGAGGGAATATCCTGGTTCCAGTCCCTTCTCTTGTATGTGAAACGATAAACGGGCGCTGGGATCGAAAGGTTCCTTTGTAAGCTTGTCTTTCACGAACTCAACCTGGTTTGATCGAGTAAGTAACAGAATTCGTCGATTTGGTAGATTTGTGCACTTACCCCCCAAAATAATCCTTTCCCCCGAATGTCACCAACGTATGGGTGATCGCCCAATTGCAAACGCAGCTTTTGCTCAAGGTAAGCACCCATATTGCGAACGTTCTCGAGGAGAGACTCTTCTTTGATTGCCTTCTGCGTAGCCAAGGCTGCTGCACATGAGATAGGATGGCCTTGATATGTCTGTCCATGGCGGAAAACGCCAGTTCCCTTATCCATTGTCTGCACGATAGAGTCGCCGATCAGGATGCCAGATACGGGGGCATAGCCGCCCCCGAGACCTTTACCAATGGTTTGAATGTCAGGAACGACGCCTTCCTGTTCCCAGGCATGAAGAGTTCCACATCGTCCCATGCCGCTCATAATCTCATCGAGGATGAACAAAGCACCGTATTTTTCACAAACTGCCTTCATGGCAGGGAAGTATCCCGGCACAGCAGGTACGCAGCCAAGTGCCTAAGAATACCCGAATGTGAGAATCCTTTTCTTTGGATGTGATTGAGTTGTGAGAAAACTTACTGCACCAACCACTGGTTCCGCAATGAAAGCGCATACAGTATCAGGTCCTACTCGCTGGAACTCCGCATCCAATTCCGCAGCAAGGCGACCAACATAGTGGATATCGGATTCTCCTTCCTTCTTACCACGATATGCGTAGCACGGAGAGATATGAGAGGTATTATTTGCCAATATAGGCTCGAATGGCTCTCTTCGGAGAACATGGCCACCAACGCTCAGTGCACCAAGAGTCGTACCATGGTAAGAGGGCAGACGGGCAATGAATCTTGTGCGTTGCGGCTGAGGGCTTGGGAGCTCTAGGAAGTACTGTCGGGCGAGTTTCAGAGCGGCTTCCACAGCTTCTGAACCTGATTGGGGTCGTGAGCAACGTCTCAAGGCGAAGTTGAGCCGAATTAGTTCACTCACCTGAGCTAACCACGAACAGCTTTGACAACTTTCTCCCAGTTGAGTCTGTCAGAAATCGTGCCAGTTCCTCAGTAACCGGGGTACCGAAGAAGGCGGAGTGGCAGTATGATAGCTTGTCTATCTGGTCTTTGATCGCTTGGGTGACTCCCTCGTGGCCATGACCCAAGCATGAAACGGCAGCCCCGCCAGTTGAGTCAAGGAATTTGGTGCCATCCTCAAGAAAGATATATGTGCCTTTGCCACCAACAGCCTTCTTCGGAAGGAAATGCGTGTCTCTGTGGAGGACAGCGCTCGACATTCCGGGGCACGGTTCTGAACGATGTTAGTGTTAGCCACAATGGCATATGGAACGTCGGAGCAGTGCGCCAGTGGAATAATTTATCACATACCACTAGAGGCAGACATAGTGATTTGTATTCCAGAGGGATCTGGAGACAATGGAAGTATGCTGTGAAGTCTGTAGTCGAAATCGTAGCTGAGTTGGAGACTGCCCCGTCTTATATGCCGTGGATGCGTGAAAACCCGAGGCAAAGACCTGCGGGGCAAGTGGGTTCGGCATGCCGTCCGGAAGAAGCCGAGCTCCCCATTGGCTCCACTCTTAGTGCCTCTTACACTGCTGCCGTTTCTCACCGCTATCGACATTCGCTGATTGAAGGAGATGAGGTGGAGTTGCATTTGAAGTGGAGAACATTCTCCCTTGTCATGCCTATTTTGGTTTAAAAAGCGCTCAGGGCGCTGCGATTAAGGTAGTTAGTTAACAAATCTTGGAATGACTCAACTATGTCCCGAAGCTCGACCCAGAATCCCAGCCCACCTCGTGAAGAAGCATGAACCTGCCGCGTGGCCGCTGAATTGAACATATGGTGTATTTGGCAGTCCCAAGCACACAAACCACAGGCCCGTCGTGATGGACAATCAACGGAAGGCCTCCTCGACTGCTGCAGGCGGTGAGCGAGGCGTTCCCGCGGCTGCTGCGCTCGCGCATGCTTTCCTTTCCGGCATACTACTGCTAGGCTTGGATCTCGAAGAGAACCATCGGTTATGCCATCGGACAGAATACATAGATGGACTCCGTATCGTCAGGGCCGAGCAGCGCAGCGACACCATACCAAGTTGGGCAGGCGTGGTGTATGAATTCCCTCGAAATCTACCTTTAACAGTGACTAATGAGACACCCAAGTGACCGCTGCAGAAGGTTAGACAAGACTGATCGACGGTGCCCAAAGCAGAATGGGAAGCTAATTCTGCCAAATCGAATAGGAAGAAAATAAAGTGCGACGGAGCCTTTTCTACGGTATGTGATGTCCTTAGCCTTTAGCCTTGGTTAGACTGACATACAGTAACAGTGCCGAAGATGCGAAAAGGGAGGATATACATGTGAATCATCTGCTACGCTCCAAAGAAAGACCAAAGTACGAGGGTAAGCTGCGCGTGCTTCCGGTCAACTCTTCAATGGCTTAATCTTGTCCCCCGCAGATTCGCATCCGATGAACAGCAACTAGAACAACTTCGAGCCAAGTTATCGAAATGCCAACAGCAACTCAAAACAGAGCAAGATCAAAATGCGATCCTCCAGGAGCAGATTTCTCGTTCAAGGGCAGACCACCATGCCCATTGATGCAGATTCACTTGCTTCGATGCCAGCAGAACCAGGGGTTGAGCCTCCGCGCAGAGGGCGCCATGACAATGATCCAACCTACGTTATCAAGCACATGGGATGCATGGTTCACGATGAAAAAGGTGTCGGCCGGTTTGTGGGCTCAACTACTGGTGTCCACTTCGTTCTCAGTGTGGAGAAAGAAAGTCAAAATGTTTCGAATCTCCCTAGCGGATTTCCCGAGAGCTGCTTACGCCTCTTCCTGGCTCAACCATGCCCCGATGGGTGCGAGATAATCTCAAGAGCATTTCTTGACCATAGAACCGATCTATTGGGCTGTTTTACCCTCTCGTTATCTTACTATTGTGAGCAAGCCGACCCGTTCATCAGGAACTGGGAATCATTTTGCCCCGTTCTTCCCTGATATCAGATTGTGGCGGACATACGAGACTGATGGGCTCTCTCCAAAACCAAACTAGCCCTGAAGATTTCAACTACGCGACAGCGCTGTCGGTACTTATGATTATCTGCATAAACAGATCCTGTGACAATAGTCATGATTCTCTGAATGGCATGGGTCCTGGCCATGAGCTTTGTCTGTCTGTCGCGGGTGGATTGGTGGACGAGATTGCTGCGAAAGGAGACTTGAAAAATCTGTAGGCCCTAGTGTTGTTCGCATCTTATCATCAGCTGCACGGCCACTGTCTTGCAATGGCAAGAATAAATGGTGTGATGGTTAGCGTTGCGCAGTCCCTAGGACTTCATCGACATGCCAGGCGCTTCAAGATGAGAGTCGGTGAAATGGAGCAACGCAAGCGACTTTGGTGGTGGGTCTATGTGTTTGACAGGTATTTAGTCCCTAGTTAAACGGCCGTGAAGCAGTGAATTAACCCTGACGATCTAGTATGGCATCCCTGCTGCATGGACTTCCGAGCCTGATAAACGATGTCGACGTCGATAACGATATGCCGATGGACTGTCACCTCCACGATCTGGACATGGAGGAGCTCTCGTATCCTCTCCCTGGGGAAAGGACTGCCGTTTTCGTGTTCATTCAATACGTTCTTCTCGGGGAGATACTTTCAAGCACTCGCGGAATGAATGCTCTACACCACTACGCAACGACGAAATGGCGCAAGCGAAGATACGTGAACTTGATCTTGACCTCCGCATGTGGAATCAGAATCTCAAATCGAACGGCATTCATTTTAAAATTGGCGCCGTCCCGCCACATTCTCTTCCTGCAGAACATGCACAAGATCCCGGGAGAACCTTGTTATGGCTCCAAGTGCTAGCCAATGTCGCAATGGTTTCAATTAAACGACCAGGCCTGTCTTTTGATAATAGCACGACCGAGTTTTTAGCTTGCCTTCGAGCATGCGTGGCATCTAGCAGCGTCAACTTGACCTTTTTGAAGGACCCTCAAATCCCATTGTGGCTTCATAACATTAGTCTCATGGGACCTGGAATGGTATTCCAGTCCGCCCTGACACATGTGTATTGCCAATGCCGCTACATTTCCCTTGACCAGGAAGGGGACCCGTCTAGCGAAACTAGCGCGAGCATTTATCCTGAACGGAGTCACGATCCTGCAAAGAGTCATTTCGAACCAGCCTCAACACTATTCACATGACCATTTCTACTTTGGGCTCATCAGCGAGGCAATTGAAGCTTTGCGAATGTTACGATCGTTGCTGATACAGCGGACGCAAATTCAGGGTGGTAACGAGAAAATGCTCGAGCAAAGGATCAGACACAGTGCGCCCGACAATTTCAACGACTCAACCTGGAATACCAACGCATTGGATATTCTGAATTACGTGACTGCAACTGATTGGATGTACGAAGTCCCGGAGCCGTTCATAGGGTTCCTGGACGTTGATGAGCTGGATGTCGGCCAACTGCCGAGGTCTCCACTGGGGCCGGGATAAGCCTCCATCCCGAGCGCATTCCCAGCTGTACACGGCTCTATTCCGGCCGGGGTGCATTGCATGACCCTAGATTCTGCGAACCACGGCTTTTGTCATGTATTTAAGAACATAAATGTGGGTGACCCGGGCTTGTCACATCTGTCAGCGCTGGTATCACTTTTTCTTTTTCCTTCTGAGTCGTGGGCCTTTTTTCTACGTGCGATCAGTCATCTTTCTCCCCCAGTACAATCATCGGAATGGATTTTTGGGTCTGTGAGGAGAGTCTCTGTCTTTGGCTTAAATACTCGCTATTGTCGGCCCAGCATACACGTTATTCGGGTATAACCAGTCTGGTCTGGGAAGTCTGATTTCCTTGTCTGGCTGGGTCGAACATTTCCCAGAAATTGATATTGTCAACACCGAGGGAGCAGAGGCAAGTCATAATGCGACGACCCAGGGAGTTGTTATTGCGACATTTACACTAGGTGCCCTTCCTGGCTGTTTATCCTGTTCGTACACCGCGGACAGATTTGGTCGCCGGCGTGCCATTTTTATGGGTGCCTTGCTGGCATTGATCGGTCAGGTTCTTGAAACATCCGCGTTTCAGCTTGGACAGATGATTATTGGTCGCACCATCTTGAGAGCTGGGATTGGTATCGTCAGCGGCACTGTCCCGACCTGGCAGAGTGAATGCTCGAGCTCAAAGAACCGCGGGAAACATGTCGTGTTGGATGGACTCTTCATCGCGCTCGGATACATGCTACAGGCATGGATCAATCTTGGGGTTCTATCATTTTATGAGCTGCTTACAAAAGAAAGTGATTGTTCGCACTGTTTACTCAGTTATACTGCGCCTAACAGCAAGCTTCGTCAATCGCAAAACAGCACCCAAACACTCAGTCTAATGAGGTAGTGTCGTTAGAACCAATCGTGAAGTTTTTCTTTTTACATCAGTTGTGATTTGCCGGTTAATTCCACTTCGCGCGTGAAAGACCTGATTTTTTTTTTTTAAAAAAAATATCTTGTCGCTGTTTGGGATGGTTGAGTCCTGTTAAAAGGACGCGAGACCAACTGGTCTCCCACTGACTTCGAGTGGAAGCTCCATTTGCCTCGGGATAAGCGCCTATTCCGAAGATGCAGCCCACCTAAGCTCAGAACGCGGTGACTTGGCACGAGGGGCAAGCATTGCTGAATAGATTATTTAATAGTGAATGACCCCGGGGATTAGAGAGCCTAGTTGATCAATTCTTCTGCTGGCCTTGCCTGTCTTTCACACCATGTCCGTGTCCGCGCTCGACTCGCGTAATTCGCAACTTGTTTGGAACACAAGATATTCGCGATATCTTCACGGACGATGCATTTATCAAATCGATGATCGAAGTGGAGGCTGCTCTAGCATGCGCCCAGTCAAAAACAGGCATTATCCGTTCGGAAGCCCCGGGGGGTGGGGGGGGGGGGGGGTGCGATTACTGATGCATTTGCCCATCTTGAGACTCTCAGAAAGACTCTCACAGGCCTCGCCAATACACACCGGAATACGTATGTGACTTCTTTCGCCTGCGAAATTGGAAATCAGTGGGAAATCAGTGGGAAAATAGCGACGCTGACTCTTTTTCCAGTCCCATGGCAGGTCGAACACATCTTCAGCACGCCCTCCCCTGCACCTTTGGCTATAAATGCGCAGTGTACTTGTCGGGTGTTTTGCGCCACCTGGAACAAATCAAAGAGATTAAAAAGAGATGCCTACTGGTGCAATTTGGAGGAGCAGCCGGTACCATTGCCTCCTTGGGCGTAGACGACACCGGTCTCCGGGTGCGCGAGCAGCTCGCGGTGGAGCTGGGCCTGCAGAACCCAGACATCACATGGCATGTGGCACGAGACAATGTGGCAGAGATCATCAACTTCTTGGCATTGGTCGGTGGTACCTTGGGAAAGATCGCACTGGATCTTATGATCATGTCTTCCAACGAATTTGACGAAGTGTCGGAGCCCTTTGTCCCCCATCGCGGCGCTTCGTCAACTATGCCGCAAAAGCGTAATCCGATCTCGAGCGAGGTCATTCTCGCTGCATCCAAGATGCTCCGGTCCAGTGCATCGCTCGGACTGGATGTGATGATCACGGACTTTGAGCGTGCTTCTGGGCCCTGGCATCTGGAGTGGGTGGCCGTTCCCGATGCGTTTGTGGCGGTAGTTGGGGCGCTTCACCAAACCAACTTCGCCCTCGGCGGACTGGTAGTCAAGGTGGACTCAATGGAGCGTAACCTGCGTTCCACCAAGGGCCTTATTGTAGGAGAAGCGGTGATGATGGCTCTCGCGCCTCACATTGGGCGACAGAAGGCGCATGACGAGGTGCATGGAGACTGCAAATCGGCCATCGAGCAGAATCGATCGCTCTTGCAGGTCCTAGAGGAGTCCCCTGTTCTAACAGGCGTTTTCAACAAGGAGCAGCTAACCAGTCTCTGTGACCCATCGCAATATATGGGGCGAGCCAGCTGATGGTCGATCAGATGTTGACGCGGTCCAAGTTGACATTGAGCACGAATGATGTGCAGATTAATGGGATTTGAATAGAATAGATAGCATTGAATACCATAGAAATCGAATACTTTGTGCAGAAAAACATGTGGCATTGAGCACTGTGAAGCGGAAGCAAGAAGGTGCAAGGTCGTAGATGCGAGTAAGTGATAGCGTATCGCGAATGGGATTAGTCGACGGGCCGCACAGAAGCGCAGAGGCCACTCCCGCACTTTCTTCCTCCCGCAACTCCGCCACGCCTGTCACCATGTCGCGCAACGCTCGAGTCGAGGAGCTCTCCGACTCCGATCCCGATGAGGTCGCCCCCTCCGATTCCTCTTTCGCCGACAATGTGATCATTGAGCCTGCTGCCGCCCCGCGTCCCGCGCCCGCCAACCCTCCGCCCATGCCGACTCCGCCCATGGCCCAGATGCCGGAGCCCCAGCGCGAAATCCCCAAACACTTCCAATGCCTCTACCCCATCTACTTCGACAAGACCCGCACCCGTGCAGAGGGGCGCAAGGTCGGCAGTGAGCTTGCGGTCGAAAACCCGCTGGCCCGGGACATCGTCGATGCAGTCCAGATGCTGGGACTGCAGGCGGGCTTGGAACCGGAGAAGCTTCATCCCAAGGACTGGGCCAACCCCGGTCGGGTGCGTGTGCTATTGAAAAACGAGGACGGAAAGTCCATGAATTCAAAAATCAAGAACAGTAAGTGATTAAGCGACCTCCGTATCTCCACCCAAAGGGCAACTGGGGAGGTTTCTGGCATTTGACCAACCGTGACTGACCACACGTTTCGAACAGAGCACCACCTCTACATCCTGATTGCCCAATACCTCAAAGCACACCCTACGAACAACCAATCTCCGTACCGACTACGAATCCGCGGCCTCCCCATGCCCGACAAGCTTCCGGACGCGCCCCCTGCCCCACGCGGTTGGAAGATCGGAAAAATCCTCCCCATCCACTCCCCTGCCTACAGCGGAGGAGGTGTCAGCGACAATCCTTTCAAGGAGGCTATGGCAGAGATGCAGAACATGCAGGGAATGCCGGGTATGCCCTCAATTCCCGGGATGCCTGGTATGCCTGGCATGCCCGGCATGGGGGGCGAGGCTTCAGGAGCAGGCACTGAAAAGAAGAAGAAGGACAAGAAGAAGGGCAAGGCTTAAAAGGTCTGGCGCATTTTTCTTGTTCCACGTATCTTCTAGTAATTGCATTGCACGGCGACGGGCGTTCTTTTTGCTTTCAGAAATTATAGAGGATATATGGTTGATACCTCTCACGGTCGCAGTTCTAAGCTGAGCCAGCTGTGAACACTCCGCCCTTCGAATGGTGGACCTGAATATATGTGCAATTCCCCCTAAAAGCATTCGATCAGTATAGTGTGACGTATGGCCCGGGGGTAGACCGACATATTGATCTTCTTTCAGATAATTCTGCACTCGTGAAAAAATAACGAATAACAATTCATCACATCCTTCGGGATATTACCTTTTTTGTGGAATGACGTACACAATCAAGAGACCTGAAAGACTGCAATCCCTTTTGCAACGCATTGCCTGCGGAGTATATCATTCAAAGCCATCAATTTGACTGCCATGCTACTAGTATCATGAAACTACCTTACGTGGGGGTACTCGCAAGAAAGCAAACAAAAAGGCTGTAAGTTGCGACTCAGGGCAAAGGATAAGTGACACTGCCTATCTTTTAATTACTGTGTTGTAAAGAGATCATTATCACGGCATCTTATACACGCTTGCGGTGGGGGAGTACAGATACATGTTCCCGAATTTTGGGTCGCCAGGGTTGGAAGACTAGTTTTGGTTGCCCCTGCTCGTATGTTGCGTACTAATATCACAAGATCTTTGCATGGAATTTGGACAATAAAAAACATCCAGATTATGTACAACTTATAGGGAGAAACCCTCCATTTGCACTTGAGCGTCTTTCATTGCCTGTGAATGACATCTGGGGATCCCCCATTCCGGTATTGCCAAAGGCGACTGAAGTCCTTGACACGCAAAATCTGTGGGGATTTATTCTGTCCTTGATCTAATCCTAGACTCCGTACTTCCCGGTCTGGAACAGGCAGCAAAGTCATATCTCGGTGTCCGTCATGTTCGACCGAAAGATCGACTCTTTTCACATCGACTTCCATGTCCATGAACGGGTTTGACTCTAGCACTCTGAGGTCAGACCCCAGTGTGAACATGGTGTCAAGATAGTGCTGATTCATCATATGTCCAGTGCCTGGGCGGATAAACAGGCTTCCTAGATAGCGATTTGGAACATATGTGAAGTGAAGCACTCCAAGGTGAGACACTGCATCGCCATAGTTGGCATAGTGTTCAATATGGCGAATAGATCGGGTGACGGGCTGGCAAAAGGAAGACTGGCGCGGATTGTTGAAGTGATTCGCGGCGTTCCCGAAAGTGTATACCTCTAACTTCGTGAGGAGGTCTTGGGGCAGCTCGTCGAGGAGCCAGTCGATGACCAGGCTACCTTCTATTCCGCCTTGGCTATGGAGTATTATCACCACCTTGTGACAGTCAGGATTCAACAGTTCCTGCTTGAGCAGAACATACGCCCTTCGTACGTCGCCTGTCGCGTAGGCGAAGCCTCGTTGAATCAGACATTCAATCAAGTCAAAGACCAAGCCAGCCCTAGAAAGTGTTAGGGATATCGGGAAGGCGCTCCTCGGGGTCATGCTTTTGCACTTACGTGCGATTATGTATCGCCGTGATCTTGCGCCCAAAAGAGTATGACAGCTGATCGATGTTATTCTGCAACCAAAATTTACTGGTGAAGTTAGACTTGAACGCCATCCAAGCTCAAAATATAGACACTCTTACCTGTTTGCCACTCCGTTAATAAAAAACCACCGCTCGTGTTCATGCTCTGGACGACTGGGCACCGGAACCCGGGAGACCAAAACCCTCTCGGGCCCATTCAAAACAAGCATGCAGATAGCGAAGTTAATTGCTATTCCGGCAAATATATAAGCAAAGATCCATACTGCTGGCAACAGCAAGATGATCGTGAATGGAATCGAAATGAGAAAAAGAACCTGACTGATGGTCAAGAACACTTGGGCGGAAAATGAGACCAGACTCCGCCACGACGGATACAGCTCGTCCAACGGAGTCGTCCTGCCGAGACGGAGTGGCAACAGGATGCCCGGGAGCGTCCAGGCATATTTCACAAACAAGAGGATATCGCGACAGAGTAGGAGCAGTGGAGATGCCGTGTAGGGCAATGGGGTCGAACTTGGGTCTCGCCTGGTAAGGCGCATCCGAGGCATGGCGGAGTTGGCACGGCGCTCCCCGCGATGTCACAGCATCCAGGCGATCCTGGAGAGGTTCGTGCGTCTAGAGGTCTAAGGCTGTTCGGCTGTTCGGATGTTCGGAGGATGCGACCAGCCGGGGCGAGTTGAGAAAGTCGAGCGTCGTCCGAAGTGCAGCCGCCGCGCCAAATGAAGAGGGCGTGCGTCATGTGATGGCAGTGGTGATGTATGCCCGTGCGGCGTTTCTTCTCATGACTCGCTTCCAGTCTGCTTCTCGCAGCAGCAGCTCTCGATCCCGTCGGCAGGCTCCGACGGGGAGATTGACGTCAAACATCTGTCTTCTCATCAGCTCGACTTGTTGCGGTTCGTCTACCTCACTAACCAGCCGTAGACCGCGCTGGTTATAGTCCGACGAACAGAACCTTGGCCGAAGGGTCATTCATCGTCTGAGGATCTTCAAGATCATGTTCGGGTCGTGGTGGATATTGACTGTGGACACCACTCGATCTACTCTGAGCTGACGCATGGAACGTAGTACTTGTCGAAAAGTCGTCTCACGCTGACTCACGCACGCCACTTGCTCCTGGCAAGGCTTGCAAATGTCACCCTGGCGGATGTCGGCACTATCCGCCCCCTGCAGCTTGCATTCCAGTCTCCAGCGCGAGCGGATGTAATGCGCAAGCATTTAAAACCGAGTACGGATCACGACCCGGGAATGAGTGCTGGTCTCTGTGGTAAGGCTTCACTCGCCATGGCCGAAGACAATATTGTTGCTAGCCTCGAGCAACCCTGGGAAAGGGACCAGCTGATCGAAGTCCGTACTGGCAAAGCAAAACCGGTCTTTGGTCTGCCTATTGAATCAGCAATCTTCAAATCCGTGCGCTATGGCGCTGTCTCAGTAGATAAGCAGGGCTGCTGTGGGGACGAGCATGTCTACGAGTTCCACGGCGGTCCAGACAAAGCACTCTTACAATACTGTTCGCAGCACTACAATGTATGGAGCCAAGAGCTACCAGGAAGTGCTCATCTCTTTCGGGTCGGAGGCTTTGGCGAAAATCTCGTGGCACACAAGGCCAACGAGCGCAACACCTGCATTGGCGACATTGTTCGCATTGGCCGTGATCTTATCGCCGAAGTGAGTCTACCACGACAACCATGTTTCAAGCTCAACCATCGTTTTCAAGAAAAGAATATGTCACGGTTGACGCAAGAGCGTTTTCGCACGGGGTGGTACTACCGTATTATCCACGAAGGACCCATCAAAGCCGGCGACGAAATTCAGCTCCTCGAGCGCCCGAATCCACAATGGACAGTTGCGCGTGTGCAGCATTTTCTCTATATCGAGAAAGAAAACTTCGAAGCCATGACTCAACTGGCCCAACTTGTTGAACTTGGCAACGAGAGCCGGGACATCTTCAAAAATCGCCTGAACAAAAAGTTTGAAGATCAAGAGCAACGTCTTCTCGGAAGCAGTAAGATGGCGCTTGATATGTGGGCTGAATATCGCCTAGTAGAAAGACAGCGAGAGACTCCGACAGTAGTTTCTTTTACATTCGAAGCCATCAATCCAAGAGAATCGCCCGAAAACGCTGAACCAGGGACTCATGTGCGCCTGAAGCTCGGGGGACGTCTAATTCGTGCCTATTCCGTGGTGTCAGGGGACCAAAATCGCTTTACTCTGGGAGTCGCTCTCTATCGCGAGACAAGTCGCGGTGGCTCGATCTATCTGCATGAGAACCTCTGGGAAGGCGACGTGGTGGCAATCAGCAAATTCGCAGCAACATTTCCACTCAATAAAGATGCCGATCGACATGTTCTGATTGGGGGTGGTATCGGTATAACAGGCCTTATTTGTTCTGCTCAAGCACTACAGCGAAAGGGCCAGTTGTTTCATCTTCATTATGTTGTACGGTCGCAAGAAGAAACGGCTTTCAAGTCACATATCGAATCTCTTGGCTCTAACGTGACAATTTACTCAAAGAAAAACGGAGAGTCCTTTGACGCTGCCACAGTCCTACAAAGGGCCGATAACAATACGCATATCTACTGTTGTTCCGGAGAGAGACTTATGACTGCTGTGCGTGATACCGCCAGCGGACTCGGTCTTCCGCAACACAACCTACACTTCGAGTCGTTCCAAGCCAACAATTCTGGAGACCCATTTACTGCTGAGTTGGCAGAATCAAGACAAAAGCTTGAAGTGCCATCCGGTGGGAGTCTGCTAGATACGTTGAGGCAAGCGGGCTTTGATATCCCATCGACATGCGAAGCAGGCAATTGCGGCACCTGTCGGGTCGGTGTACGTGATGGCCGAGTGGAGCATCGTGGTACAGGTTTATTGGAGAATGAGAAACAAACTGCTATGCTGAGTTGCGTCTCACGTGGGATTGGAAATATTGTTCTGGATTTATAAGGCTCCAAAAGCCTTCCAAAAGCGTTTTCTTTCAGTCCTTCTTCTCCATGTAGGGCAGGCATGCCTCATAGACATTCCTATATCCGGCATACTGTGTGAATCTCTGGAAGACCTTCTCATCTACCATCCTCGCAGATTGAAGCGATCCTGCAATGAAGAAGTCGGTATATGTCGGCTGTGCGCCGATTATAAATGGTCCATCAGCTTCATTGACCTGAATCAATTTGCCGATAGCGCTCATTGCATCGCCCAAGGAGCTCCATGTTTCCTCCTCCTTTTCAAGGTCTAGAAGGTCCTCGAGACGATGGCCTAGCATCGTTTCACGGGTACGCCGGAAGTATTCCTGGGCACGCGGTGACAGAATACCAACCTCACGTGGCATTATCGAACTCCGGAAGGCCTTTCCCGCCACAGATCGTGATTTTAATTCAACTTCCTGGCCCAACTCTGATTTCAGTGGGACAGGGGGATCTGGGTACTTTGACTCCAAAAATACGGAGATCGGACTCGAGTCCATTATGTAGGTGTTGGTTGGCACATGATGAATCGCCGGAACCGTGTATCTTGAGCCTGGAGATTCGCTAGGAGCTATACCACTTTATATAACGGTGTTAGAACAGTTTCATCATGATGGGTCTCGATTGCATCTCACAGTCCTTGGAGAGTAGGCTCGATGTCAGGAAACTCGAGGAAAACAGTCTGGTATGGGATGCGCTTGTAGTTGAGCATCAGGCGGATACGCCATACAACGGGAGAGAAACAGACGCCTCGGGTGCAAGCCAAGTCATACAAAATGATCTCAGGCTCCAACCGGGCTTCCATTTTGTACAGCAGCTGTTCTCTTGTTCCGGTGGCTGTTTTGAGAGCATATGCAGCCTAGTGGGTAAGACACGCGTGTATTTTCGATGCCAGGTCACCCGAAAGCTATCAAACTCTAGAAGATAGGGATGGATATCTGCATGGAAACTCAATGAGGGAGTGGATGAAGTACCGTGAACAAATACGAGCAGGCAGAAGAGGTGTTGAAGTGGGGGCGTTTGTCTTTGTAACTAACTAACGTAATCCACTAGCGAGTGAGACACACGGGCCCGTGAGACAGAAAACCAGCTACTATAATTTCAACCCAATTTATTAAACCAACAACGCCATTGATTTCAAATTTCTATCTATTAGACCTATCAGGGCATTGCGTTCTTTTATGCCCTATTTGATGACAGTCGCTGCATCGCGGGGGTGCGCGTGTAATTGGCTGGGAAGCTGACGCAGCTGGTTCCGCGGGGGCAGTATTAGGAGCTTCATGAGCCTGGTTCATCGACTCCCTGGCTTCTTGGCCCGTAAAACCCTCCGTATGAGCTACGCGCTTAGTCGTTCTGTTGCGTTTTCGCTTTTGTGTCTCGTTTTCAGCCCGTAAATCGCGGACTTCCTTTAGAAGGATTGCATTAGAATGCAACGATTGCTGATAGCCCTTGAGGAGCTGATCAATAGCTTTATTCGTAGGCGTCGGAGGGCTTTGCGAACGTTTCTTAAGCAGTGCCTTGATTGAAGAGCCCTGTCGATTCAATTGTTTGAGATTTGCCGGCGTTTTAGGGCTCCACGCGCTCGATTGGCTCCCTGGTCGACTACCTGAGGGGGTAGGTGTCTGAAGTTGAACATCAAGCTTTGAAATGACCTGATCGGGATCATATGGTACTAAACCAGCTGCGACGAATGCATTTTGAATAGTCTCTGGTTTAAAGGCCTCTTTGCGAGCTTGTGGGAATGCTGCAAGGAAATCACTTGTCGATATGGTTGACCCCCAACCGTGCTTTGCGCTCAATCAAGCTCCCATACGCGCGCTTTAGGGGGCAAAACAGCCTATATCCAAAGGCTGTAGTAGATGAGACGAATGCGGAGGCATGCAGATTGGAATAATATCATTTTGCTCGCACAATCGATCAAAACGGGGGGTCAAATGACTGCCATGGCCATCGAGAACTAGTAGTCGATATTTACCCCTAGTACGACTAGTAGTCGCAGGGATAAATAGCTTTTCTAGCCATCGAAGCCCAATTTCGTCTGTAGTCCAGCCATTCTCACTGATTTCGATTCTCCAATTGTCGGGTAGGTCATCAAACCATGCATATTGTTGGTACTTTGACGATTTGAAGATAATGCATGGTGGGAGTATAAAGCCCGTTGAATTCACACATTCAATCGATGTGACCCATTCGCGATTCCCTGGCTGTAGAACTGACCTCCGACCATAGTATTCAGCTCTTGTAATGACTTTCGCAGTGGCTATAAGCCCCATTGCGAAGCCAGTTTCATCAAAATTGTAGATATCCTCAGGTTGGATACCATTCTCATCGATCGTGCGTCGTACAAGGTCGAACCATGGTTTAATAACCCTTGGATCTTCGCATTTGCCCTCTCATAATTATATCGACGAGAATACCGCGATTTGAGCTCATCATAGCGCTCTGTATATCTGTAAACCCAATTGACTCCAACAGTCTGACTACCACGCTCTGCTAGTAGAATATTGGCCATATCCCTTACCATACAAGGCCGGGGAGCTGATCCACGTGTATCCATAGAGAGTATCCACCGTAGGAGCGATTCCTCTTCAGTTGGAGTCAATTTATAATTGCTGGCGCGGGTTTCCGACCGATGAAGTTTGCCATTGTATCGGCGATGGAGAGTTGCGGTAGGTACTTGAAATCGGCGCGCAGCTTCGCGAATTGATCGAAATTCTTCGTTCTGAAAGGCTTGTATTGCGAGCTGGATCCTACCTTCTTGGTTGATAGAATTTTGAGGAATTTGACTGCGAATTGGGGGCATAGTGGGTAGTTGAAATGAGGAGGTTGACGCGCTGGGGCGCGACCGCGGTTTCTGTCTCACGCGCCCGTGTGTCTCACTTGCTAGTGGATTACGTTAGGAGGAACTTCAGTCTTACGTAAACATGTTTCTATCTTGGAAATTGATCGACCCCATCACTGATAATTTACTGACCTGTATGGATCTAAAACACTGGATCAAAATATAGTTCAAATTTACCCAGATACTCAGATATCCAGTCATAGATGACAAATCGGAACCCAGTGGTGCCAAAATATAACCCTTCCAAAGCTTGAGGCAATCTTTCTCAGGCCTCTTGAAACACGCAGAAAGCCAATCAAAACACATTTAAGAGCAAATGTTAGTGTAAATGCCAAGTGGCTCAAACACATTGCGAGAACAAAGAGCAGTCGGAGAATTCCCAGGCTGATACCAAGAAGATCTAAACAGAAACTAATCACGTCATCATGTAAAGCTAACACTCTTTGGGAAAGATCGGAGAGGACTTGTAGAAGATCAGTCATGTCGAGGTAGAGATTTGATGAAGTGTTTAGAATCGGTTTGAACAATGATATAGCCAAATTTTCCATCGTAAAAAAGTTGACGGTAACACTGCCGCCTCGGGAAACGATCGGCTCCCGGAGCCGAGCCTGAGTTCGTCCCTCCGTCACCAGTCTTTCATTCTTTGTTTGACTTCCTCTGAAAATAAGCACGTTGCTGCCTACGGCCGTTCCTAGGAGCCCGGGCGAAGGATTGCCTGTTTGTTATCATGCTTCTGCTCTCTAGTACTTACTTTCGAACTCACTGTCTGTCTTAGTGATTATTCTATTATGTTTCTTATTACCTAGGATCCTTTGCATTACTAAAATATAATCAGTCGCTCGTAGGACGCAGATAGTATAAGGGGGTAGGTATTAGGCGGTGGGCAGCAGGCGGTGGGTATGAAATAGTTTCAAACTTTTGCACTGCCACTTTAGTTATTTACCAGACCGTAACTGCAATCTTCCTAATACTTGCACAAATCTCTACAACTATTCAAATACAGAAGAAATACGCCACTCAAAGTTTCGACAATTACACATATCTTCAGCCTTCCATACCCTAGGCTTAGTTCTTAGCCCGAAATTCTTTGTCTTCAGGTTGTTCTACCATTTTGAGACCAAATGAATATAATAGAATAATACTAGGCATTCTAATGACATTGCTCTATAATGTCGAAGAATTCTGAATTTCTGAAAATTTTGGGGTTTGGTGGAGATTTAGATTTACAGTACTTACCGAGCAGTTAGAAAGATACGCTGCGTAAGAAATGAGCGGATTGCCAAGCAAATCGGTGGGACTAGGATGGAGCTCAAGGACCTGGACTCACTCCCAAGTCTCCGACAAGCAAGTCCCCACCCCGCTATAGCGAATCCACGCAGCTAATCGAGCGATGTCACCTTGTCAGGTTAGGCGGACGGGCACTGACTACCGAGCCCGCCTCCCCGAAGGCTTGGGGTCGCGCTAATAATTTACGAGGCACGCAATAATTCAGTTTTTGCGATCTCTGGAAAATACTCACCCCCATCTCCTCTCTTTTGAACTCCCATTTCCCCCAACCATGACCGAAACGCCTTCTACTGTCCAATCGCCGCTTCGGATCGGCACCCGGCGATCCAACCTCGCTGTTGTTCAGGCAGAGGGCATCCGGGATCGTCTGCGAGAGATCGTGCCAGACCAATCCTATGAGATCGAGACTCTTCGTACGTTGGGTGACCGAGACCAGTTGACGGCGCTCTACAACTTTGGCGCTAAGAGTCTTTGGACCACCGAGTTAGAGGAGAAGCTCACCTCTGGTGAATTGGATGTCATCGTACATTGTTTGAAAGGTAAATCAATTCCTTTGTCCTTCAAATTCAAATATTGGTTCAAACTCTTAACTGTCCTACTGTAGATATGCCGACTCGGCTGCCCGACTCGTGTGAGCTTGCAGCTACTCCGCAACGGGACGATCCCACAGACGCACTGATCGTCAAGGCCGGCCTACCGTACACGAGCTTAAAGACTCTGCCCGATGGCGCAGTTGTAGGCACTTCATCGGTTCGACGGTCGGCCCAGCTCCGCCGGCTTTACCCCCATCTTCGCTTTGCCAATTTACGCGGTAACGTGGAGACTCGTCTCGCAAAAGTAGACGATCCGAATAGTGAGTATACGTGCATGGTCATGTCAACGGCCGGCCTCGAGCGCGTAGGCCTCAAACACCGCATCAATCAATACCTCCACTCGAAGGATGGGGGCATTTTCCACGCCGTCGGCCAGGGCGCCCTGGGCTTGGAAATTCGCAAAGGAGACGCGAAGATGCGCGCATTGCTAGATCAGTTAGCTGACCACAAGTCAACTCTTGCTTGTCTCGCCGAGCGGTCCCTGATGCGAACGCTAGAAGGCGGCTGCAGTGTCCCTATCGGTGTTGAGACCGAATGGATTCAACCCGACAAGTTGCGGATGACTGCCATCGTCGTCAGTCTGGATGGCTCCCGGAGCGTCCAGGACACCGTTGATGCAAAACTCGAAACTGCCGACGAGGCGAACGCACTCGGCCAAGAACTGGCCGCAAGACTAGTCGCGGGAGGGGCAGAGGCGATTTTGAAAGATATCAACGCCAACCGGCCTGCTAAGGACTGAGTGCTGGACATAATTATATCCTGTGGACCTTGGTTACGGAAACGTGTCGCCGCGCGCTCAAACGGTATAGACTAGTATATGGATATTATGATGACATCGGACGGAAAAAGCTTCGAGAATGTAGAGAATGCTCACTTGAACCCAAAAAAAAAAAATAAAAACAAATGATTCATGACAGGCCATATTTGCCTTGCCATCTACCCGTCTATAACTTGCGGAAATACACTTTCTGCGCTAATTGCGACATAGAACACGAGAACACAATAACTATCGTATACTAACCAGGGTTGGACCACTGCTATTGAAAACCTGCTTTGTATTAATGATTACAATGCATTTTAACTCCTCAAATTCGATGATCGCAGAGCAGCTATAGAGCTAGCTGTGGGGTAGTCCCTCTATTCTGCATCTCCACCAACCCAGCATATACACCTCCCTTCTTCATCAACTCTCGGTGATTGCCAATCTCAACTAATCTTCCCGCCTCTAAAACGCAGATTACGTCCGCATGCTGGATCGTGCTCAGCCGATGCGCGACGGCGATCGTGGTTCTCTTCTCCGAAGCTTTATTCAACGCTTCCTGTACCATTGTTTCTGACCGGGAATCCAGCGCAGCAGTTGCCTCGTCCAGGAGCAGGGTTGAGTTGCAGTCTTGTGATTCGGGCGGAATTGTAGCCTCTTTTATAGCCCGTGAGGCGAAATCCGCCTCCTTCACCGCGCGGACGTTGACCAGCTCCAGCAACGCACACCGCTGCATCTCAAGTTGTTCGATCATGCTATTTTCGCATCCGCAAAGCTAGAATTCCAACCAATCTCGCCGAAAGCCCCGGATCAATGATTACACTTACCGTCGTCGCCAGACTGCGTGATTGTGGGGTCTTGCCACAGCGGGTCAGGAATTCACCTCACAATGTGGAATCCACCTTGGTCTGGCGAGCTTGCGGTATTTTCGCCATTGGTTCGCATCGCCGTGGCATGCTGCAGAGATTCGTTGATTGGGTAAGGATGGACCGGAGAGAACAACGAGGACAACAACTACAAGGTCAACACGTTTGGAATCACGCCGCCGAAAGTAGATCTGCGACGCCAAGGCCACAGTACAATGTAACCTCCGACGGGGCGTCACATAAGGCAAATGAAGTGGAGCAGGGAGTATCGAGGGAGGCAGCCGGTGAGAGTTCACTCGTTGCGAAGTCGAAAGGAAAAGAGAGACCTCAGCGGCAAGGTCTCAGCGGCAGAAGGCAACCGAAATAGCGTTGCGAGACCCACGGTGGCTTATTCGAGAAAGAAACGGTGGCTTGATATACAATCACGCGGTGTCAAGGACACGATACGGTGGAGGAATGTAACATCTCCGGCGAAATGAAAAGGGGCAGTGCATCGGGCTGAAAGCCAATGCGCGGGCAACGGTGGGGACCGAGAAAGGAAGGACCGAGGGGGAAAGAAGAAAGGAAAAGAAGGGAAAGTGCGTCGACGAAGGGGAGCAGAGGGCGAGGGGGCTTTTATAGATGGACGGCCGACGCGCAGGGCGGTAAAAGCGGCCAGAGGCAGCGCTAAACCCGAACAGGGACCATGGTGCGGGCGGCATCCCCGAAAGGGCAGTGGGGCTGCGAATTCAGGCAGGCGGTGGGACGGGAGCCGTTTCCGCCCCCCCCGCTCACCGTGTCAATTAATACTGCATTATTAGCAGTTGCTTTCTTGATCCTCTCTATCTATTTGAGATCTTGAATTCTAAGGGTGGCGGCTAATATCTAGTGATTATATATTAGATTGCCTTCGTTATTATATTTCAGGATAGCTAGTACAGCTTATTTAACTCTAATTTTATAATCCTAGTTGTCTACTAAGTGCGTCCGCTTAATTTTTAGCTGTTCCCTTATAGTGTTTAATTCTATAATTATCTGTGCTAGGGTTTCTGCGTTACGCGCTACTAGCTGGGCGCGGTGAACCTGTGTATTTCTGGGTGATACTTGCTGTTACGAACCCTGCAACAGGAGGGGCTGCAGCCTACTGACGAGCCATCAAGAACCAAACCATTCCCAGGAGCTAGTTAGGCGCAATCACTAGTCACGTGCATACTCAAGCAGCAAGGCAGACAGGAGTTGTCAGCACCACTGGTAGAAGGGTTTTAATTATCTAACTGCCCTAAATAGGGTAAATAAGCAAGGTTTATGCTAGTGCGGAAAACGATACTGATCCACTAATTGTTATCGGCGGATATGCTGCAGTTTAGACGTACTGGTCTTCGTTGTAGTTTTGCTGTGCCAAGAAAACTAAAGGATACTGTGACGGCACGATGTGTAGTAGATAACCCTACAGACCGCCTGCTACTCACTGAGCATGAGCATGAGCATGAGCTGATGTCACGATCTGTGCGCCAAATACTAATATGGAACGGGAGAGCCAAAATCTCTTCTAGAATTCATTCTACTTTCGAAGAATTTTTGCAGTGGCAAGCCAACCGTCGCGCGCGCTGCTAAAGGAGGGCAACCATCCACTTTCTTCTCGGAGTTTCGCATTGCTGACTCGTGTAGAGCGTGTCAGTGATGTAGAGCGGTTGCCCAGTAACAGCGCCGCTCGTCCTGGGAGGCGTAGCCATGCAGGCCGCCCTGCTGCTGTAGAAAGTGCATCTGCATAGGCCCGCTTCGTCAGTGGCTCATCATCGACGACATTATAGGTCCCTGATGGGACGGCCAAAGCTGCTGCAACAGCAGCACCCGCGTCAGCGACGTGAATGGACGAAACATAGCCATTGGGTGGGCCCATCATGATGGCAATATGATTTCGCGCAAGTCGGAAGAACTCCTCGCTATGTTTCGCGCCGGGCCCATAGAACCAGCCAAAACGGAGGATGACACCAGTGCCACCAGTCTTTATAAAGCGATGCGTGCTGGCTTCTGCAGCCAGATTGCCGTGGGCCATGGGAAAGTCGTCTGTTGGGCTATTTTCGTGAATCCAAGCGTCGCCTTGGTCTGCGTACAGCATGCTTACAGATTCTTGGACGATACGCTCGGCGCCCGCGGATATTGCGGCGTCGACAATGGTCGCAGAGCCTTCCTTGCGCACTCGATCATTCTCAACCCACGCACTTGATTGCATGAATTTTGACACCGGCGGTATGGCTGTAGCAAGGTTGACGACTGCTTGATGTCCCTCAATTTGCTTGATCAATGCCATACGGTCGTATATCGAGACCGTGGTGGTCGAAGCGCCTTGATTTTGCAGCCGACTTGCTTTCTCAGGGGTTCGGGCCACGGCGGTGACACTATGCCCAGCGTCAACGAGTGCTTGAACAGCATAACGGCCGATCGCTCCTGTCGCCCCTACAACAAATACTTTCATTTTCTCGAGTCAGGGGGTTGTTTCTCGCAAGAATGAAGACTTCGCATTGAATTCTTCCGCTCATCCCCAAAATACCTTTTGACTATTCACACTCTTTGCGTCACGTGAACCCGTTCGCTCGTATTCATGGGTTCCACTAGGTGAAGTTATTTCAAGAGATACGAGTCTATGACTCTTAAATCACGCCTGCAGTTTCAACCCCTGTAAGTGTACCCAGTGCCCTCATAAAAGCGGAGGCAGCCCGAAGAGGCAAGACCCCGCTGGCAGAGAGGTTATGGCAAAGAGGTGCCATTTGCCTAGAAGGGGAAACTGATTGTGCTGCCATTCTGCCCCCACCCTGGCTTGTTACTTTTTTGTGTTTTATTCTCTCGAGCCTGTGCCATCCATTGGCGTTAGGCCTTGGCAGTCCCTCGGACTCTCGACAACTGATAGCTTGTTCCTCGTAAAGTCGCAAAATGATTCCCGAAAAAGAAGTAGTTATTGTCGATTAAACTCAATGAATTACGAGCTCTCTGCTCAAGAAATTGTACTGTGTACGTAGGGGCACACTGCCCCAGTGATCTACAACATATGATGTCATGACAAGCTGAGGATGCGAACGTGGACACTACAACTCGATATATTCAGCGTTCTTTTCATTGCTGCCCAATTTTTGCAAGGCAAACCGAATGAATGCAGACGAAGGAAGTTATAAAGTACCGCTAGAGAGTTATATAGAGGCTTTTCTACGATCTCACGCATGACAGTCATTTAACCAACACACAATTCAATTGTTGATCGACGAGGTGTGACTCAGAGTGTTAAGCTAAATTGCGCCTCGTAAATTGTGCAATTCCGAGAAGAGTCATGGCAAACTCAATACCTCTGGTACTTATAGATATATCTAGGGTCGGAAGTCCTAAGGAGTTTTCTTTGCCCATGGTCATATGTGCAATCAGAGGTCGAATTCACCGAACATGGTATCTTTAGAAACTCCTCAGTCTCTCCAAGGCTCCAACATACCCAGACTTAACGTTGAATTTTCATGGAGGAAATGGAATACTGTGATCACCGATGGCAGAAATTCTGATCACAACCCGATGTATACCGTCAATTTTCCAAAAGCGATCAGATCACCTCATTTCATTTTCACATCAGTGCCTGACCAAAGGACTATTGGTACCGGAACGCTGGGCACATTCTCCATCAATGCCGAATACGAACTGCATGACCGGAAAGACATACTAGTAGCGCAAAAGCGCTGGCAGACAGTATACACCTACCACTCGCTTGCATTCTCTGACTCTAGCTGCCCTGTTACCATGACTTGGTCTAGCAGCAGCGGGTTCAAGAAATGGAACTTTGTTTGCACGGATGAAAACCGGCAAACAGTCGCAAGGTTCTCTGCCAATATTTGGGGACTCAAAAATATCGGGACGATTGAGCTTTTGGTAGCAAAGGCCGAAAGCGATAGAGCGAGAGAAGAGATTGTTGTCACTGGATTAACTCTTTTCTACTGTACGATATTGAGATCATGCAGTATTTTGTCCCTCTTGGGAGCGGCCTTAGCTTATCCCAGCAAGCAAAAAGTTATTCCGTCTGAGGCTCTGTCTACAATAAGCAATTAGCCTGGCTCGAATGGCTCACCTGGCCGTATGGAGTTATTTCGGATACCCTTTGTTATTAAATCTCCCCTTTATGTACTATACTTTGCTCTCCACTCAATAATTTAAACCCATATTGATTGGCTGCTACATTTTACAAAGAATCTCTTACGAATCGAGACTCGAGAACCGCTTTATGGTGCCCAAATTATTTAATACGTGCTCATACTATAGGGATTCTCACCAAGGTAACTTCACAATGACCACAAATCCTCCCTGACACTAGGGTGCTATAGTCAGACTTGGGGAATAGCGAGTTGGGATCAATTGTAGAGGTACCTAGTCGATAAGATAATCTCATTAATTTTGGGCTGGGAAAGCGGGTCTATTCGGCATCTCTCTGTCAGTCAAAGCGGTCGTACGCAATATCAAACTAGAATACGGTCGGTTGGTTGGTTGGTTGATATCATTTACCTTGACCCCTCGCAAAATGAAAATGATGTGCAGGCTGCCTCAACTACATATATCTCCGAGTATGTACATGTAGAGTGATCCACTTCCGGAAAACGAGCTTAGAGCCTCGTCAAGGCCTCTCGTGGCCTAGTTGCCGCTCCCATTGTTAGGCTGCCCTCGTGACGCGGGACTCCGAAAACCGTTGTGACGCCTTGGCGAAGCCTAGGACAGCGCTGAGTGTCCTAGCCCGCGAGACGGTGTCTGGTTTACCTTTCTTACCTTCGGTTGAGCCTCGCAGCAGACTTGACATGCTTCTAAACGCATCCCCTACTTCTCTCCGTAACTCCCTCCGAATATCTCTCAGGTTTGGACAGTACACTAGCACATGGGTGACTGTTTCCTGCACGCCACACACGCAGCGGTTGTTGTCGCGGAAGCCAAACGTCTTCGTGTAGGTGGATCACCAACTATGACCCGTGCGTAACTGTGTCAATAGGCACGCCCGGTTCCTGGGCAGATTCCCATAAACTTTCGTGTATGATGCCGGCAGGGTGCCGTCGATCTTTCGTAGGTGGCCGCCTTTGGCAGATCACCTCCATTCCTGCTCCCACTGTGCGATAATTTTGCTGCGGATGCGTCGTCTCCCTTGAGAGTAACGGACGGAAGGGATGGGCTTGCCTAGAGACACGGCGTCCTTGGCCAGTCGATCTGCCGCATCGTTTCCTGGGTTGTCGCAGTGCCCTGGTACCCATTGGAGGCGGAGCGCGGTTCCCTCTGTTTGGACCTCCGTGGCGGCTTGAAGGATCTCGTGAAAGATCCGCTGTCCAGGTTTGTTCCTCGAATTTTGAATTGCCTGCAAAGCTGATACTGTCGCACAGGATCGTCGCTGTGGTACATCTACAGTCTTCTAAGTTTCCCCAGCGTTGATGGGCGATCTTGAACACCGTGCTGATCGCGTAGAAGAGAACCGATAAGCTCCACAGCATGAACCGACCAGCCTTCTATTGGTCCGAAAGGGACCTGTTGAGATTCGGCAACCAGGAGGTTGCCATCGCGCGCTGAGGCATCTGAATAGACAGCAATGTCAGATTGAGCAGTATCTCGGTCTGTCCCAATCTCGATCTCCTCGAATGGTTCGGCTCGCCACGGGGGTAGTGGGCTTGGGTCAATTGTCTCTAGTTCATTCAACTTTTGCAAGTCCAAGATATTCAAAGCTTCCGCCAGTAGAAAGCGTGCATACTTTCCGATGTTGTTTCTCCGTTTCTGGACATGTGAAAGTGCACTCCAAAAAGGGTGTTCACGGGGCAGGCTGTGAAGTCTTGCGATAGTACTTTGGGCTCGATGGCGGAGGCGGAGGTGTGTCGGAACGACGTGTGTTTCTACCTCTAGGGTGGTAGTCGCAACTGTTCGAAAGGCCGACAAGATACGGATCAGTGGGGCTCTTTGCACCGTGTCGAGGTTGCGTAGGTGAGTTTTATCTCTCAGAGGGTCATGCCAGACCGTTGACGCATATTCCACCACCGGTGTGACGCATGCTCTATAGATATGTCGCGTCTGTTCCGAGTGCAACTGTCGCAGCCCCGCTAATGCGATGGTCGCCTTGGTGGCACGTTTGATGGCTCGCTGGACATGTTCCTTCCACCACAACTCTTGGTCGAAGATCACACCCAGGTCTTAGCATAGATAGACAGCCAGTTGTGGCCCGTGTATAGCTATGTTAATAGGTATACCTAGCCCCTAGACAGGTTACTATATAGCTTCTGAGTATATACTACTGGTAGTGTGTTGTCGATCTTCCTTAAATGACTGCTAGTGCTGGATTTCTACTTATGCTCCTACTGACTCGAATCTTCCTATAGAGGTATGCGTTCTCCCTGGTCAGCAGGGCTAGAAGGAGTGGATCTTGCCTAGACGTATAGCTCCCCGAGCTAGTTAGTATACTGCATCGTTCCCTGGGTTACTAATTAAGAATGTGAATATATGCCCTGGCGGCCAAGGTAACAAGGATCGGATAAAAGCTATCAATCAGTTAGTGTGGCGTTAACAACTGCAATCAATATATTTTGGAAATTACGAGGTTTAACCAGTAGAATGAAAACTTGAACTTCCCTAGAGGGTGGTGGCGAAGTAGCGGGCGAAAAACAAGAGGAGCAGGGCAGTTCTGGACGCTAGTTCATGTAACCCTCGAATCCTGCGAGCTAACCTAATCATGATCCTGGACCCTGGTAAACGTTGGTATCTACCTGGTCGTATATTAGCGACGGCGTTCATGACTTCGATTGGAGATACATCCGAGTATTGAGATTAGCTTTTTTACGTCCAACATGGGATGCTGCTATACGATAACGAGGACATCGCTTAGTGGTAGGTACAGTGGCGCAGCTCAAGTCTGGCCTGGTGTGATAGATACCGATACCCTGCCCCAAGAGTTATCTGCCGGGAAAAATACAAGCGTACTGTGCGTGCGTACTTTTTAGCCAAATGACGCATTTGGTATTCCAAGACATAAGTTACTATTCAATATATATTTGTGTTGGTATTCATGAAAATCCATGATAGTTTCTAATAGAGTGTTAAGTTGTATTTGAGGAGCTTTCAGCTATGCAACTTCTCACACTTGCTCTTGTTTTCCTTGTTGGAGCCGTAATGGCTGCACCGGCGAGGGAGACTCCTAGGGGAGTTTTGGACAAGCGACAGGTATGATAGCCCCGTATTTCTAACTACGAATGGGAAGACTCGGTTAATTATATCGTCTACCTGATAGGATGTAAGTGATGATCCCAATATGAACTACTTGACTGGATGGGCACAGGACTGAATAGATCGTCTGTCCGATAGCTTGTAAGTGATGACCCTGATATGAACTACTTCACTAGATGGATATAGGACTGACTGGATCGTCTACCTGATAGAATGTAAGTGATGACCCTGATATGAACCACTTGACTGGATGGATACAGGACTGACTGTGTACGTGTCTCTCCCAAAAAGGTGAGATATCAATCGATACTTGTGCGTGGAGTGGATGCATGGCAAATTTTTGACTCTGCCTTGGTCTGGGTTTTGCCCTAATTGTTCAGTTTTAGGTTTTCCCAAACTGTAATGCGAATGCAAAGGCAATTAAAATGTCCCATCTAGTTTAAGTCTGAATATGCAACTTTTTGATTTTCGCTTTCCCTTCTGCCTCACATTAATCAATATGACTTGTGCAAGTAACTCCAGTTACACATGACGAAGCTTGTGCCGAGCAAAAAAAATTTTCTATAAGATTCGAGTCCGCCGAACGGGGTGGCAAATGAGCAATTTAACCCCTACATCCACCCACATATGGGCAATTCTCTCTAAATAGTGAACCATGCTTTGCCTATGTCCTGGGCAGGTTAAGACCCCAGCCACATTCTGCAATGCTGGATATGCTAAGCAACTAAGTCCTCAAACGCGGTTACATTCATCCCAGTGGAGGACGAGCATCTCATCTAGAAGTGATGTGGTGAAGGGTTGGCTTGTAAAATACATTCTTTGAGGTCTCTATCTGTATTGTTAAATATAAACACTATTTTAGGAAGCGGTCTGGTGACTAAAGGTTCAACGAGCATGACCTAGCAGGACGAGCTTATTTCGGATTTATTTTCCAGGAATGAAGTCGTAAGAGTGTAGACGTATAACTGATTTCGAAAAGTACTGTAAGCTAAATTCAGGCATTATGTATTCTGATACGACGATGTAGAAAGATTAGAATACTTCTTATATCACGTAACGTAATCAACCACCGAGCGGCCCCCAACTCGATATTGATATACCCCTCCCATATCACATCCTAATACGACATTTTTATTGGCTGTTGAACGTCGATTTGTCACAACATACCCCTGGGATAGAGCGAAGTTCCTCACTGACATGAGGAGGTCCTCTCGAGTAGAATAAATTGCTTCCGGTGGTGCCTCCATAATTTGTTTGATTCAAATATAGTTTAACTTCTGTCGGAGCAACTGTAATATTAAGTATTGTATGTAATGTTGTCACGGCGACATACAGGAATGCTGAGTCAGGGTGGTGTCCGGAGTAAAACCGGCGGTGCCCCTATCAGGACCCTGCGGGTATTAACTAGTGTAGTACGGAGACCCCCTCCCCCTACTAAATGGGTGCCATCCAGACTATGTGACATAGCCGGCAGTATACGGTGGCCGGATAGCTAGTTCTTGAATACACCTTCTTACACCTCCCCGACCCGACCCCTACATTTGGGGTTCTCGCTATTTCCTAATTGCTACGCGTGTGTTTTGTGGTGGTTTTTTCTGCTGAATCGACCCGCACGTCTCAGCGCGTGCTGCCATCGAGCGTTCCCCTCTTCACTAGTTAGTCATATTTGGAGCTTTCTGTCATTGGTCCATTTGGATTCAGGCGCATTTCCGCTTCATTCGAAACATTTGAACACTGCCTTTCACTTTTAATTCCTATTTTCCTTTGCTTTCGTTTCAGGGCTGATGCGCGCAACGAGCGTCTTCCAGTCTAATACGATGCGAGACGTGACATGGTAAAGCAGGGGTTGTTTATCGGGAAACCCAATGAAATCACGCAGTGTGTCGGCACTTTCACTGTACCACATCAGTGACAATGAATCACATCTCCATGTTGGAGCCCTTGCAAGTTTGCCGTTTTCTCTCCTCTCTGAGCCATTGAATCCTTCCCTAATTATTTTGAGTCTGCCTTTTCCTACACTTCCTTCCGGCGTAATGAGAATGCTGGTGGGTTGTCCAGAACACTTCCTGCTGCTAGCAGAGACGGTAGGTCAGCTCTCAGCTGTAATCACTGCGTTGGATCAATTTTATAGTACAACAAACTTTGACGGAATTATCTGGCAATGTTCATGGATAAGCAAGACCTAACTGGGTGAAGAGCCCCTGTAAATCTGAGTATAAAGACGCGGGCGTCTTTGAACTCTTAAAATGGCGTCGAATGTAGCCGTTTTCGGCGCTCAATTTACCGTCACTTAGTGTTTTGGTGTAGTTGAAGAATAAATAGCACAAAGAAAGCTACTAACTGCAAATGCTCTTTGTGACTCACGGATATGTATAGTCAATGGACCGTTTTCGGAAAACTCGACTTACCAGACAAAATTTCAATCGGATTGCTATTTCACATGAAAAGAAAACCAAGCGGTGGCCCGATGCGTGTATCTAAGACAAAGCAGCTCACAGCTGAAAGCAATATGCAGAGATTTCTTGACAATAAAAAATTGAATCAATGGCATTGGGGAGCTAATTATAACTTCAATGCCCTGGAAACTCCTGGTTTAGAAACGAGTGGTCATGTATAAAAGGAGAGGATCTCCTGCTTTGATAGCATCAAATTTTCGGCCAATATGACAACCTTGGATCTTCTATACAGTATTCTAGAAAGAGAGCCTTGGCAAGTGAGGTGAAATGAGGAGCAGACTATCGAATAGCGATGAGTAAATATGGCAGCGCGACGGATTATCGAAGTACCAAACAAAGTAACACGAGCCTCAGCCAACTCCACGCAGGACGGAGCGAAGTACACCCGGGGTCAGTCAATATGCTAGACCGAGACGATGTTCGGTTGCTAACGCAGATTCTGCATCTAGACAACACCGGGGTGATGCAGATCGACCATAAACCACTTATTGCGAGACTTATTGAGAATTTACCCAAGCGCCTGCGTCGAGCACGACCCCGATCGTTTGGACTTAAGAAACCGGCCAGAGAAATATGCGAAGTACACTCGCAACTGAACGGCGAGCTGATTGAACATATATTTATCTTCGTTCAGCGAGAGGTGACGGTCCATCTGCGCCTGTTCGAAGACAATCCAGACCTCTGCCATCCCGTGGAGGATTATATTGTGACGCGTTTACGAGGCATGCGGGCCATGTGGACTAAACCGAGCCCCGAAATCCCGACCATCCCCTTCGCCTGGCCGTATCAAATTAACGAGTGCCCAGCATGCATGTTAGCGCGTGTAGCCTCGGACATAGCTGCTGTGCACTACCTGCGTGTGATGGTCTTGAGCCGTACTCGCACACGTCGAAATCATCGACCACGCACGCTGATGCCTTTCATCGATGAATGCATTAATCAGCTCGGCGGGAATATAACAGAGGAAATCTATAACACATCGAGCCAGTTAGCCTTTGGCATGAAAGCTGCACGCAAGGCCTGTGTGAAATCCGAGTTGAGGAAGCGAGGGTTCGACTCGCATCGCCAATCTAAGCGGCGACGTCGTCATCGATCGAATAGTGAAGCGCGAACGAGGGCTTGTCCCAAGGTAGAGACTCCGAAGAACTCATCGATGAAGATTCTTGAGCATGAAGCTGTGATGATCTCGGCCACTTCTTTGTCTACCGTGGACATTTGGGGCGACGACCATTCTGATTGTCAGCCACAGCAAAAGGCAATTAGCCCAGATATAGGCGGTTCCAACCGTGATTCAGATCTCAACCAAGAGACACATGATCCGCCGGAGAATATTCGAGAATCAGAGGATTGGAATAGTATACAACTCGGACGTGATGCGGTTGATGAACTGATTGAAATGTATAGGACCATGGGCCAAAAGCATCCGTACTCTCGTGGTACATCGGTCCCAGAGGCCATGGTCCAGCCCCTTGACCCAAGCGAAGAACAGGAACCCAGCCATAGGCCCAGGAACGCTCCGATGTACCATAGAGATACATGGGTGATGAAGTATCGGACGGCCGAGGAACTCGCCGCCTTGAGCCAGCAATACGCACAGCTTCCCTTGTCCGCTTTGCTTCCACCACCAGAGGGGTTCCCTAAAGAAGACATGAGCATGAAAAACAGGAGTGTTCCTTTTGAGAATCGGTACTCACCGTCAGACTATGCTAACACTGATTGGGAGGATGACTATTGCACTGAATCCGAGTTGGATCTGATAGACTCGGCCGCCAACAATGATAGCGTCCCAGCCGCAGAGACCACCTGGGACCTGGTATGCGACCATCATAATGTGATTTGAATGCAGATAGACAGCGGGAATACTTTGTGGTTGTGTAACGAATATATTGAGAGGGAGCTCCTGTGTTGACAATGACACGCAAATGCATTTGATTTGAAATAGGCGACGCGAGTCAACCTGTAGAAAAATAGACATTATGGACAAAACGTCGCTGTTGACAATCGTAGAGAAAGGCATGTACAAAAGGCTGGAGCACATTCTCGTAGTATTAATACAGCGGGATCAAGAGCCCCATATACATGAAAGCGATAAAGGCCCACAGCATCAAGAAGGTGACCAGCAGCTCCGAGAACGCCAAATGGGACAATGCAGGGGTAACGCGACACATAATTCAATGATCAATGACATAAGGGCTTCAGTTGTGCAGCACGCTGCCGGGTACTCCGTGGCTAGGGCCCTTTAAGCTGTCGACGGTCTTGCGACGCAGGCGAGTTCGTGTTGCTGGCCCTTCCGAGGACACGATGGCTGGCTGAGGCTCAGGCTCCTCGTTGACCGATGCAGTCGCGGCATCCGCGGCTTGAGCTGCATCCATATCCACCTGCTTCTGAGCATTTTCGCGAGCACGCTCGTAGCGAAGTTTGACCTCACCCTTCCATTGAGTGTTCAGCAGGCGATCCCAGAAGATGAAAAATGGTTGAGAGAAGTTGGTCTTGATGCCCCAGCTCTGGTGGTGGATATCGTGATAGGCCGCGTTGTTCGATGTGAAGTGCTGCAAGGGATCCCATGGGAAGGCGTAGCCGCAGTGGTCGTCGACCGTCTTGATGGTCGAGCAGGTAAAGAACCACATAGCTTGACGGTTGGTCATGCCGGAAACCAAAAAACCAATGCCAGTGCCGGCAGTATCCAAGAGAAATCCTTCCACGGGGTGATTGTACAAGGCACCAAAGGCGTAAGGAACGTACAGGCGATGGTGACGGGAGTGGAAGGTCACTAGAAAGAAAACAGAAAACCATTAGCAAGCTACACGGAGAGTACACAGCGGATATCAGCTTACCATAGAGCCAGCGGTTCAAATGCATCGCCCGGTGAAGGAAGTACTGCCAAGTATCAACGATAGAGATGGCAAGCAGAAATTGCAGGCCCGGGATTAAGTACCAGTAGATGAACCCGGCCAGTGTTAGCTCCCAACCGTTGAAGGCTGGAACGGTCGTTTCCACTCCGCTATCGAGGACCATCGATTGAACAACGCCCGGGTAGGAACCACCAGCTAGAACTCCGCCCAACACGGTGTGTCCGCTCTGCGAAACCTTCTGGGCCAGGCTCGGGGCGTCCACGCCCGCGATAGCCAGAATAGTCGGGATCGCTCGCTGAGCAATGCGGATTCTCTGGGCCCACACCGCGACATCATAATCCTCCTTCCCTGCCATCTCAACCGGATCGAAATACGCGACAGACATTCCGGCCAGTGTCTGGATCACCTGCTGCAAGATGACATCGCGGACGACTTCCCACCGGGTCACTCGGTTCCTTTTTGACAGTTCGGCGGGGGTGTGTAGGCGATACTCTTCGAAATAGTTGTTCACGTCCAAGAAGTGGTAGATCATGGACAGAGCCCAATAGGCGATGATAGGCAGCAAAAGTGCGACGGCACTATCGGGAATGGGCGGAAGAACCGGTTCCCGTACATGTAGCGTGTAGCTTGGGAGAGGCGGAAGGTCAAACGCGACCGAGGTGTTGGCAGCCATGATGGGCGAATGTGTTTCCACAGGGTCTTCGAGTCCCAGGTGGACTGACTTGGCGTGAGTGTTGATCGGATGGTTTGCGCGAAAAGCGATCGATGGGAAGAAGCTCAGGAGATTAGGGAATGAACGAGGTCGACAGTCCCGAAGGAACGCGGAATCAAGTGGGTAGGCGCGATCGATAGAAACAGCGATTCGAAGGGAATATAAAGGAAAGGAGAGTCGATAAGAATACACGCAACCACGGCAGGGAGATTGTCAGAAGGAAAAGATCCAAAAGATCAGGAGGCGAGTGGCGCCAGTCGGATGCGGCGCGGATGACGGCGGAATGACGGTAATTTTGGCCGCCTGCGGTTTTTATGGGTGTCGGGGCCGTGAACAAGCCGTTAAATACGGTATCGATAATGTATTCGGGCCCAGCTGCTTACTGATTATTTACATCTTCAAAATCGGAAGTATACCACAGACCACTTCGAGGCGGAGACTTCATGGGTCTCTCTAATTGATACGGCTAAAAATGTCCTGTCTGACGGCACAAAAATCCTGAATTTCATGTTTACACATTATGATATACGAAAATGACTAGAGAGGTGATTGGGAGATCACGGCGATCGCACCACATGTGTCAATGGAGTGATACATGAGCCTGGTCTGTTTCAATTTCCGCCGCAATGGCTCGATTTGCTAAGAATGAAAACTTGCCGCCCAAAATCCTGGAAGGCACACTTAGGTAGAGTCTCACCGGCTACATCTCGAACAGATTCATGTAGCCGCAAAAGTCAGCATTCATTTACCGAATTATCTGATGCTCCACTTGAGCAATTACATTGTATTCTTGACTATGGAATTAGATAGTTCACTAATATTGTTCTAGAGACTGGGACTTCGTAATTAGCAAAACGCGCTTAGGGCTCCTCCGTGTGGTGTGCCTACATCACTTCATATCGGTGTGTAGTACACCTTAGAGCTACCTAGGGACTGACAATATGGAGATACCTGTTGCAAGAGCAGAAGAAAAAGCAACAGACCCAACCCCATAGCTGTGATACGATACACCTTACAGATGGGCTGCAAGTATAACAACTCAGCGTTAGGCTGACGCGGTTCGTCTCCCGTGGTATATGACCGTAGTGTGGTTTGGGTGAGAGCATTGTCACTCCGTTTACACAAGTGTAGTTGTCCTCACGAAGATGGTCCACACTAGTAATTATATTGTATGATGGTCAATAAACCAAATCCTGTGATTGTTTGGATAGAAATAGGGTGATTGGGTGACCTTGTATTCTTGTCTGGGCCATCTTCCTACAGCCTTTCATGCAGTGGGAAGCCGCCTGACGAATGGGCGAGCGGGGCCATTTCTTTTTTCTGCCCTAGCACTGGCATTGACGATATCAAATGTGCCAACCAGGAACCTAAGACTCAATGGTCGAACGTGTTGTGATATATAAATGAGACTGGGAGGAGAGCAAGGCCACTCGCGCCGGTGGAACCCTGGTGTTGATGCATTGTCACCTTAGCCCCGCCCCGCATACCTCGCTTCGGGGGTATCTGGATTAGCCATTACGCAAATGCTTATCTTTTTATTAGGAGTAATTATTTAGCCTACGTGTTATACATATATCTGCATCGTAATCTCGACATAGCCATGAATATTTCATACCTTGAGGCGTAAAAATAGCGGCAAGCTGTTCTCGAATAAGGGCGATAGGACAGGTGGGCCAGGATTGCCAGTGCCACTGCGGGGCTGGACGCTGGAGGGGGCATTTCCCCCAGTCGATTTCGACTGTGCGAGACAGGTGAAGGCACACACATTCCAGAATGGCCTGGATCGATTGGACACAAGGATATTAGTCCCCAGAAGGACTTTGCCACCGGGAGCGCCGCAGCATGAAGGAGAAGATTCCCCAAACTATACTAATCCGCGTCCCGTGACTCGTGCAAACAAGGCAAACGCCCATCCCCCACCAGGCGGCGCGCGCCACTAAAAAAAACTTCTTTTCCCCTCCTTTTTTTTTGTTTTCCTTCTCTACTCATCTCTGTCAACCGCATTTCCCCGATACCCCCCAAACACCGTCACCATGATTATCTACGAGGTATGTGTGCCTGCGATTGCCTGCGCTTACCCACTGACCGGTCTCCTCATTTCCGGCATCTATGTATGGCCCATGCTGACGATCATAGGACATCATCTCCGGAGACGAGATTCTCTCCGACACCTTCAAGATCAAGCCCGCGGCTGACTGCCCCATCCTCTGGGAGACCGACTGCCGCAAGTATCTCAAGAAGGCCAACGAGGACTTCGAGCTTGAGGGCGCCAACCCCTCTGCTGAGGGCGGTGGTGACGACGATGGTGGTGACGGCGAGGCCGTCATGGTCCACGACATTGAGGACCAGTTCCGTCTTGTCTGGCTCAAGACTGAGGAGGGCCTGAAGCCTTCCAAGGATGCCTTCAAGGCTCACTTGAAGAGTGCGTTCAATTTACCATTCTGGCCAATGATGCTCTTTCCAAGTAAAGTCCAGGATGCTAACATGTTTGTTGCTCGATAGCCTACCTCAAGAAGATCCTCAAGAAGCTCGAGGAGACCGGTGCTTCCGCCGAGAGCATTGCTGAGTTCAAGGCCGGTGCCCCCGCCGCCATGAAGAAGATCACCGCCAACTACGACAACTACGATGTCCTCATGGGCCAGTCCATGGACGGTGATGCCATGTATGTTCTATGTTCCCTGCGTCACACAACTTCTTTTTTCCAGTATACTAATTTGGCTCCTTTTTAGGCACGTCCTGATCGACTTCCGTGAGGATGGTGTTACCCCCTATGCCACCGTCTGGAAGCACGGCTTCAAGGAGGTCAAGGTCTAAGTGACAGATCTTGGCGGGCGGTTACAAAAAGCACTTGACATGAAGAATGAAGAATACATGAAGAAACGCGAGCTCTCTCCATCTATGCCTAGATCGGACGCGGGGATTTCTCTTGCCCCTTCCGCCGGGCCTTTTGTCTATTCTAGCTTTCCGCGTCGCATCTTCGTATCCTAATTGACCGATCCCTCTGATCGTCAAGAGTTACGCCTCATGAATTGATAAACTGTTACGTCTCCATTGCAAATCTCCTCCATGAATTCGTAAAGACCATATACCATACCAATTCCTCATTTTCTGAAAGTCAGATCCTGCGATTGGGTGGTGGGATATCGTATAGCCACTTATTGTAACATTGGGAAATACAATTGCCCAATTACGCATCGGTAGCTGTCCTGTGCAAATGCTTCTATGTATCTTTCAATGCTATGCACATATTACATTACAAATATACTAGATGCAATATCATCAAGAATACCCTCTCCAGTCACTGGGGGAAGTTCCCGGATTGGCGCTATTATCTGTCCAGGCAGCTGGAAGACCTGGATCAGCAGGATGTGGCGCAGCTGGTAACCCGCTGAATTCGACGGCAGAATCAGCCGGGGTAGAGGTTGGAATGCCAAGGTTGGCAAAATCCAATCCAGAAACAGGATCAAGCTCCATGAGCTCATCCGAGACCGGAAGGTGTTGCCCAAAGACTGCATCCCATTGATCCCAGTCGAAGTTGAGGTTGGGGTCAACCATAGATGGTGGGGTGGGCATATTCATCTGTGGGGGATTTGGAGATAGGGGGGTCCATGAAGGGCATCTGAGAGGAATGATTTAAGTTGGAAAAGGGAGGCTGGGGCTGATTGATTGGGATGGAGGATGGCCCTGGGGGGGATCGGGTAGACGAGGGTGAGCCAAGAGAAGATACTGCCTCGGGCGAAGTCGCCGAGATAGATTGAGAAGCAACTGAAGCAGTTGGCATGACAGCCGCAGGCGTATTATTATACCTGGTGGTTGCTGCGGTAGCGCCAGTTTGATTCGGCGGGGGAGGCTGATAGGAGTATCGCAGAGGACTAGGCCGAAGAGAGGCTGAAGACACAGCGGATGTTGGAGGGATGTGGGTTCGTGTCATGTTATAGAATGTTCGATTAAAGTCCGTAAGCTGGTGATCTGGGGGTGGAGGTGGACGCTGGGCCATTGTTGAGGCAGAAGGTGACGAAGCATCTGGATAAACTGGACCTCGCATACTGTTGGGCTCTGGAGCAGGCGAGGATATGCCAGCCTGAATTTGGTCCTGCTCGGTCCACAGCATTTGGGGGTTAAGTCCAGCTTTCTGCCATGCCTTCTGACGCAGCCGGCGGATCATGTCCCATGCCTCACGACCGCCATCTTTGAGAGGCCTCTGGGTAGATACGCCATCTTCTCCACCCACTACTCCCCCGTCTGGACCAGACAGAGCCAAGATGCGGTCGATGAAGGCGCGTGACCTGGATGCCTCGGGACTGTATGGGCGCTCATATAGGTCGATGAGCATAATCCTGGTGAACGTTAGGACCCTGAGGAAATACACCGGGATGGTATTTTAGTTTACTCACATCGTGGCGTGCATAGGTTGATGGTTTCTGAATAATGATCAGCTTGGCAACTTGATTGCGGTCATGTGACCAGACTTACCCTGGCCAGCTCCACTGAAACGGTTGGAAGTCGGGGTCTGTAGCAAGCTGGATAAACTTGTCCATGAAGCCATGACAATGGCGAAGAGCGCTAGTAAAGTCAGACACAAGAAGTTCCGTAGTAATTGTCCTGGTTTACTCACCTCTGCCGTGCTGCAGGCCAGATCCGGCTCCGAGCGTTTTTGAGGAAAGGCTGGTAGGCGACACAGAATGCCTGGATGGCCAATTAGTTCTCCAGTCGATCTTGCATGGGTGCTAGACCACAAACCTTGTCAATATACAACGATAGAATAATGCGTGCCCATTTGTGATAAGAAACCAAAACTGCGGAGTGATATTGTTCGGGACAGCCATTAGGACCTTCGCCTGGAAGCTCGCTCTCAGTGGTATGCGACTCGACGGGGGACTTCGACATGGAGAGCGCTCGTCCCGACGAACCCGATCCGCTGCTGGTGATTTGAGACTCAGGAATTCTGTTGACGATGGAATTCAACTTGAGTTGCAGATCGAGAAGAATCGACCGCAACTCCTCCATATCTTGACGAGTGACTGGCTTTGTTCCAAGTTGAATCTTCAAAATGCGGCGAATGGCTCCTAAAATTATTCGTCAGCATTTCCATTCGTTCTTTTCCTATTGGCGATAAACTTACGAGCCATGATGTATTTGCCTCTCGCAGTGAGGTAGAAGACGTTTACCATTGATGGCCCACCACAGATGGTTGGGTCATCAGGATTGTCTGGAATTCGCTGTTGTGCTGCAACGAACTGGTCATATCGTTCTGCCGCAGGTGTTCCTAGCAGTGAATCTTTGACTTCGCTTGTTTCGCGCACATCCCAATAGTTCTCATCGCCTACTAATGGTGGAAGACCGCTCGACATTGCCACAACACCGTCCATGTGCATGATATGCCACCATAGCCTGCGCCTGTACTCTGCCTCGCACGCCTCAATGCCGAATTTGGCAGGGTCTCGATGGAGACCCATGGTCTGCGCTACACGCATTGCGAGACTGACGAACAGACTGCTAGTCAGAGGCTCTTCCTCTTTGGAGAGAATCGTTTGAACAATCAGATATGCCGACAAGCCCTGGAGTGATGGGCTGCGTGGGAAGGATATTTTGGTAAGCCAGCGAGTGACCTCTTCGTTATACTTTGCCGAGAGGGCGACTCGTGACGGCGGAGTGAATTCAGCCTTGATAGTGCGAATGGAGATCGTGACGGAGCCACCATACCAGATGGCGTAAAGAAGAGGGATAAAAGAGGGATTGGGACAAGACTCTCCGGAGTAGCTGGTATAGTCATACCAGTCCCAAAACGCATTATAGAGTTTGAGGACCGTAGGTGGATGAACAACCGGACTGATGGCATGCACACCGGACATGAAACCCTTATATAGGATGTGGCTTTGTCGCCGGCTCGGGACATGTTCTAGCATCTCCGGCTCCACAACCTTGTCGTTCATTGATGGAGATTCGCCCGAAGGGAAGATGATCGACTGCTGAAACGATCCATCACGGGGTCGAGATGTTGTTGACATGGGCGAGCTGTCGATGGATACTCTCCATTGTCTCCTACTATCAGCACTGGGACCATTCGGGTCTTCGTTGGGCGTCTCGGAAGAAGGCATATCGTGAGAACGATTTTGATCTCGTAACAATTGATTGAGGTCATTGATCTAGAGATCGAGGGTCAGCCTGGTCTTCCCTCAACCGTGTACAGGGGTATCGGATGTCATACCTCATGAGAAATATACGCCCAGTAGGTAGTTCCAACATATCTAATAGGGTTAGATATCACATTTGTCTGCTGAACCCAACCATCGACTCACCTGGATCTGCCCCCATCATCTAGGCTCAGATGGCCCAGATTGAGGCTGCCGACGGGATCGACTAGGTCCGTTGCCTGACCCGATGGGATGGGGAATTCGTCGCCACTCGACTCGGCCGCTGCCCGACGTGGACTGGAGGGACTTGACGGAACCGACTTGCCATTGCGCATGTTGTTTTGCCGCAACTGCTCGAATAGTAACGATTCGGTGCTGGCCGACGCAGCGCCTGCTTGCCTCTCGTCCTCGTCCAGCGAGCGACCCGATCCCCCGATTTTCTCAATCATCGACATCAGCTTGTCCAGCCGCGCTTCAATGGCACGCTGGTCCGACTTGTGTTCTCCGGTCGACCCGGCCTGTCGCAAGTGCCCATATATAGACTGGAGTTCGTCGACATCCTCCTCCCAGATGCGCGGGGTACCTCGGCGGCGTTTCACGCCCTGAGCCGAGCGACTCGATCCCTCTGACGCATCATCCCGCTTGTCCGACGAGACGTCGTACACGCACCCGGCCCCGGTCTTTGTGCAGTTTCCGCATATCGGGTGAACCTGGCACGGCGAACTGGTCAGTCAAGGCTGTGCGTTCTCATCTTGCGCGGGAACCTACCTTGTCACACTTGACTTTGCGACGACGACAGGCGTGGCAGCTGTAGCTGGCGCGGTTGCGGGTAATCTGACGACCCCCGGCGAGCGGACCCCGCGTCGACGAGGGGCGGGAGGCCGACAAGCTCGACAGCTGGGGGTTGGGCGGGCTGATGTCCATCGTCCCCCGCAGAAAACACACTTGCGAGCTCAGTGGACGTCGAGCGCGATTGCAAAATACGGAGCGACTCGGGGGTGCGAATGGCGAACGGCGGACTGCGGATTGCGGAGGATTGCGGGGGGCGGCGAAGGCGGCGAGCCAATGACCGCATCGCCATTAGAGTCGCTGCCTGGGGATTCGGGCAGCTCTCGTGGTTTCGTACTCGTACGAACTCGGAGACATTCAGGTAGTATGGAGAGCAGGAAATTAGGGATGGCGTGCAGATGGTATACGTTTTGCATAAGAAACAAGTCGGAAAATTCCCGCTTACTATGAGTCGTAATGCTGCAGGGTACGATGAGTAGTGTAGTAGTACGCAGTGCCGCCGAAGGTTTAGGAAGTGATAGGCCTACCTTAATTGGATCTTGCAGACTACGCGACTGCAACAAACTAACTAACCTACCTCCCCTAAACTTAAACCATACAACTGCTCCCTCCGCAGTGTCCGCGCTCAATACTGTTTCAGCTTGTCGCCCGGCACCACCCCCCATCTTGGCCACTACGCGGCCTGGCGGGGCATGACTCGCCAAGCCTGGCCAAGTCGAAGCTATTCACATTTCGTCGCTTGGGAGCGAAGCCAAAGTGGCTGCCTGGCGCCGGTTTCAGGAGGAGAGATGTGGTCTGCCTCAGCGGGCATGGCGACCAGTCCCACGCGCCATGCCTTTGCTTTTCGTTCAGCGGAGCGCTGTCTTTGTGCTGTGCGGAACCATGCTTTGGTGCCATGCCGCTGGGCATCGACTCCGCCATCGCCAAGCGGTGATGGATCTTGGAATCCTCTGCACGCGCTCGCAGGTTGGGTGGCCAGCCGGTCTGCTATTATTACGCATGCCTCCCATTGAATCGAGACCACTCTTCTATTGTTCACGACCTTCGACACTCGTTTGTATTTTCTCAGGACAGTTCCCTCGCAGCGCCTGGCCGCAGAACCCCAACAAACCTGATAACAAACATTTGATTAGCGCTGTTTGCGTCCCGAGTTCAATCTCTCAAGTTCTCTCTCCATCACACCCATGATCACCCCCTGGTGGCCACCCCAGCTATGCCTCTTCCTCTTGGTGGGGCTGTTCTGTCTAAGCTCTCATGTTTTCGCTGCCGGCGTGGACGTGGACATAGATAACCATGGTGCGTATGTTTCCTTTTCCCAACTCTACCGATCACTTTGTGCCTGAGGTTCCATCTAATGTCTGTGGTGCACCCAGAATCGATTAAATCTGCGGCTAGTACAATTGCGTACGATCTCGTCACCTTCTACTCCGGCAACAACTCGGGCGATGTCCCTGGCAACCTCCCCGATCCATACTACTGGTGGGAGGCGGGCGCCTTCTTCGGTGCCCTCGTCAACTACTGGGCCTTCACGGGAGACACAACCTACAATGAAATCACGGTTCAAGCAATCACCCACCAAGCAGGAGATAAAGGTGACTTTATGCCAAAAAACCAGACATACACTGAGGGCAATGATGATCAGTGCTTCTGGGCACTCACCGCGATGGCGGCGGCAGAGCGCAACTTTACCAACCCTTCGTCAGATACGCCGGGCTATCTTTCCATGGTCCAGGCTGTTTTCAATGAGCAGACGCACCGATGGGATATGACAAGCTGTAAGGGAGGCCTGCGCTGGCAGATCTACACTTGGAATGCGGGTTACGATTACAAAAACACCATTTCCAATGGCTGTTACTTCGACATTGCCGCTCGGCTGGCTCGCTATACCGGCAATGCGACATACGCAGAATGGGCCACCAAGGTCTGGGACTGGTCAAAGAGGGTCGGCTTGATCACCCCCGACTGGCAGATCTACGATGGCACGACGCATGCGTCCAACTGTTCTTCGTATGACCGCACCCGGTGGTCCTATACTGCTGGTATTTATCTCCACGGCGCTTCGGTGATGTACAACTATGTGAGTCATAATCGCAAGAACAGTAGGTCGAAAATGAGTCTGCCGTTCTGACCGCCCTCTCCTAGACTTCCTCGCTATCCTCAAACCTATCAGGATCATCCAACACATCTGCGTTGTGGCGAACACGTCTGGACGGACTCTTGACTGCCACGAATCATTTCTTTTCTAAGAATGTGATGTACGAACCGCCGTGTGAGCTGATCGGTAAATGTAATGTCGATCAGTTATCTTTCAAGGCGTACATGTCTCGCTGGATGGCAGATGTCACTCAGCTGGCGCCTTATACATACGACACCATCATGAACAAGCTCCGGGTCACGGCGCAGGCGGCCGTCGCACAGTGTCAGGGTGGAGACTCGGGTACCTACTGTGGCCATCGCTGGTCGAGCGGCACCTATGATGGGTCCACGGGTGTGGGCCAGCAAATGGGTGTTCTAGATGTTTTGCAGGGGCTTCTCGTGACCGGCATCGGTGGGCCTGTAACTTCCTCCACGGGCGGTTCGAGCGAGGGAAATAGTGCTGCGGGAACTGAGTCTGACGAGACTGATGAAGAGATTCGCTTTTCCGCCATCACAAATAGAGACCGTGCGGGCGCAGCGATTGTCACAGCGGTTGTTGTGGGCTTGATAATCGCGGCGACCTATATAATGATCACCTGAAATGGAAATTTATCGCGGATAGAAAAGGAGAGAACAAGAAGGAAATAAATAGGATACTCTATCACATGACATGAGGAAATCAAATCCATCCCGATTAAACGCTAGGATCAGAATTATGAATCAAGAATAGATGGCTGCGTTTGATAATTAATGTGTTCTCTTTCCCAAGTTCTCTTTCCCTGGTGCTAGTCTAGACTTTAGCGAAATGTACAAGCAATGCTGATGGTGTTGAACCTGCAAATTAAAAATATCTCAATTGTGTCTTGGCAGATTCTACTACTATATTTACAGTATGTTGATCAAGCAGGAGGAATCTGCTGCTCATCTAGAGGCCACTTGGAGATAACAGTCGGCTCACCAGTCAAGATGAAAGACTGAATAGCCGATCGCTCGTTGTTCAGAGCCAGCTCGTACTTTCCGGGATAGACAACGCGGTTGCCCTGAGAATCCGTACGAGCCACGTTATCGAGCGAGATGGGGATAGTCATCTGCTGTGATGCGCGTGGTTTCAGCCCGCCGAGACGATCAAATCCAACGAGCCATTTATTTGGGTGGGGCTGGGGACCAGCCGTTGTGTTGACGAAAAGCATGGCAGTGTAATCCGAGAGAACACCGCCGGTGTTGGTGATACCAACAGTATAATTCATGAAGGGAACCTGCTCCACAACATTGTAGCCTGCGTGTGTTTGGGTGAGAAGCTCAGTGATGTCAAATGAGTTTCCAGATCTCTTTGCCTTGGACAGTGAGGCCTTGAAAGTTGTATAGAAGAGCCCATGTCCAAACTCGTAGACCGGCTTTCCGGTGTACCACATGTAGGTCTGACCAGGGTTGTCGCCGCTGGGGCGCAGTGCCATGTCGGTCGCGGGGAACTGCATCGCATAGCTTGCTGGGTACTGAGTGGCGGTAAGACGTCCGGCAGGGGCTCGCTTGCCGGTGATAATATCCAAGAGAGCCTGTCCTCCAGATTGGCCGGGGTAACCACCCCAGATCAGCGCGTTGACATTCTTATTCGCCTTAAGGGAGGACGAATCAACCTGACCACCACCCATTTGCAGCACAATGAGGGGCTTTCCGAGCTTGCTCAGTTCGTTCACCAGCTGGAGCTGGTTACCCGGCCACGTAATGTTTGAACGGTCCACTCCCTCCGCCTCAACAGTGTTGTCGATTCCGCCGGCGAAGATGATCACGTCAGACTTCTTGGCTGCGGAGATAGCAGCATCGAAGCCATCGGTTGTAGTTGATGAGATGTTTGTGCCGAACGCATAATTAACATCCAAGTCGGAGGCCTGCAGCGCTGCGAGGGGACTGATGAGGTAAGGCGCGGTAGAGAAATAGTTGCCCTGCATTTGCTCGGTGGCATTGCCCCACGGCCCAACCAAGGCGACACTGCTGGCATTCTTGGCCAGGGGCAGCGTACCATCATTCTTGAGGAGAACAATGCCCTCGATAGCTGCTTCATAGGAGATGTTTCGGGCGTCTGTCGACACAACATCAGACCAGTCGAGGTTTCGGTAAGGGCTATCGGAGCCATCGAAGTATCCCAGGCGCACCAGGTTGGAGTAAAGCCTCATGACTCCCCGCTCAATTTCACTGCGGGAGATGCCTCCATCAGTCACGGACTGGTTCAGATAGTCGCGGTACGTTTCACCGCAATCAATATCTGTACCAGCTCGCATTGAGCCAGCAGCGGCACCAGATGAGTTGGCAGCGTATCCGTGGGGGTTGAACACATTGTAGACAGAGTCACAGTCCGAGGAGACATAACCATCTTCCACGAAGCCCCAGGTATCTCGGAGCAGTGTTTGAAGAAGGAAGGAGTTGGCAGAGCTTGGGACACCATTCACTGCATTGTAGGATGCCATGACACTGTGGACTTTGGCATCGCGCACAGCAGACACGAATTGCGGAGTGAAATACTCTGCGAGGTCCTGTGCAGAGATCTTCATATCGTTGCCCAGACGGGAATGACCATCCCAATTCTCAATATCATATCCCGCATAGTGCTTTGCGGTTGCCACCAGCTTGAGATTGTCTGGATCCACACCTCCTTGGATACCCGTGATGTACTCGTAGCTGTACGCTGAGCACAGGCAATAGGCGTCTTCACCTGGGGTCTCCTGTCCACGACCCCAGACGGGGTGGCGGAACGAATTGATGTTGGGCGCGTACACGTCCAGTCCATATCTCCCCGCATTGTTGAAGGCGCGACCCTGGGTGGAGATGATGTCGCCGATCTGATTGATCATCGTGCGGTTGAGGCCCGCCATGGTGAGAATGGGCGACGGGAATGAGGTGGCCCAGCTGTAGTCGCCGGAGTCCGAGAAGTTGCCGCGGTCCAGTCCATGGAGAGCTTCATTCCAGACCTGGTATGGTGGAAGTCCTAGGCGTGGGATGGCAGGGATATTGTTGCTGGAGCTGTTGACCAGCTCCTCGAAGGTAAACATGGAGATGAGCGCAGTCGCTCGATCATGGGCATTGGCGGACTTGTCGCATACGAGTGTCTTCGCGAGGGGACCATTGGTGCAGTCCGGAAAGCTGAAATCAACGACGCTGGTCGTCTGCTCGAAGAGATCGGGTTGGGCTTCGGTCGAGTAGTCCTTGTAGGTAGTGTTGTCCTGGCCCAGCACAGCCGGCAGCAATGCCGCGAGCACAGCGACGACCACAGGAGCAGGCATTGCGACGGTCGAAATGATTGATACCTCCTGTTCCCTTTCGAAATACCATGACGACTGGGGGAGCTCTCTTTATAGCCCTTACCTGTGCTGCACATCGGTCCAAACTCCATGGGCAGCCTCGGGGAGAAACCCCTTCTCCACATCGCCCAAGCCAGTAAGTCCCGCAGTCGATCCCGATGCTTTGCCGGCGTTGAGCTGCAACACTGCGTTATTTAGCCTGAAATTGACCAGCTTGCCCGATCTGCGTGGGGAATGCCCTGCGATCGGAAAAAGGTCGGCGATGGAGCGATGCCGAGGCGAGAATTCCGATGGGGGGAAGCTCCTCTTTACATCAGTGCACCTTTACACTGTGTACTACTACAACAATCTAGCAGCAGAGCTAGTGAGGTCACCAAGTCCTGCTGTGTAACCACTAGCACCTTTAACATCAATGCCATTTGTTCCATCTATGAATGTTATTACTATTCGCTTCTGACCGCATCTTTGTTTCTCGGAGTCGTGTGTTCTTCAGATTGGAAGAAGAAAGTCTCCAAAGTAGTCCTTCTTGCTGCAGTGTATTCAGGCTGAACTACCACGTTCAGTCTTGCGTCATCTCTCATGCACGACCAACAAACTAGCCTACTCGTAGTGTCGCAGTCCTCGTTCGCGGTGGTCTGATGCAAACGTCTCCACCTCGTAGCAGGCTCGTCCCGACGGCTTGCCCAAATGTGGACTTGACCGGATGCTCGGATGCTAGTACCATCGCTCAGCATAATTTTGAGGTTATTTGGCCAGTCGCAGCTCTGGAGGCTAAGCATTGCCTGCCGACCGAGAATTTACTTTTTCATTAACTCCACCCAGTCTGGATGCAGGGGTTTTTTGCCGAAATACCGGCGCTTTTGGTAAGCTGCCCCAAGTGCTCCGGCTTTTGCATTCAGCACACAATGAACTGACTTCTCTTGCCAGGGTATGAGCTCTTTGGCTGACAGGCTACCAGGAGGATTTGGGATTTTATGGTCTTATATGGGATAAACAATGTCCACCATTCCGATCTCTTCGGGTGATTGAACACCTATCTCATTGCAACAAAGAAACATCGCTTCTGCTTGGAACCTGATCAATATGTGATTTTGAAGACCCAAGCAAACCGGTCCGCAGCCACCATCTCTGGGCTCAAGAATAGGCTGATGGAGCCATTGTGGAACTTCTTTGTTGGCACTGCTGCGCCATTCATCTTGCCACCCACCACAGTCACCTCGTCACCACGAATCCAGGGAATCGGGCTATGCAATGTCAAGGTGCTATTCGGTTGGGTGAGGGTGTGAATGTAGAAGGCATCTTTCGAGATGGTGAATCTAACATTGTCTCCCTCCTCAGGGGTGACAAACCAGTATGTCGTGTTGAATATCGCTTCGGCATGGTCCTTGATCCAGCTGCCCGCCTCCCGCAGGTTTTTCTGCTCAACATCAACAATGGTACCATTGGCAGTCGGTCCCACGTCCAGCAAGAAATTTCCATTTTTGCTGACAATATCAATGAGTCCGGTGACAATGCTGCTGGCGTTCATGTAGCTTGCCAGAGGTGTAGCTCGATTATATCCGTAGCTGTACGGATCCATTCCGAGACTGCTCTCCCATTTGCGAACCTGGACACCGTTGTACCGAGCATATTCGGGGGTATCAAAATCGCCCGGGAGGCCACAACGCGCATTCATGACGACCTGCCGGTCCTCTTTTGCCGCACGGTTGAACCATTCAGATGCAAACTCCACGGTGCGGTTAGGGCCTCCAATATCACACCACATAATTTCGGTTCCCATATCGGCCAGGGTATTCATCTCCGGCAAGATTTTATCCTCGATGTAGTCATTGAGAGGTACGTACCCGATATAGGGGAGCGTCTCGTTGGTGAACGGGTTACTGGCATTGCCTGGATATTTTTAGTAGAGAAGTCAAAAAACATTTATAAACACAGAATAAATTGCCTACCTCCAGGCCAGGAAGAAAACCCGTATTTTTTGTAGTCAGGATGAAACCATTCAGGCAGCGAGTAGTAGACCGCACGATGAAGGTGCGGCTGGTGCTTCTTGGCGGCGTCGAATAATTCCTGGTTTAATATTAGAGATAGACTGAAGGCAGTACTGGGAGTGGAATGGTACCTGAACGAGGTTGCGGTGTGGTGTCATGGCTACAGACGTTCTCTTCGTCACGTTCTCGGGGAGATCAAATAGAGCGTAGCCTTCATGATGCTTGCTGACTTGAACAAAGTAATTGGCACCGGCGTCTGCGAAGAGATCGACCCACTCTTTTGGACTCCATGCATCCGCTGTGAAGTTCTGGATGAAGTCGTCATATACGAGCTCGGTCCCATACGTCTTCTTCTGGTACTCGTACACCTCGGTCGGATCACTCGGGCCCTGGCCAAGCCACCACCAGTACCTATTCGATTCGTCAGCCAAAATTGATCGAACATCAGGTCGATGCTCCGCACTCACCACTCGGCATAGTTCTCTTTTGAGCCTTTATTGCCCCAGCCTGGAACCGAGTATATTCCCCAGTGGATGAAGATTCCGTACTTGGCATTATTATACCAGTTGGGGGCTTCATGGCTATAGACGGACTCATAGGTAGCTTTGTAGGCACTGATGCCATACGTAGCCTTGAAACTGTAGCTCCTGGATGCCACATGTTCACCTTTGATGACCACGGTGGCAGGTCCGGTCCGGCCTGGCCTCACTCCCTTGCGATTCTTGACACCGACCTCCACGATCGCCTGGTCGCCTGGTCCCAGGCGCTTGATCGCTCCATCTATTACAGTTTCCAGGCCCGGCGACTCCACCTGTACTCGAACGGTATCATTCCGCGAAATGAAGGACGATCCCACATTGTTGATAACAACTTCGACGATCTGCACCTTATCTGTTCCATCAATCCACTTCTGAGTCGATCGAGCATACTGAATTACCAGTCTGGCCGTGGCCGAGGTGTGCTTTGGCACAGGGAGCAAAGACAGAGAAAACACGTGGAGATTGGTGTCGACTGCTGCGCCTCCGGGCTCGGTAGATGAGCCAGAAGCAGACTTGGGAAACTTCAAAGACACGAGCTCCTTGGATGAGTCCAGCCAATTTATGGTTTGGAAGATATTGGATCGGTTGTAGTTGGTGGTGTTTTCGGTGAGAAATGAGGAGAAGACCAAGTCGCCGCCAGCTGGGTACGGCCAACTCCACCACGCCGGAACAAGCAACGGGCCCGTCGTCGAGCTGCCATCAGCATATTTCGCGGTCACTGAGCCGGACGCCATGCCAGATTCAGATGCAGCAAGCATCTGGTAGCTGAAGTACTTCGACCGAGGAACCGGAATCTCTTGTCCCTTGACTAGGAGATTGTCGTGGCCTGATTCATTGTATGCAGCGAAGCGATAGTTGGTTCCTCCGTAGACGAAGCGCTCCGGTGGAATCTCCTCGGCAGGATACGAATCTTCATATCATCAATTCTATAATACCGATATCCTTTGATAGTAATGCACTTACTCCCCTGACCATCAAAACTGGATTCATTGGGCTTGAGCCCAAAGGCGCGGTTGTTGAACCACGGGCGGAGATCTAGAGCGACAGAAGTGTTGTCGTTGGAAAGAGCTTGGAATTCATTCTGTGGCTTGAAAATTACCGCTCGACAAAATGCCGCGGCTGTCAAAAGAGCGCCGACTCTTTGGAGATTTATCATGGTGAAGGAGGTCAGACTCTGGACATGTTAGCGTCCACATCAAAGAGTGCTGGCGGCCATGCGGACTATATGTTCTCAGCATTCGAAAGTAACGGTGCCATTTCCCCGCAAGGGCCTTAATCAGAAAGTATTCTAACTTCGGCCAGCCGCGTATTCATCGGGTATTTGCTAGATCGGAGAATTGAAGCTGATCGGCTATTTGTATTTGATCTGGATCGGCGTGCGGAGGTGGCTGCCTTTTTGCCGAAGCTATCCCGGCACTATCCCGCATTGCATGATGATCGTCACCTGGTAGCTTCATTCCAATAGGCTGAACTGTTTTGGGATCGTGACCCATTCCTCAAGTCTCAAGGTAGAGTGTATATTGAGGGTTTACAGCTAAAAAGACACATGGCATCACTCTAATTGCTCCACGCAGGCTTTCTCCTGTTTTTCGCCCAAGATGCCGCCTTGCTCGTTCATCCTCTGTTGAAAATTCCTCTCTGTTATCCAGGCAAGGCGACTAGGGCCAGAGAAAAGTACATCCAGCTGCTGAAGGTGACGGTTGGCAGTTTCTGCAAGCGTTGCGGTCAATAACACATCATTGGCTGTGTGCTGGGTATGTAACTAACCGACGTAGAAAAGGTATATGGGCGCAAGAAGAGCCAGGCTAATCAATGCAAACAAAATAAAAACCCAGAAACCAATGGCATCGATCAGGTATGGAATGATCATGTTGATTGTCCCTCCAACTATGGAGAAGGCAAAAGTCGCCAGCGCGGCACCTTTGCTTCGACTTGCCAAGGAAAACCCCCGTTGGGTAGACCCAACTGTTGATTTGTTCATGTCAGCTCTGATACAAAATGCTTGATTTTGGTGCAATACTGACCAGGTTGTCAACCATGTACTACCATAGACGAAAGTGTAGATGTATAAAATCGCGGCAACCCCGGAAGAGAGTTTGTTTGCCAATTCCGGTTTACTCTAGGAGTAAGAGATAGTCTCATGCGACAGGACACCACCGACAATCAAAACGATCCCCATAAGAGTGCATCCCGTTAGCATCAACTTGCGTCGACCAACTCGATCACAGAGATAGATCGAAAGAGCAAGACTAGAGATGTAGCCAAACCAATTTCCTCCTGCCAGAAGAGCTGGCTTGTCGCCTTTAAATCCCGATAAAGCGAACATGTTGGGAGCATAAACGGCAATGAAGTCAATGCTGTAACGGGTCAGGTCCCGATCTATTGCCCAGACCAAGCCTGTGCGATGTGATCTATCAACTCCCCAGGATATTTAGTCACCGCTGGCCACCCCCTATTTCTAAACTTCTCTAAGTGCAGTCTCGGCACGAATAGCAGAAATAATTTCTCCTATCTCAGTCTCGATAGCATTTTCATCGTTTTCAACACGGCATTTCTCGAACACAGACCGGGCTCCCTCAAGGTCGCCAATAGTGCCGCGGCCAAGATGAGTAGCAAGAAGACAATTTGGAACCCAAGAGGAAAGCTCCAGGTGAACGATAATGACTGTGTCTTCAAACACCAAAACTCCATCCAGTAGGCTCTGTCGACGCAATTTAGCCATGCATGCTCCGGCTTATCCAAATTGTAAAACTCACGTCGTTGATCCTACCATTGCCAGCGTAAATTGCACCGCAACGAACGCTCCTCGCAGATGAGGGTCTGCCAGCTCCGACGTCCAGACGGGCACTATCGTATTCAGATGACCACACCCAATACCACTGATGACTCGAGCAAAGGCAAACCATGGCATGCTGGTGGCAGAAGCCGACAGAGCCGCCCCCAGAATTCTCCAGAGATAACCCAGCTGAATTGTCTTCAGGCGTCCAATTGAGTCCGCAATGGTGCCCACGATCAACGCCCCAATCGCAAGTCCTCCAAACCATAGACTGACGAGGCCACCGATGGCTGCAGCATCTCGGTCGCTACCGCTTGCGGCCCCCATGTGTTGCATATAGTCCGCGTTATTGTTCACTTGGCGCTGTATCGTGGCCGAAAAAGAGAATTGCACATCCGGCGAATAGAAAGATGGCATAGGTCATGGACTTGCCCTGCAACTTCATGCATCGCAATGGTGAGAATCCTTCGGGAATGTATCGTGCAAATGGCGGTTCGGCTGGGGCAGAAGTCAGCGGAAATCAAAGTCCAGCTATATGGAAGTATGAAGAGCCTTCAGGAAAGGGGAACCACTCACGGCGGAAAATCGACTGTCTCGGACTGTTCTCCTGCATCGCATATCCATCCTGTTTTTCCATCTTGATGTGCCAAGAAGCCAAGGAACGGCACGGATGAGCTTAACATGGGGGATACTTGAATCGAGCATCCACACCGGCCTGAATTCGCACTCGGTCGGACTTGCTCCGAGCAGCCCCCGGATTTCCCCAAAGTCCGCGCGGGTCGACATGGGTTCCACTTCCCCGCTCTGGCATCGGGGAGAGATCCCCCGAGAGGCTGCTCCACGCATGCAGAACGCCTTGGGCAAGGTTGTTTGTAGAGAAGACAACAGCAGCCCTTAAAGGGACAGCAGGAGACTGCCATTTATATTACGCTTTCCTCAGTGTGGAAAGTTTTACGAGGGCATCCACGGGATGAACCTCGCCCACAGCCTGGGACTTAGCAACCGTGCACGAGTAGTAGTAGTAGTAGTAGTAGTAGTAGTAGTAGTAGTAGTAGTAGTAGTAGTAGTAGTAGTAGTAGTAGTAGTAGTAGTAGTAGTAGTAGTTTGTAGATCAGAGAAAATACAAGACTAGGATACGTCATGGAAGGAAATGACAACACAATAAACAATAATATTGTACACTAAGATATATCCGCTATGCTTGAAAAAATTCACTTGGATCGTAAGGCGCTGAGCCTCGTCAACGCTTCGATGAATGTGTCTTGCTAGCCCGCACTTCCTGCTCGAGCTTGTCAAGAGCCATTGCAAACTTGGGCTGGAGCGGCTTGAGGCTGTCCAATTTCACCGAGGCGCGCTCGATAGCAGAGGTACGGGTAATAGGACCGTCGATGCTGCTGGCGATCTCGCTGGCGAACCACTTTCCTTCGCGGTGCGTGACGAGGGACCAGGCAGAGCCCTTTCTGCCAGCACGGGCAGTACGTCCCACACGGTGTACATAGGTGGTAGCACTGCTGGGGACATCGTAGTTGACGACATGCAGAAGTGAATGCAAATCAAGACCACGAGAGGCACGATCGGTCGCCACGATTACATCAATCTTGCCCTTTCGGTAAGCCGACAGAGTCTTGCGCGATGCAGACGACTTGTTAGATTTAATGATAGTCGCCATGCGGCTGGCAAGCTGCCGGTTAATGAGAGAAATAAGGAGGTGTAGTCGTGAGGCAGACTCTGAAGACTTGGTGAAGATGAGAACAGTTTGGCGTGTAGGTCCGGCCTGTAATTTTTGAACAGACTTGGGCTTCGACTTGGGATCGGAATCGATTTCAGAATCAGAATCAGAATCAGACGAGCTGTCGGAGATGTCACTCGAAGCATCGCTGGAGGTATCGCTATCAGAGTCCGAGTCAGACTCGGAATCAGAACCCGAAGACGAGGTCTCATCATCTGAGGAGTCATCCGAACTAGTTTCACCATCGCTGGAGGTATCATCCGAGCTAGTGCTGTCGGAATTGGACGCATCATCTCTGCAAGTAGCCTTTGTTCCAGCCTTAACGCCAATGTGTGAAAGCAAGAGATGAAGCAGGTAGAGAGGCTTGATAGATTCATCTTTCACTGCCACCACATGTTCTCTCAGCGTGGATGGCAGTGTGAAGTTGGTATCTGGGTTATCTGCGCCAATGATCACCATCTTGGGATTGGCCAAGCGCAGGGAGTTGAGTTTCGAGATGTCACGGGTCATGGTCGCACTCAGCACTACCTTCCTAGGTGGTTTGCTCTCAATTGGATGTCCAAGTTCCGACAGGAATTTTCCACCGGCGCCCCATGACTCAGGGGCCTGTCGGGAATCCAATGAACCGTTCACCACGTCCACCCATTCCTGGAAGCTCTCATTCAAGAGACGGTCAGCTTCATCAATCACCAGCCATTCGATGTGCTTAAGGGTAAACCCCTTGGTGTAGCGAAGATGGTCGACTAGGCGACCAGGCGTGCAGATGAGAATATCGACATTGGGTTCAGGTCGCTGAATGTATCCTGGGAGAAAGCCAGTCGAATTGATTGCCTCGCTAACACAGTCCTCGAGGCTGAAGTGCTCCCAGTCATTATCTTGCAGTCCTGCCGCCTGGCGTTGGGCAACAGTGGCAGGGTTATAAACTTGGTCCGTTCTCATGATGAGCTTTTGTTCCTCCTTGATAGCGACGTTGCCGACCGCGCTACCGATATGGAGCCGTGAGCCTGCGGCACAGAGCTCGCAGGCCTCTCGGGCTTGCTTGACCAGCTCTCGCGTAGGAACCACTATCAACCCTCGCAATCTTGACGCAGGTCTCGACTCTAGGGAGGTGACGAGAGGGACCACGTAGGAGAGTGTTTTTCCGGATCCCGTAGCGGCCGAGATACACAAATCTCCGGGGTGGTGACGGTCCCCGTCGAGGAGAAGGGGAATAACAGCAGACTGGACGGCAAAGGCCTCCTTGTAATTGTTTTGCGTCAGGATTCGCAAAAGGTCTTCTTTGATGCCGAGTTCCGAAAATTTGGTCCGATCTTCGGTCGATGTCCTCAGCGGATTTGCCAACCACGGTGGCAGGGAAGAGTAGGTGGGAGCTTCCTCGGGCTCAGGTGGGTTCTCCGGCTGGGGCAATGGTTCGAGGCCCTTCGCAATAACCGGCTCGGCAACATTTTCGACTGTCTCTTCAGCCTGGGGCTTGGTTTTCTTCGCCTTCGCACTGGCCACGGATTTCGTACGCTCGAACTTGGAGAGGATGCCGGCATGTTTGTTCTTTGAGGCTTTGCGCTCTTGCGTGTCGTCGCTGGCTTGCGCTTCCTCCTCGTCGCTCATGGATTTTGGGCTCACAGCTGCAGGTTCATCATCCGCCGAATTGTCTTTCCGAGAACTCTTTCGTGCGCCATCCTTTGGCTTCTTGCTTGCTTTAGCGATGCCGTTGTGTGAGTTTGAAGTAGCCTTTTTGCGGCTGTCTGGCGAGACAAAACTTGTTTTCCGGGGCGAGGCCTCGGTATCACTACCCTGGAGACCATCCTTGAGTCGCTTTCGCTTCTGGTTGCTTTCGTCGCCTGCCGACGAGGGTGTAGACAAGCTGGCGCGCTTTTTTTCCTTCTTGTGTTTCTTGGTAGGAGTCGACGTGGAGGCATTGGGATCGAGATCGCGCTTGCGTTTAGAAGAATTGGAGGATTTCTCAATTGGCGACATGGTCGGCGCATGCAGTTTGGATGCGGCCATTCTCGCGGGGACGCATTCCTCGCGGAAAAGAGAAAGCTGCAAAATCCAAATTCGTGGTTTTTATGCCGGCAGATCCACCATTCACTCACCGCAGTCACTGACCGCCGCGGCCGCAACAGCATTCACTTCGCGACGAAACGGTTTGGAACTTGACTGAAGTAGGGTGAACGTGAAAGGAGGTGCTTGACGTGATCGCCATGGACTGGCGTCTTCATTGCGAACCACACTTTTCTCCAACATTGCCCTCTCTTTACGAGAGCCAATGCCACCATGCCGTATAACATTGCGTGAGTCTCATGACAATAACAGCAACCATCGCCGGGCGACCGACCACTAACACAGGGTGCTACACTAGGATGGTCAGTGATTTCTTCTTCCCCCAGTCTGGTATGTCCTCTTCCGTTGATCTGAGACCCGACGATGCTTGGATAGGACCAATTTCTGACTCGACCAGGGGGAATTGAGAGTCACATCTATCAGCTGTCTTCCGTGAGCGCCCTCTCTCCTCGCGTCGCGTCCTTCTGCTCCGATCGAGCGCGCTCTAACAACTTGTCAGAAACTCATTGACCGCGGACACAAAGTGATCATCATCACACATGCATATAAAGGCCGTACAGGTGTCCGCTACCTTACCAACGGTCTCAAGATTTACCATGTCCCCTTTTTCGTGATCTACCGAGAAACGACATTCCCCACCGTCTTTTCGTTCTTTCCAATCTTCCGAAATATTGTGATCCGCGAGCAAATCGATATCGTACATGGCCATGCAAGTCTCAGCAGCTTCTGCGGGGAGGCCATTCTGCACGCCAGGACGATGGGCCTCCGCACTGTTTTCACCGATCATTCCCTTTTCGGATTCGCAGATGCAGCTTCGATCTTAACCAATAAGCTGCTCAAGTTCACTTTGAGTGACGTGGATCACGCTATTTGCGTCAGCCATACTTGGTAGGTGGTGTTAGCCCTCGGGTCTTGGAGGCTGCCAACTTAACTAGATATAGCAAAGAGAATACCGTCCTCCGAGCCTCATTAGACCCGCTCATGGTGTCTGTCATTCCGAACGCTGTGGTTGCCGAGAACTTCTGTCCATTGTCACATAGCTCTCGGGCTCCTGATCAGATCCCAATCTCACCAGCCGATCCTCGTCCATCTCCAACCCCCATTGGTCCCGACGACACAATCACGATCGTGGTCATTTCCCGTCTTTTTTACAACAAGGGCACTGACCTTCTTATTGCCGCAATCCCACGAATCTTATCCTCCAACCCGAATACTCGTTTTATTATCGCTGGGTCCGGGCCAAAGGCAATTGACCTAGAGCAAATGCTAGAACGAAACGTGCTCCAAGACAAGGTCGAAATGCTCGGGTCTGTCCGCCATGAAGAAGTACGGGACGTCATGGTCCGCGGGCACATCTATCTCCATCCTAGTTTGACGGAGGCCTTCGGCACAGTCATTGTTGAAGCTGCTAGCTGCGGACTATACGTCGTTTGTACTCGCGTGGGAGGCATTCCCGAAGTGCTACCGCAGCATATGACAACATTCGCCAAACCCGAGGAGGATGACCTCGTCGTTGCAACGAGCAAAGCGATTGCCGCTTTGCGATCCAACAAAGTCCGCACAGACCGATTCCATGACCAAGTGAAAATGATGTATTCTTGGCGGGATGTGGCTGAGCGCACCGAGCGCGTCTATCAGGGCATTATCGGTGACATTAGCCCGTCGGAGTTTTATGGCTACTACCCGGGACAGGGCTGGGATGCCAGCGGTGACCGGGTGCGCAGTTTTGCGCTTATTGACCGCCTAAAGCGATACTACGGATGTGGTGTTTGGGCGGGTAAGCTCTTTTGCCTGTGCGTGGTCATCGATTTCCTGATCTTTGTCTTTCTGGAGATGTGGTTTCCCCGGGGCAATATCGACATCGCGCGCAGCTGGCCAAAAAAGCGGCCAGCGGAGAAATCTAGTACACGCCCAATTCGCAGCAGCCGTTCATGAGCACACGGTTCTTTGTCTGGCCGGGGCAACACCGGCCATTAGTAGCAGACTATTCTCCACGAACCCAACCAACAATCCGTACATAGCAGCAATACCCCTTACGATCACCCACATAAATACTACTAATAATATCAAGGAGAGGTTCAACGTTCGTCAGTTATGATTTATTTCGTTAATGCTAAATTAAGTCCAATGTGTTTCAATCCCGCTCAACGTTCAAAAAACACCAGGATACCCAACTCCAAATTTCCTAACTTATTTGGAATAGACATCGTTACCAGCCTGGTCGCGCTTTGTTTTTGGCTCATACTTCCACTCCCGGTCCAAAGTCTCCGCGGTCTCGCCTTGCACATCCTGCACTGAGCGATTGGCCTTGTTGCCGCGGGTTCCAGCGTGGGCGCCTCCCTCCTTCTCCAGACCGCGCTGGCTGGGAAAAGTTCGCTCGACACCCTTGTCCTCGCGGGACGCCCCGACACCCTCAAGACCGGCTGATTGCTTCTTGCGACCATGTTGGCCATCGTGGGCGAGCTCAACTCCGGACTGGCCCTGCAGGGGTTTGCCGAAGCCGGTGTTGACGTCCGCCGAGGTTGCGCCGATGAGGGTGTCAGCGGGGGAAGTGTATGTGGACTCCTTTCCATGGCCGCGCAGGACACTGGGGTTGTTGGCTTGGCTGACCTCGTCGGCTTGAGGCGTGTAGGAGTTGCTGGCGGGCGCGGTGCCAGGTGGGTGGGCTTCCAGGTGGAATTCGGGGCGCTGGTCTGCCTCGTTGGCCTTAACACCGGGCTTGTGCTAGATTCCTATGTTAAAACAGTACTCGTGGTATGCAGTATATATGAAGATGTGCTTACACCCTTGGTAGTCTGAGGGCCTTCGGGGGCAACAGAGGGCTTGAAGCTATCCTGCTTAGGGTTGGCGACCGGCTCGACGTTGTTCAAGGTGCTCATGATGGATGTCGTGGTAGTTCGTAAAGAGGAGAAGGGAAAGTAATAATGATATTAACTCTCAATGAATTTGAGGATTTGGATTGTCTCTCCTAACCTTCTTCCTCCCTGCTCCTTTATACCTGTCCTCCTGCAGTCTTTCATCAATTTCATCCATGGATATCTTGATAGCTACATCGGGAGAGATGACGTCAAGTTGACGATAACCTCGACACTTGGGATCCCTTTTTTGTGGGCATGACATTCATCTTTCTGGGTCGATCAATGGACACTCGGTCTCGATTCGTCGATTGGATCATCCCCTGGAGAACGGCGTGTGCGTCGTTCCCAAGAGGCGATCAGGGTCGTCCGGGATCAGTGACATCAAAAAAGTGGGGGCCCCGGAGTCTTGACGATGACCACCAACTCTGGGGAGCCTCCATTTTCTTGATTTTTGCATTCTGGCTGCGCAACTACAGCGTAATCCATGTGGTCACCCATCTTGGGACGCACCATCTTTGTCCTCTTCGTGTCCAGGTGGGTCATTCGTCACTTGCGACGTACAATGGATGTACTGTTTCCGTGATCCAGACAGGATTGTTCCAGAAACCATTGCTGGTGACTCGTCCGCCAACCAGAGGTGGTTTTAATTCTTTCTTTTTTAAAAAAAAAATTAAGCTTATGAAATTAATTCTTATTTCTAAGTATTCAATTGAAACTTGATATATTTGTTTCGTGAGTGTCGCTTCTGAGCTTCAACCTTGAACGGGCCATAGTGAGGGCACCATCATTGATGTATGTCATATCAAACCACACCACGGTGCACGCTGCGACATGAAGTGATCAAGGTTTGGAATATAATTAACACAGATTCGTCTATACGATGCATTCTTAAGATTGTAATTATGAAAATTGGAAAGCGCGCACAACATTAGTATATCTCCTGTGGTAGTATGACAACATTGAGCACTGTGAACATTAAGAAACACCGGAGAGATGACTGCACATACTAAGATCCTGGACACTAATGTTATGGGAGACGCTATTGATGTAAACTGCAAAGATCCATTATTATGTACAGTCAAATTATGATTAACGCCATGATGCATATATGTTCAATGATCGTCTGATTTACCGCATGACGGGTGGTCGGCCCTCCTTGTTCCATTTCACACGGCTCTGCACCCATTCCACGGCCGCTTGTACACCTGACCCCATTAACGCGCTGACCGGCAGCACGCGACTGTCTCGAACACCGCCCCCGGTCTCTCCCTCAAACACCTTTCGTACAAAGCCCTCCTTAATGCGAACGACCTCAACGCAGTCTTCGCGGTCTTGTTTGTTGGCCAGCACCAGGATGGGAACTCCGGCCACATCTGCACTTTGTAGGACCGATTCGAGAACCTGGCGGCATTCATCTAGACGGCCAAAATCACTTCCTGCAGCGTTGATGCCCACGTTTTGTTCGGAGAAGTGTTCGCTTGTATTGGCGCGCGACGAGCCCGAAATTGAGCTAGGCCGTCGGCCAGGCGCGGAGGGGAGGCGGGTGATATCCGGGTCTTGTCCAACATCGGCGCTATCGACAACGAAGATGATTGCATGGCAGCTAGTATAGTAGCTCTGCCAGAGGCCACGCATGGAGATCTGACCACCGACGTCCCAAATCTTGAGGTTCATATCGGATAAGGAAATGGTTGAGACATTCTGGCCGACGGTGGGGACGGTCTTGCCGGGGTTCGGCGTGGGGGCCCCTTCTGGTCGCGGCTGATAGAGCGCCTTGATCTGGGAAAGCAGAGTGGTCTTGCCGGCATTGTCCAGCCCGAGCAGCAAGACGGAGTACTCTGGAGAGCCGCAACGACGTCAACGTCTGGGGTACTCTGAGAGGGGCGCAACTGCGGGGAAGCTAGTCCTCACCTTCTTTACTGGTCGCGTACGTATACAGCGACTTGGCCAAGTGATACATGATCGCGCAGAAGCTCAAGGCCAGCGCGACCAAGTCAGGACGAGATGCGCATCCAGTCATGCCTGCCGCGGACGCATCGCAGCCCCCAACGTCCGGATCAGGAAGCTAGGGCTTAGGGCTGAATCTTGTGGCCTAACGAATATGCCTTGCAGCCTTGTCGCCTGATGGCCTTACCGTCGGAATCGCCCGATGCGGTGGTCAATTGCATGCTCCGCGTCGGCGATGGCAGCAGCGCTCTTGGTCAGCGCTTTTCCGGCATCCGTGAAGACCATCAGCATCGCCGAATTTGGTCATTCTTGAGGCTGTCGCCAATCTTCCGTAATGTCCCTTCCACTCGCCATCCTGGCTTCAATTCCTGACGCGCGGATGATGCCCGACCGTGAGACCTCGGGACGCCATTCCCCTCCATGGAATGGATCTGGAAATCCCCCCACCTGCTTTTGTCAGCGTGATTATTGATCTCCGCCCCGGACCAAGCAATCTGCGAGACCCCCCATATTATCCTCCCTATGGCCCTGTTTCTGGCTTCCTCTCCAGTTCAGTGTGACAAGCCCTCGTCCCACTCTCCCTGGATGAGGTGTCCGTGATCTTTGTTCAGTCGCATGTCCCCAGAATGCCCCGCGCTAGCTGAAGCCTCTGAGGCCCCGTCGACCTCCATGGAAACCGACACGGTCATTGTCGGTATGCTTGTGCCCAGGCCACGGACGCACCCAATGCTCTCGATGCTCACCCCACAACCACAGGCAATGGGCCGTCGGCCATGATTCTTTCCTACATCCTTCACGGCCACCTTCCATTTTACTCATCGACCCCGCCACATCCCGACCCACTCCTGGACGCCAAGTTGAAGGATGCGACCAGTCTACTAAATGCCGATGCGGAGGCGTTGACAGCTCATTTTGCGGCCTCGCGTCTATCATATTCAACACAGGCCCTGCCCATAAATGTTTTGTTAGATACACTCGTGCGCCCGAGCGTCGATATCGACGAGGCTGGCACGGCCTCCAATGTCGAGTGGCGCCATGTGCCCGAAAAGGCCATTCCGCACCTCGTATTTGGGAAACCCACAAAGCCGGGAGGCCAATGGACCGACGACCCCCACGGCGCAAGTTGGAATATCCAGACGCTGAGTTATGCGGCAATGCTCTCGTTGCCGGGCTACTCCTTTGGAGATCACCACCGAAAGGTAACGGGAAAAGACCTTCCGCCATTCACGAGGCCTACCAGGAGAGAGATCGCCGACTACTTCAGAACCTACCCAGCGGCAGCTCATATCGAAGATGTCTTTCGGTGTGGCGAGGAGCTGAATGGCATCTCTCGAACCACCAACGGGTTTTACATAAAGTCCCATGATATTCACTGTAAGCGGTTAGTGCTGGCAAGTGGGATCTTTTCCGAAGTTCTCCCGCCCGCATCAGTGCTACGGCCCTTACTTCAGACCCAGCGTCAATCCAATGTCCCACTCCTCGTGGTTGGATCTGGTTTCTCGGCTGCCGATGCCATCATCTCAGCCCCTGCAGATCAAAAGATACTCCATGTTTTTAAATGGTCTCCTGAGGAACGACCATCGCCACTTCGGAGTTGCCATCAGCAAGCATATCCGGAGTATGCGGGTGTCTACCGGTTGATGAAAAAATCATCCGTTTTTTCCACGGCGGCGGACAAACCTCGACGGCCAAAGGCACGTCGTGGCATGTCCACTGGCTTCTTGGAAAGCCGAAATTGGGATGAGGTATATGAAGGTGTTTCCAATGTGGAGATCGTCTCTGTTGAAGTTCAAAATGACCTGGCGCAGGTCAGCTTCCGCCGCGGGGACGGATCCACGTTTTCTCGCACTGTGCGTGGACTGGTCTACGCTGCTGGTCGGCGAGGCTCACTTGGCTATTTGAATTCTGAACTCCGCAGTGAAGTACTGGGGCGTGAAGATGATGACATGACTGTCTCAGCCCAAACTCTTCGCGGGAAAGCAATGGAAAACCTCGAGGTTGCCCCGCATGTGTATATCATCGGAAGCTTGACAGGAGATTCCCTTGTCCGCTTTGCCTATGGAGGGTGTGTCTACACAGCAGGTCATCTTATCGGTGAACGGGATGCCGACCAAGAATCGCGCAGCGCCTGTGGCAGTACTGCGTCCATCAAGCCCCATTTATCATCACTACCCGTCATGAACGGAATAGATGGTCACCAGGTCTATCCAGCAGACACCGCGAACCTGACGCGAGAAGATACCGCCATCAGCAAAGTATCCACTGTGGCAGCATCTACCAATATACAGAGCTTGTGGCAAGCAGTTGCACGCATGTGGAAAAATTTGACGCGATGATTGATGCGGGTCTTGTTACGATATAGTGGATATAAGAATTGTTATTTAACATGTCACGGCAGTATTGTGATTGATTTAGCCTATATAGTCAAATCAACACAGTGAGCCCAGGCGAAGGGTTCAATTCCTGATGAAGCTTATACATTTTTGGTCGGTTTTATAAGTCACAACATCAATTGAGCCACCCAGAAAGTAGCTTTGCTATCTCTCACCTTATTTAAAAGAAACAGGCCGGCCCGGGCAGATAGGAAGAAGAAAGAATAATATGTCGATGCATATAGCTATGATAGGATAGGGTGAATGAGGCGCTCGTTTCATTCTATCCTGGGCGCCTGTAAGAGCTCACAGAGCGTGACAACACGGTATCCCCGATGCCGGAGCTCAGGCAATACTACCTTCAGCATTGGCACCGTCCACTATCTGCGATCATTGCATAGAATGATCCCACCTGGCTTGACAAGACTTAGAATACGGTTTGCATTCAGCTGCGCATAAGGAACTTGAGGATCATGAGGATAGACATTCCCCAGCTCGAGTCGGTACCCCATCTTAGACACCAGACTTTGCATGCGGGAGCTGAAGAACCCAGAGCCTGGACGGAAAAACCAGTTACTGGGGCCGTCCTCGTCTGCGGCACGATACGCATTTCGAATCATGCTTTCCACTGTTTGGATCTGATCTTGAAGTATGGCGTCACTCAAGTCGCACGACGGCTCATCGTGCATTGCATGGTTCGCCAAATAATTGCGAGCATGAATCAGCTCGATTAGAACCGATTCGTGTCCGGTGACTTGCGACCCTATCACTAAAAACGTCGCAGTTGCGTCGTTGGCTCTTAAGACGTCGAGAATGGCAGCTGTGTGAGCCCAGGGCGCGTCGACGATCGTCAACGTGACCACATTCCGATTGGTGGGATGATGAAAAAGCACATCCGGTCAGCATAACGAATGAGAAATCCTGGGGGTTTGTAAACGAAGTAGAGCGGGAGCAAGAGGCAGGACGTGGACAGAACTGCCGGCATCATTTCATCGTATTGATGAGGTGCGGAGGGAAAGGGCGCTGCCTGGCGGAGAAGCTATCAATAGACCCGCTTGGCAGTTACTACGAGCGGCAGTATTGTCTGCATCCAAAGACCCCTCGAAAGGGCACAGAAAGAACGAAATGGTCAAATTCTCTCATTCGATACATAAAGCAAACAACGGATTTACTGGCGAAATCAAAGTTCAGACTGAGTTGGCTTTCGCGCGACCCGGACATACCTGGAAGCAACAAGGACGCCGTCAGCGGCGATCTCGGGGACAAACAAACAAAGCAAACAGCAACAACTCACAAAGATGTATGGAAGCCACGCATCTCCGCCTCCTCTAGGAGTTCCCGCCGGGCGTTCTGCTCGAGTGCATCCCATTGTTCTGGAGACAGTCGATCGGGGAGACCCTCGCGCATGCGTCCAGTCATGCCATGAACCATGTCAGCCATATCCTTCCGGTATTGCGCAGCGACCCAAACACGATCGGCCTCTGGATCGCCCTCGTCTGGATACAGACGCATCTTGATCGCCAAATCCTCGACAACCTCAAACCCAGCGTCGATGAGCTGCTGCGGAATGCGATGCGCAAGATCCCACGCAATGCCGTGTTTTCCAAGGTACTCTTGTGAGAGATCGAACCAGCGGATTGCTGCCGAGGTCGCGGCGGTGCTACCATCCTCGGCCTTCATTTGCATCAGGCCTTCAAACACCTCCACCATACCACCAGGAACAAGGTTAGCAAAGGCTCGTTGAAAGAGAAGCGGCCAGTCTCTCACAGCCGGCATAAGCATTCGCATATAAATAAAGTCGAATTGAGATAGAAACTTCCAGTCTTGTTCAAGGTCAACCTTGGCGAACGAGCAGCTTCTTGCCGCCCCATGGAGACTGGGATCATCTTCGCGGGGCGGATGGAGATCGATTCCCAGCACATCCGAGGAGGGATGCTTTGCAGAAAATTGACGAGCCCAGATACCGGTTCCACATCCTACGTCCAGGACCCGCGACGGGGGACTCTTTTAAGGACAACGAGGCCCGATAAAGCCCGCCAATACGGACAGTGAACACTGCATGCTGGCCATCTGGGGTGAGAAGTCCTCTTAGAAAATGTAATCCGATAGTGTAATGCCAGACGATATACCTAAGCGGCTAGTCTCTATTGCAGACTACACAGTCATCTTAGCACTTTCCTCTTGCTTCGCCAGAGTTCCTTTTGCTTACGTTGTTAGGCAAAGGATAAGCCCTGGGGTATTCAGCCTTGCTGTATACCGGAAGAGCATAAGAAATTCCAACCCACTTCACAGATGCATTAAAGGAAGGAAAGGAAAACCGACCGGATTTCTTCGGTGCGTGTTGTAGTTGACATCTTGATGGGTGGACAGCATTCACGAAGTCCTTTCAGATGCAGGAACGGCCGAGGCGTGGATCTTATTTATGTCCAACTCCTCTCTGCCCCCACAAATCATTACTTCCATCCAACACCATGCTGATTAGTACTAACTGATTTGTCATTACGATGCATGAGCATGTACTAGAAATCGCGCATTGCGTCATTGAACAGATGGCAGCATGTCCGAACCCCAAGAACCCCACACTTGCTACTCAATCTTTCTCCATTGATTTCTTAAAAGGCCTTGACTACCTTAAATCGCAGCCCTTTCCTCTCTTGTCGGGCTCCCCTACAATAGGAGCCCAACTGTGGTCGATATCCCGCTCACGGATCGTGTCAAACAACTCGAATCATCGAAAGAGGCAAGCAAGACCAGTACGCAACTCGGCTTGAGCGAAGCTAAGGAGAGATTATTCAGTCACTCAGACACTCTTATCAAGGCCTATTCGGAAATACTGACTGCATCCCAAGACACCCCCGTCGGCCATGGGCAAAGGGCATGAAAACCCGGTTCATGGCTGCAAGATTCTCCTCGGGCTGAAGCCAGCGCTCCGGAGCAAACTTTTCATGTTCTGGAAAAATTTCCGATCATAAGAATTTCGCGTTGGGGTCATAGAAACTCGAGTCTGCTTTAAATGTCAGTATTCATTCAGTTAACAGAGCTTCCGAGTCTCAAATCCGCACCCCTGCTGGAATAGACCACTCCCCATATTGAAGATTCTCATGTGGTGCAATCAAACTCAGTCGGTGATCTGTGACTTTTCCAATCCGCAAAGGCTCTTCCAAAGTTGCATTCTACAGGGTACATTGGCGGATTCCATACTTTCTCAGTCGAATACCGTGTATCTGGTAGTGAGCAATTAGCACTTACCAGCCATGGCAATTGTTCAAGGACTTTGAGTTCCACTTTATCTTGCGGACATGGCATGACTGTTTTGAGCTCGTCATGTAACCTTCGTGCAATATTAGGGTTTGCCATAACATGATATACTGCAATTCCCATTGTCCGCGCAGTGGTATCACTTCCAGCCAACGGAATCTCAAACCCCTCGTGGGCCATCCTCTTGGGTCGCTTTTCATCGTCTGGTAGCCCGCTAGCTGTCAGGGTATGAAAAAGAGTGTGCTGTCGAGATCCTCTTGCTTCCTTTTCAGACATGGCGTGTTTTTCAGAATAATTCTTAGCCAGGAATTCTTTTCGATGCCTATCAGCCAGGCTGATCATATTCTAAAGAGAGAATCATTATTTGAATCCGAGAGATCGGATGATGAAGTCTCTTACAACATGGATAGTGAGGAGAGTGGCAAGAGGCTTGTAGAGATACCTGAACGGAGTAACAGGAAGCTCTAAAGCCAGAGGAATCAACCACTCGCATTGCTTTAATACCGGATAGACTGCCGCAAATGCCTTGAAAACCTCGTCGAAGGCCATGGCTCCCGCAGTATCATCCAAAAGATCAAGGCTTTCACCAAAAGAACACATTTGGAGACTATCGTTGGACCAGCCAAGAAAGGTGGCACGGCCACTCACGATACTACCTCGATGATGATGCTCCATCGAAACCTCGCACATGTGCTCGGACTTCTCCCATATCTTTTCGAATAGGTATTTAGCAACTGAAGACTTGGAGAAGTATGCGCTGACAGGTCCGCGGCGGCGACGATGTATTTCATGTGCGACTGTTTCAAATGCTATTCACGGATCAGATGCAAGAAAATTTGGGAGATCTTTGATCAGACAATTGAACGTACTTCCATCCGCTGTTCCGGCAGCATGTGCGAGGGATGGATCTTTGTCGCGGATGTGTCCTAGGCCAGCATATAGAACTTTTGCCCATTCAGGATCCCGAACATGAATTTCGTCTGGTGTCACTCGAACCACTGGGCCTTTTAGTTTGAGTACATGGCTTAGCACAAGAAGTCTTTGTATACCTAACGCATTGTCCTCATACACTCACCATATCGGTCATGCATGACCTCCACTTGATTCATATATTCTCCCCCTTGCCCAGAAAATAGGTCTTGGATACATTCCCACCAAGAGGTTGTTGCAGCTAGCTTGGGACCGGGGAATCTCGCCAAGGGGTGGAAAAGCAGACGGTATACCACAAGGCCAACCTGGTAAAGCAGGAAGCTCACGACAAACCAAATAAGGAAAAAGGATAGCAGCATTGTTGTGTGCGTCGCGCCAATGGGCCCAATATCTCTCGTCAATCTGGGGCAATCCTGTTCAATCCTTCAATATATATCCCGAGCGACAGTGTTCTCGACCCAGAACCAGCCACGCGGCGAAGTATCAAGGGCACTGTAACCCCCTTCCAGGTGTGTCCATGCACTAGTATCCTTTTCCGGGCCCCCAAATATTCACATGTCATGCAATGCGATCTCTCAAGTCTCGAAACTGGCCAGAGTGGAGCGCATAAGTGTCAACTCTAGACAAATACTAGCTTAAAACAGAGGTCAAGAAATACTAGTAGGGACGCGAATTCTGCTCTAGTGAGAAAATGCCTCAGCGAGGGGTAAATCCGGTTTTGACGTGCAATGAAGAAGAGCCAGTGTTCATACCCCTCACGCCGAAGGTTATGGACAGTGGAAAGTGGAGATGGGGCGGAAACATCTCCCCTGTCCTCCCACTGCATCCTACTAAAATCTTACTTCCTGCGATATGCATCCTCGTTACACCTGCGGTCTACACAGCAACGCATGTGTAATTTCACTCAAGCGTCAAAAGCGCCTTCTTCGTCGCACGCCACCACGAAGCCGTTTTCGAATATTGCTCAAAAGCAGCGCAGTCGCAGGGTCTATAGCTACTAGCGTTAGCATTGGGAATCCATCAACACGGCACCATGTCAGCCCAGAAGCCCACCGCAGTCCTTATCATTCATGGAGGTTACTTCCTCCCTGCTGCTTGGAATGCCTTCAGCGATCGACTACGCCAGGCGGGGCTCGTTGTCCAGTGCCCACGTCTACCATCTTGCGGCGATGAGCGCCCGCCCACTGCCGCCATAAAGCACGATGTCGCGGCGGTTCGCAAAGCAGCTCAGGATCTCATCACTTTGAATCACTGTTTTCTTGTCCTCGCCCACTCCTATGGGGGAATGGTTGCATCAGAAGCGATTCGCCCCGATCTATACGCCAGCAATGGCAAGGGGGTCGTGGGCCTTGTCCTTCTCAGCTCTTGGCTTGTTCAGCCAGGCGATACGCTCATGAGCGTTATTGACAAGTACGGCTTCCAATGTAAAGTGGATCTCGGGAATAACGGGGACGGCACTGTTTTCGCAAAGAATGCGCCCGAGTCGTTCTATAATGACATCGAATTGACGGAAGCCGAAGAACTGGCCAAAGGCAATGTGACCCACAACTGGCTTGCAGCTTCGGCTGAGATTTCGGGTGCTCCTTGGAAAGATCTGCATACGACCTACATTCATTGCGCCCAGGATCTGGCGATCATGTTGCCGCTACAGCAGAGCATGGTTCAGGATGCCGTAAACGCGGGGGGCAGACTGACTATCAAAACTATTGACTCGGGCCATTGTCCATTCTTGAGTCAGCCAGAGACAGTGATCGGCATCGTGAATGAGGTGATGGAAAATGTCAGCTGAAATCCCGGTGACTCAAGCACCCACTAGTTGAATTGTCCTGTATGTAGAAGTCTTGATCTAGCCTCGAGGGGAGGGCATTTGTTTATGCTAGGAGAATCACAGTGTGACAGTTGCAGTAGATATAGACAAGTTTTGTCCTATATTTTAATGTAGCCATGGGGAGAAAGGAGTCCAGAAATTAACGAGCGTGGTTGAAAATAGAGTTTAATGTATCCTAATTCTGGTTCACAGCTAGACAGAAGATCTCACATTGCATTGATGTCCGCACTCCATGCTTATTGGACAGTCCTAGACATGCTCCAAGTTCAAGTCATGGATCACCATAGTCGCTCCTGGTGTTACCATCTCATCCTGACTTCCGTCCCGACTATGTTGGGTTTTGAGTGCAATTGCGTGGCTGGTGTTCATGAACCTACCTGGCCCGTTACTTGAGCCTGGCTTAGTATAACCACCGCGCACTGCACTAAAGCCGCTTGATGATCCATAAGATCCATAATCCTTCCGGGATGCTGCAGACCTTCGAAGTAGTGGCCAAAGTGGAGCGGCACTTGAGGCAATAAGGACCACCCACATTTCAGTCATCCCAAAGATCATCAAAGGTGCAATTTCGTCTGAAAGTAATCCAGTCAGTGACCTAGGGACTAAGAGTAATAGTAGAATATGCGACTTACAAGTTGAGTCTTCAACAGCCCTTAGCCGGTCAAACTGAACCGTCTTAGCGAGACTGCAGGCAGCAGTGAGAACACCGAGCCCCATGAGAAAGGAAATGATCAGTTTGAGTTTCATCTGGATCCGCAGGATCCATATGATGAATATTGGATAAATTGCAAGCAAAAGGTCCGTCATTGTGCCCCAAGCTAAAGAATGTTCAGCAAACCAAGGCGCTTCATCGGGATAGTTTTAGTATACGTACCGCCAGTAAAGATAGCCCAATAAAACGCACGACATTCACCGTTACAGTTCCCAGACACTGTTGTATTCCACAGCTTTTCAGATGGATAACACTGGAGGAAGATAAAAGGAACGGTGATGATATAACAAATGAACTATGGAATTCCATGTCAGCCACTTCTGGTGAAAGAATGAAGCAGGTCAGGATTTTTGCCTTACATTTCCCCCGACAGCTGCCAGCAAGATCCATTTCCCCAGTTTATAAGTGCGATCTTGTACTTCGAGAACGAAGCCGACTGAGAAAGAAATGGTATTTGCCGCAATCCATTCAAACAGCAGTGAATCGGAAAGCTTCGGTGCATATGCAACAACTGCAAGGTGATTTCCGAGGCCATAGTAGGCAGCAAATATATATAGGATTGTGCTTGGTACACCCAGCATCTGTTTAATATCTGGTGAGACATTGAAGCCAGCTTCATGTTAAAGGGAACACCATACCCAAGCAATAGTAGCCCAAAAAGGAGACCAGCCCCCCTTTGCTACGAGCAACAACAAAGTAGGTATAAGAACGAAGAGCGACAAGAATGGTCGCTACGATGCATAATGACACACTAACACCGACAATAGCAGGGCCGTGGCCACCGAGGTAGCCAGTCGCTGACTTGGTTGTAGTCTAGGGTGGTGTTGCCATGACGCTCGGTTTTCCCTGGAATTGAAGGATTCTATTCCGTAAATTTGGACAAAACAACTACTTTGGCCATTATTAAGTATGGCAACCAACCCGCGGGTTCAAAAACGCTAGAGACACTTAGTTTGCTGTCTGGAAAATGGTTACCATCTCCCCGCATGGCCCCCAGCTTAGAGTCGTCAGACGTTCCAGAGAAAACCCTCGTCGGCCCCATGATCGACATATGGTTGTTCTGGCCCCCAAAATGACAATCCGCGAATCATGCAATGTCCTGCAGAGAAGCTCTATCAGACGTTACAGTCAGGTAGGCCCCCGACAGCCACTATCTCTACATCTGACGGGCCATTTGCTCCATAACCCCCTCTTACCCGGGAAGAATTCTTTTCCAGCAAGGCACAAAGTTGCCCGCGGCCGCCGAAGTGGTCACCAATGACCTCTCTCTAGAATATGGCTTTAACCGTATCCGTCAGTAAGTCCGTGTCTTGGTGGCTTGCTTTCTGTGATGCGTGCGGTTGTGTAGATCGCAACTGGCGGATCCAAATCCCCTAAAACTAGCACCTCGATGGCTATTATCTGAAATATTAATCCCTGCCTCTATGTTAATTCACTCATATGCCGAACAGATCAGCGACAACGTTTCATGAGAGAGTTTTGCTTCTTCATGAATAAGTCTGAAGTCGAACAAAGTCTGCGTTTGAAAGACGATCTTGCAACGGTCGAAGAATTCTCTCAGTATCGCCTTGGAACCAGTGCAGTTCGCGTGGTACTGGCAGTCAACGAGTTGGTCGGCTCTTTTCCCCATTTCATGGCAGGACAAAAGCTGCTAGCTAAGTCCAATCTAGGTTTTGCAATGGCACTCGCCTTCCACGTCAGGTCACGGACAATCCGGAGTTTGAACTTTTATGGGACTTGGTGAACATGAATATTTGCAAGCACGTTTGATATTGTGTCTCAGGCCTATGCAATTCCGCTACTGACAATTTGGCAGCGTAAATGATCTTCTCTCGATTAAAAAAGAGGTTGTAAAGACCTTTTTCTACCTATGAGGAGCTAAGAAACCCCAGAGCTGATGAATTCACAGGCACAAGGCTCTGCAGAGAGTCTGGTTCCCATTTTATACGCTGAAACGGGATCAGCGCAGAAGGCCGTGGAAAAGGTTCTAGAAACGATCAAGTTCACCATTCGGCAGTTCGACGCTACAGCGTAAAGTCTCTATATGCGGCACTGCCTGAATTTGGAAGTGGCTCCCCCTCTTGAAAGCTTCGTAGCCGGTTGTAGATACTATTGAACCGGCAATCTTTCATGGAGGTAAGCACCATGTTCAGCATATCACTGAAGGCCGAAATTCACGTAGTACTCTGCTCAGCATGTCAACTGGAAGATACGGCGTCCACCAGGACTTGGAAGCAGACAATATTGTGATTGTTCTGGGCAAATTCCCATCGGCTCACTTTCGCGATTGCTGAGCCGCGTCATCGATCGAAAGCTAGGTGGATTCTTCAACTTTCCTGGGCCGTTTTTCTGAAGAGAACGAACTGGGAGACTGAAAGTGTCGAGTGCCATGCGATACGGTTTTTGGTGTTGGCGAACTTGTTTAGCTGTGGGCAAGAACACGAGATTTGTCTTAGGTGTCACATATTCTCTTAACCACTAGCACAAGAAGTAAAATTCATCAAGTTTGCTCTAAAAGAGAAAAGTGATGCCGATGTCAAACGCCCCCATTGAAGTCAGAACGCCAAGGGTATATTTATGCAGTCGGCCAACATGCGCAAAACATCTAGCCCATGATCTGTAGCTGATCTTCCGGGGGCCAGCGCACTTGAGCAAAGCTCAACAAGCGCTTGATGCTCTGCAGATACTTGCGTGTGGCCTCGTCGCTAAGAATATGGGCCTGCTGGTCGCCTGTGTGGAGCTTCTCGCGTGCGGAACGCTCGTGAATACCAACCATGGTCACGCCAATGGGCCAAGCACTTCACTCTTATCAGTATGATATTCCATGGAGGTGGCGTGACAGAAAGACTTACGCTTTTCCAATGCTCACTCGAAGATACGCGTCGTTCGCGTCGACGTATTTTCGCTGTTGCGCCTTGTGCACAATTTCAACAATTGGTTCCAAAAGACCATCGTCCAGGTCTTTTTTCTCTAAACGACGGAATAGAGGCTTCATGTTCTCGCGCGATTGAAGCATCGCATTATATGCTTGTTTTCCTTGGAAGCTTTGGCGCACGCTCACGTCACGCTTTGCAAGGGCCACCTCCCATTCTGAAAGGACCATGTTGAAATAAGACCCGAGCTGCCGATAGAGAAACAGGCGATCCTCCTGCTCTTTCGGGACCTTGCCCGGAATGATCATCTGTGCACCTGGTACTGGTTCCAGAGTTGTGGGGATAGGACCATCCGTGATCTTTTGCTTCGCAGCGGCGCGTTGGACCAGACGACGATACCGGCGTAGGCGAGCGCGATGGTCTTCGCCAAACAGACGTATGGGCTCATCGAGCTGGCGAAGCTTTTCGACTAGATCTCCCTCTTCAATGTCCTCTTCCTCCGCATCGTCCGGGGTCTTCTTGGTCTCGCTCTTGGAAGGCAGGTCGGGGAGACCGAGCTTCCGTCGCCGTTCACGCTCGGCGGCCTCTTCCTCCTTGTCTCGTCGTTTCTTCGATTCCTCGGCCAGCTTCCGCCTTTTGTCCTCGCGCTCACGTTTGCGCTCGGCCTCCTCGTCTTCCAGCTTGCGTTTGTTGGCCTGGCGCTCTTCCCGTTCACGCTGTGCCCGTTCCTGTTCCTCGTGGTAGGCAGCTACTCGGGCAGCTTCAATATCGGCGCGGCGCATATATTTCTTGGAGGGCTCAGGCGCGTCCTTGTCCTTGTCCTTTCCGGGGCCTGACGATTTGGAGTTGCCTTTGGCCTTGGAGATCTCCTTGGACATCAGAGCCGCGAAATCCATGGTGGCGCAATCCTTGGGCGCGAGGCTCTCGTAGTTATCGCAGTAGCTGGGATGCCGATTCGACACGGGTTGTCGTGGGTGGATACTGTAGAATGGCGGAGCAGGGTGAAGTGAGATGGCGGGTGGAAGTGAGTTGGAGGGAAAGAAAGCTCGGGCGGGCCGCATCGGCGATTTCTCCGTCCGGCAGCTCTTCGAACTGCTTGCCTCCCCCACGACACTTCCAGATTCTACCCAGCTGTCCGCTACACTCGACTACGCCTCGTGTTGGATCACAACCCTGCAGTGCTACTTTTGAATTTTGTTTTCTGACCCATCACTTCTGCTTCCGACATCAATCGCGCCTTATCGCGCCCTGCTATCATGGCTGGTTCGTTGCGCGAGGGCTCCAAAGCCTCAATCGACCGTCAGACCACAGTGCCGTTCCACCTGAAGCTCTTCTACGGTACCAACAACTATCACCACCTCTCCGACTACAGCATCTCCGGTCCTCCGCGTCGCGGTGGGCCCGTCAGCGGGCCAAATGCCATCCGCGGACGTTCGCCTCCCCCAGCTTCTGCACGACTTCCTCCGCATCTTGAGATCTACACTTGGCAGTCCTGCACGCTACGGGAGCTGTCGCAGCTTCTCACCTCGGCGCTTCCCTCGTTACTTCCGGATCCTCCCGTCGGCACTCGCCTCTGTTTCCGTTTGATCTATCCTGATGCGCGCGGCGCTGCGATTGGGGGCTCCGATATGCCTGGGCGATACGTGAGCAGGGATTTGGGCAGCGTCATCGTCGGCCCCAGGGATAACTCATACCGTGAGAACGAGAGTGCGGATACCCATGGCGATTCCCGATCTCGTCAGGGTCCCCTTCGATTCCAAGGCTCAGAGGCCGACACAGCTCTCCAGGACATTCGGTTCATTATTGGTGACTACGTGGAATGCGCCATTGTCGCACCTCATGAAGACGGATCGGTTGCGCCGGCTCTCCGCGGCAGCTCAGGCGCGCCCGCCGGAGGTGGCATGCGCGCATTCCGAGACAATGGATTTGGAGGACGTCCCGGCCGTGGCGGAGATCGTGGAGGCCCGCCTCCTCTGCCCCCGGGCGATTGGAAGCGCGGTGAAAGACTTCCTGAGACAGGAGGTCGCGGAGGTCGACGGGGACGGGCCCCGTATTAAAAAGCCTTCATTGTGATCGAATTTAAACGAACACCAAACTGGCTGGCGCGAATGTATTGAGGGATGAATACCCGTTTGAAGGCTTGTATGATTAATCGGCGTTGAATTAAATACCTTACCATATCTATTTACGCTTGGGGATACTGATAGCGCTCCCTGGAGAGCCTTGCTTTCTCGGTTGGAAGGTATAGCATGGCGAATGACCATGATCCAGCTAAGTAGGAGTTTCATCCAAGTGAAACAATGCCACCGGAAGGGCCAGTACATCGGCGTATCCCTTTCCTGGGGTTTTTAGTTGGTGAAACATATCCCCAAGGCCACAACAACGGTTCTCGAGACGCGAGACAGAAGAAAATCAATGCGGTATATGCTCGTAGTAAGGTACATTGCCCACTAAAGTAGGCACCGGCAAAAAGTAAAAAAAAATGAGGTAATTTTCGCTTAAGTTTCGGCGAATTTGGAGCATTTCCAGGCGATCAATCAGATCCATCTTGCCCGTTTCGCCCTCGCCACCAAACGGATGGTTTTTCACCAGTCCAATTCATCACCCGCGAGGCCTTTACCACTCCGAGATGGTGTCTTCCCTGCGCTTACCGCGGAGCTCGTATTTGCCCTGTGAGTTATTAGCGTTGAATTCCCCGCACATCGGCATCCTTGCATCTCTTGAGGCCAGTCACGTACCTCGGTCTTGTATGCCACGAAGGTCAAGGCCGCAGGGATGGCAGCCATGTAGATGAAAGAGATCCAGGCATGGCGCGGGTTCCAACGGAAGTACTTGTAGCGGTTGGCGTTGAGTTCTGGAGAATGCGTTAGCGAATGATTCGGCAATGCGCTCGACCTGCCGCGCCAAGATTTCAATACAATCTGCCAATCGCAATTGACTGCTCGAAAACCCGAAAGTGTGTATCGCAGAGGAGCAGTGGTGCGTGGGTGGGCAGGTGTGGCTGGAGCGCGGTTCGAGTTCAGGATGGAGGGCAGGTACCGTAATATTTCTGGAGCGCCGGGTCAAGGACCAGGGCTGATTAATAGTGTTAGTGAGTCTAGCCTGCATGTCAGGATGATCTAGCAACACTTACACTTGCTGGGGCCGGCCATGGTTGCGGTGGGATTGAAGCGGGTTGGCACAGGCTCGTCTGCGTTCGTCGCCGGCGAAGTGAGGTTGCTGTCACGTGTTGTCTGTCACGTGACATGTCCTGCATCTACACCTGCACATCCTCCCTTGAACTTACCTTGTGAGGTACCTTGAAGTTTCTTCTACAAGGTGAAATTCAACTTGACGGCAATCTCTTGACTGACCAGAATTTTTTTTCTGGCCTTTCTGTCATTTCAACTCGCTCCCGGGGTTACCATCGAACACATCTCACACTGCGAAATGCCAGCCGATCCACTCTTCTCGCCAATAAGCGTCGCTCGAAATAAGCGTCGGGATACCGAAATACAGTATATTCAATCCTTGCATTACTCAAGTCGTATTTCATGATGAACTATAGGCCGATATGTACTGCGTGCCTAGGATATACAGAATACAGATACAGAGAGGGGAGGTGGGTATCGTCAACGCCACGGGCAGTCACTACATCGAAGCCGAGAAAGAGCCCTCAACCTGCTCAATCTTGGTCACGGCCTTCTTGTAGCCATCAATCCCCTGCAGTCGCTCGGCGTAGGCGCTCAAGAGAGGATACCTGTCCTTCTGCTTCTTATCCTGCATCACCCGCATGTGCGCGGCGATGACCGGGAAACTGATCAGGATATCGGCCGCGGAGAGTTCTTTGCCACACAGGAAGGGTCCGCCCTCGGGCGCAGTCTTCAGCTGGTCCTCCAGGAAGGCCAGGTTACCTTCCACATTGCGGGTCAGGAATTGGGCCTCGACTTGTCCGGCGACAATGCTGGTGATCGGGCGGACAAAGAAGGGAGGAGACTTGCGGACGGCTTCGCGCCGGAATGTCAGCATCATATTCTCCGGACAGGCAGACACGTCATGCGGCGCGATACGGGGGGTGAACACGAGTCGGCGTCATATCAAGGAGAACTTACTGTCGTTGACCAGGGTCATCACTAGGAAGGGCATCAGACTGCCCTCGACGTAATGCATGAAGTAGCGATAGCGCATCCACTCCTCGCGCTCGCCGCCCACCTGGCCCTCGTGGCCCTCCTGGTAACGAGCGGGCACCAGCGACGGGCGCGCCTTGCCGAAGTGGTCGACGAGATATTCGACGATCGCGCCGGACTCAGCCAGCACCAGCGGCTTAGAGACACCGGGGGCCTCGATGGTGATGACGGGCGACTTGCCCAGCGGGTGCACCTCCTTCAGCTCCGCCGGCGCCAGCTTGTCGGCGCGGCGCTTGTAGGTCTTGAGCTCATATTTCAATTGAAGCTCCTCCAACAGCCAAAGAATGCGGTGGCTGCGAGACTGCTCGAGCCTGGAGAGGGATCCCCGGTTAGCGCTGATAAAATAAAATAAAAATAAAAATAAAGAAAAGGGACTGCGACTCCTTACCAGTAGAGGGTGATTTTGCAGCCCTGGTTATAGTCGGTCATGGTGAATTCGCGAGATCACAAGAGATCGAGGATCGCTTCGGAGGGGAATAAAGCAGCCGCAGCGAGACTTCGCGGTTTTAAAAGGCGAGCCGTGGATGTTGCAATGGAAATGATCCGAGGCTCGATTGATAAGGCAATCGGAGATCTGCAGCGGCGTTCATGTGAACTCACCTTCACAATATATGGGGCACCGCCCTCGCCAACGTTGAGATGAGTCTGGATCGATCTGATTGCTAAGAATCTCCGCCCTCGTTTTCGCGTTCTCCAACCTGGCTGCGCTGACGATCGCCAACCAAGGCCTGTCGCACCTGATCACCCCTGAATACGAGGGTTTTTCTGCAGCTCGACGAACATCCATCAAGAGAAGGAAGAAATGAATGCAAACATGGAATTTCGTTGGTGTTCAGTGCGTCCGTACGACCTTCTAGTCACCAATGTTCGAATGTCAGAGAGGGCCCTCAAGAGGCCCCGCACGGAGAATAAGCTCATTTCCCTTTTCGGCGTCCTGTGCGAACCAGCAGGCCCGAGCGGGCGAACCTGATGTGACAGTCATCACGACAGCTCACTTTAGGTATCTATGTGGAAGACCATATGACCAACTGACGGTTAGTATGGAGTTCCTATAATCCATTATTCGTATTGTTGAATAGCTCAGAATCAATATTCTTAGCAACAGGTGAGCGTGCTGGTATATCGAGCAGTGGCGTCCTGACAATTTATTGTGTTTTTTAATATTTTCCTTCGAAACTTTCTATTTATCCTAACCGTTTGCATATCAACATATGGATACAGTATCAGTATATAAAAGTCACACATCTTCAACCTAATCATATACTTCCGGGAAGCCTTAGAAATGAGGCGTTTCGTGTTGCATAACTAGCATCTCTTAGTTACCTCATGACACTAGACCTGAAATCCACAAAGGCAAAACGCAAAATCCCACGGTACCTGACGCCGAATTTTGGCCCCATAAGCCAGGGGTTGGCAACAATGCACTCCTCTAAGACGAAAGCTTGGAGATCAAGAACTGACTGGCATCTTCAGTGTTGGCAAGGTACGTGAAATGGGCAGCAGTGACAATCAGAGTGCCGTCGCAGACCATATCTCCCAAAGCACAGTAGATCTTGACCTTATTCTTGGGGAAGTTGGCAATCTGACCATGCTCCTGTGCATTTCGAGTGTATCCAAAGAGCACCACACCCTTGATCTTCTCCTTGACATTGTCGGGCAGATTCGAGATTGAGTCATCCATGACCGCGGTTCCCTGACTATGACATGCAAGTTTTCGTTAGCACTCGGCTGAATGTGGGTGATCAAAAAACCCTCGGAGTCTTGTAGAAGAATGTCTTCCTACCTGTATCCACCCGCGACGATCTGGGTATTGGGGCACTTGCGCACAGCTTCTTTGAAGAGACCTTCGGCCTCCTCGATCGCAGCCGGAGAGGTGTTACCGGGAAGAGCGTTCGACATAAGGTCGGCCGTATATTTCGGACCAACACCCTGGCAAGCAACGTGACCGGCCTTGGCCATCTTCAGGTCGTTGCAGACAGCAGGACCGGTCGATTCACCCTTCACACAAGCATTAGCATGGGATGACCATAGTGGGAATAGTCCGCTGGCCGTACCATAAGGCCAATCTCGGTAGAGGCACGGGCAAAGATAAAAGTGATGGGCTTGCAGGAGCCATCACGTAGCTCATTTCCACTCTGGCCCACTAGATATATGATCGACGAGTTAGTCTGCGGGACATTGTGCGATTCAGGTGGACATACACTGGCGTTCCTGGATTTCCACGGGGCTGGCGGCGACGGCACTGGCGAGGGCCAGGACGAGAAGACGGAGATTCATGTTGTGTGGAGAAGAGCACAAGTGGTTCAAACGAGTGAATTGGTCTCCGTGAGTTTAAAAGGAGAGAAGTGCGGTCTAGTGGGTGAGGTGCTGGTGATGAGATTGGGAGCACGAGAATCCTTTATAGCCTCAGCGTTATTTTTGCTCACCATTGGGTTATACCTCGGTCTCCCCAAAAAAAAGATATTATAGTAGCAAGATATTTAATTCTTTTTTTCCATACCATGTGGCCATGCCCGCTCTGTTGCCCGGATTTCCTAGAGAAAATCGGGGCTTGTTCGACGGAGTAAGGCGTTTCATGTTGACTCCTGGTTCGTTTCGGGTACCTGACGAGCGACGCAGTGGAGCTCCAAGCCCCCCAAAAATGTACGTTTTTGATCGCTTCCAAGGGTTCAGGGTCCCGAATGGCCGGCTTTAATTCGGCTAATTGGCCAATTCGAACTATACCTGTGTCCTGTCGCCCCGAATTTCGGTTCGTTTTCGGACGCCTTGCCGAAACGGGTTGACCCAATATTGGGCCATGCAGAGAGACCCTGACCGGCTGTGGAGTTCGGCTGTGGGTCGTTCCGTGCGATCCATTTTCTGGAGACCCTGCGAGCGTAGGCAACCAATTATTAGAGATAAAAACTTCTTCAAATGGGTCCATAAAAGTGCGAATGCACTCTTGCTGTCACTAGAAACCGCCTGTGTGTTCCTCGTGGACCAGTGAAATGCTCCCTGGAGGCCAAAGGAGCGAATATTTCACAGCCGCTTCGTCTTGAGTCAATAGCTTTCACAACGAACAGCCTTTTTGCGCCATCTGGGCAAGCAGAAACGGCCTGCACGCGCTATACCATCGACGTCGTTCGTGTCGGAGACAAAACAGATCTTGAGATCGGATGTACGGATCACAAATTCAAGTGAGACATTTACGCTTTTATTCGGAACCATATCACTTGTCACATTGCCATGCCTTGGCTGCCCCAGCTCGAAACGTAAGTTCTACACAATTGTGCTCCATACTGTGTGAGTTGAACCGATTGATCACATACCCGTCGAAAATACTACCATAAACTCCAGCCCGGGTATACTTGAGTTTTTCTATTTTTTATTTTTATTTTTATTTTCTCTTTTTCCTTAATTAAAAGGAATTGTATAAATCTAGAAGCATGGAAAGACAGGAGCAGTCATATAGATGTGGTATCCTCTCAACTGTAGCGAATTCCCGAGCGTCAGACTCCACCAGCCCATGCTTGTTGATCCGCGGACCCCGGCTATGTACCCCAGGTTTCCAGTTTGAGCAGAGTCATATGTTTTGACACTCCGCAAAAAGTTCAAAAGAGTGAATTATGACAGACAAAAACGTATTGTATCCTTTTGGGTTTTAGCTTTGATATTTTGACGTCCGCACCAGAATGAACTTCTTCGCTACCCCGCGGGTCCGAGATGATCGGCCTTTCAACCTCAACCGAGGCATCTCTACCCGCTTAACACCGCACTTAATCATTCAACGGGCCTAAGCGGCGTTCATGGTCATTGAGTCCAAGATATAATATAAACTCTCTATCACATATGGATTTCGGGTGTTAATTTGCACTTCCGAACAAACGCAAACAGCATGGCCCCCATCCCCACAATCGATCTCCCCGCCTCATATGAGAGCCTCAGTCTGACCCATATCAAGATCAGCCATTCCCCGATCGGGTCCCCGACTGTCACACCAGTCGTGGTAATTTCGTTGAACCGACCGGAGAATAATAATGCGTTCACGCCGCAAATGGCGGATAGCCTCACGCAGGCCTTTCACCTGTTCCATATCGATCCTCGAATAAAGGCCGTCGTCCTCACTGGAGCCGGGAAGATGTTCTGTGCTGGGTCTGACTTGGAAATTGGGTTTGGAGATGGAGGAGGACGAGCTGTGGATTTTCGAGATATGTATGAGACTATTGGATCTTCACTTCGTTACCTCCAAAACTAACGAGAGTATTCAGCGGAGGCCGGGTCGCATTGGCGATACATCGATGCCACAAACCAACGATCGTCGCCTTGCAAGGCTCTGCTGTCGGTGTCGGCATGACAATGACTCTACCGGCTGCAATCCGGTTTGTCAATCCCCCACCGAAACGAAACGAATTCTCAAGATCTCCGCGCTAATGCCATGCAGGATCTGTCACGAGAAGGGCAAGTATGGCTTTGTCTTCACACGGCGTGGTCTGACGATTGAATCCTGCGCCTCATACTTCCTGCCTCGCCTGGTGGGCTTTTCGCGGGCGATGCACTTGATCACCACCGGCGGTGTCTACCCCCCCCCTTGCCGAAATATTTTGGCGATCTCTTTACCGAGGCTCTCCCGGAGGCGTCCCAAGTTTTGCCGCGTGCATTAGAGCTAGCGCAGGATATCGCCGAGTACACGAGCTCGTTGGCGTCCTCAATGAGCAGAGCTCTGATGTGGGAAGGGCCCAGTTCCCCCGAAGAAGCGCATCTACTTGAGTCGCGAGTTTTTCATCATATGGTCGGACAGCCGGACTATAAAGAGGGCGTGGGCTCGTTCCTGGAAAAGCGGAAGCCTCGCTTCAAAGCTGATCCCCGTGAAAGCTGTCCTCCGAATTTTCCCTGGTGGACAGCGGCAAATATTTTCCTCGAGCCTAGTGCTACAAAGACATCCAAGCTGTAAACAGACTAGACAATCAAATTTAGGCAGAGTCCCCTGTTGACAGTATCCAGGGTCGGATGTAGACATATTCAATTCATTGCTCATGTGCCAAATATTAACTAGGTATAATTCCTCATATGTACAGTAGTCAACGCGATTCTCCCAGGCTGTCTTAGGGTCATAATATACGGTGAGGTGCAGGTCATTAGTATCCCCAGGTATAAGGGGGAGTAAGCTTCCAATCGGCCCGCCCCACCGCCGCCACGCGCACGCCGAGCTTCTCCAACTCCGCCGCGTCCAGTACACTTCGTCCGTCAAACACCCACTTCGGCTCGGCCATATTATACGCAATGCGCGGCCATTCGATACTCTCGCCAGCTGGTCGGATCGAGATTGATTGACAGTCGTTACAATCAGCATCGCATTCGGCCTGGCGCATCAGTTGGTAGGACACACCAGCGTGAGTCCAGGTCTCGTCTGCTGCTCGTGTGCAGGGTCGCTTATTATTGGCACGGTGAGAGGCATCGGAATTGACCGCGGATGCCTGGTTCGAGTTTCCTTCAGGCGATCGCTTAGGAGTATTGCGGAACTGGTCACAGTCGGTCACCACCAGCACGGCATGCGCCTGGGAGCAGGCCAGATACGAGTCGGGGTGGATCGTCACAGCATGCGTGACCCCGGGACATGCCGCTTCAAGTTCGCAGAGAATATCCTCTCGGCGGCAGTATGGGTCGAAAATGGCAATTTCCGCCGGGCGCTCTTCCAGCAGCAAGCGGATCACATCGACGGCCAATGATTCGCGCGTGTCGCCCGTGTTCTTCTTGAATGCAAACCCCAGAATTGCCAACTTACGGCCGACCAGATTTCCCTCAAATCGATCGATCACTTTCCGAGCAAATCGTTGTCGTTGCCGCTCGTTCATGACGATGACCTGTTGCCAGTAATGCGCAACATCGTCTAAACCCAGCGATTCAGCAATCCAGCAAACACTCGCAATGTCCTTGCGAAAGCAGGACCCGCCCCAGCCGAGGCCGGCTTTCAGGAAGTGAGGTCCAATTCGCGCATCGAATCCGATAGCTCTGGCAATTTCGTTTACATCTGCCCCGGTCTTCTCGCAGATGGCACTGATGGAATTGATGCTGCTGATCCGCTGCGCAAGCATCGCGTTTGCGACGAGCTTGGCCAGTTCTGATGACCAGGCATTGGTTTCCAGGATCCGAGACGGAGGTACCCAGGCTGCGTACAGATTGGCAAGCGTCTGAGCTGCCTGGTGGCCGGAGGGAGTTTGGGCACATCCGATCAACACTCGATCCGGTACCGTTAGGTTCTCGACGGCGGAGCCCTCCGCGAGGAACTCGGGGTTGGATAGTACCTCGAACGGTGCTCCTGGCCGCAGGGTAGCTAACTGAATGAGAGTCAGATACAGGATGTTGGCAATGCAGTACGAAGCAAAGAGGCTACCGTTTTTCGCACACGCTCCGCAGTGCCTCCGGGCACCGTACTCTTCTCCACAATGATGGCGCCTGGCTTAGCATGGACTGCTACTTCTCTCATTGCCCCATCAAAGGCCGCCATATTGGTCGCGCAACCAGCCCCGACTCCGAACATCTTGGTTGGTGTGTTGACAGCCATCATGACAATATCTGCACGAGACACTGCCCGAGCTGTGTCGCAGGTGAAGAACAAATTCTGCCGGCGTCTAGTCGGGACAGGTGAATGAGAGTGCTTCAAGACGTCCTTGGCCTCGGCCCCATCGCGGACGATTCGTACGACGGTATCCAACCCGGGTTCATGCACTGGCAGATGGGGTGATTTCCATCTCTGAATGCGCTTGGGGTCCCTGTCCAGCACCTCCACAGTGATATTGGGGTGATGCAGGGCCAACACTGCTGCCGTAGGACCTCCTATCCCAAGCATCTGCGTCAACCTGCCTGCCATTTCGATTGATTCCTGGAGAGCACACTCGAGTACTTACCGACATATCCCGCGCCCACGACACATACATTCTGTACAGGCTCACTCCTCAGATCGCTAAGGACCTGGGCAAGCTTGAGATCATCTGCTTCAGATGGTCGAAACAGCGGGCTGGAGCTCGGGCTAGTTGGGGCCGTCGAGCACGAAACCGCCGAGATACTGGGGCTTCCCGAGCTGCTCTCGGAAAGAAAGTCCATGGGGATATCGTCAGTCATGATCGACCGACAGTTGAATAATGAAGAAGCTGACAGTCGAAAAAGGATGGAAGTCACAAAAACGAAGGAACACGGCCCTCTCCCCTCCTACGACTTACGGAGTACTACTACTATGTAGGGACAGGCCCCTTCTTGGGGAGTCGCGTCCCGCAAACACCGCACATGGTCGCGATTTAGGGTTATCTCGTGCACCCGCCCGATTTTAAGGTTGTGCCTCCTCCACTCACCGCGGCCTTTCGCCCACGCGGTGCCTGCCGCGCTGCGACTGGCCGCCAAGCAGTGATCCTCAGCGGGCGGTTGCGGCACGTGCGTCTGCACGTACTGATCGGCTCTACATGGTGGAACTTGCACTGTGCTTTTCTTCACACCAAAAATGGCTGGTGACCCTCAGGGTCTCGCTGCGAGCGGCTTCATAACCGCGCTTGTCCCCTCTTTCCCTTCTCCTCCATTCACCATGTTCCACAATGGAGTCGGCGCCGTTGTTGTCCTCCGTCCCGGGAGCGCGCGACGACTTTCCTAGCATTCTCTACGGCAAGAAGCTTCTCCTGGCTACCGAGTCCTGGGGCCCGGTCAACGGCGTCAGTCGCACAACCCGCAGTCTTGTCGAGTACCTGCGCAACCACGGCGTGGACCTGCTCCTCGTGGCTCCCGACTTCAAAGGCGATGCTGCCAAACTGTCCCACGGAGGTGCCGCCTGGGAGCGCCGGCTCCCCGGCTGCGCCTTGCCCTACAACCCAGACCTGACCATCGTCTACCCATTCCATCTGGGGGATGTCTACCGTCAGGCCTTCCGGCCGGACATGATCTACCTCGCCAGCCCCGCCTCCCTGGGCTTTCAGATGCTGCTGCAGATCCGCCAGCTACGCGCCCCGCCCCCAGTCCTGCTCAACTTTCAGACCGATCTGTCCGCCTATTCGGAGATCATGCTCCCTTCGCCGCTAGACCAATTTGGTGTCTGGTTGCTAGCCACCGTGCAAGGATTCCTCTTCCGCACACGTGCCGTGCGCACTATCTTCTATCCGTGTTCGGCCATCCGCACCTATCTCGAGGGCGCCGGAGCTCCGGTAGATCGACTCATCCAGCTGGGTCGTGGAGTCGACACGGTTCTATTTACGCCGGCTCAGCGTGATGAGGTCTTCCGACGCGAGATCGCCCCCAATGGCGAGGTGATTCTCATCTGCGTGTGCCGTATTGCCCCAGAGAAAGGGTTCGAGTTTCTCGCACAGGTCGCGCACCGGTTATCCGCAGAAAAGGTGCCTTTCAAGCTGTTGGTTGTCGGTGGAAACCGCAACCCTGTGGTTGAGAACAAAGTCAAGTGCCTCTTCGATGGCGTCCGCAATCGGGTGGTGTTTACGGGCTTCCTCACTGGGACAGCGCTGGCCCGGGCTTACGCCTCGGCCGACCTTTTTTTGCACTGTTCGATCACCGAAACATTTGGCCTGGTCGTCCTGGAGGCGATGGCCAGCGGTATTCCCGTCATTGCACGGGATCAAGGTGGACCGTCCGATATCATTCGCCATGGACAAACCGGATATCTCGTCCCGCCGCATGACTTGGATGAATTCACGATTTTGACGCAGAGTATAGCTCAAGATACTGAGCGGCGGAGTGTACTGGCTGCTGCCGCGCGCCAGTACGCAGACGACACCACCTGGGAGAAGATCAATCGGCAGGCAGCATGGCAGATGGCGGATGCGTTGACATACACCGACCAAGAGTCGCACGGTCCACGGCCACACCCACCGCACCCGCGGCCGGGGATCATTGCGACGGTGATGGAACAACTCCGTCTGGTGCTGGCGGTGAGCATTGTGTATGGGATGTGGTTGATTGCCGTGGTGCCGCTGATCGTCCACGGCCACCGCTTTGTTCCACGCGCCTGGCAGGCCATGCAGGATCAATTTCAATGTACACGTCCTCTGCGTGGTTAGTTTCCTTATTTGTTTTCTCTGTTATGCCAAATACCCTAGTACTGGTACTGTGGGGGATGAAATCTTTTTAATAATAATGCATGCCATTATGAATATATGATGATGTTATTGTTCTGACTGCTAGTGGCTTATTATAAAGGCCCATGTCTCCTCGTGTTCCAATACCCTAGGAAATTATGATTAGTGTAAAAAATAAAAATAGAAAATAAAAAGTCAGCACTATAGCCGCACCGGTGCGGTGTCATTTCGCACTAAGACATGGCCCTCAGCGACTAAGGAATTGCGACAGGAGCGGCCATTGGTGAAATCCGCGAGGTTGCTCAACGTCACCCCGGCGATCTCGGTGAGGGCCTCGCGCGTAAAGAAGCCCTGGTGTCCACAGACTAAAACATTGGGGAACGTCATCAGCCGCATGAGCACGTCGTCGTCGATGATCTCGCCGGAGTGGTCGTTATAAAAAAGCTCGCCTTCGGCTTCGTAGACGTCCAGCGCTAGTCCGCCCAGGTGATGCGTCTTGAGTGCCTGGATCACGGCACTACTATCGATCAATCCGCCACGCGATGTATTGACGAGCATGGCCCCAGGACGCATGAGTGCCAGGGTTTGCTCGTTGATCAGATGGCGGGTGCCCTCATTCAGCGGACAGTGCAGACTGACAATCTCACTCTCGCGCAGCAGGGTCTCCAGATCGACGATGGCGCCATAAGGCCGGAACTCCTCGCTGGCAAAGGGGTCATGGGCCAGCAGTTTACAACCAAAGCCGTGGAAGATGCGGGCCGTTGCCAGCCCGATGCGGCCCACGCCTACGATGCCGACGGTCTTGCCATGCAAGGTGGAGCCAAGCAGGCCCTCGATGTTGAAGTTGCCTTCGCGAACGCGGTTGTAGGCGCGGTGCGTCTTGCGATTGAGGGTTTGGATCAGGGCCACGGCGAATTCAGCGACGGCCTCCGGGGAGTAGGCCGGGACATTGGCGACGAAAAGGCCCAGCTCCTCGGCTGTGCCGAGGTCGACATGGTTGAAGCCGGCACAGCGGAGGACGATGGCGCGGACGCCGCCCTCGTGGAGGGCACGCAGCACGGGGGCATCGAGGGTGTCGTTGACAAAAACGCAGACGGCATCACAGTCGCAGGCGAGGGGCACGGTTTCCGCAGAGAGAGCGAAGGCGTGGTACTCGATGCGGAGCTGGGGGTGGTGGGCGGTGCGGACCTCGTCGAGATAGGCGCGATCGTAGGATTTGGCGCTGAAGACGGCGAGTTTCATGTTGATCGTGGAAGGTTAGTGTTTGGCGGAGGGCAAGCATTGGTCTGCCAGTGGTCTGTCCGTGCCGACGGATCAGATCTGATGCGCGGGTGGCATGTCGGGGTAACTTGAGAGGTTGGAGGCTGAAGTCATGTCGTCATGGCTGGTACCTTTGGCTTGCGGTGAAGCGGTACCGGTACCCGTAACTTGCCTACAGGTATGTATGAAGTAGGTACATCTTGCGGGCAGCGGGAGGAGATCCGCGAGAGATGGACATGTAGTTGCTGCAACCGGCCGCTCCATACCCCGGATCGTGCCAGTGCCAGTGCACAGTGCAACGTGTGCCCGATGCGCGAACGACTCCAATGTCCTCACTCTTGTTCCTACGAGTGCTCTAGAACTACATACTATAGTACATACTATACATAGTAGTAGTATATCTAAGTACGACTGTCGCCAAGCCGAACGCCGCGCGAACCCAAAAAGAAGTTCGGCCGCTGCCCGAAACTCGTCTTCCCGAAGTCTTCTCGACGATTGCCGCTTCCAGGAGTTTGCAAACCCCTCGTCCTGATTGGCCGGGTTCCCCCGGACACGGCTCGTACGAACTCCACTATACCGGTCGGGGGGCTGGTTCCACCAATCAGCGCGCTCTGATAAGCACATAAACGCCACCCAGCCCTGATTGGCCTCTTGCGAGCGCTAGTAAACCTTCGGTTGGGGAAGGCTTCCGGAAGGAGCGGCGGATGCTCCTTCCATTTCCGCCTTCTCCCTTGGAGTAACTGATACTGTGGAGAGTAAAGGACAAGACAGAAGTGCTGAGCCAGCCTCTTGAAATCAACATGATGTCGATGCCCTCCCCTGCCCGGTTTAATCCCTGTCCAGGCCCGTCTCGATTCTTGTGTCTCGTGTCTCTGGAGGAACGACGCCAGATCCGACGGGGCAGATGGGATGCGGAGCTGCGGAGCAACGGGTGGAACAGTATACAGTATGCAGACCAGCCGGTGGTACCTCGACTTCAGGGACTATTCACGCCCGTTGTATACTTCGACTCCAAGCATCCTACCCTACGACGTACTACAGTAGGGTATTCGTAGCATGTGTCGAGTAGATTGACCCTGGTCGACCAGATCAACCCTCATTCTCGAGCCGAGGGCGCAGATGGCGGTCAGCACCCCCAAACAATCGGTGTGTCCAAAGTACACGGCATCCCTTCCCCCCCTGCCCAACATATCACATATAACCACCGTTCCTCATCTCTCCCCCCTCACCCCGTATTCACAATTCACTGTTCTCGACCCGAGGGTACTTTATTCCCTCCGCCCTCTTGCTACTCTCCATTTCCTCCCATCTGCCTACACTCTTGCGCCCGACTGGAATACTCACGATCGGCATCTCCAACTATTTCCGCCTCGCCGGGTCCGCAACGTTACCGTCTCCACCTCTTCTCGGCCATTCACCGCGCATCCGTTTGCCTCTTTCGCTTTGCCCCTCGACAGCATCACTTCATGGCTCTCCTCCTTCTTTATTGCTCGCGTGCCCCAGCTTCTTAACTGCTGCTCTCCAACTTCCGCCTTCACCTTCCCTTTCCCCCAACCCCTCGACCCTCCCCGGCCTCATATTTGAGTCCAGTCCCTCCTCTCATCTCTCACCTTCTCCTCTCTGTCGCTCTCGCGGCTCTTCTCTCCACTCCCGCTCGAACACCATTATTCTCGCGATGGCCACTCACGTTGTCACTGCCACCAACCCTGGTGCCAACCAAATCTCCGTCTACGGCCAGCCCTCGCCCACCAACTCCACCACTACCACTCCCTCCAACAACTCGCCCACCTCTCCGCGGCTTACCACCGCTGCTCTCCACCAACTGCCGCTGCAGTCGCGCCAACTGCGTCCCCCTAAAGGCCCCCTGTACGTCCCGGCCGCTCTGCGCCCGACCGAGCGCCCGCAGAAGACCTCGCCCATCACTCCGCCCCGCAGTGTGCATGGGTCGCTCGACAGCCTGAACGAGGACACCACCGAGCCCATTAGTCGTCGCTTCACTATGGAGAGCAAATCCAGCGGCATCAGCAAGTCCGCTGAGCACGAGTGGATGAAGACCGAGTCCCTGGGCCAAGTCACTGGTCATCCCACGCGGGACCACTGGAAAGTAAGAGCACCTTCGATTTTCCAATTTCCCGGGGTTCCCTCCCTGTTTTAATATGCGGTGGCTGGATGGCGCATCGCCCGACCAGAATGTCGTGTGCGCGCTCGTCATACGATGGCGTGCTCCGTCCATCACCACCACAACCCCATGCACTCTCGAGATGATGCAATAGATGCTAACCTTCTCTTCTACAGGCTGATTCCGCCTCTCCCAATTGCGATTCTCCCACCTGCCGTTCCTCCTTCGGCATCTTCTTGCGCCGTCACCACTGCCGCCACTGCGGCCATGTCTTCTGCTCTTCCCACACTCCCCACATGGTCCCCCTCGACCAGGATGCCCGCTTCCACCCGGAGGGCGTCTCCTCGCGTGCCTGCGATCTCTGCTGGAGCGCCTACCAGCGCTGGGAGGAGACCCGCACCAACCGCCTGAACAGGATTCAAAACTCGATGGATGCGAAGAACGGTGAGGGCGAGACCGAGCACACCGAGGACCTGTCTGCGAACAATGAAGATGGCGCCGCTTCCCTCAAGGCCAACCTCGGCCAGACGGTCGAGATCGCGGCCAGCGTGCCTCGTGACTGGAACTGGAGCACCTTCTAAAGGGCATGTCTACCGCTCCGTTTCGGATTTCGCTGCGGTCAGCAGGTCTGGCAGCAATCTGCATTTCACTTCAATTCTTCCTTTCTATCTACGGTTAATGACTTTCTGGCAGACGCGGCATTGGATTGTATCTGATGGCCTGTGTATTTTTTGATCCTGATTCTTTCTTTCTGTGTTTTTGATATGCGACATGGTATGGAGTTCGGCTCGGGCATCGTCTTCGATATGATTTGCGTTATGATTTTGGTTCAGGGTTGATTGCGATTTCTTTCCTTGCCTCTGTTTGGAGGCTTTCCGGCTCGGCTTGTTTTTGTTCTTGATCAGGATACCCCGTCGTTTCCCACGAGCGGCGACCTCGTTTTATTTTAGTTACTGGTGCCTGATCCTAGTGAGATGGCCGGCTTTATCGCTCGACCCAGTCCATCGATTCCTCCGTTTTCTGATCCTCGTGCCACGTAAAGTCTATATTTTGAATGCTACACTCTTGTATTTAACATAGGTATGTAGAGGGGAAGATACTACCTGTGGTCATGGTCTGCCTCCGAAGTCAGGGGAATCCGCTTGAACATCCCCACGTGCTCAATCCCTTCCTCGTCCCACCTCCCCAGTGACAGGTCCGTCGCAAAGCCCAATCGTCGGTACATCTGCTCCACATCGACCTGCGCGTGCACCAGCACCAAACCCCTCCACGCCGCCACCGGACGATCCCACCCCGTCCGCACCGTCATCTCCTGCGCCGCGGCATCGATCTCGCCCGCGTGCGCGCCCGCCCACGCCAGCGCTGTTTCTACCAGTTGTCGGCCGAGTCCGAGTCCGCGGTACTCGGGCACCACGGCCACGCGGGTCAATTTGATGCACGGCTCATGCGCCCAGTCATAGTCCGGGAGATTCTGCTGTGACGCCTCTGGGTGCGTGAGTAGTTCGTGGGGTGGCTGTGGCGGAGGCACCAGGCGGATCACAGCAATAGGGTGGTGGGTTGCACTGTCGGTGAGGACCCAATGCCAGCTGCGGTAGTCGTCGGCGTCAATCTCCGCGTCGGCAGAGCATTTTTGTTCGTCGACGAAGACGCGCATGCGCACTTGCATGGCGCCGTGGAAAACGGGTGGGTTCGTGTTGGGGGTCGACTCGGGAAGAACCAGCTGAGCGTGTGGGCCTGGCGGCGGTTGCATTGTCGTAACGAGGGTCGGTTGAGCCATATTGGGATTTAGAGGCAGTGCAATCGATCAGGCAGGCCAATGGCACAGAGAAACCGTGTAGTGGATGTATGAAGTTGATGTATGAAGTTGATGCGCGGTGTTGTGGAAAGTGTGGGGGAGGGGTCGAGTATATATCTGATATGATATATGCACCCACTGTCATAGCAATTCCCCTGTGGATGCACCCTGTCAAATGCTGCGTCGCATATATTGTGACTACTGACCAATCATGTCAGTTTAGATACAGCATCCGCAGAATATCTTGACCGTACAAATTCGATTTTTTATTACTCACTGGTTTGCCAAGATCAATGGGTCAAAGTACATTGTTTTCGCCCGATAGCCAAAAGCAAACCTCGGGAGCCGCCGAGTGCAAACAAGACAAACATCGCATTTGATATCAAAGCGCCGCAAAAAAGTTGGACCAGCAGCACAAACGCCCCAATGTCCCTCTACTTTGATGCGGTCGCAGTCTTGACCGCGCCGGCTTCTGGCGGCTCTTTCAAGTCGCGCATCTACAGTGCCCGCAATCTTCGCGCGGCCCCGGCCCAGATCTATGCCCTCATCACTGAGGCCTCCAAATGGGACACCGTCCTTGCCGAGGTCATTGAAAAGGCCGATATTCTGAACCTGGAGCGCAAGGTAAACCTTCCAGAAAATCCGCACTGGACCCTGCAAGTCCTGCTGACTTCCAACTGACAAGACTGTCTAGCTCACCCCCCTCCTTGCTCTCCTTCTGGTCCATGACCATCTCCTCGCGAAAAAGGGTATCGCGGCACCGGCCACCCATTGGCTTCGCCAGGCTGTCGAGCGCCATAAAGTACGGTTAAAGGCAGAATTTACCAAGGCGCGCGTACGTCGTGGCTGTGGCTCGGTGGAACAGCTCAAGTCGGCGATTCTGCGCCAGAAGCGGGAGGCTGATGGCAGCTCCCAGTTCGTCTACCCACGTTGGGTGCGCGTGAATAATATCCGCAGTACTCTGGAGGACCAGCTGCGTACGACTTTTGCAGACTACCAGCGAGTCGACTCGTTGATGGCATTGGCTCCCGACGACGAGGGAAAAAACAAGCAGAAGCTGCTGTACCTCGACCCGCACATTCCAGATCTCGTGGCTGTTCCTTACGGTGCTGATTTTACCTCGTCCCCCGCGTACAAAAGCGGAGAGATCATCTTGCAGGACAAAGCGTCATGCTTCCCTGCGTATTTACTGCTAGGCGATCGTGGCCCTGCTGATCCCTGGCAAGGAGACCTCGTGGACGGATGCGCCGCCCCGGGTAATAAAACTACACATATGGCATCGCTGGTTGCGAAGCAGAAGCAAAAGACACGGAAACGGATATTCTGTATGGATGCATCTAAGTTGCGTTCTAAGACACTACAGAAGATGGTGACTTTGGCCGGGGCGGATCCTACCGTCACGGTCCTCCAGGGCCAGGATTTTCTGGCGTTGGACCCCTTGGATGAGCGGTTCCAGGAGGTTTCTGGCCTTTTGCTAGATCCGAGTTGCTCAGGCAGTGGGATCATTGGCCGGGACGACTTTCCCCAGCTTACATTGCCCCAGGCCAATGTGCCCAAGGTCAAGCCGCAGGGCAAGAAACGCAAGCGTCAAGCCGACGATCAGGATGATGCAGGCGAACAGTCGAAAGTAACGGTGGAAGCCCCGACTGCATCCCCGTCGGACGAGAACGATATCCCCAGCGGAGCTTTGGATGATGACCGGCTCACGAAGTTGTCCAACCTTCAGGCACGCATTGTAGAGCATGCCTTGAGCTTCCCAGCGGCAACCCATGTCACGTACAGCACCTGCTCTATTCACCTCATCGAGAACGAGGCAGTCGTGGCCCGAATCCTGGCATCAGAGGTCGCACAACGACGAGGTTGGCGTCTATTGCGGCGTGACGAGCAACCGGAAGGATTGCGCAAGTGGAAGCATCGTGGTGTGCGACGGGATCGGGAAAATGGTGAATCAGACGTGACCCCAGCCGAAGTCGATCTGCCCGGTGACGCCCTCGAAGCCTGCCTGCGCTGCTGGACCGGCGATGCAGAGGGACTGGGAGGTTTCTTCGTTGCGGGCTTTGTGCGCGACGCCCAGTCTGAGGACAAGACAAGCCCAAAGGTGAAAAGATCGAACACGGTCCATGATGAAACGACAGAGAAAGACGATGCAGAGGAGGACGATGATAATGATGATGATGATGATGATGATGAATGGGATGGCTTCTCTGATTAAACCAAATAATGATCAACACGAGTCATGGTCCCGATACTCTCATTAGTGATACAAATTGTTTACTCAATTGTGGCGTAGGGGAGGTGGGGTCTCAAGTCTTAGAGGAATTCCCGACTTCGATTGAGAGCCCGTGGACTCGCATAGACGTCTAATTTCACGGGTACCAAAACAGATTCATATCCGCCTTTGTCATTTGGCTGCACCCGCATTCGCCAAATGCCCAGACGAACAAGCCATGGGCCGTCGCCGGCTCCCGTAGTGCGTGGGCGCTTTGCCGGCGGGTCATCATTGCTTTTATCGTTAGTAATTCCCTCAAAGAGACGCGCGAGCATAGGATCATTCTGTCCGTCGATGGTGAGATCCAAGTCACCGGTAAATTTGATCTTGATCGGCGTCCCACCCAGATACGGTTCTTGCAGGTTCATTTTCTTGCTGATCGTCTGCAGAAGGCTGTTCATACGAGCTTTGGTGTCACGCAGAAAGTCCACATGAAGCATCTTGCGATTGATGATGGTGGTCTCGTCCCCAGTTTGGAGAAGCAAGTCCGCTGCTAATTCGTCTGCAAAAGGACGAGCATAACCGATCGAACCGTGCGTCCCCGACGTACCCGCATCGGGGAAGAATTGGAGTCCGGACGGCTTCAGGTTCTCTAACTGAATAGTTATCTCAGAGCGTCCATTGAACGGATTTTTGGAGATCTTGTGAGGAATCAGTTGTTGCTCAACACCGCGCAGATTAAACCAGCGACAATCGCGTAGCAGCTCCGCGCGATGGTCTTCGTTTCGGATGTGTAGCGGATACCCGTACAAGATATGAAGGAGATCGGCAAACACATCAGCGGACTTGTTGGGGATACTTGGGGGTGTGATCGCCGGTGGCCGTAGGAGACCGGCGCGATCGAGACCTGGGAAGACCTCGGTGGGCGAGGCGAAGAAGGCGCCATACCCCAGGGTGAAGAAGTTAGGAGAGTTGCCCGCGCCGGAGAATATATCGCGTGGAATCTGGAAGTGACGGTCGCCAATTTGGATGAAGATTTCGGACTCGAACAACTGGGACATCAACCGGGGCACTGGCAGGATCCGCGTGTTAGCCGTGAGCACGCGCATGACGTCTTCGGGGGAGGGAGCAAGAGGAGACCAACAGGTATAGAACTGGGCATCGGCGAAGAGCTTCACGTATTGGTGTCCATCGCGAGGGCGGACATGATATCCTAGACGTCTCTATCAGTTTTGCGCTCTTTTTTGAGGGGAATAGCGGGAGGCCAGTTGTTAGATCTGCTGTCCCTGTCGTTACGGACCTTGCAGATGTCGGGCGATCTCTTGGAAGGTGGCCGGGTCGCGGTCGATATAGAGGGTACGGCAGTTGGCGGCATCATTGATGCGCAATTGTTCTTCGAAAAAGTGGGAGAAGTAGGAGGGAGCTAGAATGCGCGAAGACGTCAGCGCGACAGCTCTCTGCTGCTGCTGTTCCGGGAGAGGGGGAGACAGACCGTCGGAGGCGATGGAGGCGCCAGACAGGCGGAACAGACTGGAGCCAATCTGGATGGAGAAGACCTTCTCGGGAGGCAGCGAGCAGCCTGAGTCCGGGGTGGACGCGTCCATGATGAAAGGACGAGGTCGGATCGGAGATTCGGGGGGTAATCACGGGGGCGTGGAGTCGTCGCGAAGGTCGTCGCCGTCTGAGCGCGACCCCGTTTTTGGACCCTTCGTGACGCTTCTGCGCTGGATCGAGGCACTGCAACACGTCCACCTAGAGCCCAGTCGAGGGCGACCTGAGAGAAGATCGAATTATCATCAGGACAGTTACTTCCCAGACGAGTCTAGCCGCAGCCCACAGCTTCACATGGCGTCGAAACTCGGTTCTCGTGGCGTTCTGGTCATTGGCGCGCTTGGCCCGCGCTGGTCCGCTGGATCGACACGCAGCCGAGGCTCTATTCAACAAACCACCTTTTTGCGAGTGCACGATCCGCTCCGCACGAGGGCCCTGAGATGTGGGAATTTGCAAGCGGAATGTTCGTGGGCGCGCTGGCGGCCGTGTGAGCTTGTTGGGACGCTTCTGCTATATCCTTCCGCATCTCCCACCCCCACCCGTCTCCCCGGAATATCCTCAGATCTGAGATCCTGAGACCCTGCTCCTCTTTCCCGCCGGGGAACCACTGGTCATCGTTCTGTTTCATCATGGCCGAGTCAACATATGCTCCGAGGCCAGTCACACTGCCCCCGGCACCCGATCACAAGTTCTGGTCCGAGCAGCAGTGGACCACGCTCTTCGCTTTGGCCGATACCGTCATTCCCTCGATCCGCACTGCTGCCACCGTCAGATCCTCCGCGGACAAGGTCATCTCAACCGGCGAGTGGGATACCGCTGTCACCAAGCTGTCAGGCTTGATTACAAGCGCTGATGGTGCCGAACTGGCCAAAGAGTACCTGGAGGAGGATGTCTCTTCTAACCCGACCTTCCGTGCAACCGTCCAGCGCATTATTGGCAATCACGTGCACGAGGAGGGCAAAAATGGCCTTGGATTGATCTTGAATGCCCTCAAGTAAGTTTTCACTTCTCTTCGCCTGATATCATTCAGGCCAAGAAGAAAACAGGAGCAACGGAACTGATATGTTAATAGCACCCGGGCTGGTTCATTGATCCTGACAGGATCCACAACCCCCATCCACCTGCAGCCGGTGGCCTTCCGGGAGAAGGTCTTTCGAGGATGGGATACTTCTCGATTGCCTCCTCTGCGAGCCGTCTATCGGGGAGTGTCTGCCACCGTCAAGAAGTCGTGGGTCATGACCAGCCCGACTGTGAGTCGGGTGCTTGGCTTCCCGCGCGTCCCCGTCCATGGCAAGCCCACCAACGGATTTCCCTATGAGTTCGTGCAGTTCCCCCCGGGCGACAAGCCGGAGACGATCGAGACGGATGTCGTCATCGTGGGAAGCGGCTGTGGTGGTGCTGTGACCGCGAAGAATCTGGCGGAGGCGGGGCTCAAAGTCCTTGTGGTAGAGAAATCCTATTCCTACTCTAGCCAGCACTTCCCCATGCCCGCCAACGAGGGTTATGTGAGCATGTTCGAGAATGCCGGCTCCACCATGAGCGACGATGGCTCGATGGCCATTTTGGCGGGCTCGACGTGGGGCGGTGGTGGTACGGTGAACTGGTCGGCCTCATTGCAAACCCAGGCGTATGTGCGTCAGGAATGGGCGGACGCGGGCCTTCCCTTCTTCACATCACTGGAGTTTCAAAAGAGCCTGGATCGCGTGTGTGATCGCATGGGTGTCAACACGGAGCATGTTCGCCACAACTACGGTAACAATGTGATTCTGGAGGGGGCCCGCAAGCTGGGATTTGCCGCCAACACGGTGCCACAAAACACAGGCAACCAGGAACACTACTGCGGCTATTGCACACTGGGATGTCACTCCACCGGCAAGAAGGGCCCCACCGAGTCGTTCTTGACGGACGCGGCCAAGGCCGGAGCGGTCTTCATCGAGGGCTATAATGCCGACAAGGTGATATTTACCAAAGAGGGCGGCAAGCGAAAAGCCAGCGGCGTGCAGGGAACCTGGACCTCGCGGGACGCCTACTTGGGTCTCAATGGGGAGGGTGCGATCCGGCGTAAAGTGAACATTAAAGCCAAGAAAGTTGTCATCTCGTCTGGTACACTTAACAGCCCTCTTCTGCTGCTGCGCAGCGGCCTCAAGAACTCTCAGATTGGCAAGAATCTCTACCTGCATCCTGGTATGTCAATTTACAGAGCCATATCTCCCCGGCGAACGTTACTAACTTAGTCAATTGTAGTCATGTTGGGTGGTGCTGTGTTTGATGACGAAACTCGCCCGTGGGAAGGCTCCGCCTTGACCACTGTAGTCAACGAGTTTGAAGACCTTGACGGTCATGGCCATGGCGTAAAGGTCGAGGCGGTATCCATGATGCCGTCCGTATTCATCTCGGTTTTTCCCTGGCGTGATGGTCTCGACTATAAGCTGTGGGCGGCGGGCATGAGCCATAGCACCAGCTTCATCACGCTGACCAAGGACCGCGACGGCGGCCGTGTCTATCCTGACCCGACCGATGGCCGTACCCGTGTCGACTATAGCGTCTCGCCGTTTGACCGCAAGCATATCGTGGAAGGACTGATCGCCTCGGCCAAGATTGCCTACATCTCCGGAGCCAAGGAGTTCCACACCACCTATCGCGACCTCCCTCCATTCATTCGACCCGACGCCTGGAACCCCGATGCCCCCGAAGGCACCAACGATGCAGCCCTGCAGAAATGGATCGCCGAATTGCGCCGGAAGTCGCCCTTGAACCCGGAGCGCGCACTGTTTGCCAGTGCTCACCAGATGGGTACTTGTCGCATGGGCAAGTCTCCCAAGACCAGTGTTGTCGACCCCGACTGCCAGGTCTGGGGCACCGATGGATTGTACGTGGTTGATGCCTCGGTATTCCCCAGTGCCAGTGGCGTTAACCCCATGGTCACCAACATGGCCATCGCCGACTGGGCCAGTCGGAACGTGGCTCGGGCGCTGGGCAAGCCCCGCAGCGAGCGCAACGGCATGGCGCGTCTGTAAAAGCCGGCTGTATGTATATGACCGATTTGCTTGCATGGTTTATCCTTTGCTCCACGGGGCTGCTCCACGGGGACGGGGCAGCGCTTGTATTTCACCGACAGATTTCCCCGGCCTTTTTTATGTTTACGATATCCATCCCCTGTTTTTGCGATAGCGACGGTTCGATTCCGGCACCATTTTAAACGTTCATAGTACCCCAAGGTAATTTTGATTCATTATTTGCAATCAAAGAAGACGTGGAGCTCGCTATCATGTGTCATTATGCTGCTGCACTATCTCTAATAAGCATGTGATCTAGATTTTGCATAGAATCTCTAGCCCTGGTAGGACTGACGCTTCTCGATGAAGTTCTTCTCTCCAAAGGCCTGCTTGATACCCTCCTGCTCAATGGTGCGCTCATACCAGGCGATGACCGTGGGGTACTTGGCGCGCATCTCCGCATCGATGACCAGAGAGAAACCCCAGACCAGGGAGGAGGCGACGGTGATATCGGCCATGCTGACCTTGTCTCCGTCGACGAACCAGGTACGGCCCTTGAGGTGGGTTTCCATACAGGCCAGGGTGCGCTCCAGGCGCTCCAGGGACTTGACCTCGGTGGCCTCGTTGTACGGGGCATACTTGAGGCGCCACAGGGCCAGCTGGGTCACAGGGTCGAGGATCTCGCCCTGCGCAAAGCAGATCCACTGGCGGATGGAGGCGCGCGCCGCCGGAGTGGCGCCCATCAGCTGGGTGGCAGCAGGGCCACTCTCCGCGACGTACTGGGTGATGGCATCGGACTCGAACAGGGTGGTGCCGTCGGTGGCCTCGAAGGCGGGCACCTTACCCAGAGGGAACTTGGCCAGGAAGTCCTCGGTCCGGTTGGTCTGACCCATGGCGAACTCGGGAATGGCCAGCTCAAGGCCGTTCAGGTTGGCCGCCGCCTGGGTCTATACTTCGATATCAGCATCGGTTGCAGCTCCCGCCGCGAGGGGGTAGGGGGGGGTGGTGGATGTGGGGAACGCGCGGCGTACCTTAATGACCCGGGGGCTGGGGGTGTAGGAGTACAGGGTGCCGAATGGTGCCATTGTGGAGGAGAATGAGGTGTGATTTGGGGAACAATGAGCCTTTTCCGGCGAGGTTTTTTATGGGCGGGTTTGATGACAGCGTGCGACCAACACACTCCATTAGTAACCATTATTAATGGCGGAGGGGCGGTGGAAGCGGGTGGAAACCGATTTCTAAGCCGGAGAGACGCAGTTCCGTGAGACATTCATTTCTGCATCGGCGGGTTTGGCGTCGGATTGCAGGGATGTTGATGCCTTGAAAGTGCGGAAGTATGGGATGAGAGTATAAGAAGTATACAACTTGAAAGAGCTACCAGTGGTGGTGTGCCTGACAGCCATCACGTCAGACGGAGCCAGAGATTGAGCGCAATCGGGGAGCCAGTGACAGCAAACACAGTAATCCAGAATGCCGTGGGTACCTATTTTATTGCTATAATTGTATCGACTCAGCAGTCCAGGAGGTACAATCGTGCAAGTATACACCTGCAGCCACAGTATGTGCGGGTACTTGGCCGGCGGTACCCCTTCGAGTGTTGTACGACGGCTGTCTAAGCGACCTGAACTTTGAATGTCTCCTCCCGCGAACTCCCCACCCTCTTCATGCGGCACTTCCTTAGCCTCCCACCGGAGCTTCATGTCGCCATCGCCGAGTGCCTACCCATCTGCGATCGGCTCCAGCTGCGGCTGACGTGTGGCTACTTCTACGAGCTCCTCCCTCGTCCCACCCACGACCAGCTGCTGTGGGTCGAGGCGACCGACTGGGCCCGCCACCGCGATGTGTTCGCCTGTCGCTATTGTCAACGCCTACGCCCGGCATGTCAATTCTCCGATCGCATGCTGCGACGGCGGCGTGGTCGATCCGGGCGAGACAGTGACAAACGCTTCTGCGTGGAGTGTGGACTGCAGCCTCGCGAGGGCAAAGCCCGGTATGGACCGGGCGCCCAAGTAACCATCCAAGACTGTTTCTTCGTAATATGTCTCTCGTGCCATCAATTTCTACCAGGTGCACGCGATCGCCACGGTCGGAACACCCTAGAGTGCGTGTCGTGCTGGCAGGATCGTGATATACGCCAGCGGCAAGCTGTGACCGAGGTCGACGCTCGAAGTCCACCATCCTAGCAAAGACCATATGACGGCGGCGTTTACGAATGGAATCTCATGGATGCAATCTTTGGGAAACAGACACCTGATTGTACGTTTAAAAATCGAGTTCTCGCATTTGCGAGCTTTGAATCCCAGGCCGAAACACCTGATCTTGACATTTTAAGAGCATCCAAGCTAATGGGATATATGAATCCCCAACAGTTCGGCATCAGCACCGCGAAAACAAAAGCCATCATGACGGGCAAGGCTCGCTGAATTGCATGTAATTCCGACAAACTACCGTCTGGATCAGCTGGTTTGTCGAACAACTGGAGGGAAAGTGGGGTTGTTGCTTACTGCTGTTGCCCATGTCCTTCCCGAACAGACTGTCCATGAGCTCCTCGCCATGCTTGGTCCCTTCGTCGGGGGTCCAACAGACGGCTTTCTTCCCCAAGGCCAGCCCGATAACATTGGGGAATGGACTCAGCTCCTTGAAGTCCGGCTTGCTGCCAACAGTTGCGGTTGTCATGTGCTCGTAAAGATTGTGGCCCGCGTAATGGCCCATGTGCATTGCACCACCACAGCGCTTGATACCCGGCCAGGCCGCCAGGTCTCCCACGCACCAGTGGTGCTCTGCGTTGGGCACCTCGCCTGAGAATTGAAGCCTGTTTTGACAAGATTAGCCATGGCGTGAAAAATCATTCCAGGACGAGGAATACTTACGAAGGACGAATCTTGACATATCCTTCTTTGTCCAAGGCCTTAGAGGGCAAGTAGGTTGATGTGGGGATGCAACGCGAGATGGCATTCAGGACATGCCCAGTCGTAAGCTGTCGTCCATCACTAAGAGTCAGACACCACACTCGCTGGCCATCCGCTCCGTCAGCTGCGGTCGTTTCGACGACTCGCTGACCCAGGATAGTCTCAACGCCGACCTCGCGCAAAATCGAGTCGACTTGTTCCGCGAAGTCATCAGGCAAAGGTTCCGACGAGAGAAGTCGACTTCGAGAGTGAATCAATGTGATCTTCTGCTGCGGATAGAGGATTTTCAGCTCGGCGGCCATTTCCACCCCAACAGCACCTAGTCGGCGAGAAATATGAGCATTAGAAACACCACGACATTCGACCTGGGTCATTCTTACCACCACCAACTACTACTACACCCTCACTAGCCTTTTGAATGTCTTGGACATTGTCGCTGGCTTCCGCGAGAAAGTCGCTTCGTTGCAGGGATTGAGGGACGGTGGGGAACGTCCGGCGCAGTCCGGAGCTCACAACGAGATAGTCATAGGTCTCGCTGCGTGTGGCTTTTGTTGAGGTCTCATCGATCTGCGCTGTCTTTGTCGTAAAATCGACTGAGCTGACGCTGCCCTGAACGAAGTTTATATGGGGGGACTTGAGTGCCGGAATTTCTTGAAACCGGGTCCATGTCTCCCCCGCAAACTTTTCGCAGGCCAGAGCCTTGGGTGATCCGATCAGATGGACTGAAAAAAAATGCTAGTTAGCGAAGTTGCACAGCAACCGACGAATATTCAGGTCATACAGAAGCCATCCCTCTCGTCTACCACCGTAATCTGAACCGGAATGCGATGCGCAGGAGGTGCGATAGTCCGATCATAGCTAAAGCGAGGAATTCGACCTCGTGACAGATCGACCAGGGTCAATGCAGTGGAGAGACCCCCGTAGGAGCCGCCGATGATGAGGACCCGAAATGGCCGGGCGCCGGGTACACCGTCGTTGGAAGGCATCGTGTAGGATCTCACGGCAGGTGTGCAGAAGCGGGAAATCCTCGGAGAGAAGGAGAAAAGGGGCAGAAGAGGGAAACGGAGGGGGAAAAGCACCTTGGCCATAATCCGAGGATAATATAGGCTGAGATCAACAGCGCACCGTCTCGAATCTTATCAGATGCGACATCGGGGATCAAATGGAGGCGGAGCCCTGTGTCTGGCGTCTCACGGAGTTATCAGATCCGATTCGAAAGACGAGCCAAACCCTACCAATCACCTCTTCGCTTGGCAAGTGCCACATGGTGGGGACTTTTCCATGGCAGAGCGTCTTACAGACCAGTTACCGTTATATTCCGTACGGAGGTACAGGCATACCTCTGACAGCCAGCTCCACCGCCCTTCACCCAGTTGATCCTCGTCGATCTCAGTCGAGACCCTGCATAACGTAGAGCAATCTGTACACTGTATGGTATAGCTATTGCTCCATGAGTTTACCCCAATCCAGCGCCTTCATGTCTGGAATCGCTCTACTGGCTTGCCTCCTCGTGGTCTGACTTGCCGGGTTTTGTTAGTAGCCAGTCTAGGCCAAAAGTGTTGCAGAATTCAAATCGAGTGTCAATCGCCTCTTCCTCGCGATGACCTATTCGATCCCTCATACCCCACTGCTCTGGACCAGATCCCTGGCACCGGCGGGGTTGGTGTCGGTTGAAGTACGTGACATTCTATGACGACGGCAGTCAACTCTGCCACCTGGATAAAAGACAACCGATGGTGATGATCTCTTATAATATTTTCTAGCAAAAGGATTGCTCTTAGGTGTCCAGCCCGCATAGAAAGTACTAAGGCTTTGGCCACTCAGTCGCATTGCACAAAATGATTACGAGTAGTCGGTGAAATTTGTGTACTGATCCTGATCCATTGCACAGGAAAACCTTTCCATGCCGTGCGGATGCAAGGACCTGTGTGGTCATCCTTCCGCCCGCCGAACCTATAATTGAATGGCATCATTGCCTACTTGAGGAATGGTATATCTGAGGACCCGCCTGGGGAAATTGCATAGGGCGTGATTACATTGTAGGGCGTGCCGGAGAAGGTCCGAATGCCTTGCTGGGAGAACAGGTGCCATTAAAGTGGTGAATTAAGAGGATCCATTAGGGGCTTTGAAAAAAGCTGTCATGTTCCTCGAGCTCTGCGACAAGTATTTCCCCGGCTATAGTGTATACTTACTGCCCAAGAATGTCGACTGTCCATGATGAGAGGGCCATTCACCCCGATTGAGTGTGTTGGGTTCCGTATGGATGCGGTATTACCGGTATTACCCACCCAACCGGCCTGTCCAATCAGCGGACTCCCCTCGATCAGACAAGATCCAAATCTAATCAGATGGAACGCGTCGGTGCGAGTCCTTCGGCGTGGTGATCAGCTTTTACTGGCCTAGCGCCGAGTCCCGAGACCTCTCACAAAGGAAGGAGATAATAGACTAAAATACAAAAAAGAAATGAGGCAAGGAACAAAGTTTTTAAAGAAGTCAAAGCCCGCAAAAAACGCCACAAATCATCCCAAGACTTGGCCCTGCGGGGTACTCAAAGAAAATTCTTTTGGTCTATCCGCCCAGAATGACAGTAAAAAAAAAAAAAAGGCAAAACAGGTTTACGCTGTGTAAATAAAAATAGATCGAGAAAAGGAAAATCAGGGGTATTTATCAACGATGCACCATGTTTACGCCCGGCTGGCCAGAGCGGCGGTCGCCATCTGGCGCAACTCCACCTTGCGCACCTTTCCACTTCCCGTCACAGGCACGGTGCTAGGTACGCCCTCCTCGCCGAATACGAACACATGCTGTGGTGCCTTGTGTCGGCCCAGAGTCTCTCGCGTCCAGCTACGCAGATCCTCGTCGGCCGGTCGGCTGTGGCCGGGGACCACCTGGATGAAGGCGCCCACAACCTCACCGTATTTTTGATCAGCGATCCCGATGACGGAAGCCAGCTCGATGTTGGGATGAGCTGTGAGTCGCTCTTCGATCTCGAGCGGATAGATGTTCTCGCCTCCTGTACGATGACGTATCAAATTAGTCTTGCATCTCCAAAAAATGAACAATATGAGGAAATAGCTTACCGCGAATGATAATATCCTTGAAGCGACCAGTGATGGTGCAGTAACCGTGCTCGTTGAAAGAGGCCTCGTCACCAGTCTTCAGCCACGTCACACCCTCGGCATCGGTAACAAGGGTCTCGGCTGTCTTCTCCGGGTTGTTCCAGTAGCCCTTGGTGAGCTGATATCCTGTGATGCACAGTTCACCCCGCTGTCCAATGGGCACAATGTTGCCCTGTGCATCCACAATCTTGGCCCGCGCGTGCGGCAGCACTTTACCCACGGTGGTCAGACGTGTGTGGATGCTGTCAGTGGTGAAGGCGTTGAAGCAGGTAGGGGATGCTTCAGTGAGACCTATAGGTTGGGTTAGCAAATTCCAGATCAGAAACGATTTAATCATGCCGAGGCATGTTCAAGTGGCGCAATACCGTAGCTGCTGGTGTACTCGGTCATATTCAATTCCTCGAGGAGGCGCTTCATGAGCGGGCGCGGAACCGGGGCGCCCGCAATGATACCAGTGCGAAGGTTCGAGGTATCGAAGTTGGCGGGCTTGGGGACGGCGAGAATAGCCTCGAACATGGTGGGCACACCGTGAAGCGCCGTGCACTTCTCGTCAGAGATGGCATGCAGCACGGCCTTGGGATCGAAGGTCTCACTGGGGAAAATAATCTTGGAACCATGAGTGACGACGGCCAACATACCCAGAACGAGCCCGAAGCAGTGGAAGAGGGGCGGCGGGCAGCACAGAACGTCAAAGGAAGAGAGGTTCATGCGGTCGCCAATAAACCGCGAATTGTTCACCAAGTTGCTGCCGGGGTTAGCCAAGCGACCTCCGACATTCAGTGTGTATTCAGGTCTGGGAAACCTACTGGTGCGTCAACATGGCGGCCTTGGGGTTGCCCGTGGAGCCGCTGGTGAATTGCAGGTTGCAGACATCCTTCGGGCGCAGCTCCGACTCGCGATCTTGGAGGACGTGGGCGGGCTGCGAATCACCACGCTCAATGGCATCAGCGTAGGTGGTGAAGCTTTTGTAGGTGCCGCGCAGGATGACGATCTCGTCGAGCGAGCTGGAGGTGCCGTTTTGCTTGGGGTGCGGGCCGAGTTCGGTCAAGACTTCTTCCAGATTATGGCGGCCGATCTGGGGGGTCATGAAGAGCAAACGACATTCTATGCATTCGCAAAATAAATAAGCGAAGATTAGCATGATCCGTAGCGCCCCAGGGCGAACTCGGAAGCTCGGCAAGGCCGATCGCGGACTTACCGGAGTGGTTGAGGGCATAGGACAGCTCGGACGGGGTGTAGGTGTTGTTCAGCACGACCAGGATGGCGCCAACGCGCGCGGCCGCAAAGAACACGGAGATATACTGCTCGCAATTGCCGGCCATGATGCCCACGCGATCGCCCTTTCGAATGCCCATGGCCAGCATTCCGCGGGCGACCCGGTCGGCCTCATCCTTCAGGTTGGCATAGGTCCAGCGAGCGCCGGTCCAGGGAAACACCAGACACTCATAGTCGCCATATTGCAGCGCCTGAATGGTCAACAACTCGCCGAGCGTAATGTCTAGCAGCTTCGGATTCGTCGGGCCGGCGACGATCGACAGCTGCAGCGGTGCTGCGGCGGGGTGGACGTGCGAGAGGGTCTGCTGCAGACGCTGAACGCTTCTTGGGACCGCCATGGGAAAGTCTGGGCGAGGAAGACGTCGCAAATCCAAAGTTTAAGTTGGCGAAGAAATGCAAAAGAGGAATTGGCGCGACCGACGGGCTTATAGCATCGCCTGGTGGTGGACGAGAGTGGAGAGCGAGATAATTTTGTATCAGATCAAATCAAATCAAATCAGATAGCCAACAATCAGATCCGCTGGGCTCCACTGCCAGCAGGTGATAGGCTGCCCAAAGCCCGTCATCTCGAACGCATGGCGTGTTCCACTGCGACGCGAAGTGAAGATTTGAAGCTGTCTGCAGATTTCGCGGAAGTGAAGTCAGCCCGGCCACGTGCCTGTCTCGCCGTGTTTGCGGGAGTCCGAGTATCCTCAACGACATCTCTTGACATCTCTGCTACTCTCTACTGTGCTCGACTCCGTGACGTGCCTGACGCTACTGACTGACGCTACCGAACACTGCACCCGACGGAACACGCCGACCCTACTGGGCTAGGCCTAGCGATCGCCTCAAAAATTGCCGTCTATGGACATTTCTTCCGGGCTTTTCGTCACGGCGTTCGCGGAACTTCGCTTGCGACAGGCTCCACTCGGCCAGCGGGAAAAGGACCCAAGACAGGGAGGTAAAAGGCAAATAAGAAGAAAGTAAAGCCTCAGGGCGCTCCACACGGGATCAGATAACTCTGCAGGGCGTTGGCCCTGTCGGGGTACTTAGGGCTCGGCAGTGTTAGTTTCCGAGGTGGCCATGTTTTTTCTCACGGTTGCATCGAACATGTCGGCGTGCTGATGGTGGACCTGGCAGTGGACCACGGCCAGTTTGAGCCGGATCAGCTCAACGATCGGCTGTCACTGCTCAGGGTATATTCTCCCATACAGCCAGGAAGTCCGGGCAGACAGCCACGCGGTTGCCATTTTCAGCCTGTCGGGACTTGCTGGCCTTGCCACACGCACAAAAATGATCTATGATCTAATCAATCAGCCGCCGGTATCGGCCTGCTCCACCAATCCCCATCTCCATCTCGAACAGTTTACACAGGGACAGATGATACCCTACCCCAGGGTGGCTACCGCCAGCCCTCGGATACCTCGGTTAGCTTCCTGGGAGGGCTAGATCTTGGTCTTATACACATCAACCAGGAAAGAATAATTTTCGCGGCCAGGGCGCTCATCATGTGCGACCTCCACTGGCAGAATGTCGCAACGCTGACCAGTCCTGGACCCGCTTTTACGGGACATGTACTGGGGATTGGAGATCGGGGATTGTTTGTATTTCGATATGGTGCCTGCCAGTGATTCGAGAAATATCTAAGCTTCCACCCCCTGAAGAGGTCATAGTGTAAGTTTTCGACGCGATGAATGTGGCCATTGTGGGCGGTAGATATTTGTCTGATGCATAGGGCTGCCCAGAACGAACATAGTCTTGAGATCGTCGACTTGGCATCTCCTCACAGTTGCTTGTCTACGCTGGTGCGACTTCAGGTCATGTGACAGCCCAGCCACCACCTAGACATAACGGAGCTTCTCGCAATTCATCACCATGGGCTTAGGAGAAGTAGACTTTCTACTCAGCATAAAGAATCCGATCTTGATTCAGTCGTTTGCCTTGAACGAGCCCTAACAATACTGGTATCTATCAGTTTACGGGGTAGATACCCGAACCCGCACCGTGGGCTAGATGGTCAGACGGGGAATCGGGCAGAGAGACATCGAGTGCCGAAGATAGCAAGCACATAGGGGAGATAGCAATCAACGTTGAAACCAGACCCATATTTGGCCTGTGTTCTATTTAAAAACACCAAGAATGCCGGAGAAGGGGATGTGGTAGTGACAAGAGGAATGTGATTGCACTGATCTTCTTTTCCTTCCCAGGGTTCTCTTTTATCCTTTTTTGGCGATGCAGTTCTGACGAGCGACCGATCAAGCATAAATGGTCAGCAGATCCCATCACGGGTCCCACGGGCCTGCAGCCCTGCTTCCCGTCAAAAGCTCTGGCTCGCTATCGCCCTGAACGAGAAGGACATCTTCATGTCGGACTCCAAATTTGTCCACGAGATAGATACCGGGCTCCGAGGTAAAGGCCATGCCGGACTTGAGGAGGGTTTGGTGGTTACCCTTATTAAGATAGGGACTTTCATGGGCTGTCCAGGATGGTTAATAGGGAAAATAAATCAAGCGAAGAATGTGGAGACCGAAGGACGTACCCTTGATTCCGATGCCATGGCCGACACGGTGTGTAAAAGTTCCCGGATAGCCCGCCTCATCGATCACGTTACGAGCAGCGATATCCACACTTGCCGCAGTCTGGTTCTCGTGGAACTGGCGAATGGATTGAGTTTGTGCCTCAAAGACGATGTCCCAGACCTTGAGCTTTTCTGCCATCCGAGGGGATCGTTCGTCTGTATCAGCCGGCTTCTCCAAAAACGGAGGGAAGAAAGTACGACAGATATCCGAGGAGTAGCCGTAAAGATGAGCACCGACGTCGATCAGCACAAAGGTCTCTGCTTCCAACACCTTGGATCCATTTGTTCCCCCGTGCGGGTTAGATGCGTTCTCATCGAACAGCACAATGTCGAAAAATGGCTCCATGCCGGCGGCGCGTAGAGCGTCATCCAGAGCCACGGCAATCTGGTTCTCGGTCAGTCCCGGATACAGGCCTGTCGAGCTTATCAGTATTTCCTACAGGAGTAATTTCAACCCTGGGTTATATTACATTTTCTCATCTGGCGGACTGCCTCGACGGTTCCCGTGTTGACGGCACGAAGAATCTCAACTTCGCTGGCGGTTTTGATTTGGCGGACCTCTTCTACACGACCTTTCAAGCCAACCACATCAAAGCCCACGGACGCCAGTCCTCGTTGAATGAAGTCGCGCATTTCTTCGTCCACCATCAAGCGAGGGGTGCGACGGAGCGAGGAGAACACATCGGATTGCTGCAGGGTGGTATAGGGATCCCAATGTTCTTCCCAGGACACGATTTTAATCTCTTCGGTGAAAGGCATGCCGAGAAGCCGTGCCCTTTCTGCTTCAAAAGAGGGACAGAGGAAAGTTGTATTGGCCTTGATCTTGCCATCGCTGTCTGTGACCGGGCGTACGACCATCAAAAAGGGGCGTTCTTCGGGCTGATGCATCGCTTAGCCGACCACCCCCATCCTTAGCTCTAGAGAATGGGTAACGTACCTCCCACACTTCCCATTCGGGCTGGCTCACATTGCCATAGTACTTGAACGTATAGCCTGGTTCCACCACAAAGGCATCGACATCTTCAGCCACCAACGCCTCGGCCAGGTGATCGCGTCGTTCTTCGTAATCGGCAACGGCAATTGGTACTGCCTTCTCCAAGAAGGGCAACCCGGTTCCCAGCAGGTTGTTAATTGCGCATTGCTGGAATGTTTCCAGGCGATTGGAGCCGTGAGCCTGACACGGTCCTTTGGTCGCCCCCGTGTCCGCGCAAGACAGACGCGACCGTGAGTGCTGGGCATAGCGATAGCTGGTCACCAAAAGCCCGACCGTCACTAGCATCCACACCACCCCGCGCAGCGTGAAACGGCCTTTCGTGGATTTGGGCGTTGGCGTGGTGGTGCTGCCGTAGGCCTCGAAACCGGGCGTGGCCCAGGCTGGCTGGGGAAGCTTCAACATGATGGTTACGGCTGCCACTTGCAATGCAGGTAGTTGCAGGAGTCGATGGGATTAGTATTCCTCGCTCGGCTGTTCGTTTTGACCTTCCTCGCGTGGCATTTGGTGCGGCGTCCGGCAGATTGCAAGGTTTCTTAGCGCCGAGGGGGAAATCGCGGCATTTGGCCGGTCTCCGACTTTCTCCTCTTTCTCCCCCGCAGATAACCCCCAACCACGTCCCTCAGCACGCGCTGATTGGCGCAAGACAGAATGCTTAGGTCAAGTAATGTCTGGCAAATCGGTGCTGCGTCCCAAATGGTGCCGTCCATGCGGCCCTGACCAACCGCGTCGGTATAAAGTGCGAGATATGGACCGCGTAGAGGAATGGCAGTGCGCCCTTGGAACCATTATCCCCAGCAGCCCAGCATGAACGAGCCCACGGTAGTCGCGGAGGAACCGAAATCGACTCAACAGCCGATTACGGCCACCGCAGAGGAGAAGCACCGGGAGAAAGCAGACGAGAAAGTAGTTTCAAGCCATGAAATCCCCACCGCGACAACTACTGCCAATGCGACTGCCACCCCCGATGCGCCCGAAGATGGCCCCGATCGAGGCTATTCACGCCTGTCGATGGTGATGATGGTGGTCTTCAGCGGTCTCGCCATTGGATCCGACGGGTTCAACGCCTCGATCATCGGCAACATTGAATTGTTGATGGCCGTAATCTATCCCAATTCGCTGACTACCGAGGTCGCGGCGCGGTTATCCAATGCCTTCATGGTCGGCATGATCATCGGCATGCTGTCGTTTGGGTACATTTCCGATAAGCTCGGTCGTAAGACAGGTGCTGTCCTGACCACGACGATCCTGGTGCTGGGAATTGCCCTCAGTGCCGGCGCCAGTGGTCTCACCGAGGATGGCATGTTTTGGATGCTGATCATCGCCCGAGGCATCGCCGGAGTGGGCGCGGGAGGGTAAGAACGACATATGAGCAACCTTTGCAACCACCTTGAATGGAAGACTGATAAGGTGATAGAGAATACCCTGTCGCAGGCGCGGGTGCGGCCGAGGCGACGGACGAGGCCCCCAGCATTCGCAGGCGACGAGGCTTCATCTTCGCGATGATCGGCGATTTGTCGGCCTCGCTGGGCTTTGCTTTTGGCGCTCTGGTTCCGTTGATCCTGCTGCTATGTTTCCACCAGGAGGTACGCCACTATGAAGTTGTCTGGCGCGTGTCGCTAGCCATGGGTGCCATCGCCCCCTCTCCATCTTCTGGTTTCGCTACCGCATGGTGATGAGCACCGCGTATCGGAAGAGTTCGATGAAGAAGCAGCGCATTCCATACTGGCTGGCGGCGAAGAAGTACTGGCGCCCTTTGCTCGGCGTGTGTGGCTCGTGGTTTATGTGAGTGGAATGCATCCGTCTGAATTTTGCTCTCAAGTGGATCGTCGTCATTTGCTGATCGGTGGAGCGGTTCAACTCGATTAGCTACAACTATATCTCCTACCCGTTCGGCCTGTTCTCGTCGACCATCGTCGGTCGCGTGAATCCGTCCTCGTCCCTCGCCCTGTCGATGGCATGGGGGACGCTGATCAACTGTTTCTATATCCCTGGGGCTTTCATCGGTGGGTTTCTGTCCGACAAAATCGGTCGACGTCGCACCATGGCGTTGGGCTTTATGCTCCAGGCGATCCTCGGCTTTATTCTCGGTGGGGCGCTAGGACCGATCCAGACCAAACTGCCCCTGTTCATCGTCCTCTATGGCATCTTTCTCACGCTCGGCGAGATCGGGCCCGGCTCGACCATTGTCCTCGCGGCCAGCGAGAGCTTCCCCACCGCCGTTCGGGGCCATGGCGTCGGACTGGCGGCAGCCTGGAGCAAGGCTGGTGCGGCCATCGGCACCCAGGTCTTCAAGCCAATTCTCGCGAGCTGGGGCGACGACAGCTTTCGAGGCACGCAGGCAGTCTTTCTCATCGGCTCGGGATTTGCCATCCTGGGCGCCTGTCTGGCCTGGTTCATTCTCCAGGATAGTAACAAGATTCTGGACCACGGGGATCAGGAGTGGAAGGACTATCTCATTGCTCATGGATATACTCACATCGAATGGGGAGTAGAGGGGGAGCCCGCCGTCCAGGATGCGAAGGACGTGGATTAATCGGTTCTGTGCTTGAGACTATCAGTCGCAGTGCATGCAGGGTGGCCGCATGGCCGTAATAAGTTGGATTACGTGATATCGAATGCTCCGTTTTGGAAGGGAGCAATAGAAAACTGAAGTAAGTGAATTACGGAGAGTCGAACAGGTTCAAGAGTTAGCAAGGAACTTCTATTAAAAATAGAATAAATACATAATCGAATGTCCCCAAACAATCGGTGGCAAACGAGAGGCAAACGAAGGACATGGTTCCACGCGGGTGACCAGGGCCATTAGCGCGTCAAGGAACCGGAACAAAAGGACCTTGCTTCCACATTGCAGTGTACATGTATGTACGTAGACTCATTGTATACTCCTCGCGGGGGAGAGCCACCCTAATCGTTGCACATGGCGGCTCCCTCGATAAACCCGGCGGCGAATTCGACCGAACGTCAAGCTTACAGAAGGGAGCCGAGGGCAACGCAGGGGACGGCGACGCCGACCACGTTGCCTTCCTGCATGATCTGTTAGCAAGTTCATCCTGCGGAGTTGGGCCGGAATGGGAGATACGTACGGCGTTGGAGTCGGTGTTCTGGCAGCAGGCAATGTTCTGCTTGCACTTCTGATTGATGAGCTGGTCAACGCCGCCACCGACGACGTTCAGAACAGGAACTAGAAAACTCATCAGTGGGAGAACAGCCATCAGTCGGAATGAATCACCTACCGTTGGCGCTGATGTCGTTGCACTGGCCGAAGAGACCAAGGCCGTCACCACCGGGTCCGCCGCCCAGAGCAGTCCCCAGAACACCGGCCAGAGGGCCAGTGTTGGCAGTGGTGATGTCGTGGGTGTAGGTGGCCTTGTTGCAGCAAGAGACCTTGGCGTCATTGCCACACTTGGCCTGGGCCTGCTCGACGGTGTACTTGTTTCCGATTGGGAACTGGACGTTGCTGTTGCCTGAGCCAGCGGAGTCACCGGAGCCACCATCGTGGGGCAGGGCCATGGCGGTGGCAGCGAGGACAAGGGCGGTAGCGAAGAACTTCATTTTGACTGTGGTGGTTTTGGTCGCGAGGAGCGGATCAAAAAATGAATTGAGCGAGAGAGAAAGAGATAGAGAGAAGGCTGTTCAGATGAGCGAAGGAAGCTGATGATGGCAAGAAATGAGGCCGGATGCTTTGAGATCTTTATACTTACTTCCATCGCTCCCAACCTCCCCAAGTGCCTCAGCTGCTGCATTCTTCGAGGCAAGAATCGACGTCTTGCGTTGGATGTGTCGGTCGTTCGGTCGTACATTGCGGCGGACCCTAGCAATCAATAGACCAGACCCTGCTGGTGGTGATCGATGATCATTGCTTCTTCTTGGGCACGAACAGACCTCTGACGGGACTTTTTTGCGCTTGGCACTGCAGCTCGAGGCAGGTCGGCGTGATACATGTTCACCTCTACCTGCGGAGCTGCGGAGGCGGCGGAGGCTGCAGGAACAACAGGTTACTGCTTTGCCCGTCGATCGACCGTAACACGAGCAGTGTCTTGTTACACGGCGGTCGGCTATTGAAAGTGGCTTGGCTGCTGGAAATTGAGATCTGCCTGCGCGGTGATGTTTGCTTTTGCGAGGACCCCGGATCCATCGCGATCCATCGGGGCAGCGATCGGCGGCTGATGTGTCACCCAAGCGGAATCCGGGGCCGCCCGAGTTTAAGGCGCATTGAGTTCGGACGAACTTGCCCGAATTTGCCGAATTGTATCGATGCCGGCGGGATGTCGTGACCGCCGAACTATAGAAGAGTATATTTCAGAGTGCCTGGACATCCCAAATGCCCATTTTCCATCACTTGGGAACTAGCAAATGGGGGGCAATGTGCTTGCTGGCAGCCGCGCGACCGGTCTCGTTCACTCCCGATTTGGAATCAATAATCGCATGCAGGGGTGCAGGGGTCTGCAGCGGCCCCTCCTGCACCACTCGGCACTCAGATACCATAAGGCATGTCCGATGAACTAGCACCTCCTCATTGCCGGGGTATCGCCCAGCCCTGTCCCCCTGAAAGACCTTAAAGCAAGTTTCTACACCAGCCGATCTGTCGATCGCGAGCATTCGGTCGAGTAGCCCAAATCGATCTAGCAAATCATCCACCATAGAGCACAGCGTGCATCGATATTGCTTTTGGCACGGGACTCGCCGGCTCAGAAGCAATGCTCTATTCTAGCTGCAAACAGGAAAGTCTAAGGGGAGCGGAGCAGTTTCCTCGGGAACCACGAGATGGTCGCTTCGTCACACATCACACGTTCACGAGCCCAGGTGCGCTGGACATTCTTTCACCGACGATTGCTACCAGGCAAAGGACTCCTCCACGTACTTGATCGACCGGTAGCCTTGTCGCATCGCGAGATGGGTTGCGGCCCGCGCCTCGTCGGCGATTCCTGCCGGCCCACACACGAGAATGGCCAGACTCAGACCCGCTGCAGCGGCATCACACACCCGACCCATGATGAGCGACTGGATGTGGGGTCGCCCAGCGCGAACCTGGCACCCCAGGTCCACCAGCTCCTGGGGTGACTCGGTTGGGTTCCTGGTCACATACAACGAAGCTTGGAAGTCTTCACGGCCCAACGCAGGTCGAAGCTCCCGACTAGCAACATCGTGGAGAAAGGCTGTCTGGCGGGCGGTCCAGACCAGTTCCATGTCTCGTATCCGAGACTTCTCGTCCAGAGACTCCTCCCCACGGGCGGAGCGTCGAAGATGGTCTTGGATGTACGGAGCAGCGGAGGCGATCCCAGTGCCCCCCACAATCAACAGCACTGACTCGTACCGCCACAATGGGAAGTTGTGTCCATAAGGCCCTTCCAGCAGAATAGTGGTGTCCACGACTCCCTCCTTGGAGTGGAGACATTGTTGGCGCAGACTCCGAGTCCAGCCATCGTAGGGCCGGATCCAGAAGACTAGTTTCAGTCTTGACGCTGCGGTCTTCTCTCCGGCAGACTCTGACAAATCTTCAGCTTCCTGCTCGGGCGCGACCGCATACAGTAGTGGAAGGTGAGAGGCATCCATGGATCCATTGAGCTTCCCGAACGACGCCGACCCAACGGCGCTGGGGTCTGCATCGTAGGCCCAGGCCCCCACCGTGAATGGATGGTTTTCCCAGCCCACGAATCGAAAGGGCTGGTACAGAAAATAGTAGTCGCCAGGCTTGGGTTGGAGCAACTTCGTGCCGGGCGCGACAACGAGGCGGATCACATCGGCCGTCTGGTCATACGTCATGCGACTGCGTGTGGTGTGAATCTTGTTGCGACCAGTGACCGCGACGTGAAAATTACAATAAAACAGCCTGACCACTCGCAACACTCGATCAATGACCCACACCGCAACAGAGGGCCAAAGGTACTGCCAATATTCATGGCCTTCGAATATGACGGTGTGGCTAGACGAAGTTAGCCCCAAGTAATATTGGTGGACCATTTGTCCGAGAAAGAATATCAGCAAACATACTAGAAGCATCCCACAAGTGTGATGACAGAAAATACAATATGGGTGATCAAGAACAACTCATAGGTCGCGATACGGACCCGATCAAGCGAGGTGATCAGCAATAGGATCATCACGACAAATGCCTGCCACGGTTAGTCTCCAGCATTCGACCAGGAGCCGGAAATGAAAAATGCCTACTAGAGTTCCCCAGAGAACATAGGCCTTGTGAAATGCCTTCCAAATTTTGTTTGCTGTGACAGTTAGCATAGCAGTTCGGCAGTCAAGACTGTCCCTTTCTTACCCCTAATCCATATCACAATGTAGAGAATCGTGTGTGCTATTCCCTGAAGTGTAGCAATTCGAGCCACATGACGATGGTAGATGTTGAATGTGGCAAAACTCCACCCAGTAGCCCAGATCAGGATATTATTTCGACCTCCGAAAAGCCACAGCAGGGGGAAATTTGCGAATGACATGATTCCAGTTCGATCGGCCGAGTACCGCAGGATCTGGTCGGTCGTGTTCGGCCAACTATACGTAGATGGTCAGCAAAAATGTGCATCCAAGAGTAGATACAACGCATACTAGATGTTCCCGGCGAACGTTCGGTAGCCGACCACACTCAAGATGATGCTGAGAAGCCAAAAACCAACGACCACGAGCGCCTCCACTCGGGTCGAGTATGTACAACCGACAAAGTTTCGACCTTGCATTGGTAGTGGTGCTGGCACAATCAGATGTGTCTGCGCCCAGTGAATCAGTTTTCCTGTCCACAACGAGTTATGATATGCTGTTTCAGTAGGAGGGTATGCGTATGCATTGGATTCCAGTTCACGCTCTGCCCGAAATTTGCGAGAACTCAAAGCCAAACTTGACAAGCGAGATGCGATTCCGAACAACAATATTCCACACCAGTAGGCATAGCCGGCATACCTGTTCCGGCGTTGTCAGTTTGGATCGATGCTAATTTATGATGATCGACCTACCCAAATGCATGATGCGACCAAGTTTCATACTGCCATGAGTCCTAGACGAGGTGAATGACATCGCTTAGCTCTTCAGTGTCCAGATTGCTGCAGTGGGAAACTCACGATAGTGTTGAACATAAGGTTGAAGTAGGACGCGGAAATCAGAACTGGAGCATCCACCGGCTCTGCGCGAGACAATTCCAGATAGTCCACTGTGCGCATATTGCGAACAGCGTCCTCGGTCAAATTCTCAGCCACGGCTTCTCTAGGCAGGAGTTCGCGATTGCCAAATTCTTCACACAGGGCGGCGAGCTGGACAAATCCCGCCGCGCGCTCACTGTCCCGGCAGTAAATATCCGAGGCAGCATAGATGGAGGCCACTTCGAGGGGGTTGTGACACCGGGTGTCCCACATCCCCTTTGCGGGGGAACCCGCAAACGAGATGTAGTTAAACGTCGAATAAACAGCGGTCACACATCGTTCCTCCTGCGGCAGGTCGCTTCCCCAGGCATGCTGGGTCACCAGCGTGATGGCCAGCCACCCAAGAAGCCGCATGAAGCCTGTGCGTGGTGTCTCGGTCCGGGGAGGAGATGAGGAGAACAGACGGAGAACGATCACGCACTCCCGACCGGGCGAGATCCACCGGGTGGCCACGGACAAATCTGTGGACGAGTCTGGTCCGAGTGCCGAGCGTCGCGCGGGTGAAGGGAAGGCGTCAATATGGCCGCAGACTGCAGACGGTCCACCACGGAATTCTAACCAAAAACGTTGCTGTAGGCGAGTTGCAAACCAAAGCCACTTGGGCTGTGGCCCCGGCGAGGCGCATCTAATCAGATCGATAAGCCCCTCTCACGTGATGTCGCACGTGGCTCGTCCAACAAGGCAGAATGCGGTGTCTCGATACCTGAGGCCGCTAAAAGTCGATATGGATCAGATCAAATGGTATCTATATACAGCCTTATTGAGAGAAACGCTAACATCTGAGGTAATTTGCATGACAGTAGTATCGACATGGCATTATTGGAAACTCGCGGGGTACTAAATATGGATCATTCACCAAAGATTGGCTTGGGTCTACCAGAATATATATCTGCACCGTAAAACTTGTGAAAAGCAAATAAGCAAGTGTAGCACCACCACACTGCAGTTCTAGTGTCTACATAATGTCATGTACCAGCCCTTGTTGGTGTTGAGATTGGTTACGACGAAGCGCTGAATATAGAATGAGGGCCTGCTAGACAAATCGACCTTAATGAAATTGACAGAACTTGAACTTGTATTAACTGTCTACATGCGATTCTGGGTATTTATCCCTGAACGGGCGGCAAGCCCCTCACAGTAGTAAATCCCTCACAATCGATCTCGATCGGTGTTCTTCCATGAAGATCCCCTGGATGTAGAATATAGTGTCGGTGAAGCGCATATCACGCTCAGTGCCTCGGGTTTCCCTGGACAGGCATGCCGACAGAGGTTGTGAATGAGGCATCAATTCGGTGCCTTATCCTGGAACCTCAACAGTTGGAGAGTACGTTGTTAAATCGCGGAAATACAAATAATAAGCAAATGAATTTTTTAAAACTACTCTTGAAAATGGGAAACAGTCATAGACGAATCTGCTTCCCCAAACTGAACGAGGAAATGTCTCCAAATCAAACAGGGGTGGGTCAAGCGGGTGACAGATAGGTCGCGATCGGACTTTCGCGCTCCAAACGCGTCAGAGCGCGTCCGTTTCAAGCACGCGGCGTGTGCCAAGCAGAAATGCATCATCCGTCGGACCTAAAATTTTCCGCCTTTCGGTAGGGAGAGATGAGGGCACCCCTTCCAGTCGCAAGTATTCTATTACCAGTCAGCGATATTCCGAAAAACTCATGCATACCGCAAATGAACATATTGTGGTGTCGTGAAGAGGGGGATGAGCGTACCTTGTAGACTTCGGTTCCCCACCAGTTAAAATGCTTGCTAGCACCAGTGAAAAAGACCGTGAGGAATATCAGGACCCCCGCGATGCCCACCGACGAGTCCAAAGCAGAGCTGAGCACAAAGTTGTATTTGCTCCACCAGGCATGCAGGCGCTTCCGAATGACCAGGCCAAAGGTCAGGCCGACGATGGCCCAGCTGGCGTAGTTCATACCCGTCGCAGGCGGCAGGAAGTTGAGCCCGCCCAGAAACAATGGAACATGAACCCGCTTCCACAACGAGTTGGGGTACCGGCGACTCAAGTAGTACACAGGGATCGGGAGGATAGCACCGATGAGGAAGAAATACAAGAGCGCCGAATATCCAATCTCATTCCGCAGATAGCGGCGTGGACCGATCGCTCCCCAGATCAGAGAGGTGTTGAAGTGCGTGCTGGAGAAAGGGCAACTGAATCCATTGACGGCATTTTTCGTGCAGACACCGCTGATGTGGTTGAGGGCCCAGTTGAGAACACCCAGAGAGGAGAGAGTGCCGATGACCATGCCGACTACCTGGACGAGGAACAGCTCGCGTTGGGGGATCTACAAAATTGGTCAGTATCATCGTCAAATTGAAGAGATCCGAGACTGTGCTCTTACGTTGGCATAATAGGCCAGCTTCATGTCCTGCGCAAACCAGAGACCCTTGATGGTTGTGATGTAGCCGATATCGAAGAACCAAATGTTCGCCAGGACGTTGCCCTCGAAGACGAACCCGGCCACGATTCGACAGAAGACGTCGATGTTGATCTTCAGGTTGGAGGTCGCAAAAACGAGAGCCAGCTAAAAAGACCATGTTAAATTCCACGGACAACAACGTCGAATTGCAAAATAGGGATGGGCGACCAACGGGAGGGTAGAAAACGAGTGCAATAGCGCAGGCTAGCAGAACACCGTACCACCTGAGTCCAACTCCCCAGTATTCGACGGCGAAGATAGCCATAAAAAGGGCAACGAAACAACAAACCACGTACCACCACATAGGAACATCGGGAGCTCCAGTCTCATCTTTCGAATCGGATTGGTGGCGGCATCCAGGAGCGATTGCATCAGGAGGGTAGGGACTCTGCGAGCGGCATTGGTCATCACATGGCGATGTTCGAGCGTAACCCAGACGATTAAGGCACTGAGGGTAGCGAACGAGAGGCCGAACATGTTCAGGGCATAGGTGATCGGCATGTAGACCTGGAAGTGGGTTAGTCTAGTCTTCTCCGATGCTCCAGTGAAGGGGGCCGAGAGTTGACACTTACCGGCGAGTATGCGAGGTACCTTTTCAAATCCAGCCTGTAGTTAGTGGCGGCACTGACAACCTTGGACACCTTGTAAGTAGATCCCGTGTTGTCGAATACTAAACCACATTAGCTTCGAAAAGTCGAAGAAAATAAGAAAGAAAGTCAACATACCACTGGAGCTCTGGAATGGCAGGTAGCCGGTCTTCCACACGTTGGTGTAGTAGCAGCCCACTGCCACAATCCAGATCCAGAACACCAGAGATGCGAAAACGTTCACGATGGCCCATGACGGGGTCAGCAAAGGTGATCCGACGTATGAAATCTGGCTCCCTGTAGATGTGTCAGCAGTGAGCCCATGATTGGAGGCGCAGGCGTAGGATTCGTACAGTCAAATGTGATAGGAATGAGGCCCATGCCAGAGCTCATTCCAAATATCTGGTTCACGACGGGGCTGGTCGGGTTGATCCAGCACGGGAAACTGAAATAACTTAGTGCTGGGAAGATAAAGTCCGGGAACCAGTACCAGCAGAACGAAATAACACAGACGATGGTGAAGAACGCATAGCGAGAGATTTTCCAGGTATCGTAGCTGTAGTAGGGTTAGCTATGAAGCAACATCACTGGAGATGTGTGCGAACCAACCTTGCCTGGACGTTACCCTGGCCAACATTGTGCAACGTAGTAGTGAGAGCAGTGACGCCGAGAACGCCTGGCCAGATGAGCTCTTTGGGAACCACCACAATGGATCGAAACATGCCCGCAAGGCAAAATCCAATCAAGAAAGTCGCCAGGGTGATAAGGACCTGGAAGCCCCAACCCGCTTTGAAGCCGTAGAACATCTGCTGTTCAGTCAGAACATCGGCCCCGAGCCGAACATAGACGCTGAGGTTCGACATGATGTAAATCAATGTGTGCTCCTAGACACCAGAAACAATTAGCCATGATCAAGCCAACAGAGCGGTCGGAACTGACCTTTGTATTGAATGGGCCGGGGTTTAAGTTAAAAGACCAGCATCTCAAGGGGATATTCCAACTGGGGACAATCTTTTCCCAGAGCTTGCCCAATGGGTAGGCGAGTAGGAGAACCACGGGGGCGGTGATGGTCAGGGACGGCTTTCGCAGGGTGTAGAGGGTATTGAGGCCGCTGACGATGATGCAGAATACAATGGCAATAACCCACATCCGAAGTGTGAGAGTCGGCTCGGTAGGGTCATTCTCCGCAATGCCAATACCAGCGGCCTGGAGGATACTCGCATCGGACTGTGAGGCGGTCTCGGCTGGAAGGCATCAGGACAATGTGATGATGGTGGGCACTAGGAGGAAAGTTTGCACACATACTGGCATCGGTGTCCCGACCCTCCTGGACATCATTTGCCTTGATGTCAACGTCCTTGGCCTTGGCCATGGCTGCCACTGTCAAGCTCCCGTGTAAGTCTGCAGAAATCTGTAGAGGATGAGAATCGAAGCGAACGAGGGAAGACGGATCTGATAAATGTTGATGGGTGTATCAGATAAGATCGGAAGAGGCGACGGGAAGTCACGTTGTCATAATCTGACTCCAGAAAAGACCCATGGGTTTTCTCCCTTCGAGCCGCGGCTTCTCAGCCCTACAAGGCGACCGGGTGGGGCCCAAAGCTTCGCCGGCGGGTCGACCAACAGCGTTTTGATGTCTGCCTGGCCGGTGAAACGGGTCGAATGGCACGGAGCTTCTCCACGGATCCAGACCTGAGAACCGGAATTCCCTAAAAAATCATGTGCAGCCGCTCTCATTGTGTTACCGTAGGATAAACAACCTTTCCTAATGCTTGCCTACGTACTAGTCATTATGCTATGATCATTGTATAGCAGGTATTAAGAGTGCCGATCTCAAGAGGGAGAAAAGGGAGGGGTTCTAAAAAGAGTCCAGGGGGAGCTCCTGCTTTTCTTTACCCGCAGATTTTGTCCGGGACTCAACGCCTATCGAAGTGGATCTGCGACGCGAATTTTTCGAACCAGGAACCAGTTAGGACATGGTCTGATGAGGTGCATGTCGTTTCTATTCCCGAAGTGGGAGGGAAAGAGTGTCCATCGGTGTCAATATTGATGACAAGCCCACATAGGCCACCGCAGGTGGCGCATTAGCACTTCATAGCGTGTCATCCGATGTCGGCCCTCAGAGACGAAGGACGGAGTTTCGCGAAAAAATCATGCCCCGACAAGACTCTAGTCCCATATGCAGCGAAGCATTTACTTAGAGAGCATGTAGCGAGGGGGGATCGCTTTATTAGCCGTTAGCCAACGAATTGCGGTGGCAGAGCAAGTCCTCTTCCTTGACGGCGACTAGGACTTTTACCCCCAACCATCCCGGCCTCCAATCCAGTTTTTGCGTTTTCCGACCTTCTCAATCTTCTGCACGTCTCGTTTCAATTCTCCCTTCAAATGGGTGGGATCATAATCGACCTTTTGGATGACCAGCGTAAGTTCGAGACCCTCTTTCTTGCCCTTTTTGCCGAGACCGGTCGCCCAGCGTGCGGAAGGCACGATACGCGGCTTAAATGTGTCGATGGAGCCAATAGGGTACAGCTGGGCGAGAACAAGCCCCAGCTTCCCAAGATAGCGGGTCCACCAAACCTCCTCCGGCGTCAGAATGCCTTGGAGATGGGATTTCAGATCCACATCGCGCGGTGGCAGTTCTCCACCGTAGCGCTCCTGGAGCATCAAAGCGAGGAGGGCACGATGCGCATGAGGAATCCCGTGCGTAGAGGCCAGAATACCGGTACTTGTGCTGTAGAGCGCCGCGCTGGAAGAGATCTCCTTGGACATGGTGGCATGTACATAGAGGGCATTTGCAAACGCCTGGACCAGATGGACAGTAATCGAACTGGGGACCGATCGGCGCGCGGACGGACGAGGTAGCGCTGCCAGGATCAAAGCCGCGATAGCCTGAGCAGATGCAGGTGCGTAGCGGGCCGTGGCCACCTCCAGTGGATCTTTCTGACGGATGACTGGAAGCATCTCACGGAACAGTACCCCTTCTCGGACACCTCCTTGGCAAAAGTGTGCCTCCTTGATCCCATGTGGCAGGGACTCGGCCAGGGTCTTCACGAGGAAGGCGACCGAAGGCACCTGCTTTCGGCGTCGATCGGAGACACGAAAGATCTCATCAGCCGTGCGAGCCACCTCTTTGAGTGTCTCGGTATCTTCAAAGTCCTTCTTGGGCGCCAAGTAGCCATTGATGATCGAGATCGGATAGCTCTGGCCCCGAGTCTGGTGGAGATATAACAGCAGATATCCCCAGCCACGAAAGCCACCTCCCGACAAATACAGCGGAAAACCACCATTCTGGCGTGCCTTTGCGACCAAGCTGTTCGGGATTTGAAGATTGTCAAACGCGGAGCGAAAGTTTTCGGACATCTCACGGCGAAATTGTTCTTTGGCTTTCTTCGCCTCTCCTTTGCTCTTGCCGCGTTCGAGGTCGGCCAGCTTCTGAGTCAAGGCCGCGGCTCCATAAGGGAAGCTCACGGAGCCTTTGGGACTCATCTGGACCTCGCCAGCATGGGAAATGATCCATGTCATTTGCATGCTGCCGCCCCCAAGATCCAGCGCTAGGCCTTCCACATCGGAAAAGCTGCTTGCGATACCCCACGCCCCCACAATTCCCTCTTCCTCCTTTCTCAAGAGCTCGACCTCGACCCCGGTGGACTCACGAATCGCCCCCGTGAACTCACTGGAATTCAGGGCCGTACGAGTTGCTTCGGTCGCAATGAGTCGAATATTGGTTGCGGGCACACCGATCTCCACACAGATGACCTGGAATCGCACAATTGCACTGACCACTCGGTCAATTACGGACTTGGGGATAGGAACACGATTGCCGGTGTTGGGGTCGATCTGTGCCTCGTAGAGTGAGATATTGACACGGTGGAAATGTACTGTAGGGATAATACGGGTGGTCGGAGCCGTCATGTCGGAGATGGAGCATCGGATGCCATTGCTGCGCAGACTTTGTGAGAACAATGGACGAAAACAGGGGACCGTTACGAGAGGAGGTTTACCTGCCTAGATCGACCACTGCGTGCAAGTGAGCGTTTGGGTCGGGCGAGGAGACTGCGGACGCTTTGAGCTCCGAATCACCATCGCGGGGCAGCTGATGTCCACCGCCCATTATGAATATATCCAAGAGGTGATCAGCAGCCTCCGTATATGTACCCTCGTCGAGTTGAGGATATCGCGGGAATTCGCGACGCTGTGGGGACTGGTGATATCAGGAGGGGCTGTGGAAGCCTGAGGTGTCGATATATGGGTGCCTGAGTGGTCCGTGCAGAGGACTGATCTACATCTACGGAAGGTCATCGCGTTCGGAAGGTCATCGCGTACATCGCATGTATGATAGATCAACACACATCTGGGGAGGTGAGAAAATGAGAAGTCTTTGAAAAAAGGAAAGAGCAGTACTAAGGTGTATCCGATATATCGATTACTTCAAGTTACGTTTCTTTCATCCCACTACAGTTGTGTTTTGAGATGAGCGACAGACAGAAGCTCCATTAGCAATGTGGTAGTTGTAATATAGTGACCAAATCTCACGACGAATACCACCTCAAAGTTCTTAAAAGACGTTCCCATTCATAATGTCAGAGCGAGATCCCAGATGAAACAGTGGAATATGTTCCACTGGGGCGGGCACGGTGACCATCTGACCACCGGCATAGGTTTCGTTTGTCCACCAGTAGGTCCAAGGCTTGGTCTCGTTACCAGCTGGCTGGGGCAGATAGACTGACCATTCTGTCACATTAGACACAGTAACCGGTGTGACCAGCAGTCGAGGTCCAAACATGTATTGCTGGGTGGTTACGTTGTTGTTCTTCTGCGTCCATTCGGCAACCCGGGCATCGGATATCTCAAAATCCATATAGAGTGGACGCATGATCATGCGTCCAGTTCGATGAAGCTGAGAGAAAAGTGCTTGGATATATCTGGCCAGTTGATACCGAAGATGAATGTACGATAGAATAATGGGGGTGTTCGTCGCTCCATAAGACCACGGCTCGTTGTCGCAGGTATACGCAGTCTGGACATCACAGGCACGAGATCCATGAGTGCGCATAAAAGGAAGAAAAGTCGTCCACTGCAGCCATCTCACATAAAGCTCTCGATATTCCGAAGTGTCAATGTTGGCACTCCACGGCACAGTGGGATCAGCCTGGAAACCACCCGCATCGAGAGTCCACCAGCCCCATCCGGTGGCCGCCGCAGAGAGGCCACTCGCAACCTGGGAGCCCAGGGTTTCCCAAACGGCAGTGGTGTCTCCAGACCAGATCATGCTGCAGAATCTCTGGGATCCAATGTAACCAGAGCGGCTCAGGGACAAATAGTCACAGGGTGATCCCATCTTGGTGGAGGTTTCATTTCGATACCCTTCTTCAATTGCCTGCTGATGGGCCCAGGGGTACAGCTTGCCGACGCTACGCTGGCTTCCAGCGGCATACAATGCATCGGGCATTGGAAAAGGAATCGACTGAATGTAATCGCTCTGCCCGTTGTTCTCATACGCCTCGCCCAGTGATCCACCATCGGCTTGATCAATCCAGAAGTTTTTGATGCCCTTATCAAAGTAGTTATGCTTCAGGGTCTTCCAAAGGAAGTCCCGTGCCCCCGGATTGGTAGAGTCGTAGTTGCGGATGTACGAACCGTTCCAAGAATCAGTCGTCCCGGGGCCTGATCGGGTGGCGGAGAGGAAGCCTTGAGCCATCATCTCCAGATAGTTGAGGCTATTGTCCGCAACCGAGGGCCATAAAGAAGCCATCATCTCGGCCTTGGTCAATATCTTCACCTTATGTGCCATTTCAGCGACGTCAGGCCAAAGTCGCGGGTCAAGGCCCCAGTCCCCTTGGGCAGCCCAGGACTGGTAGTCGATCACGATCAAGGAAACGGGGACATTCCGCTTCTGGAACTCCTCGGCCAGGAGGATCACCTCGGTCTGGTTTTCATATCGGAGCTTGGACTGGATATACCCTAACGACCAGTCAGGAGGTGTAGGCGCACGACCAGTGAGGGCCGACAGTCGCTGTTGGAGGGTGTCGTAGTCGCCCGGTGTCGCTGCGACAATAAAATAGTCAACGACCGTCGCTGCGTCCGCCGTGAAGCGGTTGCGTAGCTGGCCAAACTCCATCCGACCCGTCGAGGCCATATTCCATACGAAGCCATAGCCCTTGTTGCTCATAAACACGGGGGTGGGAATGTGGGTGTTGAAGTTGACGAGGTCTATCGTCATGCCTTTTTTGTTGACAATGTGGTCTTGCTGGGTACCGGTGCCATAGACCTGCTCATCGGGAGTCGTGCTGAAAGAGAACTCTGCTGAAAATTCGCTGCCCGGTCCTGCCCAAGAATAGTATCGCGGATTGATGGACTTGAGCGGTGCATATTCGTTGGTGAGCAACGTCTCGGTACCATTCGCCTCAACACGATAGAATGCCAGGCGATAGCCGCCAGGGTTCCCACCCCAGCCCGAGGTGCGTACGATCATATTCCCATTTCGCAACTCCTCGGACATATTGCCGATGAATGCGGTATCGAACTGCATCCCGTGTGCCTCGTCTTCCGGTCCCTCAAGGGGTGGATCGTAGACGAAGCTGATTTCCTGGCCAGTTGGGGGCTGAAACGGCCATGCACGTATCCGGAAGCCATCGTAACCAAAGGGCTGCACAAGAACAGTCTCGAAGCCATGTTGCATGCGAAACCCTTTTGATGTCGGCTGATGGTAGTCCTGCTGAGCTGCCACGACACCAACGACCCAGAGGGCACACACTGCTACACCGATAGAAGGCATTGTTGCAAGTGGTGCTCGGTTTCAGACGAGGGTATCTCAATTAATCTGTCGTTCAATGTGAACGATTCTCGTGACTTAAATTCCTACCAACATGCCGATTTAGCCTGAATGAATCGGGGTAGGGCCCCTTTCCCCCGCTAGAGACGTCACTAGAGTATGGATCGACATTTCTAGTTGCTATAAATGCAAATGACCAGGGCGGGGAAGCGAAATTAGCAGAGCGAGAAATATGCAGTGTAACTGAGGACGATCGGGGCGGGTTAGACTGAAAATGGACGGATGTTCGCCCGAATGCACCATCGTGACTTAGTGTGGGATGCTCGGCCGACACTTCTGCGGATTGCGTGGGGTGATCAAGGATGAGGCCTTAGAGAGAAAAAGGCCCCCTGACAATGCTAGTAAATCTAGGTGTGATGCTGGAGAGGCTACGAAAGCAGCCAATCAGATAAAATCAAATCCCCGGAACAGAATCCTAATAGAAGTGCAGCGTGTTTTAAATAGATCATGTTCGCTACCAAGGGGACAATCAAGCCAGTTCTCCAGACACTCGATGAATCAATTGTAAGTCCAAAAAGGCACCAATGCCTCTTCTTCAAGAGATCCACCCACGAGGCCGACCTAGGTCATTCATTGCACCTCGAGACGCAGGGCGTCGTACTGAACATATACGGTGGCTGGCAGGATTGCCGTCTCGGTGTCGGTAGCGTTGTAGGGCAGATGAAGCCTCAAAGAATTATTTCCCTCTTGCAGCCAGGAAGCAGGGAATTTCATCCGAGAGCTAACCTGATAGCAGCTGACAGCTGAACGAACGATGCAACTGCTTGACTGATTGAAACCAACCACCAGGGTCAGGGGATCTGGCTGCTCATTGATGTAGCTCTCAAGGGACAGATTATTGTACGGTTCGGTTGTGCTATACACATCGGTATTGCCGGCAGCTGTTTTTGCGCCAGCCAGTTGAACCGTCAATGTCGCCATTTTCCGATGGCGTAGTTGCTTTGCGGTCAAGTAAAAGTTGATTGTCCAGTCATTTGTGGTGTCGTACTCGACATGCGAATTCGATGGCGTGGGCCCAAACACCGACCAGTGAACTGTGTTCAACTCTTGCGACGGGTCGCTGGATCCGATGGTGTAGTTGACGCCTGTGGGAAAGTCGACAGTCCAGTCGTATGCGCCCCAGTAAATCAAATATTGCGGTGGGTGCAGAGGATGTGTCGAATCTGGAGCATTTCCTCGGCGGAATTCACCCGAGGACTTGTCTGGAATCCCCAGTCGCCAGATCTCCTCGCCTGCTGATTCTGCTTTCCATGTGCCTCGGACCACGGTCTTCTTTCCTGACTTGACGCTAATACCCTCTTTCACGAAGTCACCAAAGATACCTTCGGCATAGATGGTCAGGCGATATTTCCCCTCTTTCACCCGGTCGATATTGAAGCTGCCATCGGAGTTCATTTCTGCCCAGTACTGGTAAGAGTTGGACACGGCACTGTTATCTTGGAAATAGTAACCATCGACGGTAAGAATAGCGACTGGGCGAGTAGCAGACTTGGGAAGTTTCACTTTTCCTTCCAAGCTTCCTCGCTTGCTGGAAGGTACATATCCAACAACATGTTTCGCAATTGAATCATAGAAAGCGGCGTTCCATTGTGGATTCGCAATAACCTGTGCTTCGGACCGGAGCTTCTCCAGGGAGGCCGAGCCTTCACCACCATTGAAAAAGTAATACTGAGGCCCGAAAGTGCGATCAAACCCATTCGTGATGTTTGGAGTCCCCTCTCCATGATGGTTTGAGACGAGGTAGTTGTACACAATCCCGTCTACCGTCAAGTCGGAATGCAGAGGGCCCTGGAATGGTGTCAGCGATTAAATCTCATTTTCGTGATCAGAAAAATTTACCCCGTAGTAAGTGTCCTGTTCAAGTGTGCGTTAGTGGCAAAGGAATAGAGATCAAGGCCTCCGGAATAATCTTCGTACCTTGGTATTCATCACCAGCCATGCCCCGTAAGTGGTGCCATTGGATGCCGAGCCGTCTGCGTAAAGTCCATGCACACTATTGTTTCTCCATTCTGAATAGCTCGATTAGACTTCTAATGTTATCAGTATGTTTGGGATTCATACTCACGGTTCGAGAACGAATACTTGGTGAAATAGTCGGAGAATTGCGAATAGTAGGGGTCCGATGGCGTGTTGTTGAATGTCCAGGTCGCATCTTGGACGACAATTTCGTTGGCGATGGCGTTCTTGCTTGGAAGTGGCGCAGTTTGCACCTCTCCTGATGTCAAATGTGTCCAAAGCTCGGTGTTAGGGCGGAAGAGCGTGCGGAACTCTTGTAGATTGCGGAGGAAAGGGGTGCTGTCGTTATAATACGACAAACGACTGAAAATATGAAGACCTGTCTCTCCATCGCGAAGAAACCAGTATTGTTGAAATTGTTGGCCCGTTGGGGTGTAGGTATCGGTTAGAATTATGCCACCATACCGTGTTCCAGTCGAGTCAACCCCCTGCACAACATCCACTTCCGGTGTCGTAGAGCCTGCAGTGTAGAACCCCGATGGTATACAGTAGCAATCGAGGTAAGGCCCGATACCCGTCGAACCTGATTTCGGACCAAGTAAATCTTGGCCATCAAGGGATAGATCCACCACTTGGCCAGCGCCTTTATCGAGGATTGCTGTCAGGCGGTTATTTGACAGGGTGACGGACGTCTCATTCTGCGCGACATGCAATGTCGCGGCAACCACAGCAAACCCCGCAACGAAGTTGACGAGAATGCTTCGCATGGTTTCCTGATCTTTTCACAACTTCCGAGCGAGCTCCACCGGAGAGGAATGGAATCTCCACAGCCAATGCAGTAGTCGTCCCATTTATTGCACGAGGCCTTCGCTTAGCGATCGGAGGCTGATAGCCCGAACGGCACCGCTCGTCGCGACGAGAAGCAGCGTCGCCCCGACTCGACTGTCGGCGCTGGGTAAAAGGAGATTCCAGAGTCCACCAATCATCCATGCTGGTCCGACTGTCGGCGCGGGGAAGTAGTCCGGGGATTGCGGGGACGGTTTGACGAGGAGAGCAGGCCGGGAAATCTCGGCCGCAGCTACCCCGTCGCCGAACGGGGAATGGTTCCTTACGGAGGAGACATCGCTGCCGGTTATACAAGGCCTATCCGACGCTCTGCTGTCTCTTGAGCTCTCTCACGCGATTTTGGGTAAAATCAGGGAAGACAGAAGCTCGCGAGGCGGAGAAAACGCGGAATGGGCGCAATCACGCGTCGCTGCAAGTGAACACAGGAGAACATCTCAAATGAAACCCACCGCAACCCAAAAGGAGCTTTGCTCGAAAACCATGATGATTGCGACGAAGAATCGATATTTCCCCAACAAATCTCGAAGAATGAATACATTGGATTTTTCCGGCGACTGAAGCAACCATCTCAGCCTTCACGCGATTCAGGGCTGAGTGTCCCGTGATAACAGCAATTGGATGAATCCAAACTACCTGGAAATCCTCGAAAGAGGAGTCACCGACCGGAACCATTATGCAATGAGATCATCGCCCTCTTGATTGAATAGCTACAGCTCTTGGTCTCCATCATGGCCAAGACGGGTCACATCCCGGTAATGCGCACGGGTGATGCTCCGAACTGTCAATATCGGCAATCCAAACCTCGGGATAAGTGGGAGAGCTAGCGGACGGGCCATGGAGTCGGCACTTGGGACTGCGGAGCTAGGCCATCATTGACCTGAATATGGGGTAGTGGGCCCAACCTCGAGTCCAATTGCAACCTCCATTCACCCACGATGTGGACAGTGCCGCGTCTTTCCATGAAGTCCCAATCCCATCAATACCCCGTTCAATTTGTCCCATGGGGTCTGGGACGGATCTGCACCCAGCATTCCAATTATTTAAGATCGGTTCCGCGTCACTGCTGATTGCGGTGTACTAGCAGAATCAGTTCACAGAATCACTGCGTATCGGACAGAGCCAAGTTTTGTGTGAACACTGCTTCTCCCGCAATATGAAGACCAGCGACTCCGATGTTTCTATTCACCTGGAGAATGCATCCCCGAAGCAACCACTCCAGGATTCATCGGGAGATGAAGACAGCAGACTTGTTTCACCCCAGGATCCACGGAACTGGCCTCTGTGGAAGAAAAATGCTCAAATCCTGATGGTTGCTTTCCACTCCATGATGGGAACCTTCATGGCTGCCGGAATTATTCCAGCCTATGACAAATTCGCTGAAGAATACGGTGTCACGGTACCGGACGCTAGTTATTTGACCTCCTTTCAGGTATTTGATCTCTGACAGATTTACCCAATGTTCATGGAGATCTAATCACCGATTTTATTCAAACAGATCCTGCTGCTCGGACTTTCACCTTTAATCTGGAATCCCGTCACTGCCGCATACGGTCGGTACAATGTCAGTCTTCTTTCGGTGCTTGGAAGCATGGCCTGCAATATCGGCGGGGCTCGATGCACATCTTATGGTGCTCAAATGGCCACGCGCGTCTTGACGGCTTTCCTCATCTCGCCGCCGATTGGAAATGGGAGTGGTGTGATCACACAGCTGTGCGAACCCGAAAAGCGGGCACAGAAGCTGGGCTGGTGGACGCTTATGACGACCATTGGAACCCCCGCAGGTCCCTTTTTTATGGGCTTTGTGACGAAACATATTGGGGTACAGTGGATTTTCTGGATCTTCGCGATCATCAACTTCTGCCAATTTCTGTTATACCTGGTGATTGGAGATGAGACGATATACAACCCGGATACTGAACGTGACAACTCCAAGGCGTTCAGCAAATTAATCCCGCGGCGGATCAGCTCACGCCATCTCGGCCTGCAAGATTTTATCGCGCCTTTTGCACTGGCTCAGTATCCTCGCATATTAATCGCAACCTGTGCCCATGCAATCACATTCTGCTACGCAAATATTGCTATCATTGTGGAGATGCCCATTGCTTTTGGCGAAAAGTTTCATTTTGACGCCCAGCAGATAGGCCTTCAGTTCATTGCCATTATCATTGGATGTGTCCTTGGTGAACAGGTCAGCGGGCCCATGTCAGATTGGTTTCTCCAGCGTGTTCAACAAAAGCGAGGGCACTCGTACCCGGCCGACCGCCTGTGGCTATCATACATTGCGTTTGCGACAATCATCCCGGGCTTGTTGACATGGGGGTTTCAATTGCAAAATGCCAGGTCGTGGAATGTCACTCCCTGTGTTGGTGCTGCCATTGCCAGTTTCGGAAATCAGATGCAGACCACGATTTTGACGACTTTCGCGGTGGAGAGCAAGAAGGAGCGGGCGGCCGAAGTTGGCATTTTTATCAATATCTGTCGTCAAATTTATGGGTTTGTAAGTGCTTCTAAGGTAGTGTGACTGCGACTGATACTAACAATGTCGATATAGATCGGACCATTTTATTTCCCTGATATGTTTGCTGCCTTGGGGTTGGGAGGCGCTGCCGGAGTGATGGTGGCTATTATTGGGGGATGTGCCTTGTTTCCCATTATTGCGATTCAATTTGTGGCTACCAGAGCAGATAGTCAGCCACTAGGCAGGATAATACGCGCTTGAGGTAAAAGTTATTCGGGGTTTCGATTATATCGTGTTATATGTGCCGATAGATATCTATATTTCAATATTCACTCTTGGACCGACTACGTGCTGCACACTTCAGGAGCAATAGTACCGATCACATGTGATGCATTCGCGCATGCGATGTGATGGCTTTGAATATCACAGGCTAGGACGCTGCTTGCACCGGTGCGGATCAAACCGCAAGGGATTATATCAAATTGAATCTGAAGAGTGACAGGGACACGTGTAATTGTGCCGGGACGGTGTAGCCCACAGTCCCTGCTCGCGGAAGATAACTTCCCGATCCGTGTCGGCTACTATCTGGCGTTAACGTAAACGGTGACAGGCCCTATATTTAGAAAAGATTACTTGGAACGCTGTTGAGCCATGACATATCTTGAAAGTCCGGGAACTCAAAATGTTCCATCATTGTGGTGGATATGTTTTCCCCAAAGGAAATGTCGTGGAGTGTGTTTTGACAATGCCCTGGAGTTTCAGAGAGATGAATTGACCCGGTAGAATCCTGACTTTCCGACACAACTTGCTCGTAAAGGATTTCAAGTGCTGCAATGCAGCGTCGAGCAGAGGTGCTATAGCTTTGATATTTGCGCAGTATTTCAAGTGCGCAATTCCATGAGCGAGCAATGGAAGACTCGGTGATTTCCGATAATATGGCAGGGCACAGACGGCCTGCGATCAGGACTGTTGCCGCGGTATAGATATCTAACATTGTTAGTTTTCCTATGACATCCAAAAATAGAAGAACTCACAGAGTATATTGTACCACCAGGCCGGTAAAGGCCCCCTGTGCCATCCGAGGGCACATTATTGTAAATCGTTTCGATTGATTCCTGAGCTACTCTGACGCATATTACAGAGCACTGCAACGCAACACGATGAGGGAAAGAGTTTTGGATGGAGATCAAAGAAGGAATTGCAGCAGTTTCACGCATAGCACAGTACTTTGACAGAGTAGGACGAAAAAGGAGCATCCGAACATGCAAGAATCTGACTTGTGTTAGCAAATACACGCGGAAAAAGAAACCGATCGTATTGGAATTCAGGACATACCTCGCGCGGAGAACAATTCCTTGACGAAAGAAAATAGGGTTGTCACAGTCGATCTGAGATTCGCTGTTGAGATGAGGAGGAGACTGCGCGTCCAGCGCGTCAGGGAACGATCTAGTTCGAAAATTGTGCGCTCTCCCTCGTTGTACGCATGGCTGAAATAGAGGTCGTGAATATCATCGCCTATATCGTCCGCGATAGGCTTATAGAAACTGAGGAGCACGTCGTTCATGATTTCGTACAACTCCAAAGTCTTGGCATAGAAAGCCATTATAGATGGATGTTGTGGTGGCTGTGCAGGCTCTGATGTCAGATCGACCGGGACAAACTCATCGTCCACATTGACGGGCAATGGCACCGCACCGCTCGATGTTTTAGAAATCATTGCCGGACGACCGAAAGTCATGGATATCACGCTGAATAGACAGAACCTCGAGTCAGAAGAATTCACCCGGTATGAATGAGAACTTACCGATCCATCAACACGCATCCATGCCATAGCTTCCGCGCAAGCTGCTGCTCTTGGAAGTTGGAAAATCGCGCAATTGTCTGGGGAAGATGAAGGCCCAGGCTCTGGGCATTACGTGTGGCGAGTCCAGTGACGATCCAGCATTGATGTGCCGAGTCCGTACTCTGTAGATATTGCGCCATGAGTAACAAGCACTGAATAAGGCCCGCAGATCCTGTATCCCACAGGCTGAATTGAAAAAGCCCTTTAGCTCGAAAAAAGAAGGCATCTGCCGAAGCCTCCCGTTCCTCTGGCACAATGAAGTCGGCCAATTGGCTTGCCAACGCGAATATGACATTGAACGTGCACATGACCATATTCTCGTCATAGTCAAAAGCTTCGCCTTGCCAGACTTTCACGTATTCTGATTTCATGTGCGACCGGTCAACGAACGGATACAAAGGGAAGACATAATCCCAGTATACGTCCATCAAGTTGTCGGCCGTCCTCCGAGGAGGCAGGACGTAGTTGGGGGCTGTCACTTGTGTCCTTTCGTTGCGGCCAGCTAGCAGACTGGAACGTGGGGAAATACCTGGACTGGACGGACGGCGATCGGGAGACGAGACTCTTTTGTCAACCGCCGTTTTGATTTGTCGCATGAAGCCGGCTGCGCTCGAGCTTCCGAAGAACCCCTGGCTCGGGCGCTCCTCCACAGCCCCCATCATGGCATTAACACCATCGCCTCGGCCGTTTCTGGCCGCACTGGGTTCGCCTGGACATTCTGCGGTCCGTGTGCGGTTGGCAGGCGTCTCTGGATAGGTAGTAATGCCAGGCGATAAGGATGGCAACGAAGCATGATGCTTTACATGTTAGAAGGTCGCACGCCGCTCAAGCACCGAAGACTTACCGGCGTCAGCCCCGACTGTGAGGCTCTTTCCGATGCGTTAGGACTCTCGAGTTTTTTAATTCGATCTTCTAAGCTTGAGATATAGCTGCGAGCTTGTCAGCAACGGCACACTTTTGTGTAGAACGCCGGGGAATTGATGGTATCCGTTGACATACGTCTGAGTGGCGCGTCTCTTCTCCAGCTCCCCTGTATATACACATTGGGAGTCATCGGATCTCCTGCTGCATTGCCCACACACTGTATCATATTAGCCCGGGTCGCATTCCGGGTGCCTCTTCAAGTTCCCAGGCCACGTACCGGGTTGCACACCATCACAGCGAACTTTTCGTGCGCGGCAATCATCACAGGCCACGGCAATTTTTCGACGTTTGGGCCTGCCAGGTTCTTCGGAGTGCTTCATCATGAAAGCTGCATCGATATCAGCCTGCAGTTCAGAAGGATGCAAAGCCGGACAACGCGGAGACGCTCGGGATTGCACCCGAGCGCCGCCTAAAACCCACAACCTCGCCAGGGCCAATCACACCCACCATCGGGCTGTGTGGGTCGCTCTAAGAGCGGTCAGAAGTGGCAGACATCATTCCGCGCTGGTGACTAATGAATATGCCGGCATTAGGCGAGCCGGCCACCTGACCCGCTACCGAATATTGAAATATAGATAAAACTACCAAAACACCATTAATTCAAAATACTATCGACTAGGGCACCGGGTAATTGAATGGCCAATACTATTACATCAGCTACATCTTTGGGTTACACGTTTGGCTGGTGGGGGTGGTAAAATAGCCGATTCAACTGGTGCGGGTAGAGGCTGTTCAACACGTTCAACTGGCTGCACTGGCTGCACTGGTGGCAGTAGGCCCTCTCCGACTGTAACACCCTGTTCGTATCGAATTAGGCGATTAGTTCGTGCTCGTTTTTGCCGTTTCTTCTCATTCGCAGCCCGTAATCCAGAAATTTACTGTGCAATAGCGCAGCAATATGTTTTGAGATAGAGGCGCTCTTAATGATCTGATCTAGGGCGATCTTAGATGGTGTAGGAGGGCTTCTTGATCATTGTTTGAGTAGCTTTTTTGAGCATTTTTGAGTAAAGAAGTCTGTTTTTGTGGCTGAATGACTGTTTTTGGTGTTTTTGGACTGAATTGACTTGATCGGCTGGTAGGTCGGCTAGATGGGGGCGTTGGTGTTCGAAAGGAAATATTGAGTTTTGAGAGAACCCGTTCAGGATCTAGAGAAACTAGACCTGCTGCTGTAGAACTAGACTGGATAATCTCTGATTTGAACGCTCTTGACTTGCTCGAGGATATTCTGCTAGGAAATGTAGCTTATCAATATGATTGAATCCTAACTAGTTAGCCGTGCCTGATTGGTAATCAGGCGGCCATAGGCACGCTTAAGAACAGCAAAACATCCGATATCTAGAGATTGAAGAAGATGAGATGAACGTGCTGGCATGCAGAGTGGGATGATTGAGTTTTCGGCACAAATTCGGTCGAATTGATGCGTGAGATGGCTACCATGCCATCAGGAATCAGAAGGCGATATTTTCCTTTCATCCAATTTAATTTGAATGGAATAAATAGCTTTTCAAGCCATCGGATGCTGATTTCATCTGAAGTCCAGCGATTTGGAGAGCTTCAATTCGCCAGTCTTTGGAAACCCATCAAGCCGGCTTAGGTTTTTTTGGCTTTGAAGATGATGGAGGGTGGAAGAGCAAAACCAGCCGCACTAATTGACTCAATAACAGTCACCCATTTACGGTTTTCAGGCTATAGAAATGCCCGACGACCATGATAATCGGCTCAAGTAACCACTTTTTGTGCTGATATAAGGCCCATCGCAAAACCAGTCTCATCAAAGTTGTATATATCATCTGGTTGGATTCTGTGCTTATTAACAGCAGATTGGACAGATTTAAACCATTCACGTAAGGACTTTGGGTCATCATTTTTAGCACGTTGATAATCATACCGCTTTGAAAGCGGATTTGAAGCTCTTCTCGGCGTTTCACAAAGGTGATGCCAAATCAATTTCAACAGTTGATTTTGGGGAGGGTTTCCATGGTCGGCGAGTAGAATATTCGCCATTTCTCTCACAGTAGATGTGTATTGGTTTCTCTGTATGGAAATCTTAGCTTTTTCATACCTTCTCTCCCGATTCGTGCGGACTAACTTTTACCACCTCTCCAGTCAACAAGAAGAAAACGACAATGAATTGTATGCTTATATACCCTACCGCAGCAGCTCGGAATACATGCAAGAATAGCTGTGCTCGACTCTAAGAGACTATCACGTAAACGCGGTTTACTGGCAGTGGACGATTGCCGACCAATTTGAATACTGCGGAATGAATAACGGCACATTCGTTCAAAATTCTGGATCATGTGGAGATTGCTTAAGGAAATTGGGAGAGTCGACGGTCCTGGCAAACTGTAAGCTACTTTCCCATCAGGTTCATCGATTGGCGTGCAGTCACTGATCTGTATTGTTCTGGGGGCTATGCAGTCCGCTTGTAGTTCGAAGCCTAACGTGGCCACGGATGAGACAGTAACTCCCTCGAGTCCATTATTCGACATTGGTGCAGAAGAAGACTCCGATTCAGTCCTGAACACTGGCGCCGAATCCGGCATTGGCGGTGGTGCTGGTATTGGAAGCTTGACATTGAGTGCAGTAACAGTGTGATTCATCCGGCGCCATCGGCAAAGAAGATGTTATGCAGCAGAAGACAATGAGGGGTCAAAGACTCAACACGATCCCCCACTACTGCGAGTATCACACTATACAATATCGGGATACAGAAGCCCGCAAGGACCCAGAAACGACAAAATTGGCCCCTGTTGAGTTCGGAGACGGTATTTCCTCAGAGCCTACACAATTCTAACCAGCCGAACTGAGTGGCCACACAGTTGTCGAACTGCCCACACAAAAAACAGTGTAAACAATTTAACATCCTTTTAGTATAGAGAGATCCTACACCGGTCCTTGTTAAAATCAAAAATGACTTCCATGCACTAGTGTAATAGCCAAGCTTATCCTACAGGCACGTTAGATACTACGATAGATTCTCGTTCACGTAATATTGATGATATCAAATGTACAAAGGAGAACTTTGATATTAATCATACCCCTTCTTATCTGTGAAACTTGCCCTTTTATCAATTGAAGTTTACCCACTTGAGCCAGTTATCAGATTTATGCTCGACTGCGCCATCCATCCAATCCAGAAATAGACCTCGATCGTGATCATCGACATCGTGTAAGAGATCTTCGACAAGAAGCTCCTGATCTGACATCTCGGGCATCACGGAGGGGAAATCGTTTCTGGATAGGACCTGATCCAGAATATGACGAATGATACGTTGTCCTTGCTGGGAGACGCGGTAATTCCCCTCTTCCTGTTGGATGAATGTCTCTAGATACGACGAGAAAACACTGAGGTTCTGAATAATTTCCGAGCGAGGAAAGCTAATGTTCGTATCCGAGATCAGCGACTTGGATCTCCTGAGAAGTTCCGCGGACAGAATTCCTGCGGCAGGTAATCCAAAATAGCACAACTTTTTGGTATATAAACGTGAGCCCATTGCATTAAAAACATGTCTGGCTAATATATGTCATTTGACTCACATTAAAACCCATATCAAATATCGGGTGGCCCAATCGGGTAAATTTTGACACCATTGAGAGTAGAGCGCTGAGCATTTCGCAGGATGTTTTGATGATGGCACCTGGTTGGTCGCGTGTCCATTTCTGGACCGTACGATACAAGAGAAACTCATTGTAAAGAAGATCAAGGTGTAGAGCAAGAAGAAGACGATCTTCGATAACAGATACAGCGTTCCCGCCATCACCCTCGGGCTTCCATCGAAAAAAGCTAGGAAGACTTTCACGAAGGTTATCATTCTCTTCTAAAAGGTCACTAGACAAAAGTCAGCGCATGGAGAAGCCAGAAGATTGAAATGAACTAGAGAATGGGCTTAGAATGGAAGAAACCAGATTAAGTTGCTTACTTGACTTTTGCCTGCAAATCTTCGACGCGGAAGCTCAAAGATAACTCGAGGACCTTCTCGCGCAGAATGCTCCGGAACAGGGCGACGCGAGCCCAGGCTCCCTTCCTTATAGTCCCTTCTTCATTCCAGCCACCGTTGCGCTCGAGGCGAGCAATCTTTGCGTTCAGTAAAGGCGGGTCTTCAATCATCTCCTCGAAGCTCAAATCGAGTGGCAATTGGATGTCACAATACCGCCAGCTAATCAAGGGTGGCCGGCCCAGAAAGGTTGCTAGAATTTTGTCGATGGTAAATGAACCCACCATAATGCGCTTGCGCAGCTCAGCAATGAAGAGAGGGACATTATCGCTCGAGTTCTGGTGAAGTCCCAGTGCAAAGACGGTCGTGGAGAGCTCACCTAGCTTCCTCCACGGTCGGGAATCTAAGGAAAACGCGTCATTAGCCAAGGGCTAACCTAGACATACAAATCTGACGATTGGGCACATACCGCTATCTCCGTAGACAGTGGCCAGTAGCGTTGTATGGTGTATGAGAAGCCAGCTCACAACGTCGTTGATGATACCAGCACTGTCGCAGAACTGAAGACAGATATCGCTCACTGCACAGGCCGTATTTGCTAAGCTTTTCAAGTTCGACGATCCGGGCTGTTTGAAAATCGGGTCTTCTTCTGACAGCCACTCCGTTGAGGCTCCGGTCATACAGAATAGCAGTCCGACGGTTTCCCATCTCCCGGCAATTATCGTTTTAAATTGAGTCCACGACATATCAGCAGAGATTTCCAAGGGGCGCGCATGAGTCTGGAACAGCTGTTTCGATAGCCGAAGCGCATGAATACTTTGATCGACACTGTCACTTGGTGGCGAGCCCCACAGCTCCTCCATGAGCTGGAAAATCATTTCTGTCAGTGGCCGGCCTAGGCACCAGCCTTCCCATAGTTTGAATCGGGCGTTCACCACCTCACGGTAGAACGCGAGATTTTTCAACAAGGTCAGTACCTGGGCGCCAAGATGGACCTTTTTGGAGTCCATTGGCACCACCTCTACCTGGATGGGTGAGTTCATTTCATTCAGCAGCCCGTTTGCTGTGTCGGTAAACGTATTGGAATAGCTGGTGTTCCCGAGAAACCCGGGCGAAGAGACCGAAAATTTCTTTTGGTTCCAGTTTCTGTGCTCGTTTTGTAGTATGGCATGGTCTTTAATCTGAGCTTCGTCTCTGGCCAGTCTCCTTTTCTTCGCTCGTTGGGAGCCCAGCTGTGTCAACGGCGCCGGGTGGTAGATGCAATCCTCCCTCAGATCTCGGCGGATACAGCGGCCACAAATCGGCATCGTATGGTCGCATCGGAGCTTCGACTTTCGACAGGGCTCGCACGATGATAGCTGGCCGTTGCGTCGCGTAGTTGCCATGGTTCTTTTCTGGCGTGGACTATGAGCGCGGAGGTAGTAGTGTGAAATACCGCCGTTCGGAGTTCGGAGTCCAACGCGGCTGACTCATCCGGCGTCACATAACTAGAACGCTCGATGGCTGCACGCGCTGAGACGTGCGGGTCGATTCAGCAGAAAAACCACCACGTAGCAATCAGGAAATAGCGAGAACCCCAAATGTAGGGGTCAGGTCGGGGAGGTGTAAGGTGTATTCTAGAACTAGCTATCCGGCCACCGTATACTGCCCGATATGTCACATAACATGGATGGCACCCATGTAGTAGGGGAGGGGGTCTCCCCACTACACTAGTTAACGAGTGCCGAACGGATACTACTAGGGTAGTAGTAGTTGTCGGACTTTCGGATATCGGTATCGAGTAGTACTCGTGAGGGGCCAATTGCACCATCCCTGCGATCGATTGATTGACTCAAGAACTATCTCCCGGCTCCCGTTCAGGATGCCATCTATTCAAGGGTTTTTAGCGTGTTACAGCGCTGCTTTTCCAATAATACCCGATTACAATACAAAACAGGTAGGAGATTGGGTATCTGCTCAATCATCCTGCTCCTGATTGTAATATCAGTCTCTCCGATCGACAGTAGTATCTAGTATCTAACTTACGAACAATACCTTAGCTGGTGATCAGTCCGAGCCCAGAACAGGGTGTATAAGGAATGCTGTGATGACACTACACTAATCTAGAGGCACATTGTTGGATCCGAGTCGGCTTTTCGCATGGACACGCTTTCACTCGGAATACTACTAGTAGCATGTAATAGCTCACAGAACGAGATGCTGTGAAATTCGTGGACGATTCATAACAATCATAATATCATCAATTCAGAAAGGGGAATACTCTAACGCGTCAATGGATATCCGAAGGCGACAAATTCTATGAAACAGGGGTTTGGATGGCATTACCATTTACACTTTCCAGGTGCTGAGTTTCCGCGGTTTTCAGGGGCTCCTTGGTCTCCTCAATCTCACCTTCCTTGGGGTAGAAGTCCACCTTGCCATCCTTTTGGATGACGCGCATCCGGTCAAGGCACAGGCGGGCCCGGACGTACGGATCCAGTTTCCAGTAGTTGACGCGGAGGCGCTCGGCCAGGTAGGCGCGTTGGCTGGCGGCCGACTGCACTTTGGTATTGTCCTTGGACTTGGCAGCCTCGATCCAGTCGGAAGTCGCTCCCAAAAATTCCTCGCCGATCTGCTGTCGCTCCCGAATGAGGGCGTCGCGGGTGGTGGTATCTTCCATGGTGGCATTTTCGTTCTCCTCGGGCTCGATGTACTCATATTCCCAGTCCTCAGCGCCACCCAGCTCTTTGACAATTTGATCCCGTGAGATAAACTTCTCCAGGTCGTTCACGGAATTGGTGAAGTGGACCTTGGCCGCAATATCGGGATCCATCCAACCGCGAATCAACTTCCAAATTCCTGTGGAGGAACAAGCACGAATTAGTTCTATTGTGCTGGGATGATACTATATGCCAAAGGGTTAACGAACCGGAAAAGACCCATGGAGCCTTATGGATGAGCATGATACCAAGTGATTCCGGGTAGTTTGCCTCGAAACACTTGAGAATGAACTTCACCGGAGGGTATTCCTAGGTCGGGTCAGTCATGAATCATCGTGCATGTTGTGAAGCAAGCGTGGCACTCACCATGTTAGAAAGGCCAAAGTTGGTCATATCAAAAACGACGGCCTAGAGGAGGGTCAGTGGCGGTCCATATACACGTAAAGAAGTGCAGACACCTACCGCGGTCTCCACAGGTGGTGCAAGCGTGAGTCGCACAGACTCGATAACGTGGACGATATACCGCTCGAGGGTCTCTTCGCTCTGTGCCCCTGGCTTGTGCAGACGCACGCGCACGACGACCAGCGGCCGACCGACTTTGTCGGTGCCGTGCACGTAACTCTTGCCCATGCGCATCTGGGCCAGCAGGTCATGACCGGCCTTCTTCTCAGCGGCATTGGCGGTATTCTTGGATTGCTTGAGCGCGTGGAGCTCGCCCTTGGCCATCACATCATCTTCAACGTGCATTTCCTTGACGCGCCAGACAATGGCCTCCATCATCATAGCAAAGGCCCTGGGGATGTCCCACTTGCGCGCGCGGAGAAATCGAAGGAGCATGGCATCCGGGTGGTCGTGCTTCAACAATTCCAGGACGCCCTGGCGCAGCTCTCCGGGGGTGATCTCGGACAGGGCCTTCTGGACCATTTTGGTCTCCTGGGGCCCAATGCCGAGTTCGCGCAGGTAGGCCAGCATCTTCTGCTGATAGGGCGAGTTGACGCTGGTATTGGTCTTGTCGGAGACATTGCTTTGGGTGCGACTGAGCAGGGACTGTCGGCGCTGGGGCTGGGCTGGGCTGGCAGGCGTGTCGGTTTCTTCGGTGGATGTCTTGGGCACATCGTCGGTAGGCAGCTCGGCTGCCTTGAGCAGGACCGACCAGAGTTTTTGCAGCTTCGCTTCCTGGCCCTCGTTGAGGTTGCCTAGGAAGCCGGGCTTGGGGCCATCGGCAGCCATTGTGTGGAAAGAGGATGACGGTTCAATGGGTTCTGGAGCTGATGGGAGAAGGGAGAGGGGAGAGTGTGCAGCGACATTGGAGGAGAGGGGTTGCGGGCATTGCGCGGTCATATATGGCATCATTCTCCTGATCGTCGCCCACATGAAACCCCTCAAGGCCTCCCCACGCCTCGGTCCCAGCGGGATGGGCCTGACTGTGTGGGTGGTGGAGGTTGGAAGAACGTCGCGGGGTCGGATCGTCGATCGGGGCACTGATCATCTTGGGGCCTGCGCCAACGGCCATACTATGCAATACGGTACTGTTGGCCGACCAAACGCATTCGCCGGATCATCTGCTGGGTTCCTGTCTGTACTGCTCTTGGGGTCTCTGAGGGTCAGGTACTGTCCGTCCTCCTCACTGCCTCGGACCCTCGGCCTCAAGTGGATGCGATATGCGGGTGCCGCCTTGAATTTTGAGGCGCATCACTCGCCCGAGGGACCTTAGGGTACACTTATAACTGGCTCTCCATCAAAAACGGAGAATTAGGGCTGCTGGGCAGGTCGCACGCCACTAGTGCCGGTAGGGGTTCGCGCACGTTGTCTCCATGCAGGATCCATGCAATCCATTCGTTGTCAGGTGTCAATTGACTAAACATTACCTTAAGTATGATGATGCCGGTGGATGGCCTCGTCTAGGGCTTCCCCGTGTTTCTCCAGGCGTCGCCGCTTAACCGGAAATACGGGGCCCCGCCGCGCCCCTCTCTGGGGCGTTGGGGGCCTCTTATCGAACCCCGTTACTCAGTTTCCTCGGGGAACTCCGTCAGGTGGTGTGCACGCTGACTCCGAGCTTTTCGTACCTCGGATGTGGCATTTTCATGGGGGAATCTGGCCCCCTGGATGCCCTGCTGGCGGAGAGATTCTTCCTGTCGCGGCGTGGTGGGACACTTCGCAATGTTGGGGAAGGTGCCGGAGGGGTGGCAACGCCGATCTTGGCCGCTTCCGGGTAAAAGTCTCCCCCCAAGGTTCGCATGGAGCAGCCCTCTATTCTGCCATTCCATCCTGGACAACATCCAGTGGAAGCATCACTTGGGGTGATGGCGATTGCGGATGTAATTGCATCACCGCGATCATCATTGACACACTAGTAGCCGAATTGAAAGGCATTTTGATTGCGATCCGAGGACAACCCTCGGCATACTTATATCCATTTGCATGGATATAAGTCCTCATCAGTGTATACTTCCAGTGCCTTGGGATGGTACAACAAGGTGCACCCTAAGTCCCGTAGTGCTGGGTCTGTATATTAGCACCCATAGAGCCGTTAGCACTAGCACCAAAATGGCCTACAATCTTGACCAACTGCCGGTGACGACTAGAAGTAGTATTGTGATCTCTCTGCATGGGTATTTACTCCTGTTGCATCAGACTGAATCCAATGTAACTCAGTCGTTCGGAGGAAATTCGCTGGGCCCGTAGGGAACCCGTTTGGATAGTTAATCAGTACACGGCCTGCACGCAGCCCAGAAATACAGCTCATCGGCCTCGTACCGGATTTCGTCAATCTGCTCAAAGCCGCACTTGGTCAGCACCCGGCAGCTGCCATGATTCTCCTTCTCGCAGATTGCATAGACCTTCTCGACCTCGTCGTCCTCGTCGCGGGAGAACATGCTCGGAAATTCCCGCCGAGGAAGCTGCCACCACAGCCGCAACATCATCTGCACGGCCTCTGTTGCATATCCTTTTCCCCAGTGTTCGGGGAGCACCGAGTAGCCGATTTGTGGACACGGGTCCAGCGTGTTGATGCTCACATAGCCCACCATGGTCTCCTGTGCAGCGGCAATCGACTTATCCACAATGGCCAGCGCAAAAGACCGACCGACAATCTCGGATGGTCCCGTGGCAAATGTTTTGGAGGTCAGCCATTCTCGGGCTTCCGTAATGGTTTGAAAGGGCGCTTTGGGGTGACTACCATGTATCCCTGATCAGCCGCGATTCAATTCAACCGAGTACATGTCAAATCACCCAGAAAGACACGGCAAACACATCAATCAATTGATTGAATCGATGGCTTGACATCGAGCAACGGCTGTCGTGTCTCCAATTCCACAGCGAGTAACCACTTACTTGAATTTCGCAACCTCCGGTCGAGACCGAATCGCAAAGATAGCTGGAATATCGGCGTCGGTGACGGGACGCAGCCGGAGACGATCGCCTTCCAGCGACGGCGTCTTCGACGGCACCATCACCGTGACAGCCTGACGGGGAAGCGAGAACATGCCCCAGAGTGCACTGAACCCGGTGTGTTCGGAATCGTGCTATAGCCCAACAAGGCTTCCTTCTCCCACTTATGTATATGGTGTAGATGACCGGGCTCAACTGAGCTGCGATGCAGATTTCGGAGGCGCCCGACATGATTGGCGGGCATCAGTGCGCCTGCACGCCCGCTAAACTGTCTTGGGATCCCGCGCCAAAGAGTGAGGGGACATGACAGCCCCGGTGAGCACCCGATGGTGTGGCAACTCGAAGCATGGGAGCGCCGGTGGATTGTATCCTCATTGATGGAGACGTCAGTGTGTGTGTTGGGTGTCGACATGGTCCCCGCCGAACGGTATCCATGAACGTGAGATAGCAGCGAGTCTGCGATGAACCCAATGCGAGGGACGGCGAAGGTGCTGTAATTCCCATACATGTCCACCAATCGATCGCGATAATGTACTAGATCGAGAGATTCTCAATGGAGATATAGAGTGTATGTTGTGTTCTCACTGTGAGGCTGTCTGTCGGTGGCAGACGGAATCGCCGGCAGCCGAAAGGCTAATCGGCCTCAGGACATCACTTCGTCTTCTCACAGTGCGACTGTCTCTGTTCACAGCATGATCAATGGCTTGGGCTACACCGGCACAGTCAAATGTCCCTGCGCTGGAACACGCCTACCTGTGATTTACACCGCTTTCACGGAGGATGGGTAAAACAGACCCGGGGGATTGCGTCAAACCCAGACTGCGGAGTATCGAAGCCATAATGACTGAAATCACATCGCCCGACTCCAACACTTAGCCAGGCCGCGGAAAATAACCCCCAAGCGATCCTATGGCCTGGACTTGACCAGGGGGCGGGGGGCTACTGTTATCGAACATCCTCGCGTCGAACATCCTCGCGCCGCTCTATCTCTACGCGTCCCGGAAAAGCATGTTTGCCGTTTGGGACGACCTTGTGGCGGAGTTGACGACCGAGGCGTTCGCCGCGCCTGCTCTGGATGTCGACTGCGGTCGCGGCCTGGTAGTATCGAAAATCGCGAAAAGAAGGAAATGATGCGACATGCGCGGGATATCACAGTACAGTCGCACCGGTAAACAGGGTGGACCTCTTCATTACCGGAGACCAAGGTCGGGATGCCCCCGAGGTCACCTATGACAATGCGGTAAGCTTAAAGCTGCGCGGCCTGGTCGTTATGCGTACAGCCGACTTCGCCGATCTCCCATTCTAGGATGACACGATGGGCTTGGAGACGGCGAGTTTATCGGTTCACTACGGGGAAAAAGCGGCCCGCAGCAGCGCCATCACGGAGGCGGCCCACGTCCTTCGACTGGGCGGAGCTCTGATCATTCTCGACATGGATGAAATTATCACGCAATACCAGACCGTCTTGGAATCCTTTGGTTAGGACCGAATCGAAACGCACTGGGGTGGGCTGCAAGTCATGTTCGGGGCCTGGGCGTGTCAGATCCTACGCGCCACCAAGCCGGGACTCTCACGTAAGAGCGCTCGATATTCAAGAGCAGTGCGCTAATCCCACATAACGGGCGATTACTCGGCGAAAGCGTGGCGTAGCGAAGCTTTCCAGCCCGGCTCCGTTGATGCTGGTGGCTGGCACAGACAGCGACGAGACGCGACCGACAGGGAAACATCCCTGCCACACTTCACATTTCACAGGACGCACCTTTCGAGGTCGGTCACGGTATAGATCTTTTCGCACGCGAGGTTCGCCAGCAGATCTAGTATTCGAGACCACGGAGATAGAGGATTCAATTATTGACATGAGCGAGGACGCCGCCGGTGCAGTCACTGGAGGGACAGCATGTATCACGCAATTTTGGCTTATATGACCATCAATGCGACCATGATGAGGCGAATTGGGCAAAACAATACATAAGCATGCGTTGTAGCCCCCGCGGCTCTCCTTCGCGCCCCTGCGATTCCATCTGGTGTGGATTAGAGTGTTAGTTGTTCCTCGCCAGAACCATGCCTCAACAAATACGTCCCAAAGCGGCGGAAGCGAATGACTTCGGCGCCGCCAACGACCCCCAGGATTTAAAAGCTGGTATCGAGACTGGAACAGGCCACGCGCCGGGGGGAGTCGGCGAGTTGAATTTTGATTAACACACGAGTGGCGGACTGGGACGACACTTGGGTGTCTTGTCGACCATTTTTCTCATGTGTGAACGCCCCGAGGTTCCCCTGATGACGCTACACACCTCCTTACCGTCCAGTTAGCATCGGTCGGATCGTGGGAACGGGAATATTTTCCATCCCTTCATCGGTGACGAGTAGCGCCGGGAGTGTGGGCGTCGCGTTGCTCCTCTGGCTCCTGGGTCTACTCTTGGCCGGGCGGGTCTTTGTGTGTGGCTCGAGCTGCAATGCATGATGCCGCGCAGTGACGGAGAAAAGGTCTATCTGGAAGCAGTTTACCGAATGCCCAAACTCTTGATCGCCGTCATTTTTGCCTTTCAGACCGTGGCGCTTGGTTTCACTGGTACGTAGACCGCGTGGCAACAGAGGAGGACATCGAAAAGCGGGCAGCTGATATCTTCAACAGCATCGGGCTGCATTGTATTTGCATTCAACCTAGTCGTAGCAGCGGGCAAAGAGGCATTGGAATGGGAGGAGCGTGGAGTAGCCGTCGGCGTGTTTGGTGGTGATCACCTTGGTTCATGTCTTGGTACCCCGCTGGGGTGTACGCAGCATGAACGTGCTCAGAGTGTATAAAGTAATCCTCCTGCTTTTCATTGTTATCACAGCTTGGGTGATCCTCAGTGGCCGGGTTGCGAGCGTGAAAACCCCCATGCGAGCTTTCGTAATTCTGTAGCGGGATCTGCTGACATCCAGCAATCTCTCTCTATGCAACCGCCTTGTTCAAAGTCCTCAATTCGTTTGCCGGGTGAGTGAGCGGCGTATTTCAAGGGCAAAGTCTTTGGCACCGCAACCAAGCGAGTGTTGAGGCAAGAGGCATTGTTGATCCCCTGAAAACGTCGACCACCGACAATTGAAATTGCTAAAGATGTGTATCGTGACAACGTCCTCATTGCGATTTCCGCATTTGGAAACGTGATGACCGTCACTTTCGCTCAGGCACGCGTGAATCAAGAGCGGGCGAAGGAAGGCGTCATCCCACTTCCCCGATTCTGGGCATCCAGATGGCCATTTGGATCCTCCTCTGCAAGCCTCTTATTGCATTTCATTCCCTCCTTCATCGTCATAATCGCAATTCCATGGCGACATACATAATTTCATCCTGGATTTGGAGGGATATCCAGCTAGCGTCGTCAACTTTTTGGTTGTTGTGGGGCTGTTTTATCTTTGATGGAGCGCCAGAGACGTCGATCGACCGTTTTGGGTCTGGTGGCCAGTGGCAATTTTCTTCATGGCGGGCCAGGGTTTCCAGCTGGTTGTAACATTCATTCGGCCCCCGTAAGGGTGATACCAGCTTGCCGTATTGGCTGAGCTCTGTCGTTGGCATCGGCATTTTATTTCTCGGAGTATTATACTGGGTTGTCTGGCAGAAAGCCCTCCCTTTGATTGAAGGTTATCAACTTACCCCGGTGTGGCCCACGCGGATGGTACTACGGTCGTGGAATACAAGAAGAGATGAGACGGACGGGAATCGACTCGGGAGACTACCATGACCTAGTTTCGAACATATCATCATGGCACAAGCCTTAACATGATAGAAATTACAGACCAAATTGACAGGTGGCCACTTGTGCACAGGAAATACTGGTTGTATCGAAACAAGAATGCATCTTCGGAGCGTTTCAGACTGCGGAGCTGGCCGCAGGGTCCAAGCCAAGACGGATCGAGGTTGCAGATAGAAATCCAAAGACATATCTGATGTCTATCGGTGTTGGTACAAGTCTTGACTGGCGAGGGGTCTCCGAAGCCCAAGCTCAAAGTTGCTTGTTTTTTTTCAGGGGCTTGGGAACTCTAACATCGAGACTCGAACACAATCGGTCCCGATTCGTCCCCCGCTAGCGTAAGTGGGGCGTTCTCGGATCTGCAGCGACCGAGTCTCGTCGCCGTGGATTGGAAGACTAGACCAATGCTCACAGATTCATTCAACACATGACATCGTGCTCATTGTATATCATAATCTTGATCTGAGGAGAGTGGTACAGGTCCTAAAACAGTTGTTATTGCTCATCAGGCATTGCTAGAAGGTCCCATTCAGTGAAGTCTTGTCGTTGACACATCAAAGTCAAAAAACATCGTGCGGTGCTATTTCGGGAGGCATCAGACCGCGGTAGTCGTCCAGTGAGGAATATTCGGGGAGAGAGCCCAGAATCCGCTTCTTGCGCGTTTCGCGCATTGTCGCCCATCTGGCGGGAAAAGCGCCTAATCGATGGGCGGAATCGACATGAGCCAAAGTGGCTGATCATTTTTTGGTTCTACCTCTCCTTTCACACCGATGAACGTCTCAATTTTACCAAGTACGTCCCTGGATAAGAGTTCTCACTGAAATAAATCTCCGGTCCAGATCTATTTGAACTCCCTAGCTGACAGAAAAGTACACGACCGAAACAGGGGCAATGGAACTTTTTTGCGATGGATTCCACCGCCTAGACCGATGCAGAGCGGTAGTATCGAGAAATAAGGACCTACAGCGAGTCCCTCTGTTCAATACGTCATTGCGGACATAGCTCCCACTATTCCATGGTTGAGGCCCCGGCGAGCGACAATCAGATAAACGGGAACACTCTGCATGGATTTATCTGATTTCCCGCGATTAACACCAAATTACCCCTTCGAGTTTAAAGTGACGATGATGGCGAACAAAGTTCGGCGGACGGGGGCTAGTTGCTTCTTGTTTTCCCGTGTCGGCATTCAAACAAGCAAGGATCGACAAAAAGTCATCTGCTTGCACGCAGATGGAGCCGCTCGGAATATGCGCCTCCTGTCTCGGGTGAGCGAGATCGGATCATTTAGCCCCAGTAAAGAAATTAACTTGCTGTCAGTGCTGCGCAGGGTCCAGGTGGAAGAGCAGGAAGAGGGCGGGTGTATAAATGGCATGGACAACCACTGTTGAACGCTCTTCTTTCTCAACCTTTTCCTGAATATACCAAAGTGTCTTTCTCTTATCATATCGCGAAGCCCTAGTTTGGACTTCTATAGATTAAGATGTCGACGACTTCTATCATTGATTTGACTGATCAGATCAGAAAGGAGGCTTTGAATGAATCCAATGGCCCTCAGGGAGGCCAAAGTCATGCTCGTGTGCTTCAACTTGTTGATGAGCTCAAGTTGGCCGTGGAAACACCCACAGAAACTATCCTGCGGCTGATTTACCAGGTTTGCACCTCGAGAGATAATGATCTTTCTCAATATTACAATCTAACAAACCTGCCAAGCCACCGGAAAATGCTGCCTTGCGCACTGTTGCAGATCTTGACGTCTTTCCGATATTGATGAGCTCCGAGTCTAAGAAAGGCACTTCAGCTACAGAAATTGCCAAACTGACTGGGGCCGACCGAGGTCTAATCAGTAAGTTGCAGTGTGTTGATCGCTCGTGGAACATTGACTCACGCCATGCCTTAGTCCGTCTTATGAGGGTTATGGCTTCTCTTGGGCTCTGCACCAGTTCTGAGCCTGAAGTATACAGGGCAACAGAGAAGACAGCCAGTATGACCCAGCCAATTGGGAAGGATGGAGTTCCTTGCATGTGAGTTATGGCACCTTGCGATAAATGATCAAATACTGATGGTGCTAGCTATGACTTGACCCTACCTACGCTCTCTAAGCTCCCCGAATACCTTCGAAGACACAATTATATCAATCCACAAGAATATGCCACCTCCCCAATGAAATGGGCTGTTGGCCAAAGCCAGTTCGAATGGCTTGCCGGAAACAAGAAGCACCAGGACTTGTTCAATTCCTACATGTCGAGTCGACGCGAAGGGAAGCCCAACTGGTTTAGTGTATATCCCATTCAGAGGCTTGTGGAGGGAGCTTCAGACCATCCTGATGCTATCTTTCTGGTCGATATCGGAGGCAACCAAGGCCATGACCTGGCAAGGCTTCATGCAGAATACCCTGCCTATCCTGGAAGGTTGATGTTGCAGGACCTGCCCAATATCATCTCCAGTGTTGATCGACCCGGCATTGAGAAGTCGGCATATAGCTTCCTCGACCCGCAGCCGATCAAGAGTGAGTTTCCGCAGGGGTATCAACAGTGCATTGGAAATGCGTGCTAATACTCGGAAGATGCCCGCGCTTACTACTTCCGAGCCATATTCCATGACTGGCCCGACCGGATTTGCCATAAGATACTACTGAATACTGTCTCCGCCATGAATCCACTGTATTCCCGAATTATTATCGTCGATTTCGTTCTACCGGACACTGACGTCCCCCGCATGCAGTCGGCAATGGACATTCAGATGATGAGCATCGGCGCCGGCGTCGAGAGATCTAAGCAGCAGTGGGTTAACCTTTTAGCCAGTGTAGGCTTACAAATTAACGGAATATGGAATACTGGTCTGGGGATGGAATCCATCATCGAAGCGGTCCCTGTCGCGGATCTTTCGTGATGGCGGTTCATCGGGATTTTCTAGAATGACTGTATGGCCCTTAGTTCTTTGACACTAGTATGTCTATTAGATTTCCTTCTTCATGTTTAAGGAGATTTTGATGAAAGATTTCACCATTTGAATCGCTCATCGTAAGGCTGATATTGAAGGAGAAGGAAAATCGCGCAGCAGCATTTGTTCTGAGTCAAATCGTCGCATCATTAGTAGTGTATGGGTGGAAATGAGGGGCCAGAAGATCATGCGACGATTGTTACGAATAGCCGAGCCGTGTACTCCCGCTTTCGGACATATTGCAAAGTTTAAAGCAACCGCGGGGGAGATCATACCTTCGGACCCAGCAGTATCCACACGATCAGCTAAAAAGCTTTACAGCATTATGCCGATCAGACCAAGATCAGATAAGTCGGCTAGTTCGCCTTGGAACCACACCCTATAAGACACATATTGATGGGCCACCACGACAGCTGCGTTTGAAAAGCTGCCGAGTAAAGGTTCGAAATTTGCCATATCAGTCCACTATGAGCAGCTCAGAAGAGCGATGCGCCAGACGTCAGCGACATCTGTAAGAATCTGCGACGCGGGGGTCGCTATTTTGGCGCTATTTTGTACAGGAGAATGAATCAAGCAAATTGTAGAAGTGATTTTCGGTCATGTAAAGCATGAGAAAAGAAGGAGACATCGAGAACGCGCTAGGACAGAGACGAGGCCTAAGCGTGAATACTGCACTAGTGTGGCGTCAAGTCACGAGGAAAGAAAAAGGGTGCCTCGGATTTCCAACAGATTTCAAATGAGCATAGCGTCTGAGCGTACATGCGGAGTCATGAGGACTGACAGCGCAACTTACTGATGGATTTTTAAACTACCCATGCTCTGTAGCACCGGTTAGGGGATTTTGTGTATGACAGTAAAAGCGGGATTCTGGGTGCTGTGATGATGATGATGATGAATTCATTTGCCCGATGTAGCTTGCTCTAAATATATGCCGCTATGCGGGAGTGCTGTCAGGCCTGCCGACAGCTTGAAGGTGGTCGCCAGCCCACTGAACGATTGTTTCCATGGGTTGCAACGCAAGCCCCTGATTGGTCGCCCGAGAATGTACGCAAACATGACAAAATAGACAAAATAAACACAGGAAATCCAAGACGAACGTCGCCTCCCCTTCAGATCGCCTTCGGTGCTATCTTTTCCCACCGTCCCGCAGTGGCAGCGGTGGCTCACAGAACCAGAATCGGTGGCAAGAGCGGCCAATTTCATGCTGCAGACGAGACTCCTCGGCCAGTTCGGGAGTATAGTAGACACATACCGAGTTTACCACAACGTGGCGGACTCGTGACCTATTCGCTTGCCTTCGGGCCTTCAGACTCGCAGCTGCCAACATGCCGAAACGGCATCGGCCGTCGAGGATCAACAGCAAATAAGGACCTTACGGGAGCATTGGACAATACGCCATGATTCTGGGAGAACCCTCAGGCATATACCTCTTTCCCGGCAGGTGTAAATTGCGGAGGGTTGAGATCGATGGCAAGCCAGTGTAGATAGTGATGTAGTTGACCCGGCTACCTTAACGTGACCTGCCGGCAATTCGGCCAATGGGCTGACAGACCCGAGAATCACAAATCAATCAATCAATCAATCAACGTTGCCTCCCCTCTACCCACTCTCCTTCACAATCAGGCTTCATTCTCTGATCTACTTCATCCTCCACCGCCTTCATCTGCGCAGCCCTCTGGGCCGTCGGCTGCCACCCCTGCGCTCGCTTGCATCAAGGGAGTACAGTGGACCTGGCACTGCACTCCTAACGGGCACCATCCTTCACCTTCCGTCACACTGTCCTGAGGGGTCATCCTTTTTCGTCGCCTTTTTCCGTGCCGAGAGCCAATGGGTCGACTGCTTAAAACTGATTTAAGAGACCTGTCCGGACCATGAATTCGGCCACAATTATGCAAGCCTCTGGCCGCGTCAGGAGCTCGTCGCGTCGAGGAGCAACTCCGCGGTCGGACAGAGAGTTTCTCATCCATTTGCGCTCGTCCTGGACTAACGGGCATTCAAGCAAGATATGATCGACCGTCTGGTTCCCCAGATCGCAACCACATCTCGCTGACTCGCGCCGATTGATACGAGTCAAGTAGACAGCAAGGCCAATTCTTCCAGTACGAAGCTGCATCAGAATGGACGCTGTCGTTTTCCGCAGGTCCCAGTATTCCAGGGCCTTTGTTGGTAGTTCGACTTAGCGTTTCGTCGGTCGACCTGTTCTCTCCATAGACCATGACCTTTCCCACTCGATTTTTGCCTCGCGGCGAATGCGGCTTTTAGCTGCAGCTGCGAGGCGAATATAACGATTGTTTGGGATTTGTGGTCCTTCTGGTTCCTGGGCTGCCTCCTTTGCGTGTCGGTCGACACGTTCATTGCCGGCCACTCCTTGATGAGCAGGTATCCACCTGAGGTGGATTTAATGGCCATTGGCTGCGTGTTGCCTTAACAGGTGGAGGCATTCTTCCAGGTAGACCTGTCCTGATGGCATCCGTGGTTGGCGGAGCGCCTTCAATGCCGCTTGGCTGTCTGCAAAGATGGCAAGCCCGTTTTTCGCCTGTGCCGCCCACGGTTCCGTGGTCTCCAAGATTAATTTGAGTGCCATTTCGATGGCACGGAGCTCGGTAGCGTATACAGTGGATCTTGTCTTCGCCGCCCATTTGGCTGTGAGCGTGGTGATCCTCGAGATCAACGACTACTGCTGCTCCAATTTTTCCCTCGATCCCACTCCAGTCAGTGTAGAGAATCAGTGGTCTTTCTCTCGGGTCTTTGGATAGAATGTGGTCGTGAGTTTTCACTGCCATCTCTCTATCCTCGATGAACACTTCTGGCGGCGCTTGTCATGGTGCTGGACGCCAAAGTTCCCGGGGAGCTGTAAGGCATCCGCCCGTTTTCCAGGCTTGCGCCTCCATCGGTGTCCATCCAGACCAATCTCTCTCGTCCACCAGTCGGCGCCGTAGCATTGTTGGTGGGACAGCGAATGCTGGTCCAGTCCGTAACCGTAAAGCCGTTTCTTTTACAAGGCGGTTCATATGGATCGCAATTGGTGGTAGGTGTAGTTCTGTGTTCAGTGCCTCCGCTGCTGTCCTTCTGAAAGCTCCGCTGATCAGGCATGCTGCCCGCTTCTGGATGGCCACGAACGGTTGACTGATTATTCGTGCCTTCATTTTGCTGATCACCATTGGGTGGTACCAGGCCGATACTCCGAAGAGCATCTATGGGATGACTACCGCTTGTAGATCCTGCGCATAGCTGAAAGAGAGCCCCCCCCACGTCGAGCCAGCCAAGCTTCTTAGCGCCTGGAGAGACACGCTTGCCTTCGAAATTGCTTTTTCGCGGTGATGCTGAAACTCCAAGTTGGGATCAAGCCAGTAGCCCAGATAGCGTTCCGCCGTCCTTGTCGCAGGTACTGTGTGCCTCTGCAGTGAGAGTGGTGTGTACCGAGGCTCGATTTCTTTCGTATTTACGAAATGCACGAGCGCGTACTTCTTCGTTTCGAATACCGAGGCATTCTTTCTGGCCCACTGTTCGGCCTTCCCGCAAGCAATTTTGGGCTTCCTGATGGTCTCTCGCTCGCTACCTCCTTTGGTCATAAAGTAGACATCATCAACACAGCCGTTACTGGCCATTCCGCTTCCGCATTTCTCAATCAGGTCTGCATTGTATTTCAGATAGAGAATCGGCGAACTCGGCGACCCTTACGGAATGCCCGTTGGTGTTGGTATTGGACCAGAAGTGCCTTCTGGCGTGCGGATGTTTGTGCTTCGATTTGACAGGAAAGCCTTTACCCAGGGGACCAGTTGCCCTAGGCGTCTTTTCTTGAGATCGTGGAGCAGACATTCATGAGAGATATTGTCATATGCCCACGACACATCCAGCATTAACAGGGAGACCACCGGTTTGCCTTTCCCCTGGGCTATTTTGATTTGGTCAATCATGTTGTGGATAGCATGGTCGGTGGAGATGCCTCGTCGACCCCCGAGATGGGTCTTTGGGAGAATGCCCTCGGTTTCCACGGCATAGATGATCCGTCGTGCAACCACTGCCTTGAGAAATTTTCCGAGAGTATTGAGAAGCGCCACCGGTCGGTAAGACTTTGCCAGTTGGTATTCACTCTTGCCTTGCTTTCGTAGGACCACCGTGATTGGTTGTTGGAAGTGTGTTGGGTTGTAGCCAATGCGTTTGCAGGCATTGAACAGCTGCTCGAGCGATTGCAGTACCACTGGCACCTCGATCAATTTGTGCAAGAGGGAGTTCGGGATCCCATCAGGTCCTGGCGCTTTTCCTGCCTTTGCTGTTCTCGCTGTTTCCCGTATCTCTTGTGTCGTAATTGGAATTCAATCGGCTCTAGGTATCGAAATACGGCAGTGTCAGTGAGGTCCGTAGGTGGCGGCTGTGGGGGAAAAGGCCGTCCGGAAAGCCTCCGCTTTCTGGTCGACCGTCTCGGCAAGTTCGCCTTGTATCAACGGGTTCTGAACCTTTAGTGAGGGTGTAAGGCCTCTCTCGTAGGCTCCGTTACGATTCCTGGCCCATTTGGCGAGGCGCCACATGCCCTGAGGTCCATCTTCGATGACCTGTTGGACCCGGCGTCGATGTGCTCGGGAAAGTGCTCTTGTGACCAGACGTGTCTTTTTGTTGCGTGTCCTGGATACAGCATCCAGTCGTAGGGGGCTTTTGTCCTCGTGTGTATTCGTCGTAGTCGCCGAACCTCTTTGACGGCGGCCCTGCACTCTTCGTCAAAGTCGGTGTTCGACCATATCGATGGGTTTGCCCACGGAGTTGAAAGTCAATTGCGCATTGTACGACGCCTAGTAGTTTCTGACATTGCTCCTCAATCTGTCGGTGGCCTACCATAGGTAGATCTCTTTCTCGTAGGCCTTCTTCGATCTTTTGAATAAGTTTGCCATCATCAGTTGCTTTCCAGTTTCTCCTTCTCTGCTGCGTCAGTATCGGCGTCTCCATGTCAAGAGTGGTTCTAATAGGGAAACGATCTGATGAATGCTCAATGTCATCCGCCCGCCCACAGCGGATTATTCTGCCGCTGAGGCTGGGACTGATGAAGGTAAGGTCAATCACCGATGATTGGTCGTTTCTCGTCCAGGTCGCTTTCCTTTCCTCGGTGATCAGCTCGAGCTCCTGCTCGTCTGTGATTTGCAGCAGTTGTTCAGCTTTGTCGTCGATCTTAGTTTCTGGCCCTCCCCAAGCTGGGTTGTGAGCGTTCGTGCCCCTACTACAATATGCTCGGCCAGAGGAAGCCTTGCTAGCTTGTCTCTCAGCCGGGCTAGGGTGCTGCTCCCCGGCCTGTTACACATTGTGTACGAATAGGTCCGTCCAGTCCCTGTTCCGGTTGGCTCTTCTGAGCTTCAGTAGCTGATAATCCTGCGATACAAGTTGACACGACCAGGTGCCCGGGTCAAACTTCCTCGAGACGAATAGGCATACCCCTGCTTGGGTAGAATCCGAGTCACGGTCTTGAGGGCCTTGCTCCTGGCGGGTCTGCATCGCTGGATACAGCAGCTGAAAATTTTGCGGTCGCCGGCTGGTGGGTTGTATGTTGTTGTTCATTCCGCCAGGGCTCTTGGACAGCAATGACGTCCGCCTCTAAGACTGTTTTATCCCTGAGAAAAGTGACCATCAAGGACCATGATTTGTGTGCGTTGTATTGGAGCAGCTTGATCGATTTCATTCGTGGTTTCTTTCGTCGTCGCTGCGCTCGCTGGCTTCGTGCTATATGTCGTCATTTGGGTCTTCAACTGTGGGCGCGTCTGTCGTGAACACCGGCGGAGACGATTCGACTGTCGACTGGGACCGTATGTGTCTCGCTATATCTTAGAGTGATGAGTTTTCGGTATCCTGGGCAAGTTGGGTCTAGATCCTGGAGACTGGGCTCGAGAGTGTTGGTGTCGTTGATTGTGGTGACATCGTTTGTGAACTGGATAAGCTCTTGCTCAAACCTCTCGTCTTGCTGGGTGCTGTCCTGAGGGGAGCGGTTTGAGGAAGGTGGATATCGAGCCAGTTGCTATCATCCGGATGTTCATCCATCGTGTCCTCTGGTTCGCCCACGTGGCCGCTTTTTGGATATGGTGTGTTCTTGGATGGCCTTTTGAGAGGCGGCTTGAATCTTGTCGACATCCGATTCACCATTGAGAGTGTGTTGTCTGGAGGCGGCGGTGCCTGATTTCCGTGCCTGGCTTCGCAGATTGGCCGGGCTCATCACTTAGTGCCTCCGTAATGAGTGGTTCCATTTCCAAGTCGATAGTGACTGGCTGGGAACACTGTGGTGCTTCCTTTTCCTGTCGTCTTCTGACAAGTGCACTGACTCTTCCAGCTCATTTCTTTCAGGAAGGTCAGACCTGAGCACGTGCGTCGTCGTGTTTCCATTACTCGCAGCATTCCGGTAGTGTAGTGGCACTCGGTGATATGTAGGGGAATCAACCAGAGCCTGTTTGGCCTCAGCCATGGCTGCGCGCTCTTCACCGCGCAATCTTGATTAGTTGGGCGGTGTCCACCGCAATTGGCACATTTAACCGGTATCGTCTGTCCCTTTGTCGATGGACACTCCCTTTCCATGCAACTCCATGGTTAATTTCATCATTGTGGGCACCAGTCGTACTGCTGATCCTGATATTCTCTGAGAGCAGCTTTCGGGACGAGGATAAATAGAAAGCTGTATGCCATTCCTCGAAGCACCCTTAACGACATTATGATCAACGCAGGAAAGGAAGAAAAGCTACATACAATTCAACTCGCAACTCGCATCTGAACGATCAATGGTTCCAATAGTGGCTCAGGTTAATAAATTGGGAGGTTCATTTCCGAATTTTAGGCACATATACGCTAACGTGAGACTATTGTTCAAGACTATCACTTTAAAGCTCATATAGCTGGTCAGCAGCTCTGTGGCGACCGTCCTCACTGACGAGCGGATTTCTCTGCGCGCTGTATACGACTATCATTATAATGCCTTCAATAAGGGTGTGGACGCCTTACGCTTTTAGTCCCGCTGCAACCCTGATAGGGTCTTTAGTCCTTTCCTCCTGATGATATATTTCTTGCCGGGCTCCCTCGTCGTCCATCCGCTGCAGCATGTCCCCCGCCTGTTGTTTTCCCTCTTCCGAGACGAGTGGATTATGAGTAGCTCTATATTGAATCAGTCACGATCGCATCTCGTAAAATTCCCTTTGTAAAATGCTTGAATGAGAGCATACGCTTTATAACCTCGAGCGGCATTAATTCTTTCTTGAGGGGAATCCGGTGTTTTGCCTCCAGATGAGCGTCGCTGGTGGCGGTGATAAGGCTTGCGCATATTTTCCTCACTCAGTTCCCGACGGGCATCTTGCTCATTTAGCCCATGGAGTATATCCCGTGCATGCTGCTTTGCCTCGGCAGAGACGTGTTCATTGTGCAACGCACTGAGTTGCCTTATGAGCTATCCGCAAACATGGATATCAAATAGAACATGCATACGCTTTATAGCCACGGGCGGCGTTTATTCTCTCTTCGGCACTGGTCGAAAACCTGCGTGACATTATAAAATGTATATTTAGTCGAATATACCAAAATTCGAAAGCATAGAAAGGTACAGAATAGCAGGTTATAAGCACTTCTAACTGTTTTAATGTGGTGGTGGTGATATGACGCCACAAATATTTCTACATGCTGCTAACGTAACCCACAAGCGAGTGGGTCACTCATGCGTTACCCACGCGTCACCATCTTACCTACCTAATTCATATCCACCATGCCACCAATTCGAGATATTTCTGGCCCATCTAAAGCTAACCAGGAGGGCCGGATCTTGTTCCCTATTTCCGATGCAGTCTTCGGAAAATGACGAAATTCCCTCAGTTTGCGAAGCAGCCCGCCGATTCGACGTCCCTATCACTACTCTATAAGCTAAATTATGACACCAACAGTACCTTTTACACCCAAATGGCCACCGGAATGGGCCCCCATTAGACTTTAGGAATGACAAATGAGACGTGGGTGCGTTCGGAATCAGCGTCCCAAAACTGGGACTCGTCCACGGTGGACATTTTCTTCGACTTGAGTATTGAGAAGCGGACGACCATGGCTCGAACACTGAACCTGCATCTTCGGTGGTGGCAAAAGCACGGCCTGAGGGATAATTTCGTCCCATGGATCAGCTCATTGCTCTTCGCAATCCAGTACATCTTCTACCGACATTGAGCCCCGAAGATGGGTCCAGTTTAGAGCAGATAAAGTTATATGTGTGAAGGGCTACAGCCGAATTGATTCAATTAAGCGGTGCCAACATGCTGTTTATCTGAAGATTAAGGAAAGTAAACATAGGGGGCATCTAGCGGCGAACTGAATACCCCAGAAGCTTGGCGATCACGTGGTGCGCGGGCATAGCCTGGGCTATATCATGGGCTTCAGCCCGTTACAATACGTGATAGATACGAAACGGTTCCCTAAAGGCGTGTTTCTTTGTGACTTGGATCTAATTAATGCTTTCTGGGAATCTGACAATCACCCGCCAAAAAAAGGATCTGGAGGTCTTACGCTACTATCACAATGGAACGGAATATTATGTTGGAGAATGCCTTTCACAAGGATCACTGAAGATCGAGGGTAAATGCGAAATAATCTCCACCTAGTGTCTTTTTGAAAATGATCTATTGCGCCGCCTACTGATGTCAAAATCACGAGAACCTACCTTATCCGTCTTGTGATAGTATTGCGGGTAGTACTTGAAGACATCGGGCTTCTCGAGGTATTCGAAGGTAACAGGGAGGTCATCTGTCCCTAATTCTTTCCTCCACTTCTCACAGTTCACGAACCTTTGAAAATCTTCACATCAGACCGTTAAAAACCCCTGGTAAATCAACAGGCGCTCGAGCTGCCCCGGACAGCGCTGGACGAACGCAAAACATTAAGGACGGAACGTACATTTTCTTCGACGCCTCGACATCGAATTTACGGGCGCGCAGGAACCGCAGGAGAGTCAGGGTGTCCAATCGTTCTGTGTAGCCCATCTGCTCCAGCATTGCCCGCAGCTGCTGCACTTGTGTATCCTGTTCCGGGGTGGTGTGGCCTGGGTGGCCATGCTGCGGTTCCGGCGCGGTTGTGGGGAAATTGTACTGGTCGTACTCGGGGTCAGTAGGAAACTTCTGCTCAGCAACGGCTGCCATTGCGATAGACGTATTGGGAGGGGTAGGGTTAAAGAGTTGAGCGAAGGAGGGGAGTTGGCGTAGGTGGCCACTTCGAAGATAAAATGACGCCTGGGAGGATCGGCCTAGTCTCGAGTAAACACCAGCACGAAGACGTGCAGCAGCAGCTGAATCATCGTCCAGCCTAATTAGGGAAAGCGCAAAATATTATGCATATATGGGTCAGGCTCGTGAGGCACCTCATGAGTTGCACATCGGGCCCGGATAGATACCCATGGTCCGGGTCATGGCGGGTCTAATGAGCAATTTTACCTTAGGCACCGATCATGGCGCAGGACTTGGTGCAGGGCTAGATGTGGAATTGGATGGTGTATCTGAGCCCTCTAGTGGAGCGTTCTGCACTTTCTTTCGCTGTAAAAACCTCTCTATCTGGTCATCCTCTTCTTCAAGGAGCAAGTCCTGCGTGACTTTAGGAGGCTGTTCTGTCCGGAGTTGTTGTGTATTGATCTGCACGAATAGCAACTTTTCAACACAGTGAGGCTCGAGCCTATTTGGACTTTCGTGAGTTGGAGATTCGTCTGTGGAAAGGCTCTCTCTACTGCTGCCGACTTCGTTACGGTATTACAAAGTCGACGAGCGACGGGTGTAAGAAGCGGAGCGACGTCCTCTTATAATAGAATATTATAAGCGAGTTCTTCGTTTTAACCGTAAACAGAATAACGTACTGCCTTAAGCCAAAATAGAGATGGATTTTGGGCCTTCCAGCAAAAGGCGTTATAAAAAGCGCCTGTTCTCTGCCGGAATACATAAGAAAAAACATACCACGCAGAAGAGCTTTTGTCATCGTTTTAAATTGGTCGTAGTACGCCTTGAATATAGCTTCGAGAGCTCTCGTCAACTTTCCCAGGGACCCTGGCGGGATCAAGATCGTATGCTACCCAGTAAATAGGCTCTAGCTGACGTAGGATTCGACTTTGCTAGCCTGTATCATCTAAGTAGATCAAGAAGTCATCCTTGAGCGATGTTGGGAAGCTAGCGTTCTTAGACTTTCATGGAGACCTAACCACCGTTGCGCGACCTCCATAATTGACGAGTTACGAGCCTCGGATTCTTTTTGGGCAATATTTAAAGGCTTCAGGATCTTGGTCAACCTTTTAAGCTGCCACCATAACGAATGCGAGTTGGCCGTTCTAACAACCTGCCTTCCTCTAGTAGTCGAAGCTGTAGGAGTTATAAGCATCCACTTACAAATAGCCTCTTGCCAATCGTAAAGTGATGATAGTATATTCTATTGCGTACCTTATCTTGTAATAACCGACGCAATAAGTGCCTTTCGAAAACCATACTTCTCAACCTGCTTAGCTTGCATCCTTGCGTAGTCGAGTGGTGAATGGTGGAAGAAGATAACTAGTTAAATGTCGGTATCAGTGGAGAATCAGTATTGTAAGGGATGGTCAGATTGTATCATTGTAACTTAGCCAAGAGTCTTAGTCATGCTCGGTCGCATACAAATTCGTGTGTGAGAACGATCATAACCAATGTAGATGACAAGGTATCTATGATTCGTCCAGGTGATTGGGTCTAAAGCGGTACCGACAGTAAATCTGTCGCCTCGAGAAGCGATCGACTCCCGGAAGCCCAGCCTGAGTTAGTCCCCACGCTGTCCTGAGCACCCTAATCGCTCACCCCCGACGCTTCGGCTGGCTAACGTCAGCCCCTCTTTGTTTCACTTCCTTCGACTATAAGCGCTTTGCTGCCTAGCGCTCCCCATCCGTTTGTTTCCAAGCGAGACGTAGCATCTCTTTTTTCTCCTTAGGGGGGATCATCAATCTCATGCTACGCTCTCGTCCATTAGTCCATTAGTCCATGCAGTTCAAGTAGCTGCTGTCCACGCCAACCCTTACGGTGTCTGGTTTTACCTTTCTCAGTTTCGGTTGAGCTTCCCAGCAGAGTCAACACATTACTGAACGCGTCCCCGACTTTGTACAGTTATCTAGCCTACTAACTACAGGGGTACCAAAGAATAATTCAGCAAGAAGTACATTTTTCTGCCAGTAATTTTTTGTTATGATACTGTAAAAATACATTCAATATGTTGTTGGTCCTCTTCTCTTTCAATCACCTGCGCCACCCTCCGCGCCATACTCTCTGTCAAAATCCATAAAAACGACTCTGGTAAGCGATCTCATGCGTTTTGTATATACTGGCGTAAAATATGATGCTGAGAAGGTGGAAGATTGGTGATTCCACACTGTTTTAACACATCATCTTTTACCCAATCCCACACATTCTCCTGTGCATTTAAATCAGGAGATACTGATGGATGCCGGGCATCTTCAACATTAATATCACGGTCATATAGCTCAGCTATAGTAGCAAAAGCCTGATGAGAAGCAGCACCATCTTGCATAAGAAATGCATCAATCCTATGATTCTCCTACAGCCAGTCGTTAAAACCATGAATCAGAGGAACAATATGTTGAAGATAAGCCTCAGAAGTTACAGAGCCCCAGTCAGGGTCCCAAATGACTAGTGGCCCTTTATGTCTCCCTGCAAAACAGGCCCATACCATTATCCCTGAGCGTTGCTTTGTTTGTTTATCAACTGCAGTAGGGTGGTATCTCTCATCTTGAAATCGATGAACAGAAGGCATTCGATGCCATCCAGACTTAAACCAAGCTTCATCAGGGAAAATAACACGTTTCCACATCTCAATATCCCAGCTCTCACGCTCATATGCCCATTCAAGACGAACTTGAGCATGACAAGGCATAATAGGGGGGTTTTTGAGCTGCTGGATGGGCTTCCATTCCACGTTGTTTAAGCGAGGTTCGTAGGGTCTCAGCACACACAGTAAGACCTAAGACACGGCAGACTTGTTCACAGGTAAGGATTCGACGCTCAAGAGAGCTTTGTATCCACCTAATAACATCAAGTTGTTCAGAAGATAGCTTTGGCAGTCGACCAGCCTTCTTCTTCTTCTGGGGTGTAGGACGTTCACGGCGGCAGGTATAGCCTATTTGATTCAATGAGAATCCCGTTTCTTGGCGAATTTGCTGATAACTGCATCCTCGATCTCGAAAGAATAGTATATGAAGCTTTGGTCGCGGTTGAGGTTGCTCATCATGGGTAGGTAGGTGAACAACGCTTTGTAGGGTGTGTTACGTATGGTAAAATCGTAGGCGGTGTAGGGGGTGGGGAAGTATTTCTTGTTGAATTATTCTTCGGTACCCCTGTAATGGCTAATCGATCACTTCCCAAATCGGGTTGGGTCCCACGATCACGAAGTCGGGACTGGTACGTCGATTCCCGGCAGGTCCGGGTGGCGTCCACGGCGGGAGTGCCATGGCGGGACATTTTCTCGGGATTCTGAGGGGAAGCGAGTCCTTGGCTGGCCGGTAACTCCATCGACGGGCTGCCGGTGAACAGGCCGGGCCACGCCAACTCGGAGTAGCGTCCTCTCGGGTCGTCCATCGTCCAGAATTCGCCGAGAGGAACGGAACCAACCAACGAGTTCCCTCGAGTCTTGAGACAGTTTCGAAAAGTACTGGGGCCAGGTTCTCCTGCTCCACACGTAACTTAAGGTGGCAGTCTCCGCGCCTCTCCGTCCTTGGTGGGTGCAGAATACCCCGATAATTCACCGAGGAGCATGACGATCAACTCAGTCTCATGGAAAACACACCATCCAACCGCGGGTACTGCTCCCCCTTGTACATGTTGCTATCATTGCTATTGGAGTGCCGTATACAGGGACTTCCATTGCGAACTTGGGAGTCATGGATCAGTGGATTGCCAAGACCGTGATGTCCCGGTTCTGGCGTTCGTCAAGTTTGGTTGGTACATGTAAACCAAGCCAGACCCTTGCCAAGACTAAATCAGACTGGCCAAGAAGTTCCGCGGGGCCTGGAAACTCTCCCCGTGTGTGTGTGGAGATCTCTCCACGGGGAAGCGTCGCGGCCCGTACAATGCAGACGTCCATTGGCTTCGAACGCATCGCATTGAATGATGCAAGAAATTGGTTGCATTTTTTTCTTTGCGACATGCATTGCATCATGGGGCGTCGGAATAGATGCATTTTGTGGCGCATTTAGGTCCTGAGATATCATTAAGTAGGTTTAGTGTTCAACATCGCCATCTACTTACTTGGCCCCAAGTTGATTTTGTGCTTGGAGCAGGCTCCACACAATTTCCCTGGTCGCTCTGAAAAGCCTGGATGGCAGGGGCAAGGACCATTGGAGGGGCCCTTGCACGATTGCCACGCTCCCGAAGACCTTCACCATTTTGCCCTGTTGCTTTTTCTCTTTGGAAGGTTTGGAGTGCGTCATTCAACCCCACATGGTCTTGGCGACCAGGCCGACTCTGCGCAATTCTCGAATCAGGGTTTGGATTGTGTCTTGAGGTAATAACTCCCGCCAAGCCTATATTTTGATTGTTGGCAGGTTAGCACAGCCGGCCCCTAAGTACTTAGGACTATTTTAACCCTCTGCACCCACTGTCGCATTCGTCAATATCTTATCGCACATGGGGAATCTCTCTCCCTTCTTTGTTGGACAATTTTGAACTCGATAACTCATTAAGCGACGGCCATGTTATTCAAACGTCCCCAAAATGAAAAGGGAGCCGCGTGGCCAGCCATCTTGGTAGGTTTGTTCGCGTCCTTTGGTGGCATTCTCTATGGATACGATACCGGGACCATCGCGGGTATCCAGACTATGCCCTACTGGCTCGATGAATTCAATCATCCTAACGAAGGCCGCATCTCCCTAATTGTTTCTATTTTGTCCGTTGGAACGTTCGTTGGCGCACTCGCGGCGGGGATCATCGCAGACATTACCGGCAGAAAATGGGGAATCATCATCTCAGTCATGCTGCCTTTTAATCTCGGTGTGGCTCTTCAAACTGCTGCTACAGCGCAACCTCTGTTCATTGCTGGTCGCTTTTTCGCCGGTCTCGGAGTCGGTTTAGTTTCCGCCCAAGGTGTGTTAAGTCGGCGAAAACAGCTTAGGTATCCATTGCTAATTGCTTATAGTTCCCATGTACCAATCCGAAACTCTACCCAAATGGATCAGAGGCGCAGTTGTGGGATGCTACCAGTTCTGCATCACAATCGGCCTTTTCTTAGCCGCTATTGTGAACTGGGCAACCCAGCACCGGAACGACAGCGGTAGCTGCCCATGCACGTTCGGGCTGATACATGATCAAAAAAACTAACTCGATCGCAGGAAGCTATCGCATTCCGCTTGCCATTCAATTCGCATGGGCAATAATTCTGGTGAGCTTCCCCTCTTGGCAAACTGCAATCCGAATGAATCCATAACTGACTTGGGAAAAGGCTGGAGGCCTGGTCTTTCTCCCAGAGACCCCTCGTTTTCTGATCAAAAAAGGCGATGAGGCCCGAGCCCTGAAATCGTTGGTTTTCCTTCGTCGCTTGAATCCCGATGATCCAGATATTATCTCCGAGCTTGCAGAGTTGAAGAGCAACTGGGAGTATGAACAGTCCCTTGGCTCTGCTTCGTACATTGAATGCTTCAAGGGTACTACCGGTAAACGTACCATTACTGGAATTATACTCCAATCGCTCCAGCAACTGGTCGGTATCAATTTCATCATCTATTATGGTACGAGTTACTTCGCCGAGAACGTTGAAGGCCTGCCCGACTCTTTCATCTTGCAGGTGATCGTGAACTGCGTCAATGTAGTCATGACGCTTCCAGGCCTTTGGGCAATTGACCATTTCGGACGCCGCCCAGTTCTTCTGATCGGGGCTCTTGGGATGGGTATCTCCCAATACATCGTTTCGGCTTGCGGCGCCGCAACTCCGATCTCGAATTTTACATCACAATGTGCCCAGTTCGCTTTTATTTGCATATACGTCTCGTTTTTCGGTAAAGTGAACACGATAATAATTGACCTATGGTATCCTTGCTAACATCCGCAAAGCATCCACATTTGGCCCCTGCGCTTGGGTTGTCACGGGGGAAATTTTCTCGCTTCAGACGCGTGCCAAAGGCCTTTCTATGACCACTGCTGCGAACTGGTTCTTCAATTGGCTTCTTTCTTTTATTACGCCATACCTCACAGGAGCACTTAACCCAACCCAGTCCAATGTATTCTGGATATGGGGCAGCTTCTGCTGGATCGCATTCGTGTTCGTATACACTATGATTTATGAGACCAAGGGGTTGGCCCTTGAGCAGGTCAATGAGCTCTACGAAAATGAATCGAGGGCTTGGAAGAGCCCTGGTTACCGCTCCGAACTCCGAACGCTCTCTGTTTCTGAAGTACACGACAAGAGATTGGCCAATGAAGATACGAAGCATTCAGAGTTGGCTCTGGAGGATGTTGAAAAGGCCTGATCAGCCAAACGTTCCCCGCAATGGAACTCTTCGAAGACCATCGCAATCAAGGAAAACTATACATCTTTTTTATGGAAACGTATGGTCCCGAGTCCGTTTCTCCTATCGATGGTCTCAGAATTTTCACCAGTGTGATCGAATTGTTTGTCAACGTCGTATTGGGAGTTTACCGATAACACCTTGTCGGGACAGCATCATGTTTATCATGTTCTCTCGCCCGTTGCCTGCGGACTATATTCCGTAAAAAAACGATGAAGGTAGTGTAACATGCTTTTGGTTTCGATGGATATTGTATCTGTCAGCTTCCAACTCGTTTTCAATATTTCTTATTGCTTGAGAAAATGGTAGGCAGTGGTGTCCAGGGCGGTGGGTCCCACTACCGCCCACTCCACTCACTTCTCCACCCACTCGGCCTTCTTCTCTTCCTTCTCTCTAGCTAGCCCAGATAGTTTGAATGAACTCTTTCACTGTTCACTGGCTAGCTCATTCATTCAACCAGTATCCAAATCGTTAGCACCATAAGCACCTCTCTTGATGTCCCCGCATTCCACACTGCTGATGTATCTTTGTCCAACTAAAATGTAGTTTTTCTGGGATGTATTTCTCAAATACATACCCTCCAGGAGTATGTTGTATGCATAGACGAAGATTGCGGCTTTGCATGACGACGGCTCCACTTAGGATTTGGCTGATGATAGATCGCCCGGTCACGCATGATAGTACCGTCGCCGTTTATTCAGACGGGGATGATGTTGGTATTGGTGACATGCAGTTTTCAGCCATGTGTGGTAATGTGATCTGTTGCGAGAGAGTTGGAGAATTTCGTTCCGGTTCCGGTTCCGGTGAAAATAACTTGAGCAGAGATATGGATTCCTCGATAGGGAAGAAGACCAGGACCAATGAGATATGTCCCTGCAGGGAAAAAACCACACCACCTCTGACTTCTGCGGATGCCGCTGTATCTATTGCTTGCTGACGGCGATGGAATCGCTCATTGTTCATTTCTGGTTGTACCGAACGATTGACGTTGATGTATCCCTCAAGATTGATTGAAGAAATGAGATATTCACACAAGTCAGAGTACTGTTGGATATTAGATACAGAGTACTGTTGGATATTAGATACAGTACATCTCGAAACTGGCACGACCACTTCTACTATACAATACTGTTTCATTGTTTCTCGAACTCCGGCGCCAGGTTCGCTCTTTACGAGAGCACCTCATAGTTAACCGTAGTTGTCTATAATCACTTATAACTTTTATACACCGACATCTCCATACCCCACCCCGAAAGCTCTCCCCTTGGTACACGAGATGTCAACGATAATCGTACGTGGTCATAAGGATGGCCGTCCACTTTTGCCCCGTCAAGACATGAGCTTATTCATGACATGATGCATGGTGACGATATCCTAACTTCCATGAGGTAACTGTGATGTAATAATCTATGAGAAAGTCAATTGCAAAACCAGCCTCCTTAAATCAGTCGCCCTTGCAGGGACTGGTTACACGGCTTGTTCATTTTAATCAAGAATCAACATTATATTTCATTACAACCCCAGTTGTCAGTAGGGTGGGAAAAAAAGGTACTTTCCTCTTCCAAGCCAAACTACAGTACTACGTCGGAGACTGATAGTATATTCAGTTAATTAGTATGGCAGCAGTGAATATCACGACTAGTAGTATAAGCCGCCTTCCCGCAGACCCTAGGTGGAAAAGCCTAGGCGGTGCTATTATTGGCGATCCTGCAATTATGTCGTGGGCCTCAGACCGTCTTGATATTTTCGTTCGAGACACGCATAACAATATTTTATGGAAATGGCGTGAGGGCCAGCAATGGAAGCCCTCTCAGTCCGAGTGGAAGCCACTTGGTGGAGGGATCACTGACGGGCCTACTGCTGTTTCTTGGGACCGTGGCCGATTAGATCTCTTCACCCGGGCGGGGTACGAATGGTGCTGTCCTGCACAAATGGTATGATGGCAGTCGCTGGATCCCTCCGAACGAGTGGGAACCACTTGGTCATAATATCATCGGCAAACCCACTGTGGTGACTTTGGGTCCGCACAGGCTTGATCTTTTTGTGCATGGCGCGTCCGACAACAACCTCTGGCACATGGCCTGGAATGGCCGTGATTGAGAAAGTTGGGAGTCCCTTAGTGGCCCAATTCTTGAAATTCCTTCTCCGGTGTCATGGGGCCCCAACAGAATTGATGTCTTTGTGCGCGGGACCGATAATGAGCTTTACCACAAAGCCTGGTGGAATAACTCCTGGTCTCCTGAGTGGGGTCCACTAAGGGGCAAAATTCTCAGCAGACCGGAGGCAGTTTCTTGGGGAAAGGAAGGCTAGACATTTTTGTTCGGGGCGTGACAGTCTCCTCGACATTTTCATTCAAGGTTCGGACCTAGCTGTCTGGCACAAGCAATGGAATGGAACAAACTGGGTTCCTGCCGGTACCGATTGGAAGTCGCTCGGGGCAGGGTCACTGGGGTTCCAGTCCTTAGTCCACTTGGCTCACAAAAACTGGAAACTTTTGCTCGTGGAGGTGACGGTGAACTGTTATTTTGGTCTTGAAATCGGTCACTTTGCGACAAGAATAGACTGTCATTCCCGTGGAAGTCCACCGTGGATCCCATCTCATGGGATGGGAATGGGAGCAATTATCCCCACATGGGGGTCGTGGGATGGGACGTAGGCAACAAACTACAAGATCAGCTATCATAGACAAAATTTTCTAGTAGAATTGAATTGTATGAAACTCGTAATTATAATGAAACAAAAGTGATATCACTGTTTTGTCAGCTGTTCCTGCACCTGTACAGATCGGCCAGCTGCGATTTATTGATATGATTGTCTGGGAATAATCCGCTTATCTGA